CGTCCAGTTTAGTGATTCTGCATATATTGTCACGAGCACGTCTGCAGTTTTACTGGCTCACGAATCCCCAATATCAAGTTGTCACAGCCACAATATCCAGGCATACAACAAATCATAGTAGCATATGAAGGAGATGAATCAAGATTGGATACTGGGATAGTCACACGTACATGTTTCGCCAATGAGCATATAAATAGATCGTGTATTCAAGGTAACATGAATAAACAAATGTGAAAGGTAGCACAGATTAGACATGAGAGGCAGTCAAAACTAGGAAATCCCTATGATTTAGTTAAACCCCAATCACAGCGTCTATATCAAGAACTGTTGAGGATCTCGCTCACCTCCACTACTCCCATAGGTGGACTATACAGACAGCCTGCCGCTTCTAACCGGTCTTGTGAATCACATGCATGGGATATGACCTCTGATTTCTTCATTCCAAGGGCGTTCGTTTGCAAGTGAAAGAAGAGCAGAGTGAACGGTGTAAGATGAACACACCGTACGCAATGCAACCTCATAGTATTTATAATTTCCTTACCGCTTCTTTGGTCCTACCCTTCTAATCGGACTACAACCTAAACCATAAACCTAGTCTTCATAATTAAACTATGCCACTTCTCAAGCAAAAAGGAAAGAACACTACAATGGCGGAGAACGCTCAAACCACCCTAATGCGTAAAGCAAGAACTTCATCCTCCTTCAACCCCTTCGACCTCACATGTATCCTCTGGGGCAGGTAAGTCTCCCACTTCTCTTCCCTTCCCCATCCCAAAACCTCAACTTGCCAACCAAACCCGCACCAGCCGATCCACCGTCCTCTCCCGCCGCCTAGCCTTCACCCGCATCGAAAAAGCCCTCGGAGCCCACAACACCGCCCTCCTCCCCCAATGCTACGCCCACACCTCGCGCGAAGCGCTCTTCGCCCAAGGCCTGGAAATGGGGAAGGCGTGTTTGCAGGATATGAAGGAGTATGGACATGAGCATTTTGTGTGGGTTACGCCGAAATATCGGCTTGTTAATGCTAGGTATGTTCTTTGTCTCACCCTTATCCCTCATATCAAAAAAGAGGGGGAGAAGAAGAAGCTGGAAAGGAGAAAATGGAAAGGAAATATTGGAGGATGGTGCTGATAGAGAGCAGTCCTTTCGGTCACAAAGCCATACTGTTCGAACCAGCCATGCAACACAACGGCACCGCGGAGCAACAATCACGATGGCTACCGCTCGCGCGGGAGGGCAAGATTCTTGGGACGTATGCGCAGACGGAGTTGGGACACGGATCATTTGTGCGGGGTGTAGAGACGACGGCAACGTTTGATCAAGAGACAGATGAGTTTATTGTCAACTGTCCTACTATTTCTTCGACCAAGTTCTGGCCGGCGGGGTTGGGATTCTCGACTACGCACGGAGCGGTCATGGCGCGGCTGATTGTTGGGGAGATGTATCATGGACCGCATATTTTTCTGGTGCAGTTGAGGCGTGTGGAGGACGGGAGGCCGATGCCTGGGGTGGAGATGGGGGATGTGGGGTTGAAGATGGGGTAAGTAGTAGTTGGATTTCTTTTGTAGTAGAGTGTTCTGGGGTAGTGGGGAATGGTGCTAATGAGATCACTTGGATATAGGTACAATGAAGCGGACAACGGGTTCGCGTCGTTCAACCACGTTCGGATCCCCCGGTCGCATATGCTCATGGCTCATAGCCAACTTGCGCGCGATGGTACGTTTACCAAGGATCCGCTGCGCGCAAAATTATCATACTCGGTCATGCTGCTTGTCCGTGGCAAGATGCCTGGCGCCTTTGCCGTACAACTTGCACAAGCATTGACAATCGCAACACGGTATTCTGTTGTGCGGCAACAGGGGCTCGGTCCAGCAGATGCACTGGACGATGAAGCCACTATCATGCAATACAGACACCAAAATTTTCGCTTGCTCAGCCTCATTGCAAAGGCCTATGCAATGTTCTTTGCATCGCGTGCCTGTGAGACTCAGTATGACAAGCTGCGAGAGATGCAGGAGAAGAACGATCACTCTCTCCTTCCATCTGTACACGCACTGACTGCGGGTCTGAAAGCATATGTCACTTCGGAAGCTGCTGATGGCGCCGAAGATGCCCGCAAGATGTGTGGTGGGCATGGGTACATGGCTATCTCGGGTCTTCCAGATATCGTTGGCCCTATTGCTGGGGGCGCCACATTCGAGGGCGAGAACTACGTGCTGTGGCAGCAGGTTGGTCGGCATCTGCTCAAACAGCTAGATCGCCTGCGAGACGGCGACACAATGGAGCCGCAGACGCAGTACTTGGCTGATTCGGACGATCCCAATGTAGCTTGTGCAGCGCAGGGTGAACAATTCCTCATGCACGGGGCTCAGCTTGCTGTGTTTCGTCATCGTGCACAGCGTCTGGCCACCAAGGCACACGCGGAGATTCGAGCCTCGAGTAAGACACCAGCAGAGGCTTGGGACGAATATATGATGCTGCTTATTTCGGCATCGCGGGCGCACATTGAGTACTTTACTCTGCGTTCCTTTGTCAATGCTATCTCACAGTTGCCTGATAGCACGTCTGCAAACCTTCGCAAGGTCTTAGAGCGCGTGTGTTCGCTCTTTGCGCTCTCTACAATCATCAACCCGCGCTCTGTGGACGCACTGTCTTTCATTGTAACTTGCGATGATCGGCCGCCGTATCTCTCGCCTTCTCAACTCGATATCATCCGCTCACTTGTCAACGACCTGCTTGATCAGCTTCTACCCGAAGCCATTGCACTGACAGACGCCTGGGACTTTTCCGACGCTAGTCTGTGCAGTGCGATTGGGATGTATGATGGTAACGTATACGAGAACGTTATGCGCTGGGTAAAGCAACTGCCAATCAACCACAACGCGTGGGAAAACGGGGGTGTTCAACAGGGTTGGAAGGAATGCGTCGATCCAATTTTAAGAGACATGGAAACCCGGGCAAAATTATAGGCCTGCAAGGTGGAGATGGAGTTTTTGCCTTCTTTGTTGAATACGTACTCGAGAAGCACTATCCCAATGTCGTTGGAGTTAATAAAGTCCGAGGTAGTTCGATCTAATCGAATAGGGTAAGCGGGGCACAGCAATTATCATTCCTAAATCTATTAACATGAAGAGAATGAATCTAGGTATATATTGTACCATATATACATCGAATGCCAACAGAGAATTAGGAAGAACAACAGAGTGTTGTTGATATTGCTAGCCATCTTTGCTAGTCGTATGAAAGTGGTGTGGTGCCCCTCGGCTTTGAGTAGCTGGGACGCAACGCTTCATCAATGAATGCTTCCTGAATGAAATTGCGCATCTCGCTTGCTATTGCTTCGTAGTTTTTCTCTCATTCCTCATTTGATCAAAGTGACCAAACTGGTCGTCTCTGAACAACAGAAAGAGAAAAAGTTGCACTAATCAACTGTCCCACTCTAGGATCTGCAAGACTCTCATGAGACTGTAATTGTGTTACTTTTACCCATACAGCTTGTACTGAGACATATGCAGTTCAAAGCACATATGGCTATATGTGGAGCATGCATACACAATGCCCTTGGTCAGAGGGCATCGAAGTCGCTCCTTGCGTAGGAAAGACAGACAACAGTGAGATGTTTGCTTGACGAACAAGGTCGAATCAACGCATCACGCCCTTGGCTGGATCTACCCACAATGCATGCAAAGTACTCAGCTCATGATGCAATGTTCGTATTGTAAAGTCGTTGGGAGCAAAGTCATGACGATGGCGGTGTCACTAGTCCAGTGCACTTGTTGGTTTGGGTATCAGTTTCCTCCTCTATCCGCCTCGTCTTTGCGCCAATTGCACCACCAGGGTGATTCCGTCTGAAAACAACCTTGGTATCCTCTTGGTGCATTGCCTCGGCAATTGTCAGTGCAAGCATGTCGCCGACCGCAATTGTCACGGTTGTGCTGGTGGTTGGCGCACAAACGCCAAAGGACACCTCTTCTAGCTCGTGGATGGGCGCAGGTAATAGTATCGAGCGCGGTCTGCTTCGAAAGAGCGGACATTCCGAGGGCTTGGTATGTGATGTAATGGCGAGGATGGGTGTGTGGGAGGGTATGTGATCCAGGAGAGCGACAAGCTCTGCAGTCTTGCCAGAGTAGGAGATGAACATGACGGCATCATTCTTGTCACAAGTCAATTATAGGCGGACGCTTTGTAGGAGGGACCGCAACTTACCTTCCTGATGTCGCCGAGGTCTCCATGCAGTGCCTCAGCAGCATGCATGAAGGAACTCGCAATTCCTAGGCTTTTCATGGTTGCGACAATTTTGCGCCCTACAAGGCCGCTTTTCCCAACGCCACAAACTATGAGTTTGCCTCCTGCCTCGCTGTTTTTGGTAATGACTTCGACGGCCTGAAGCAGGCCATGGCGGGCTACATGGTCCGACTGGTACAAGAAAGTAACTTGTGACAGCGCAGTGGCGGCGGTTGAAAGAACGTGGACGGCACGCGACAGAAGATGGGTTCCTTTGGGGTCGTCGGCCGAGAGTGGCGGGGTCAGAGGTTGTGTGTCGGAGGGGGCACGTTTGCGCTTTAGGGATACGGGAGAGGGGGAAGGAGAGGAAGCGGGAGAGGGAGAGGCAGAGTCGGAGGAGGAGAGTGGTGGGGTATCAGCGAGGGGCTCTGCCATGATGTCGTGAGGAATGTGGGATATGGGTAGAGCCGCTGGCAGACGCAGGGTCGCTGTATATCAACACAGGCTGGCGATCTTTGCAACAGGTCTACACATATACGATCTGTCTTTTAGTCTGGCTCGGGCAGCGTCGGGGATAGCGTCGCATTTAGTAGGCGTAATGCACCCGTCCAAAGAAGCGACGCGACGCGATGCCATGGCCTGCCATGCGCCGACTGATTTGCAATCCAGCTCACATCCCTGCATGACGCCGCACGGAAACACTGCTATTCGGCTGGATAAGCATAGTGTTTGCCCGTCTTACAAGCATCAGCCAGACTCCGGTTGCGATCTAGGTGTGGTGATGGTGAAAAATGCATTGCGACATTGGCGCTAACCCACTGACTTGCATGTGCAAAGGGCCCGGCTCTAGGCCTCATCTAGCTACACTCCCTGCCATGATTCGAGCCCAACCGTCGTCGCACGTTTCTTGCACTACCGCCCTCGATCGTTGGCCACAATCATCCATGGGTGCTTGTGGGTAGCTACATGCGCCACGAGCATCCGCCCTGCCCTGCGCCCGGTCCTGCTTTACTTTGGGGACCCCGCGGATGCCGCCTCAAAGAGTGCCGTTCGCCGGGCGCCCATACACGTTAATCCCACCTCCCCGCCATCCAACTTGGCCATGCCCAATTCCTTTCTGTACAATGCCTGTGCCTGCTCGCTGCCCGTCAGGAGCACCATGAACCGGAGGTCTTCCATATCCATGCAAATCTCGCGACAGCACCTGATAAGCCACTTGCCCACTCCTTGGCCTTGGTGTTCGGGAATGAGGTATACATCGGTTAGGTAGGCGAGCGTCGTGTAGTCAGTTATCATGCGTGCCATGCCGACAGCCGTTTTGGTTCCATCCGAGACCACGAAGACGCCGAGCGTGAGGCTGTTATCAAGCAAAGTTGTCAGCTTTGCAGGCGTGAGAGGCTTTGCCCAAAATACGGCATCTGTTGCATATGCCTCTTGGACAAAGCTATGAGGAAGAAGCGACTGGTCCGAGGAAATGAGGTAGGTTCGCGTTCCAATTGCACGTTCCCATTGGAATATTTTCTTGTCCATATTGTCGATATGTGAGGCCGAACTTGCAGCCACAGGTGAAGATAGGCAACCTCCCCCTCCTAATACTCCGAGAGATGTTGAGTCATACTCTGCTCAACCTGCCGATATTTATACTTCGGCGATAGGTAGTCGTGGATTCACGCCCTAGACGCCATGTCACCACCTCGTTACACGTTTGACCCCAGAAAATATCCAATGGTTATTCGTCCCGCTTTCAGCCGTGACTCTGCAATGTGTCCGAGCGCCGAGTGCAGTTAGGAGATCGTCTCCTCTGGGTGTACTTTCCATCTCGAGAAGGAGGGGCTGCAAGCTCCCAAAAACTACATACCTGTGTCGGCTCGCAGTATATGTCTGCCGTTCGGTTGCTAAGCTGGAAACTCAATAGCAATTGGTGTGGAGGAGTGCGTATACTACCAAGAGGCATTATGATAGCAAGTTATTTTTTCTTGAACTTCGCTGACAACTACGTAGTACGCCCTCGTTGTGGCGTGCACGCGTGTTCACGTGGTCAGGCGCCGACGCTAAGACATTCATTACGTTCGCACCTGCCATGCCATGCCATTGCCATGAAGCTCTCATCTCCCTAGACATTCATCGTCGTAACATTACTCGTTGGTGAGCGCATCACCAAGTGCTAGCACACGACACCTGTTCAATCATCGCTACTGAATGTGCCACAAGAGCTGCGAGCTATGACTGAACGTCGCATGCGCCATCGCTACGTCCTGCCTTCTTCGGCTGCTACTCGATACGAGAGCATGCAGAGATCAGATAATGAACGAACCACATCTACTTGACTCTAACTCGCTCTTGTTCCATGTATGTACTAACAACCTAGTATTTGTCTAAATCTTATTAGCTTTACAAGGCAAGCATCGAGGCAAAGCCCAAAAGTCCGAGCGGTATTCCGGTAGACAGGGGACTGCAATCCTACCAAGCAGCTACTAGACGCTAGGGTGTGGCGTCATCCTGGGGCAACAGCACCTCATCATTCCTCTAACTATCGTATATCACGCTTTGTCACCCCCGCAACTAATCTATCTGCTAGCACCGTACACAGCATCATCGCCGCATCCACCGAAAAACAACGGTCCAGTTTCATTGTTGATTAATTTCTTTCATGATCTAGTATGATATTTGTTATTTTATCTCAAAGGTGAACACAGCTTAGATGGAGATCCACCGACCCATCCAGGTGTCGACGATTTGCTTCGCCTCGTCTACAAGACCCATATCTAACAGCAGCTGGGCTGTTCCACGCACAGCCGAGTCGAGAGCCGAAAATATCCAAGCGTGCGTATAGCTTGTGTGCTCACCTAGAGGGCCACAGTCAGTCTATATCCTAAAAGCATTTCAGTTCCACTTACCAACGAAAATGGACTTCAATTCGGTCTTGTAGTAGGCAGGCAGAAAAAGATCTTGTTGGCCAATAGTAGGCGAAGCCCAAGCACCGGCCTGGTGTTCGTCGGTTTCCCAGCACTGGCGGTCGTACGCGCCAGTCCATTGTTCGTCAGCTACCTCACCGTGGATCTCGATCATGGCGCGTTGGACCAGAGCAACGTGATCTTCTTCGCTAAGTGCGCCTACGGAGCGGGCCAGAGTACCAGAGACATATGAGCCCAAGATGACACCAGGACCGGTCGAATTAATCTGATAAGAAGGGTAGCAGACACTGCCAATGCCTGAAATATCAACCGAACCACATCCTCCAATGATTGGGGGCGAAAGCTTCTCCCAGAAACGTGTCTTGTAGTGCAGAGAAACCTTGCACGACTGCTGGTAGTTCATCTCGTTGATAGCACGAGACAAGAGAGATGAGTATTGGGGAAGATCCCAGATCCTGACCTTTGAGAAAGGAACAGCAACGACGGCGTAATCATAATCTTCGCTCTCTGGCTTCATTGTAAAAGGGTCCTTGCGCCACTCAACAGAAATCTTGTCCGTCTCTTCATCGTACTTCAGTCCGGTGACTTTGCGGCCAAGGGTCAAACGGTCCTTGACGTGCGGGTAAAAAGCGCGAGGAAGCGACTCTAGACCCTTATCGATGGTCCGCCACGTTGTTGCACCAAAATATGCGGTATCATATTCCCAGATGGGACCGCTTGAACCGCCGGTGATGTAGTCAACTACATCAGCACTCTGGTTAAGCGCATATCTGACATACGCGGCCTCTGACCAATGAAATAAGCCCTTCTCAACGGCATGCTTATGGGCCTTGTAAACATTTGTGTGCATCTCACGCACGACATCCGGTGTGGTAGCCACAAATTTCTCCAACTCTTCAGTAGCGTGCTCAACAGCCTCCTCCTCTGGACCCTCGGGTTTTGGAAGACTGTATGCAGTGGCATTACTCCTGAGCATCGCAGCGCTGGGGATGCGTCCATTGGGAAGACGGTAACCATTCGAGTTGCCCGGCACATTCGGGCTCGACTGGATCCATGGAATGAAGTTGACAGCAAGGTCGCTGGTAGGGCCTCCGTTCATTTGGGTCAGAACATCTCCAAGCTGGAAAACCATCTTGTGATCCTGAATATCCAGCGTCTCGTTTGTTTCTGGATAGCGAGTCGATACTGGGAAGCGCATGGGACCCATCTCTTGATACTGGTATTCCTCAGGTTTACTACTGGCTAAATACTTTGTTCGAATACGACCTCCAATACGCTCCGAAGACTCGATAATGTGCCAATCATGGATGCCGACCGACTCGAGTAGATGACTTGTCATCAACCCCGACATGCCTCCACCAACAATGGCAATTCGCTTGCTCTTCTCCATTGCAACATAGGAAGCATTGTTCTGCTTGCTCTTCATGTAGGCTACACCATCGAACCAAGGTCCCATGGTGTCAGCCACCTCGGAAATATCCTCCCTCTTCCTTGGCTGATGCTTGACGGAGATCGGATCTGAGCGTCCAATGAGTGTGGATCCCGAGTACGCATGAAGGCAACCGCCATGGACAGCATCCTCTGGTACAATCCACACGAAGCGTTCTGGGCGGGTCGATCGCTTGATATAATGCGAGGCAACATCATGATGTCTCTGTCCGTGGCTCTTCATTCCGCATTCGCCGTAGACCAGGCGAACTTCACCCTCGAAATCGTCGTCACTGAAGTCAACATGGACGTTGTGTACAGAGTCTGACTTAACCTCGAGGGGTTTGAAGAAAAGGATGTCTGAACGAGGGGCCACTGGGCTGGCAATGGCACCACCTGCTAAGGACAGGGCTGCCGAAGAGGCTGTGATGAGACCCTTCATTTTGGCTTTGAGAAAGTATCGATAGGGAAGAAAGGTACTTCACAGTAAAGGAAATGTCCGACCTTCAAATACCTTTGCCTGCTGATGCTACGGCAGGCTCATCCGTATGGAATTACCCATGTTGAACATTCACGTTGGTCACCAATATCTTATCATTGTAGGGCGCACCGTATAGGGCGCACCGTATAGGGCGCGCCAACACTCATCCGAAGATTAGACCTGGCGGTTCACTATATATTGCTGCAAAGAATGTCAACCGGCGCAGCTGCGATAAGGGCACCATGGCGTCGCCAGCCGTAAGATTTGACAAGTGGGCTTGCAGGATGGGGTTTCCCACACGTCAAGATTCCCGTTACAGGTTACTCGCAACATGGACTCGAAGCGAGATGCAGTAGTGTAACGTATGGCAGGTATTAGTGTGGAGACGCATCTCGTGGATAGGGTCGGCACTTGGGGCGGGAAAGCTCTTTACACTCCGAGAGATAACAAATACCAACATCGGATCCATTCCGACGGAGATATGGGATCCTTGTAGGCCTTTGGATAGGCGTCTTTTTTTTTCTCGAAAGATTGCTCGTACAACCTCAAGATACGACATCGATTCATTGCGACGGTAGCGGCCGTCAAACAAACACAGAATGCAGCAGAAAGATTGCGACATTACATAATCAGATAGTGAATTGGGTAAACGCCATGCTTACAGTATCTGACAGTAAGAATGCTGTTCGGATTCCGCGAATGCCATGCTGTACCAACAGGCTTAGTCTTCCTCCGAGCGTTTGGTATGGTTGCGGGAGCACCGTCGAGCCCGTAGCCCGCGATTTGGATGACCCGGATGACCCGGGAACCGCCAAACGACGGAAGTGACGTCTGTACGGAAATATTGTCAAAGGATCGCTGGGCGAAGCTTCGGCCCTCAGGAATGGAGTTGGATCGTACGGCAGCGAATCACGAACCGAACAGCAAGCCATGCTGATCCACAAGTGGATCCCGGAGATATCGATAACATCTCGTGTGGTCTAGAGAAGTGGTTCTTATCTAAGATTCAGCGCCCTTTATCTTGGATTACGTTAGAGTCATGAATTGTTTTCCATTAGGCGTGATACACGCGCGGTACATCGCGAGACTTCTTGGCGCCCAGTTGGAGTGCATCTTCTACAATCATTCTTGTCATAGCCTGTCACACCCTACTCCACAAAAGAACGAATCGCAGTCTCCTTCCGTTCTAGGAGATATCTGTATACATATCTCTAGCTTTTTATTGCCCCACGCGTAGTGACCCGAGGTTCAAAATAGCCCTGCTCATTCGACCGCCACCAAGCCATGTCGTCCTGATGGGGTCTCTCGGGCCTTGAGCCGACGGCGGGCTGAAAACAATTACGAATGGAATAGACAGTATGTTTTGTGAGGGCGTGATACCAACCAGGCAGCCAAGTATGGATTCTGATTGTATTCCTTGCCGACGACGGTAACAAGGGTTATCAAGCATACGAAGACTTGCAGCTCTTGGAAGCCATGGCATTCGGTCGAATACGGACTTTAGCTCTGAATGGTGATTTGGAAGCAACAATGAGAAAGTGATTGTCAATATTTATATAACTATGGGGCAGTAGTACATATCTCAAGTACCGCGCAGCAATATTCCTCGGCTACTCTACATCCACGAGCATTTATTCAAATTTCGATATACAAACGCAATCATGGTATCCTTTCGCTCTATCTTTACTACATTCTTGGTGGTAGCCGGTGCTGCCATTGCTACACCCTCACCCAAACTTGCTCAGCAGCCCGTAGTCACCTACCTCGGCACCCAAGGACCAATCTTGTGTATGTAACCCTCATTTCCCTAAAGATGTCTTTACATGCTAATTCACCTACAGCAAGCGGCGCATGGACTTCCAAGGGAATAGTATACACATCCGGCACCGTGCCCTCTCTCAACGGAACAATCGTCCCCGGCGGCATCAAAGCCCAAACCGTAAGCTCAACCCTTCCCAACCTCCCTTCTTCACATCTTTAACTCACGCTTATCTCCCCACTTAGGCCCAAGTCATTAAGAACATTGCAGCTGTTCTCGAAGAAGCCGGTACATCGTGGGATTACGTCATGAAGACTACTGTTTTTCTGGCCAATATGTCCGACTACACTGCCATGAACGAGGTGTATGCTGCTATGCTCCCTAGCCCGAAGCCAGCGCGTACGGCGGTGGAGGTGGGCAAGTTGCCTGGAAACTTTTTGATTGAGGTTGAGGCTATTGCAGCGATTCCTGATTCATGAACGGCGTGTAGAAGGTGTGGGGGAGGTATGCGAAATCTCGGGTATGAGATTTCAAAATAAACAATAATGTTAATATCTCCCACTACGTAGCGAGAACCACTTCGTAACGAGATGACTACGCATATTAATCATCTTGAGTCTTTCCTGCGCAGGTGGATAAAGATACAGCTAGTGTACTAAGTATATCAAGCTATTTCTGCATCTGATGCCGGTGTGTGAACATAAAAATACCGTCTCGTTGATGGCGCTATCGATCGTTTCGTCATGACATCGGGATCTGCTCTAACCGTGTTACCCCTGTCCAACAGCGACTATCAACAGAACTCTAGATTTTGGAGCCATATTATGCCAGTGCTAATATAGGAGAATTAAAAATTATAATTTGGAGTTAATTAGCGCTCAAGATTGTGTCTTCTGGGAGTTTCGCCGATCAGAAAGAGTGGTTTATGAATTTTCAATTTAGCGTGTCCCTATAGCGCTTTTTAATATATATTAGTAGCCGTGTAACTTATTATATCGAATTATAGCACTCACACGTGCCCCTATAGCGCATTAAAATTTATTTATTCAGTTTGTCTAGTTTAGTCTATTTGTCCAATCTGTAAATAGCAACGTGTCAAGTCACTTTATCTACAACGCATTACACAGCCTCGCACTAGCACTGTAACGGAGTTACATGCCTATATATATTATACTACACTAGAATAATCAGTTCAGATTATTCTCGTGCTTACCTTTTGCTGGTGGGTTGGCTGCGGCCGAGTGGTTGTCACGTAGTATTGACTTAGTGGGCATTGGTGCTCACCTCCGCTACAAGCACACGCTAAGCTATGTTCCTCTTTCCCTCCCTACAACTAGAACTATAGTAAACTAATCACCATAGATCTAGCTACGTGAGTATCAGCCGAATCACTTCCTAATAGCATACCTAACACCCTCGCGGCTCGAGCAGCACATTTTAATATACCTCTCTCTACCCTTAGGCATCGCAAACTCAAGCGAGAATCGATGTAGATCAAAGCCTAAAAACAGCGGTACCTTACCCCGTACGAAGCGAACGCAGTCGTTAAGTTCTTACTATAATAGAAGGCTTTTAGAACACCTATGCGGATGAAGCATATAGCTGCGATAGCATTTGGCGCCACTCGCAATCCGCCCCTAGCGAATAGACCACTTAAGCCGCCCGGCCTGAACTGGGCTAAGGCATTTGAGAAATACTGTCTAGAGATCGCAGCGAAGAAGAATAGGCCGTAGGATTAGAACTAGCTTAATATCTATGATAAGGTTAAGTATTAGTTTGAAGTGATCTGAAAGGAATTACGAAACTTAGATATACTGTTAGAGAATATTTGTAATATAGACGAGACTAGTATTATGCTAAGTATGCTAAATTACGTGAAAGTCTTAGTCGGTAAGGACGATACACACACTTATAGGGGTGTACGCGTAAAGCGTACTATAGTAACTACTGTTGAATGTATTTCTGTAGAAGGAAGGTGTCTAAATCCTATAATAATCTAGCCCACTAAAACCTATTAAGCTAACTAGACTACGTATCCTACCCCTAGTTGGGTCTATACACTCTCTAATACTAGATTCACTAACTCTTGTATTAGCTTACAGTAGCTTAAGCTTATATTCAATCCCTAAACTAAATAACGTATAAATAATCGACTACGCGTACTCATTTAGGATAGTTTCAGATCACATAAAACCCTAGAGATCTTAGGGTTTTGTTTTAAAAACAACATCACCTTATACCGTATGCCCTCACATTACTCACATAAGACCTAGCTATATAATGTCAGGGTCTTCGGACCCTTAAAGACAGCCTACCGCGAATAAGTAGAAAGGATAGAGCTAGATAGAGTAAACACAGTCGGCAAGCAGCACTTCATTTATCTGTATAGCCTAGCAAGAGAAAAGGCGTTTACAAAAAGAAACATCCTTAAAGCCTAGAGAGAAAGCGGTTTGTTTCTATTTAATCCTGAAAGTGTTCTTGCGGAAATCCCCAAGCCCCCAGTAAAGCCAACTATTTTAACCACTAATAAGCCGCGAGTGGGTCCTTGTCCGGACTACGAAGCACTGCCTACGCCTACAACGCCAGTATCTGGGGAGGCTTTAATATCGCTACTTGATAGGATCAAACAGGTTCCTAGGGATAAAGCGAGCAGCCAGCATAAGGCGAAGCTCCAACAGAAAGTAGCAAATACCGCTCAGATGTACCTTGCCAAAATTGCACTCCTTAATTATCAAAATCAGTTCTTAGCTGCGATTAACAACGAAGGAAAAGCTCGCTGAGCAGCCGATCAAAAGGTAATAGGTATAGCAAGAGTGGCGACCTATAAGGACCTCGCGAAGAAGCGAGCGGAACGCGCTGTGACGGACGCCAAGGAGGCAGAGAAAAAGGCCAAAAAGGCTGCTAAAGAAGCCAGAAATGTCGCAAGTGCGGCACCAGAGACAGGAGGTGCTACTGCGGGCATGAAGAAACGTGGTCGGAAATGGAAGAGCACTGCGTCAGAGCAGGAAGCTGGTAACCCAGCGCAAAGGGCAAAAGTCCCACGAACGAGCGAAACACGGGTTAAGGAAATTAAGATTATCCCACAGCCATATAGAGCCCCCGAGGCAAAGATGTACTAGCGAAAGAGAATGGTAATTGGTTAAACCTTTATCGTACTTTCGCTCTCTTATATATATTTTTGTGCTCTTTCCTTAGCATTTCTTTATTTCTTATGTATGGCTTTAGCCATCGCCGTGCCTGCGGCTATCGTGTTGGTATTGGGCTTTAGCTTTAGCTTCTTCCGCTCTACGATTTCTGGCCTTATCTTTCCGTGATTGTGCTCTTTAGTATTTGAGTTTGGCTTTATCTTTTTGTTGGATGGTTCGAGCTTTGACTGGCGTTTAGATTGGATAGCCTAACAGCCGCGTGTAAGGAAGTGGTCGTAATATGGGGCTGTCACCTGTGACTGGTTGGTTGCTAATCGGGCGGAGGAAGTTTGGAATAGAGTATCTATTGGTGGCTTTGTAGCCTTGGTGGTGGCTTTGTATAGGAGAGGTATGGTGGTATTATAGACTAATTAGTGAACGCGCGTTGGTCCTTTACGCTGCTGTAGAATGGCTTATTGCGTTAGCTATAGTTGCACGTTACTGGCTTCTTGGATTCGCGGGGTTGTTGCTGAGTTAGCCTAAGCGCTGAAGACCTGGGCTCTCTGCGCGAGAGTGATAACGAATTTACGACTAATATCGTAATGTAGTAAAGTATATAGCTATGTCGACTTCGTAAGTAGATGTAGCACAGCACTAGCGCGTTACGCTGCCCCTGAGTTTAACTGATTAGCCTTTAACGCCTCCGCTGACTGGTATATTATTGCTATATCGCTCGTGGTATCCTTTATCCCGTGCTATCGCAATCTGACGTATGTTCTTAGCCGCGTTTACCTCTGCTTTAGCTGTGCCCTTGTATTGTTACCGAGCCGAAGACATAGCAAACGATACTAGGCTTAGCCTGCGATACTGTTAAGGGCTCTAACTTTTTGGTGGGATATTAGGTGCCTTACATCCTGCCGCCTCCATTAGCTTTAGTTGGAAGCATCATGGCACGAATGTTATAGACGGAAACTACGCACCGGCCCGCCAGACCCTGTGCAGTCCCAACGCCTGCGACTGGCCACTCCACCTCCATCAGCTCCCAACCCCAGTCTAAGCTACACACGCGCAGCTGCCTTCCTCCACCCTAACCGGGTCCTTGACGCCTGGTCCTCAGCTTGCTTGTTCCCTCTCGCTCCGACTTCTTCCTATTTCGCTTCACAGGAAAGGTGGATGAGACTATAAAGCATAATTACCTTGCAAGTTTTGTAACGATGGTCGAAGTAGGGAAAAACATGTCGGAAGCGCCTAGAAGTTACACAAGCACGGCAGCATCGTTGCCGCTGTGGAGCGATCACGTTCTAGTGTTCGGTTCGGGGTCGCCGCTCCACTTCGACATCCCAATCTGGTTCCAGCTGCGATTGCCCATGTACATCGAAGAACTGCTCTTGCAGCAACCGTGATGTGGCGTGTGATAATAGGGTACAATCATGCATGAACGATTACTTAGTAGATTGAGTGTTTCAGGCGGTGCTGCGTCCACATCGCTATGTTATTCACAACAATGATCAAAACTAAAGCATACATTTTAACTAACAGCCTATTCTCACAGTTGCATCATTCTTCTGCAAATTATGGCGCCGCTTTTTGTAACGTTGATGAAAGAGAGATTTAAGCGAAGCAAGAAATACAACGGATAAGCTGGGAAACCATTAGAAACAATCGCAGGATCGTCTGATGTGAAAAGGGAGAAGTCAAAATTGGACCAACATGCACATGTTACGAATGGCCACCCTGGGGCCGATGACCGAGTTGCTGCTGGTCAACTACCGCCCGCAACCGTTCTACCCATATCCTCGCTATAAGCTGATTCACCCGCACCAGCAGTCTCCGTTAGTCAGTCAGCTTCGTCTAGCTCAACATACATTGTACCGTCAAGCCTGCGCGGACCGTTATAGAATCGAGCCTATGATGAGCTTAAAGCGAAGGAGCCTGATCTAGTCGACGCATATGAGAGAATTCTGTCTTGTAATCTTAGCAATGGCGAATTAACTTCAGCAGATTCCGAGCCTCCAGAGAATGAGATTGAACAGGAAAACCCCGAGAAGAGGCGGTCTTAAATGACGCTGCTTACTCGAGCTGGCTTAGACAAGACGGAGAAGGAGGCTGCGGTAAAGCAAGGTATTGATGACGGAATGCAAGCGGTGCACGCCGTGAGAGGCATGATAGACGGGGCCGTAAAGGCTGCCCCAGAAGCTGCTCTCGCATGGGTTGGTGTCTGTTTCGTGTTGGAGGTGAGTCTCTTTCTTGGAATTACAACTGCTTGTTTCTATTAATCTATTAGTAGATTCTCGCAAACCCAATCAGCGAGGCTGTTGCCAATCGTAGTGGACTTGCCTATGCCATCTCAAGAATGGGCTGGTACTGGAACTTGTCGGACCTCCTTCTCGACAAGCATAGAATGGAGAAAGCGGCCGCCGGCCTACGAGACGAACTCGAGAAACACGTCCTCGACCTTTACAAAATGCTTCTTGCATACCAGATGAGGAGCATCTGCTCCTACTACCGAGATAGGGGAGTCGTCTTCCTCCGGGATATGATCAAGCTTGACGACTGGGATGGTAGGCTAAAAAGTATAAAGGAAGCCGAAGAGATGGTTCGAGTTGACTCCGATCAATACAATACTGTGCAGATCACGTCACACCTCTAGAGTCTGGTTATGTCAGCTCGGTGGCCTTCTCGCACGACTCGGCCCAGCTGGCGTTGGCGTCAGACGACAAAACCGTCAAGATCTGGGATACGAGCAGCGGCGCGTGCCTGCAAACCCTCAACGTCGCCAGGACTCTTTTCGACATATCCTTCGATTCTACTGGTTCCTATCTTTACACTGAAGTAGGTACTATCGTTGTTCGGACCTCGCAAGTTGGCGTAAGCGACGTCCTAGAACTCAAACGCCCCCTGTATCTAGGCATATGTGTGAGCTCAGATAATACATGGATTGAGCATGCCGGTAAGAACATGCTGTGGGTGCCATCAGAATATCGACCGTCATGCTCAGTGGTGTGCGGGAACACCGTTGGCATAGGCGTCGGGTCTGGAAGAGTATGGAGTTGCAGTATTGACCTTGACCATGAACAGAAGTGTTTGTAGCAACATTAATGATGATTTATGCTATTATTCTAAGTTATGTAGGTTCTTTTAATATCTCTATTCTATGAAGGACGAGGATGCATGTACACAATACATAACGTCCCTCGCTGTACGACGAGAAACCCTGTGAGCCGAGAACGACCAATGAGACACAGCGCGGTGTCGGAAAATCCATTACCCTTGCGGTCTGACTGGTCGTTCTCGGCCCACAAAGTTTCTCGTCGTATAGTAAGGGACGTTAGGTCTTATTTTACTATATCGAAGGTTCGAGAATTTTAAGAGAGCAGCTTTCCGATTACCTAGACTAGGCTCTAGCATAGCCCAAAGAAGCATATTAAACACGCCGACCGTCTTGCGAAAGCGGCTGCTGTCGAGGGTGATGATGTTAGGATGTAAGGCTTATGCGGGGAAACTTCGGACGACAATGTCACTTGCATAACTAACTAACTAACCATCATCTGTCTATGCTTATAAAGCTTTCAGCCACACCCTAGGTTAGTGCCCAGTGTGGCTTAGATTAACTACAGGTTATCTATCACGCAAGATGTGCTAACGTGTTCGAGAATGCCCCGCTCAGATCGCTTCGCTAGAAAGTACTGACCAGGGTGGCTACATTGCATGAATCATCTTCGCATTGCCGCCACAGGGCTGAGGTTGGCCTATCGGTGTGTTAGAATGGCTGGAAGACTAGATACTACCATTTTATGGCTGTATTGAGTTGTACGGGCTTAGTAGTCGGTCTGTGGTGGGGGAGTCCTGCTACGTCGCAAACTGAGGCGCTCTACAAATAAGACACAATGGCGACAACGGCCTGGTAATTTTCTAGTAGTAAGCAGTTATATGGTAGAGGATGAGCCTTTGCATGTAGTCCAAGTGGTACAGTACGATTATCTAAACGTGGGGAAGGGTTTTATTGCTTTGAAGTCTAAGTACCTATGATTTTTCTCGTTTCGGGGTGGTTCTCGCTATGCAGTGGGAGATATTAGATTATTTCAAGACGTTTGGCCATTATGCAATTGGGGTCTTGTTGAAGTGATATATTGAGTGCTAATTTTAGGTCTGGTTAGCTGGAGGATTTCCTTTTGCGGCTTTCGTTGTCACACTTTCTAATGTAGAAGCTTTCCCGACAGGTAGAATAGTTGCAGATGATTCAAAAAAAACAGGACCATTTCTTTGTTCTCTAGATTATTTCACATGAGTGGAATTTCATGGATGTTTATCGCATTGCCGCAATTGTTGGAATACGACTCACAGTGCGGGGAAGTCTCCGGGCCTATTTGCGTTGTTACTAGCTAGCTAGCTAGATGCCGCCAATGACGCTCACTACTGCGGGGTCGCACTACCCCGACTTGAGCGGTATGTAACAAAGACGCGCAACCAAAAAACAACCCGAGTAAACATCCGGAAAGCCCGCATTGCCAATGATCCGAGGACCCCTTGCGCAATGCCCGAACTATACGACCACGATGGCAAGCCCGTAAAGCACCACATGGCACGGGTAAACGGCATCCGGATACACTACATCACATCTGGATCCGGGCCGCCGTTACTCCTGCTCCACGGCACACCCAAGACACACTACTACTGGTATCGCATCCTCCCTCTGCTAACGCCGCACTTTACGATCGTCGCGCCGGACCTCCGTGGCTTCGGCGCGACAGACAAGCCCCCCGCCAGCGAAGGCTACGATGGGCGCACAAACGCCAAAGACATGATCGGCATCATGGACGCGCTGGAATTCAAGACGTTTGCCGTCCACGGCGAGGACCGTGGCGCTACCTACGCCTTCTGTCTCGCAGGCCTGTATCCTACGCGCGTGACGCACTTGTCGTTCTGCGAGATGCTCTTATCGTCGGCACTAACACAAGCATCTTTCTTCACGCGCGATAACATTGCTGCGCAGTATAATCAGACAGGCGTGTGGAACTGGCATATCCCCTTCTTCTGGCTGCCGCACGTGCCCGAGATGCTGATTCAGGGGAAAGAAGAAGAGTTTTGGACGCATTTTATGAGGAGCGAGTGTTGTAATCCTTGTGCGTTGGATCAGGGGGCCGTGGATGAGTGGGTGAGGTGTGCGAAGACGCCTGGGGGAACGAGGGGGATACTAGAGAGTTATCGGAGCCATTGGGTGAATTTGGAGATTGAGGAGGAGATTTTGAGTAAGGGGAAGTTGAAGTGTAAGGTTATGACTGTTGGGGCGTTAGAGTAAGTTTTTGAGAATGGGGGAGGGTGGGGTCTGAAGGGTTGTGGGTGCCAAAAGTGCTAATATTGGAGGCAGATTTTTTGGGCCGCGTGTGGAACAGCAGATGAAGTCTGTTGCGGAAAAGGGCGAGATTGCTGAGATTTTTGAGTGTGGGCATTCGTTGGCGATTGAGCAGCCTGAGCGGCTGGCGAATCTTTTGATTAGGCTTGTGCATTGATGTTGGGCAGGCTGCAAAGAAGTTGGGTGGTCATGCTCGCTCGATTGGGAGTAAGTGTGTGAGTCAAGTTCAAATTTCAGCGTTATGAATAAGTTGTAGAGGAAGATATCAGCAGAGCCGCAAGGCTCCAATGTTGGCGGACTCTTATCAAGCCTTGTTTTTCATATAGCTCTACTCCTAGTTGAAGGGTACACTTGTGGATGGAAGCCCCACTTGCCATGCCACTGACGTTAAATGAAGAGTCATGTCTGTTGATCACTGGAAATAAATATGGATATGTGTGTGTGAAACCGGAGTGCAAGAAGAGTACCTGACCTGCTTGTAACGAATCAGGTGACTGTAAAGCAGCCATGGGCTAGTGAGTCACGAAGCTGGTAATATGGTGTGTGAGGACCCACCACCTCAAGGCATACACACACGAGGTGGCGACGTTGTAACAAGAGACCACATATCCCATATGCCATGAGAGAAATTACGAGAGGCGGAAGGCAAGCCGACATTTCTGCCGAATTGCGAGGTGGGCAGATACAGCAAGTAGATTGCAGCGATATTCGAGACATGCAGGGTGTCTTATCGATTGCTTAGCGCCAGAAAGACTTGGCATCCGGCAAACGTCACCTCGCAACCCGGGCCATGGTTCTCTCCTCTCCTCTTGTCCCCAATCGCGGCTCTTTAAAAGCAAATGCGTCTGTTGGCCCCAGCAACACCTGAACGCTGCCTGTACACACCCTACAAACATGTCCCGGTCACGTGAATACTGATCGTGTGACGCGTTTCGTCACGTTCATGGCCAGAGTGGTCACGTCTCAGCATGTCGCCTCGAAGGGGGCGTCCGCCATCTATTCGCTCGTGGTCCATCCACCGAATATGTTAGACGTCATTTGGGAAAACCATCTGGGCAGCTACTATATTCCCGTCGCCAAAAGCATGCGCGGAGCGACTTCGGACTGTGGCCTGTACAGGGGCTTGCTCAACCACAACGAGGCTTCGTTTCTCTGAACGTCAGCATAGTACCATGGTTCCCGCCATGTACGCCACTTGCAATGTTTATACATACACAATGCTGCTTGCGGCAACTTGTCGCCGTAAACGCATCATGCTGGATTCGCCCATGTAGGCGGCCTGTAGGAACGAGGCTAATACCTGCGAGGTCTGGCCAAGCTGCAGTCAGATGGATGGCTGTGCCGTGCTTATTTGCGTACCTGCGGCGTTTTGGCCTTTTCCGCCGGGGCGCCACATTGTGCTAAGAGGATGGCCATCATTGTATTGAAGACTGTGACAGAACAGAACCAAGGTTGTACCTGCGCGAAATCACACAACGTGTGTGCCCAGGTGAATATATCAAGGTCCGTCCCGTGGTTCAGGCGGCTTGGCAAAAGCTCTACCCCCCTTGAATTGTTGCGCGAAATTAATGTTCATGTGGGCACGCTAACGTGGATCAAACTCCGGGCCTTCGGCCTTCTGCCACACAGGTCCTCGTATACCTCCATCTCTCTTGCATCTCCTCTCGACACTTGTTCCATCATCCACCCACACACCTGTACATGCTGCTTGTACATACTGTTAAGCAGTTTCCTGTCGACGTCTCACGTGAAGTGGTTTTCAACTTGCTCTCGCTCTGCTGCCTTCTGTTACAACTCCCGTAGCGTTCCTGGCATTAGCTCGCGCCTTCACCCTGGTTGCATACTACCCGCCTGGACCCCGCCTCACCCCACTCGAAAGCCTACCATCACCTTTGGCACCACCACCCATCATACAAACATACCCCCCCCCCTCTGGCCATCACCTTCGACAGCCATGGCGGAGTTTAATGATATGCCGGCAGAGATACGCAACATGATTTACGAGCCACTACTTTCCCAGTCGCATTCCCAAAACACTGTTGAGCGGCTCCGCAGCAATAACGCATTCTCCCTGTTCACTGTTTCCAAGCAAATCCACGACGAAACAACATCCTACTTTTATCAAAACAACAACATCAAAATCTACACGCCGTCGCAGACAACTGAGACTGCTACTATTCTCCCTCCCATCGCCGATAGGTATCTTCGGTTTCTCGGCCGCGTCAGAGTGCTGGCCACGATCGCCACTGCAGAGTCAACCACGCACACCAAAGTAGCCGGCACTATCGCATCCCTAGCGAATATCGGTGCAAAGTTCGAAGATGTTCACATCTTCATCAACTCCTCGCTCTCTCGGCTAGTTAATAAAATGGTCGATGACTCGATCCTGGACGCCGATCATCCAATCATCGTTGCCTTGCAGAAGTTACTCGGTTCTGGGGTCGCTGAGGTTGTGCGTCTTTCTCTCCCTGGCGCTTGGTTAACGCCCAGTGTCGCTCAGCATCTCAAGAGCCAATATGGAGATCGTATTCTCTTCATTGGCCGAGATGGATCACCCTGTGATGCGGCATGTATAGAGAAGTCAAAGACCGGTGTCCATGTAACCAGGCACATGGCTACACTAGGCCTTGACAAAGAAGCCATGGAACACGCCTATTCTGACGACGAAGACGAATTCGACCAACCAACTCCTTCCTCCGTTCCATCATCATTCGGCTCAGCGTTGGCAGATCTGGATACGTTCTCGGTCACAAGATACGAGACCAGCCCCGAAGATGCTAAGAATGATGACTCAACGGGTGACTCTGCAGGTGGCGACTCTTTCTTTTCCGAAGCCGACCTAGAAGAGTGGGCAACCTCCGGTGAAAATGGTGTGCAAGAGGAGCCGTCACAACCTGAGGACGTTGATGTCGACGACGACGAGCTTGACGAAGAGCTTGACGACATGTCCGACGATGGGTTTGATACCATCATGGGTAACATGGACGATATGGCGCATCACATAGCGAACGAGGCGGATATCACATACCTGGTCAATTTTGCACCGGAGCTGCTCCAGGTTGGACACAATCTTGATCACTTGATGTAAGTGTCGGTATGACTTGAAGTCGTATCGCATTTGCCCAAGGGGAACTATATATGACGGCTTCGTGTATGTATCACGGCCATCATTGTTTACTTTCTTACTACGGTTCTTTTTACTACAGACTCTATCTGGTGTTCACAGCATTCTTGGGCATATTCGGCGTCTGGCGACTATCCCACATTGGATACCCCAACATCTTCGGTTTCTTTCCTTTCTTGGGCGCACTGGTAAACGCAACGCAGCGTTCATGGCGGGCGGTAAAAGGATTTGCGGGTCAAAAATAGAGTCTGGCATATGTTGTTCTTGTAGATTGCCCTTGGATAGGCGAACATTATCATCACTGCGGGTTGTTTTCATTTTTACAGCTATTGTTGGTAGCATTACGATACATGACACAGATTATTACATAGTTTAAAATATATGGAGGATACCAGTCAAATACTGGTGTTTTGGCCAATGAGTCCTTTTTCCTGCTACTTTTGATCCGACTGAAGTATGTGCATTTTTTCGTCGGGCATTTGGTGATATATGCATCACCAAACGAAACTACCAAAAAAGTATTGTATTGGGAATAGCACGAGTTTGCATGTAGCGTTCGCCGGATGTGTCAACATTGCACTGTGATAATCACATGACATTTGCAGGAATCAATTGCTTATTTTGACATTCTATTTTAGCAGCAGTACGTACAATACGAAGGCCACTAAGGCCACCATCATCCATCCTATAAATACCTACCCCATTGCATTTCTGGACCCTTGATCTGCTTACCCACCAAGTTGAATCGCTCCAAGTTCCAGACTAAAAGAAAAATATGCAGCAAGCAAAAGGCATTAAGCTTAGCATCCCTTCCTGGCTTGTCTCAGCAACAGACGACTATCCATCTGGACAAGTCTCAGGATGAGAAGAGGCACGGATCGTCGATTGGTTGCTCAGGGCCGTTGCCAAGGCCTAAGCGACGTGTTCTGCGGCAAAAGGGACTCCGACTTGCCCTTGGCGGGAGTTCTGGCTGCTGGCTTCCCGGCTTAGCCTGCATGGGTGAAGGTACATGTATGTAAGTAAGTGGGAACCCATGTCGTGAACGCATGGTGCCGGCTCGACTGGATGAGGGTTTTTTTTGCGATAAGTATTCTAGGTTTGCTGTGGGGTTCCTGTCGGATGAATGTGGAATGGGGTTTCCACCTGTTGGTAAATCTGGAATGAAAGCCTGATTGATGAGGCAATGTATAGTGAGTTGCAATTGAAAATTTGTAGTACGGAGGTTTTCTCGAGACAGGGACTGGTTGCCTGTAGTATACAAGGCCAAAAGGCGCTTCGTTTTACTTTCAGGACTAATTGCGTGGAATAGATAGGAACGGTCGACACCGGTGTTTAGAGAATATACGATTGATTGATCAAAAATATGACTCGGATTCCCCATTATCGCCATTTCCAGTAGCTATAATCTACGTCAGCCACACAAAGATAGTACAACAACAACAATATTGCCGGAACAGTGAATCATATGGACACGAAATGAACACAATGAACGGCAATGTCGAAATCGCTTCGCAGTTTGCTGTTCCGTGCTTGTTCGCCACTATAGTCCGATGAGGTCTATTTTAGAATATGAGTACCCGTGGAGCTAGTCACCACAAGTTACTATTGTAGCGTCGGACGAGCTGCTTTTGTCAAGCGAGCCACTACTAGCCAAAGATGCGGACTACTCAGCAAAAGCGTGGACAACAAAGAATAGCGCAAACAAGAAAAGACCAAACTGGACAAGATAATGGCATTGTGGGAAAACTCAGCGCAGGATTAATATACTGATCAATCTCGGACGAAGAGACATGGCTTATCAGGGGCCAAGGGTGGGAAGGATTTGTGGGGCAGTTGTTGAGTTGGGGAGGGGGGAGATTACTCCATCAGCCCAAGCGTCGCCGCAAATTGGACCCTTGGGGTCACCAACGTTGTCCACGTCCCCGGCCCACGCTGGAGTTGATTAATCTGGATTCTCTCATCCCCGTGCCGTGGCGGCATGAAGTGTATGTAGAATGGCGCCTACCCGACTGCTTGCATCGGCTTGTCCGACCATGGCTACCCATCCGCCCCCATCGAGTTGCATTCCCAGACGCTCATGACGAACCAGTGGCTAGCGTCGGGCGGACTGATGATTCGCCACTAACGACTACACTACTCTTGCTGGCACGTTATGTATGGATATGGACTAGAAGGCGCCTGGAATCGGTGCAGATCGGAAAGGCTTAGGGTCCGTCTAGCTGCGTCCTGCCCGTAAAAAGTCCAAGGTACGCCAAGCGCAATCTCTCTGGTGATCCATGCCACCTCCTGCGCGCCTTGGCTTCGGCTGACGGCCTGCAGCGCCCTTCTTCTTTTAAGCTGCGCTGATCCCCACGTCCTGCCACAGGACGCCACAAACCCCCCTTTCGCCATCAAGACTCTTTTTCCCGCCCTGTGTCGCTCCTGCGCATCTTCCTCCCGCTTCTGGTCCTAGGTCTACTCTGCCCGTCATGATGCTGCCTGCAATGGGCGGTCGGAGCCCGCTCTTTATGCTCTCCGTGAGCGCTGGCTGTGTGATAGTTTTTATCTTTGCTTTCGTGGCATGGCAGAGCCCACCTCGCATGGTGTTTACCCACGGTGCGGGCAATACGGCTATGTACGTTGTTTACCATCGCGTGGCACACGGGACGAAAGCACCCTGAAAGCTACTCCCCTCTTTTTTTAGACGAAGCTAACCACCATCTTCACAGTGCTGCTGCAAACGCCCATTCGGATGTATCCATCAGTGAAGTCATACGTTTACTTTACAAGGACATCAAGACTGCGCCCACTGCGCCCTTTATTCGCGAACCAAACGGCACCCGCATCACTTTGCCACCCAACCCGCGCTATACGAAGAACCTAGGCAGTGATGTCCTAGTCCTGGACTTGGAAACAAGACCACTACCCTCTACCGATGCATACCGCAAGGGCGAATACGACTGGAGAAACATCAACCACGTTTCTGGCGGTGTTTTCAACCACTACACATATGCATTGGTCCATGGCTACGACTACAAGTTCATTCATGCAAGCGAATTTGAAGACCGCCACGCTACTTGGATCAAGCCATCTGCGCTCGCAAACCACATCAAGGACTACAAGTTCATTGTTTTCCTCGACGCCGATGCCGCATTCCGCTTCTTGCACGTCCCAATCGAGTGGATGCTCAACTACTGGGACATCCAGCCGCAACACTCTTTTGTAATGGCAAAGGACCCTTGGACTGCCAAGGAACCACAGTACAACTCTGATCGCTTCAACCGCACCTACACTAATACTGGCTTCATGATTGTGCAAAACAATGCAGACACCATGCCTATCCTCAAGGCATGGCACGAGTGCCCTGACGACACGCGCTACGCAAACTGCTCGCAATGGAAGCAGCCGCGCTTCCACGAACAATCTGCTTTTGGCGAGTACATCCGCTACGACTACGAGGACAACATCAAAGAACTGGAATGCGCCGAAGCAAACGGTTTCCCCGGCGTAGAAATCAGCAACTGCCAGGGCAAGTTCATCCGCCATTACTGGTTCGACAAGAGCAACGTCAAGATTGATTTCCGCGAGAACATCATGAACGCCATTACTCTTCCGATACAAAAAGTCTTTGCGGAAAACGTCGGCGGTGTCATACAAGAGCAGAAAGAGAACGTAATATTGTCATAACATCATTCAGCCTCTGAAGACAGAACGAAGACGACAGGAGAAGCAATGTTTAATGACATAGAAGGGTTTATTGCATAGCATAGCGTTGCATCAACGAGGCGTTCATTTGGAGCTCTGGGATTTACTTTTTTGGATTTGGGCCGGGGGAGAAGGGTTTGGAGTGGCTTCGTAGTGCCAACCAGTGTCTCGACGTTTTTTTTTGCGCTTTTCCACCCCGGGTCTTCGGATGCGATGATACCCAGCAAGTACAAGTTTTGAAAACCACTAAACAACTATAATCAACTTACCACTCTTTTTTCTACAATCAGCATCGTTGCGCCTTTATCATCAGGTTTCTTCTTCGCTACACATATTCCTTGTGGCAAGCCAGCTCATCATCTGTTTGGTCTTACGCGTGTTCAGGGTCCTCGATCATCTGACAGTGCCGTCGCATCCGGCCCCCCTAGTCACCTTCCCCTCTCAGCCTGATTCCTTTGTTGCTCGCAGCTGTCACCAATCGACCGATCCAACGATAAAAGACGAGTTTCCAATGGAACATGTTACACATGCGCTGTAACCACCTCGCTCACAATCTAAGGATTCGCATCAGGCCGCCCACACATTGTACCAACCACCCTCTTTTCCCCGCCAAGAACCACTAGAACTCGAACTTACCGTCATTGATCGGCGAGGGCTGACATGTGTCTTCCCCGTTGAGGTTGCTACCAAAGGTCGGAAGAGGCTTGTTGATGCGGGCACATCCAAAAAGAAACATGCGGAAGGATGAAGTTCTTGATTCTTTATGTATGTGTATGCGCGAGGCGTGAGGCCCGATCGGTTGATTTAGCACAACGTTGGATTTCTTTTTTTTTGGGAGTCGTTTCCCAAGGGTGGTAAGCCCGTGTTCTCCTAGCTCAGGAAGCTTGGGAAGATGAAGTTTGAATATGGAATTTGGTCTCTCTCGGTTGGGTATTTTCCTGTTACTCTCCAAGCGAAGTATGCCAATCGTATTCTTCCAGTCTTTTCACCCGTAAGCGAGATTGGATCTTGCAGCAAAGCGGGAGACAAGATTGTTCAGAGCTAAACTTGCAATGTTAAAGTTTTCAAAAGTCGTTTTACTGGGGCAACGTTGTGCGGCAATGTAGTCATCCTGAAAGTAATATTGCGCTTACGGTGTTTGCAAGGGTGTATGTGTGAATACGAAAGTATATAGTCCCCCCAACCTCACTTTATACTTTGCTTAGTTTTGGAGGCTAAATTCCACAAAATAGACGTGTTATTTTGTTGACAATGGCCTATCATTTTGCTCAATGATTTTGATCGTACGAGTATTTTCGTGCCAAGGTAGTAGTAGCCTTACGGCCGTTACATGTTGTTGATCTAGTTCGCATACGAGATTTACAAGAACCCAGCAACGCTTACTGTGCTGTTTAATCTACGCATGGTATAGATCATCAACCATATCTCAGTCGCTTACTTGAAATGCCAGGGACCTAGTATACAAGGGGATAGAAAGAGCGAAAGAGGAATCTTGAGGGCATCACACTAAATTGCCCGTTGTCGTCGTATCCCACTTTGGCTCTTTTCTGCTTGGACAGTAGCGGAACAAAGCCGTTGAATCACCCTCCTACATAGAGAATTATTTACTTCTTACTTACTACTACTACCACTACTATCTAAAAATAATGTCGACTGTCTTCTTACCTAACAAAGGTCTAGACCTTAGAAGCTGACAAGATCGCAGCTACATGTATACCACTACCAGGGTTCTACTGCGTAAGTAGTAGAAACCCCAACAGTTTTCCCCCCAACCCCAACATCGTGCCCGCCTCAACAACCCCGCCTCACCCATCCATCTTGCAGCATCTCGCAGCATGCTTCTCGCTCACGCGAAGTGAAGTCCGCAAGTATAGACGCAGACAGCCAAAACAAGCATCGCTACTTCCCGCATTAGTGCCTCAGATCATGATGTCAAGTGTTCCAGGCCTTCCCCCTTGTTCCCCCCTCCCCCCCCCAAAAAAAACGGGCGGGTAATGCAAGGCAAGGTAAAGTAAGCCCGACCGTGTCTCCGACATCCCACCATATCCCTTGCTTGCTATTGTCCAGGGTTGTTGTTCCGCACGCGACGTTTGTGGTGCATGTTCTCTTTTTTGCACAGCCACAGGAAAGGGTAGTAAGTACGAGCAACCCCCCACTTCGGACAAGACCGTTTTGCGAGGCTGATATTAATCACGCGGGATTTTCAGTGGCGGGTTGCATGGAACGGTTGTAGTAGGATGCGGATATGAGGGTGGGGTTTTTGGGGGGTTCTGGAAGCACGTGTAGTAAGTAGGCGCTTGGAGGGTATAACGGTGGTTTGTTAAGGTCATCGTGGCGAAGCTTACCAATGACGGGGCAGGGATGCTGTAGATTGCAGTACGGGGGGTGCTTGAAGGTGATGTTTGTCGCAAATTGGTTCTTGTTTGGGCGTCAGGCCTTTTCGCTATGTGGTCCGTTTACACATGTCATTTTTGGTGTGGTATCTGCGTTGCTCCTCTTTCTTCTTCAAGACATTTGTCGAATAGAATAACCCCCCTCCCCCCGGACGACGAGGTTTGCGAGCCCTCATTTCTTTCGCATCCTTGTGGTTTCCCATCCTTCCCGTCGTCCTGTTCTTCTTTCATTTCGATTGATTTGTCATGGGATTCGTTTTCCTGGAATTGTTTCCCCGCTGGTTGGGCTCCGGTATCAGTAGCTTCGGAGCAAGAGCGATTAGAGGAAACTTCGTCGTCGCCGCAATCAAAACAATCTTGCACTCGGTAGGTTTAGTGGTGGAAATGGTTTCGTACGAACATCGCTGTTGATGTTCTTTAGTCATCGCACAACTCTCAGTCATGGAGTTTCACATGTGCAAGAGCGGTTTCTATCCCCACATCGGATAATATCCACGTCAGTTGGCGGAACAGGTCTCTACAGTACCCTGACTCGTGACTTTAACCTCGTCGAAGCGAAGTGCCGGTAACGCGTGTAATTGACAACCCTGTTTCCGAGTTTGGCGCTAACATAGTAAGGCCGTGGTATCACGCGCCTGGCCAACTCGCTCCTTGTGTGATGTCATCAGGGGTTGGTATATGTGTCGTGGCAACTCACAACACCAAAGTTATGTATACAGATTGCATCGTGCTGTGTATTATTACTTCATTATGATCTAACTTGAACTTTTTGTGTCTGGGCTTTCATTGCCCAGCTATTTTAAGAGTCCTGGTGATGAGCACTCAATGCTGCACATCAGTCACTCTGGAACATTTCGCGAATATTGACTGACAGACTCCGCCCAATGACATTATGAAGCACACGATCGTCGGCTCTTTTTCCTCATCAAGTCCCACACTATTGGCTTTTCACCATCGCCTCTTGACTCTCGTTGCCAATCTCCGTTATCCCTTCGACTCCATACTTACGGTTGCCAGTCAGCCTGTTTGACGAAAGACGCTTCATGAAGACCTGATCGCCATGGGATACTTCACGCTGATTACGTGGCGTTTTCCTGGTCGACTGCCCATTGCTTCTTCCTACGTAATGCGATATCTTAGGGATGAATCTTGAGATGAGGATCTTGAAGGTCGATGCGCAGCTGCATATGATTCCTATACAGAGGCCTTTGGTTAGCTCTGCTTATGCTACCGAAGGGATAGGGGAATGAATCCTGAGTATTCTTACCGATGTATATCTCGATACTGTACCAGTTGAGAGAGTCGGCCATGTAGTAGTAAACATCGTCGACTTTGTTAACGAGAAAGAGCACGTAGTAGAAGCGCACACAACCGGCTGTTCCATGTGAGCATTCTGGCTATCAATATATGGTGACTCGGATTGCACATACCTGCCACTGCAACGAGCCCGACACCAAGAAGAGCGGCTAGCGCAAATTTTTGTGCTCGTGGCATTTGCAAGTTGGACACGATCAATACCGGAACCAGGTATATAGCAAGATCTTGCATGATGCTGAAAAGCCGTGGTGTCAGCGTCTTTCTTTTTCTTAGCAATGATATTGCAACTAGACATACTTCATGACGTTGTTGATATTATAGAAGATTTGCCGTGTAGTTAGCGACATGCACTTCTCTGGATTTTTTGCTTGTGCCGCCAGATCCCAGAAGATATACGTCGGTATGCATGTCAATACAAAGGAGAAGAATGTCATGATGGATAATGCAAGAACCCAGGCCATGAGGAAGTACACAATCAACCTCGTTCTTCGCCGTGGATCAAGTCTTTGATAGAACACCAAAATGCTGAACTTGACAAGGCAGCTGGCAAAGACATAGAGAAGACGCGTCGCGAGGTTCGCTTTGAGCATAGGCGTATAGTCTTGGGGGCGAATGTCGCGTGCTAGTCAGTGTCAGCTTGGTGCCCATCAGGATGTAATAGGTGTATGGACCGATTTACTGCGCTCGCCCGTGCCATACCACCCGCCTGTTTCTCGTCAACATGAGTTCAATATAGACTTTGGAGTTTGGTGTGAATCGCGGACATACCAATCATATTGGTAACCGAAAGCATCATTGTGCAAAAGGCACCCGCCACCATTAAGTCTATCACGCTCAGCACTGCTAGAGTCGATAAAAATCATGCAGGTTGCCGAACTCACAATCATCTATCGCCATTCGTAGCCCCAGTAAACGTGTTCGCACATATATTCGAAGAGATACAACAAAAAGCGTAACAATAATGAAGGAAATGCCGACTGCGAAAAAAGACGCCTGTTTAGAGCCATGCTGCAAATCCCGCGCGTGTAGGGAGCGCAGAGTCTCCTGCAGAAGAGCCATGTCGAACGCGATCACGCCTCGGAGAGCAAAGTTATAAGTAAGTTATGTGATAGGACTCGCACATTTGTGACCACGCCCCTTCTCCCCACCATGATACGAGGAGAGTGAGAAAAAAGAACCTTTGACGATCAGCCAGCTTGCAAGCAGGCGAACTCTCCAATCAACATGATAATGCATTCGGGCCGTATACACAGGCTTCAAACCCGCTAGTCTCATACCCATGACAATAACCTGTCAAGTTCTGGGCCAATGCACTTGTTTTCCAAGTCATCTTCCTTATTCACTCCAATCTTCTCTCTTGAAAATAATGATTTTCTCGAGAATATATCGAGCTTATGAATACCATCCCTGTCGACTATGAAAATTCTACGTCTCGGAAGTGCAGGTAGGCCGTGTAAGTCATGCTCCAAGCTTCTTGTCTTCTCAGTTTATGCCCGATCTTGGCAACGGACAAATACGTCCTGTGGGCCTTAAGGTGTCACTCGCCAATAGGAGCTCGTCCCCATATCCCTGTTACGGCGTGGCCTAGCGCGGCCAAATTGCATTATCATAGATCTACATAAAAAACAGTCCGATACGACAGGGCTCGGGTAACCTGTTATAGGAGGGTTTTAGAAGGGACGTTGAAATAATTACAGCCGCCCTCGCTATACATCCATTCGGATGACCAGTTCAGGAAGCCCGAAGAAGAAGGCAGCGTAGTTGTTCTGGACCAAAGCAACCACAACACTGATTGTTGATTTGTCGATACGCCGTTGACGCCGGGTGAGTATCACTGACTGGTATATCTACAGTGAGCGTTACGAGGCTGATAGAAAGCTATGTCAAATCAGGTATCGGATGAAGCGGTATACCTCCTATCAAAGAACAACGCGAAGCATAAGATTCAGAATGTTTTGAACTTGATACATGATTCACGACAAAGCATGCAAGAACATAGAACCAAGGCTATTTGAGTACCCAAGCATATCGATAGACATGGGGCTTTCGGAAATAAAGAAGCAGGTCATGTCTTTTGAAATTCCGGTAAGCTGACACAGACACGTCGCATTCCTACCCATCACCTTAGAAAACAGAGGCGACAGAAAACGAATGATAGAATATTAGATCCTCGCAATAAGCTACCGTTTCGAGGCACACAAAATGCTCGCTATAGCATGTTTCTCCTCGTGACCGCAACGCACGGCTTCACCGCCCTTTGGTTCTCGATCGACACGTGCAAGACGGTGGCTCTTGAGCGGTATATGGTCGGATGCCTAAGTCTCCAGACAGAAAACAGACATGAAGAGGCGACTTTTGGGCACACATGGCATGCCACTAGTACCAGCGCCCGGAGAGCTGAATCTCCAACTGTGTCAACTGGGGTCTAGTCACTACGACCTAATTTCCATCTCGTCTCGAGCCCTCCAACTGCGGTGCGATATCGGCACGAGCGAATATGCCTAGAAGACAGGATGAAGCAGAAGGACACATACACCACTGCACCTGCATTCTAAGGAAAATGATTAGAGCAGTTGCTTTCTCAAAAGTCTAACGATTCGGAAATACTACTGCAAAAAAACTAATCCTATAAAACCATACCTAACATCACTATTATCCCTCATACCACCACCGTCATACCTCAGCTCCACATACTATTTCCCCGAAACCACCAATCACAAGCATAGCCCAAAGCTTATTTTTCCACTTCGATATCGCCTGTATACATCCGCAGTAAGTAGGCGAAATGGGATCAAAAAAGGAGGTATATTACCTGACGAGCCAATCGGAAAATAGAAGAAACGTGTTTTTTCTCCACATTATTTAAAGCGTGTGATTCATCGGAAAGACATGTGATGGGCAGCCATAGGGCAGCCACTAGTAAAATACCTTTGCGGGGCAAAAAAAAAAAGGGTGTGGACCTGGGCTGGACGTGTGTGTGTGTAAGTTTGTGTGGAAATTAGATAGGTTCTAGAGTATGTACTTTGGCTTTGAAGATAGACATGGAAGTGCTCGGATTCAGGGATGGGTGTGTGCTGATCTATGATCTACGTGATTTACTTCAAACGGCAATCATGGTTTGTGATGCCAAGTCTGACCAACATACAGCAAAATGGTAGATCTTTTTCTTGATTGCGGACGAGTTCAGCTTGCGCGTACTACTATATTGTGAGAGAAAAAGCAAAAATATACAGGCAAGTATCTGAACGCTCGAAATTAGGATGGTATCCAGCAACGCTAATCCCGTACGTCGGCCTCGTGCGATGCCCAGAACTTTGAGCATTTCCTTTGCAAAACCCATAATTAATTATAAGCCAGAACACCACAGACACAGGCCAGTGGAATTAATTGCCAAAACAGGAAGTCACGATGTAAATGGTTCTCGTCTTCCTCCCCACTCCAATCTTAGTCACCCGTTCTACGTACACAGACCAGCCAATCAGAAGAGTCGGAATCGACTCATTCTGTCTCAATCTCCGCGCGTTTTTATCATACCAGTTTTGCTAAGACAAAATACACCAAGGAGATATATCCCAAAATGGTATAAATGAGTTGAAGGAATGCCCTTGCAAAGATAAGAGTCATCGACGACATTAACATCCCCAGTAATCGATTCAATCAGCGCAGGGCACAAAGCAAAGTTTACTTGGCAGACAGACAGCTGGCTGGTGATCAAAGAAAAACATGGTGAGAAAAGCTAAAGAAGTGGTGGCGGCAGCGGGAGCGGAAGGACATCCGTGTGGAAGTCATATCACAGTCACAGCGCAGCAATCACGGTATGCACTGGATGCGCTTGATGCGCCTGCTTCGAAAGAGGTACGTAAACATAGCAACTTCTCATACGTCAGTACAAGGAACAAGGACCATCAGCTCATATAGGTCGTGTGTAGATTCTCATCAAGGACCTTAGTATTGCAGTTGGGAACCGAGAACTAGTCTCACGGACAACCCTGCACCTGGTAGAAGCGCGCCACTACGTGCTAGTCGGACGGAACGGAACGGGCAAGTCGACATTGCTTACAGCCATTGCCGACGGACTGGTCCCGGGTATTCCTTCCAGTACGCACATCCTGCTCTTGGGGCAGACGAGTGGTCCAGGGCTCGGGCGGATGACGGACGGGCTGAGGCTAGAGAGCGAGACTGTATTACAACATGTGGTCCGAAGCGACCGGGTCCGGGAACGCTATGTGCAGGAAGCCATGACACTTAGCGATGCGGTTGAGAACTCTATTGACCCCATTGCACCAGTCCGGGCGTACAGACGCATTGGCCATGCTAGGCTGGGCTTGCAATTAAGAGAAGGGCAACTTATTGCGGAGAGAAGGAGTGGCGCCCGAGGGAAGCAGGCAAGAAAGGAACTTGTCAAGCTTGAAGAGCTATTTCAAGAGTCCGAGAAGCGTTTGGCAGAGAGTGAAGGAGATATTGATCCTAAGACGCTGAGCGAAGAGACTCAGGCTGCCATGAGCATGCTCTCTGAAGTGCAGGCTTCATTGGATCTCATGGACGCAAACGCTGCAGAGTCCAAGGCCCGGATGGTCCTACTCGGCCTTGGATTCAAGGATAATCGTATTGATGGTCCGACGTCAGAGCTATCCGGAGGTTGGAGGACACGCTGTGAGCTCGCCTGCGCACTAACACAGTACGCTGATGTACTATTGTTAGATGAGCCTACCAACTTTCTCGACCTGCCATCGATCATATGGCTACAGGGGTATATTAACAATCTTAAAAATACGACAGTCCTGATCACAACACACGATCGTGACTTCGGGGATGCAGTAGCTGAAGAGCTCCTTGTCCTGCGCAATCAGCAACTCGAGACTTTCCGTGGCAATTTAAGCTTATATGAGCGGGAGAGATGGAAGAAATTTCGGTACTTGACCAAGATGAAGGAGGCGCAGGACAAGCAAAGAAAGCACATGGAAAAGACCATCGCAGGCAATATCAGAGCAGCTAAGGACAAGGGAGACGATAAAAAGCTCAAACAGGCCGCATCCAGGAGGAAGAAACTGGACGACCGAATGGGAATGCAGGTCAGTGCCAAAGGTGGTCGGTTCAAGCTCAACCGTGACCTTGCAGGTTATCATACGTCGTGCCGTGGGGAGATTGAGATACCAGATTTTGATGCCCCAATAGAGCTGTCATTTCCGCGTCAGCCACCCGACCTGCCCTTCCCAGGCGCACTGGTAAACTTGGACAAAGTGTCGTTCGCATACCCCACGAACAGGAAGGCGCCAATCTTGAGGGATGTTAGCTTGACGATACATGCAGGAGCACGTATTGGACTGGCTGGTCTCAACGGGTCTGGAAAAACGACGTTGGTGTCATTGATTACGGGCAGCAATGGAGATGGTCTTGTGCCAACGTCAGGAAGCATTACGCGGCATGCAAGGGCGAGAGTTGGTCGCTTCTCGCAGCAGTCGGTGGAAGAGATTACTGCAATAGCGTCCGCGGATCCTCAACTAACCGCCCTCGGGCATGTAATGAATTCGGCCGGTGATGATGTGCAGGAAAAGGATGTGCGAGGGGTTCTAGGGGGTCTGGGTCTGCACGGCCATACAGTATCAGACGTGCCACTAGTGTTGCTGTCGGGAGGGCAAAAGGTTCGGGTTGCGCTGGCCAAGTTGCTGTGGCCGCCGCCGCATCTGCTGATTCTAGACGAGGTGACGACGCACCTGGACGGAGATACAATCATGGGCCTGGTGCTAGCGTTGAGGGAGTATAATGGGGCGTTATTGGTGGTGAGCCATGATCGATTCTTCATGAGGTACGTGATAGCCCGAGCTGGATGTCTCGACGAAGCTGGAAATAGTCATAACAAGGTTCAACTATTGACCGCCCCACAGAACCGCCGTGGAGGGAGAGTGGCTGTACAAGCTAGCGCCAGGGGTTCGCAGGCCCGAGGGTGAGGCTGGCGGCGACGAGAGCGACTCAGACGACGAGGCAGAGACAGGGGTCGCTCCGGGAACCGTTTTTCGGCTGTGCAAAGGGCAAGTCCAGAGGCTAGCAGGCGGTATGGATGAGTATGAGGAGATTGCGGCACGAACGGCAGGCCGGCTAGGCAGGGCGGCGTTGGCGTGAAGGGTGGTGGTTGGCCAGGGCAATGGCGGGCGAGGATGATGGTGATTATGATGATGATGATGATGATGATGATGATGGCGGAGGTGGTGGTAGTAGAGCTGCTCCCTTCTTGATGATGACGATGAGGAGAGACACGCGTGTATCACCACCACGCAGCCAACCACGATGCTCACGGCGCAACGACATAAAAGTGCCGACCCCGTCGTGGCATTTCGACTCGCCTCGACGTCGTCTGACAGACGCCAGGGCCAGCAGCTTCGGGCGGGCTTGCTTCCCGCTGTACGCACAGGCGGCTTGGCGGCATCTGCGCGCGCATCACGGTGCGCGCGAGGAGGTTTAGGGGCAGCTTTTCACGCCAAGCAGCCAAAGTAATATTGCTCCCACGCGTCGCTCTCTTCGACTGCAGCGTCCAATTGGTCTTCACTCATTTGCCATTGGCGTGCACTATGCCCATTTTCCTTACTCTGCCCCCTCTACCCCTCTACCCGTCGTAATAATAATAATGGCATAGCTAGCCCGTGGCCCTTAATCCTCCGACCGCCGTGCATGAAGGACATTTCGTTTTGAACTAAGCTCGAGCCTGGGAACCCTGAAGACCGGTCGGAGTCTGCGACCAACACCATGGGCGAACCCGAACCATCCTCGCCGCCTCGCTCTGCCACTGAACCGCAGCTCAAGGCTGCAAAAGACAAGAACTGCCCCTTTTGCGGCCAGGCATTCACCTCCTCCAGCCTCGGACGCCACCTCGACCTCTACATCAGAGCCAAGAACCCAAAGGCGCCAGACGGCATCCATGTCGTAGATGAAATCCGTAAGCTGCGCGGCGGCATCACCAGGCGCCAGGCAAAGGGCAGCGTCTCCACCCCAAGGCGCGATGAGAGCGGCGCCAGTACCCCCGCCACCAAGAAACGCATAGCCAGCGAAGACTCGTCCATGCTCATGCAGAGCCCCGATGACGACGACGACTCGCTCGAAGTTGGCAAATCCAGAGGTGCCTTCAAGGACGTGACTTGGGGGGCTGGCAATCGCCCCTCGCGCCTCCTGACCAAGACACCAGACCCCCGCCGAGATGCATCACGTCAGCTGCGAAAGGCAGATCTTGACCAGAGGCAGAAGACGAGCGAAGAAATCGAAATTGCAGCTGCCACCGAGATGGCGCTGCGGGAGCTGTTGAAGAGCGTACGTGAAGCAAAGTAAGCCCATCACCCCACCCAACCCAACCCACCACCTTTGCTCCATACTAACAGATGCAGTGCAAAAGCATCAGGTATCGGCCTCTTCGATTTCGATCCCTACGCCCAAAATTTTCCTTCGCTATGCCTCCACATCCTCCCCGCACCCTCAACTCTCTTCTCCCCCACGCCCTTTCCGACTGCCGAGTCATGGTCCATCGCCCCGCCTGGGCAGAAGCAGTTTGAAGCGCTGAATAAGCAGGTGCGTGAGCGCCTGCTTGCCTACCAGCGCCAGCGACACCTCAACCAAGTGTTTCCCTCTGGCACCTCCAACCCCAATGCTCCTTCCTCAGCTACTTCCTCGCCCCTTCCTACTCCACCACTTTTCGACCATGACCCCCAACGACTCTTTGGCCACATTGCGGATGCCTACCACCACTGGAGCCAGCATTCCGACCAGACGAGACAGGATTATTGGCAGATTGAAATTCTACGCTGCTATGCCCGTGCTGATGACAGACGACGAGAGGCTGAAGTCCAGCTAGAGAACGCCCGCAGAGAGAATGAATATCTCAAAGCTAGCCGCTGGTCCTCCGGTGGCCCCGACATGTCACCCATCAGTATCAATCTCGGCGTCGACACGACCAAGGAACTTGCAAAGCATGGCATGGACTACCGCAACTGGGACTATGACCGCCTGATTGACAAATGGCGAACTGCCATACGTGAAAACAGGGTGTCTGTTTCGGGCCTAGCTGCTCAGAAACCATTGCCCTGCGACGCCAGTTCGCGTAGCTCCATGGCCAGCCAGACGGCACAGGTGTACGCTACTGTTAATCAGCCCAGACAGGGTAGTCCGGTCAAGGCGGAGACCAGTATGCCTTTTAGCGCGCCAGCGACCGTCAATGGCGATGTTGGTAGCGATCAAGTTGACGCAGAAGGCGACGATGACGATGGAATCGATCTCACCCCGCACACGAACGATGAGGAAGACACCATGCACCACCTCCATCACCAGACACATCGACAATCAGTTCACCAGTCCCAGCCTCAGCACCATCACGCAACGCCCCTCCAACCTACACCGCCACACCATCAGCAACAGTTCCAGTCCCATATGCAGGCGACCCAGCACATTACGCAAGCCCAAATCGCCCAAGCTCAGGCCCAAGCCCAAGCATGGGCAGCAGCTCGCCAGCACATGAACCAGTCACGGAATCAAGACTTTCACTCACATCAGCAACACCAACTCTCGCCCCATCTGCAACATGTCAGCTCAGCCGACAGTAGCCGACGCGAGTCACTGGCCATGATGGATCCGCACAACCTAAATCAAAGCAACATGGGCGGTATGAGCGGTTCCATGGGCATGCCAACTGGTATGGATGGTCTCGACAACCACCAAGACCAGTTTTTGCGCCTCGACATGGGTATGCAAACAGGCTTCGTCGGCTCCAACGATGGCGGTGTGTCCATGGGTTCATAAGACGTCCCTCCCGCCAAGACTGTCTATATCAAAAGGACATGTTTTCGCAAAGGGGTAGCATGATTGATGGTCATGTCTATTCACCAATGTTGGCCTTTTTTTCCTTTGTTGTCAATTTCCTTTGTTCACACTTCGATTTTCTTTTCTCTGTTTCTTCAGCTTGGCCCCACCGTGCGCATATTCATATACCCGGCCTTGTCATTTGATACCCATCTTTGATCACCTGTATACCCTTTACCTAATACTTGTACATTTCACACTGAGAATGTCGTTTTCCTTTGTAGATTCTACACGCCTTCGTTGGCACAACACTTGGGAGGCCATCTTGCTCATCATTTGTATATACCCTTTTATAAAATTCCATCTCCTTAGATATTAGATAAATTGGCGGTGCCCGGGGAAAGAACTGGACAGGCTACATACATAATCAATACAAAACTCGGAAACCAATACAAGGCTTCGGTCATCGGCATGTTACTTAACGGCGTGAGACTGGGGGCATCATGTGGCTTTGATCTGTGTGGCGCAAATCTACCAGGGTGTGAGTACAGAGTGTCCAAGCCTCTTTTTATACATGACTCATTCTTGTCGAAGGCAGGTTGTAACTTTAAGTAGGTGTTTCGGATACAAAGATCCAAGGAATTTCGTGCTGCTGAACCTGACCTGTTTGTCGCATCTTTCCAGATCATTTAACAAGTTGGGGAGTATAAAATCATGGGTTCCCTTTTACAAAAGGCGACTTAGTGTCTCAGGAGATATTTGTGAACTAATGATTCAAGTTTGTTTGGGCAAATGAATTGTCATTTTGGCATTTCAATTCACTCTGTGAATGACCTCTTTTAGTTAAGCGACAAACCCGGGGCGTGCCTGCCCAAAGTGGGTGAGGTGACTGTAACTCTGCTCCTGTCTCATCACACTGATGACGTTTGTATTATACAGTAACCGCCTGAATTTCCTTTTCCACAATAACCACCTCATCAACTTGAACGACATCGTCACCGCATGCTCGCCCCAACCTCTTCCATATTACTGCCGTGCATCAATCACAGTACGACATTCTCGCAAACAAACGCTCCACCAGCACTCAACATGACCTTGACCAATAAAGATAACAATTTTTTTTCATCGAACAAAAAGTACAGAACCGTGAGAGAATGGCTGCAGAAGCGCGTGCGAGAAGCGATATCGCGACAGAGGTTGAAGGGTGCAGAAGAAATCGTATACATACACCAAAAGACAGCCCCCGAGCGGCTGTGCACAAAACCAGCATGTGTGGATGTATCGAAGATAGACGTGATTTTCTTTGCACCAACAACATCGGTTGATAGCAGACATGTCTCATCTCGGCCACCGATTCTGCCTCCAATCCGCCCGACACGACCAGACTCGAGCGTTTTTCGGGATGTCAATGCATGGCTGGAAGCTAGTGCAAACACGCCATCACCGCCACTCATGTCTGGGATCTCATACTGGAAAGAGACAACAGTCCCCAATGTCAAAGGCTCGGCAGTCGCTCAATACGCTGTGCCACTATCCGTAGCCTTCGGCGTAGCCAGGTCGACAACAGCGACAAGACAACGAACACCATGTTTCCGACGTTTAGCTAGAAAATTGCAAGTTCAAATGCCTTCGATACTACGTACCAAATCTACGCATCTGCCGGGTAAGGAGCGTAGGAGAAGACAATCAGTGTGCATAACTCCTCTATCTATTTCCTATCCGAACGTCCAGGAAGACACCACTCCTGTGCTCATAACACGATCGACATCCTTCCTCAAACCTTTGATCCTGCCACTGAGGCGGCAAACATCGGCTCGTTATGGAGTGTTGATGTCTGTCAGCGATTCACGAGAATGTATTCCTCCTCGACATGGCACACCCAACAGTGCAAGATTCGGTGACATGGACAATGACCCTGAGCGACATGTCCATCAGACTTTTATACGCACAGGGCGAGGCACAGACAGCGCAAGGCCGCCTACAGCATTAGCAGACCTTGTTTGCGAAGACTCCGTGGGAGATTTGTCCGATGCCCCGACATACTCCTCCGGCCCACCGCCCCCGTCGTACCGGTCGCGTTGTGAGTCGATGCTTACTACATCGTCTTTCGGTTGTATTGACGGAATGAACCCGGCGCAGCGTCAAGTTAGCCAGCAGCGGGTAGCATTACAACGGGGAATGAGATGCAAGCTGAAGAGGCTCGCCCAAAACTTTGCGATTTGACCAGTGAAGGTGGGCGATTCGAAGAGACCAAAGCCTGACAAGGAAAAGGCTAGAGAGCACAGGATGATGGAATAGCGGTACATCACAAAGCAAAAGTGAGCGGACAATTAATCCTATGTGTATTGTAAGGACATGGTTATCACCGGACATGGATGAGCGACGAAACGATGCTAGAAGATGTATTGCAGGCATGAGACACTACGACTGTATGATCTAGAGGAAGGCATAGTTAGGCATGCAAGCATACATATATTGTGATTATGAAAAGTGGCAGGCTATGGACAGATGAAAAAGAAACAAACAATTTGGTGTGATGAGTGATTTGTGATGTTGATTTGGGACACTATATATGTTTGCACCATCGATGAAGGTCGGCAGGTGGTAGACGGAGGTCACGGTCATATGACGTGTGGGATCGGGCCGCGGTGAACCGAAGCGGCTGGGGCTGATTGACCGCCTGCTTATTTGACGGGACAGCAATGCACTCCACCATTTCCATTCATTGTTATTGGATCCGACGTGGCACGCTGCACGACGTCCCAACGCTCCCACGCACGTAATTGAATGTCCATGGCCGCCCGCTAGACCATCTCGGCCGCCAGCACGACGAACCTCTCCGCTGGCTGCTCCACTTTGTTGCTGCCACGCGCAGAGACAGCGACACACCATTACAGCAGTATATGCACCACCGACGGCCCAACCGCAGCTGCGACTCCACTTGAAAGACAGGACGCAGCCGTACAGTCAGACGTGAGCATGGCTTCCGACGACGAATCTCATTCGCGGTCCAAGAGGCCAACGCCAATGACCAGACAGTCGTCGTCGCAGTCGCACATTTCGCAGTCGCCGTCCGAGGGGGGCCACCAGCGGCCTACGCACCACAAAGCCCAGCGGCACCATGTTGTTGGCCAGCGCGTACAGAGGAATACATCGTTTGGCAAGAATCTCAACAAGCTCAGCAAGGCCGAGAAGCAGGCACAGCAGGCGCAGCAAGGGGCTGAACACGGTGGCCGACACCACCGTCGTTCGCAGTCTGGTAACTCTATCTCTGCGCCCAGTAGCCCTCACTCGCGGCCGGGCTTCAAGCGCCATGCATCATCTGGTGCTATCGTGAGAGCAAACCAAGCACAGGTGCAGGCCAACCTACGTAGAAATCACTCGAGCGGTAATTTGCCGCCGCGACAAGGGCACAGCAAACACGGGCTCAAGTCCAAGGGCGATCATGCTGTGTCGAGGCGCGCACTCGCGACACCCAACCGATCTCGCCAATCATCGCCCGAGCCAGGTGCAGGAGTGCATTTCGACCTCGCCAACGAGGACGAGGATGGCGACGAGGCCGGATGGACGGAAGAGAGTGCATCTCAGTCACCAACAACAACTCGATCCAACACGCGCTCCAACTCGGTCATACTCGACGCACAACACCGGGCGGCTGAGATCAACATGGAGAGAAATAGGGGGGAGCCATCGAAGCAAATAAGCGCAATCCGGGAACAGCCAACCCAAGCGGCTCAGGTAGTTGTCGACCGGACAAGCAGCATCACACAAATCAACGGAGGGAGCTCGTACCAGCACTCGAGGCCTCCGGATGCTGACATGATTACTTCACGTCTACTCCAGCGCAGTGCCTCGCATCATGTTCCTCCCAAAACAACATCGGTCGCGGCCACGGTAGTGTCGTCGTCGGACCGGCACAATCTCCTTAGCCATACGGCTGGATCTGTGGGATCGACGCTGGTGGACACATCCGGGCGCGACCTAGTATCACGGTTCATGGACGGTGATGGTTCAGCAGGAACACCACACGAGGGCGAGTACATGGCCGGTCGCGGTGCCAAGGACGAGGACGAGGGAGGCGGATTGGACAAGATGAAAAGAAACAAGTCAATGCCAAACTTTAGTGGCGGTACAGACACGCCGTCGAAGACGCCGCAGCGGTCAGGCACGACGACACCTACCAACCTGCCACCGTCACGGACTCAACAGAAGCTCATGTTGCAGCGAGCATCATCCAACGTGGAGCCGCAGAAGCTGGTTCCTGTGACTCTTCCACGAACGGGCGGGCCGACGTACCTTCAGTCGAGCATACAGTACAATGCAAATGGTGAGGGACGACTGGACCCACGGCTGCTGCAGCAGTTTAACCACGTTGCGGTCGAGTACAGCGTAGTGCGAAGATACCGCAACCCGATTGCAGATGCGGTTGCGCGCATCTCGCAAATGCCAGGCATGGCAGTCAAGATGCGGGCGTGCAAGCAGCAGCAAAAGGCGAATGGAAACGGAACGGGAGCAAACAGTCTGAGCACGAGTTTCAATGATGGGATCACTGAAACGGATGGAGCGGGATCACGGAGATCGCGAGTCAGCTTCGAGAAGGTGAGGAGCAGTCGAACAGAGGGCGAGTTTGAAGGGCGGCAGAGCTTCGAGAGCGAGCAAGCGCGCAGTCGAAACGAAGCCGAGGAAATGTGTCGGCGACTGTGGGAAAGCGCCGAAGTGGTTGAAGCGGACTGAAGGATGGGCTTGCGCCGCCGATCACGCATGCATTGCCGAGTCGGGCAAGGGAAAGTGTTTGCAACTATCGTGAGAAGGTTGCAGGGAAGAGTATTGTTTGGACAGGTGCGTGCGCCCACATTTCCCTGAGCTGAGCCGTTGTGTTTTGAGGGGGGCTTAATAAATGAGGGAGGGCTTCTGCTTGGGTGTTTGTTTGGCGACTGAAAGCAGGATGGTGTGTGATATTGTTTTGACTAGGGGCGGGGAATGACGGCCGCCCTAAAACTTGATTGATTCAGAGGTCAAGTTTCCAAAGTCCCAAGGCTAACTACTGGGCGGTGACAGACTACGAATGAAGAGGCGCCCTATACAAATCAGAGTTTGAACCCTGAGGGTGGGGGTGGGTGGGTGGGTGGGGAGGGGGAGTTTGTGTGTTGCAAGATGATATTACGCGAGGATTTGCGTTCATTTTGCGCGCGTGTTCAAGAGGCAATGGCGACGGGGCAGATAGGGATATTTGTCGCGAGAGAGAGAAAGCAAAGGCTTGGCCCATTTGCTCTACTGCTAGCGGCAAAGGGGCACAAACTGGATTTGCAATGGACAGCCGATGGTTCATGAGCGAGGCTGAAGAGACGAAATAAGAGCAAAGGTACTAATGGCAGGGGGTGGGGGGGTAAGCAGCCAATCCGAGCGGCGTGGCTTGGGTGAGGTGTAATGGTAATTTTATTTTTTTCGACTTGTTGGCTTCTGGCAGTGTGTGTGCCAAGTTCTCACGATCATGCGCACATGGAGGAGCAACCGTGCTGGAGGCCGGCCGCTGCGTGCTACTGCGGCTCCTGCAGCTGTTGGGCAGAAGAGTCATTTAGGCGACGGCTGTCACTGGACAGTCGTCGATGGTGTTGAGACAGGCGGGCGATCAGAGTCTTTGCAGAAAATTCTTTACCCTCTCACATCGCTCGACAAGACTCTCAGGCTGACTCCAGATGACAGCACAGCAAGAGTTGGCATCGCCACAATAAATGGGGTCCGCTCCGGTAAGGGCTGATAGCGTGCCACGAGGGTGATGGGCGAACAAAGGTAGTGTGCTGGATGCGGTGTACCTACCGGCTCCGCGTCGACAAGTCACGGCTGACGGCCATTTGCGCGACGATTCGCTGAGCACACCTACCGTGTCTGTGCGGCGCGCTTTTCTTGTCAGGCTGGGTGACGATGGAACGATTGGGGTTAGACTAGGTTTCCCTGGCCAAACGGCCATGAAACCACGCGCCTTGGGTGTTGAGACAACATGGGGATGAGGGGGTCAGGGCATGCCTGGCGACGAGGCCGTCTGGGGTTGTGTGTTTGTGCGTGCATCCAGGGCGAGGATGTGGATGGGGGGCCGTTGCGGCGACGATGGAAGAGGCGGAGATGGTGAAGGATTTGATGTAGTCATGGTAGGATGCACGCCAATGCGCTGGTCAGGTACACCCGAGCCTGCCGTTTGGTGGGAGCAAATGGCAACCCCGACCTGCGTTAGCGCCTTGCAAGAGCCGAAATTGCCCCAGGAACAGGGAAATTACGGCCACCCAAGGCAGGAGCAACCTCCCCGGCGACCCACCCGCATCACATCGTCTTTCTCCCCTCAAACGTCCCACTCCGCCTGGACCCTACCTACTTACTCACATACACTCTCTCTCTCTCTTTGCGCTCGCTCTTTTAAATTTGCTTCTGCCCCATCGGCTGACTACATTCTTTAGCTAGCTCTCACTGTTGCTTACGCACTGTACAGTTTTGTATACACTCACTCACTCACCACTCTCTCTATCAACACTCATTTGCGCTCCCGCTATAGTCGCATTCAACACTACTCTCTTGCGCCCATTCACTTGTCGTCACAACAAGCCAAACATACGCAATCAGCACCACTACCATCATGCGCTCCTTCCAGCAAATCCCTCTCGCGCTCTGCGCCCTTGTCGCAACCGCTGTTGCTACTACCTCCGAAGACACCGTCAGTTACGATGCCACCGTCTACATCACCTCGACCATCACCCGCGTCAACACCGTCACTGCCAGCTCTGCTCCCACCGGCGCCCCAGTGAATCAGACCTCGACCATCATCGCTAGCCACCCCACCGTTGCGCCCTCTTTCAGCTCTTTCAATGCTGGCAACGCTACCAGCGTCGCGCCCACTGCTGCTCCCTCGGCGCCTACTGCTGCTCTCCCCAGCGCTTCCGCCCCTGCCGCCTTCCCTGGCGCCGCCTCTTCTCTCACTGCCAACGCCTACCTTGCCGTTGTCGCTGCTGGTCTTGGTTACCTCGTCCTCTGAGAGACTCTTGCTACGAGCAAAATCAAATTCCACCCAACCCAAACGCCTCGCTGCTTCTTGCATCATCGACTGGTGCTCGTCTTTGATTCAACCAACCCCATATACCCGGAAGCTTCCTCTGGCCCAGGCTCGCTCAAATCTTTGTTTTTCATGCCCTTTTTTCACGACCATGTCCCTTGTTACGCTTTTGTCTCTGCATTCTTTGTTCGCCCATGTCGCGACCTCTTTTTTTCCCCTCTTTCTTACATTCTCTTGTTTGGTTTAGCAAACTCAGGTTTTGCTCAAACATTTTGACGTTTTGTTTTGTTTTGTTTTACCCACCTGTCAAAACCTGACATCTTTTTCATGCACACTTGCGCACCCCCCACCCCTCTTTGATTTGACATTTACATTCCAAACCCTTTTTGGATGTTTATTTCTAATCGTTATTTCCTCCCCCCAAACCCACCTTTTTTGTTCTTGTAATCAACGCTTACCCCTTTTTTCTCATTGTCTGAAACGATTTGATGATGGAAACAAGTGTGTGTCGAGGTTTACAAAGCTTTTCGGCAGGTGTGTCCTCTTTTTTTGTTGTAATGTGTTTTGATTTGGGACTCTTTTGCAAGTTCCCATAACTTACGTTCCTTTTTAACCACCCCCGTTGGTTCACCACTTGTTTTTTATACCTATGTTCTTTTTTCTTACCTTATGAATGTCAGGTGGTGATACCCCCCCGCTCATTTTTTGTTAGCTTGCTTTTGGCACGGCCTTATACCCCCCCTTTTCTCTCTCCCCCTTTTTTTCTTTTATTTTCTTCTGTACGTAAATGTTGCGGGTGGAGTCACGCTTGCGTGGTCTTCCCGCTCTACATATTTACTGAAGATGAAAATAAAAAGGGGGGAGGTGAAACTATTTTCGCGGAGGAGTCGGAGTTTGGAGATATATACCCCCACCCTTTTTGTGTTTGATTGAGCTGATTTGCTGTTTGGACATTGGAAGAGATCTCGAAGGATTTGGAAAGTAGGACGAGAGAGAGAAAGAGAGTGAAAATATACCATTACTTGATGCGAACTTTTATCATGTGTTCTTACTTCCCATCATCCATTTGTCGTTCTGACTTTGGTATCGTGACGTCGTTTTTTTTCGTTCGCTCACCAGACTAAAGACACTTCCAGTCTGTAAGTCCAACTCAACTCACTTCTCCAATCTCGCCGCCCTCCCCTCATCCCTCCACCACTCACACTGCACCCTCCTCACCCCATCCCCCTCAACCCGACTATTCCCAAACGCCTCAATCCTCAACTGCAACCCCGGCACACCCTCCTTCTCCTCATACCTTGGCCAAACCGGCACACCCTCCCTCCTCCCAGCACTTGGACTCCCCCCTAACGCAACGAAATCAGAGAAAAATGCATGTAGCACCTCCTTCCCCACCTCTGGATACTGTACCCCACCCGCCCCCGCGGGTTCTGCCCAAGTGTACTTGGTGTCAGCCGTATGCGGCACGCCCTTCCACGCCGGAAACGTATTATTAACCGCCCACACCGCTTTGAAAACCGGTGCTCCCTTTTCCGCCATGCGGACCGCAGTTTCCTGGCCAGGGCAGACATACATGTAATCCGTTAGCGCAGCCGAAAGACGGTTGTACTGCGTGGAATTCGGACTAAATGCGTATTGCCCATTCACCGCATCCTCGGCTGGATCCGGATACAGGTGCTGGAGATCGTCGAGGTCGGAAGGGGTGAGACCGGGGATGAGGGTGTGGAGGTAGGCCAGGAATTCTGCGTTTGAAGAAATGTTACCGGGAGAATAATATTTCGCTTCGTCAAGCACGTTTGTAGTGATAGTCGGGATACGGTAGAAAAGGCCATCGCGACCGGCTTGCGAACCCGCTTGCTCGAGTAAAAACCCGCCGCGCGTGGGTTGGAAGGGCCACGTGATGCTGTATTCGGATGCGCGCCAGAGCTGGGCACTTGCGTTTTCCAAGGCGGAAACGGGGGCGGCGCGCAGGCAGGCGAGGATGGCGGTGTCGGAGCTATTTGCGGTCGAGGCACAGCCCGCGAGGGAGAGATACCGGCTAAACTGCTCTTGGTAGAGCGGATACGAGGCATTTGGGAAGGACCGCGCAGTTACGCTACCGGATTGCAGGATGGCCTGGGAGAAGAGTGGGGAGGTGCCCTCTGTGGAGTTGTAGTTGTGGAAGAGGTGGATGGCCGTCGAGTGGGCGCCTGCGGAGCGGCCACCCAGTGTAACGCGGGATGCGTCGCCGCCGAATTGCGAAACATATTTTTGCACAAATTCCAGGAGGGATTGCTGGTCTCGAAGACCTAGGTTCAGTAGGCCTAGGCGTTCGAAGACGGGTGAGGGGAGGAAGCCGAAGGAGTTTACCTGGTTCGCGGATTTTAGTATATTGGAGGTTATATCTGGATTTGGATGTGGTATTATCTTACTCTGTAGTTGAAGTTGACGACAATTAATGGCTCTCGAGAATTAGATACGAATGATGGTCCGTCGAAACTCCTCGAGCTACCAGCTACAAACCCACCCTGATTTGGTCAGAAAATATATTTTATTAACATGGTAGACCGCAAACTCACACCATGAATCCAGACAAGTACAGGTAGTTTCTCATGCGTCGACACGTTCTGCGGACGAAACACATTCATGCTCAGACATGCCTCGTTAACTTCGTACGTGATATCCTGTGGATCCTGATGGCACGAAAATCCATATTGAGTCGCATTCTTCATACCCTCAAACGGCTCAGGAGGGCCAACAGGCGCAAATCGGGCGTCGCCGACAGGCTGCGAGACATAATCGATCCCGAGCCAGGCATCCACGGGCTTTGGCAGCGGCTTCTTGGTCAGCGTCTGGAAGATAGTCGTACCGACAAAGCTCCCATACCCGGGAAGCTTGACTTGGGGCGCGGCCTGTGTCGAGGCGACACTACTCAGCCATACGAGTGTGGTAAAAGTCTTTTGGGCCATGGTAACACGAGCCACGACGCTGACGTAAAGTTGTGAAAGCAGCTCAGAACGAGCAGCTTCGTCGACAACAAGAAGACGTTGCAATTGGAAATATATCATGTTCTATTCAAGTTAAAAACAAGGCATGTTCTACATACAGACTCCGAAGTCGGGCCTTGCTAGTATCCGCTTGGTATACCCAGTATTACCCTCTTCTCCACCTGTCTTGCTCCGGTTGCCAAGAGATATAGTGGCACAGGCCTTGGGACCTGCTCGATACGGTGCTTTCGATAAAAATTGTGGGGTGTGAAATTGTGTGACTAGCGATTCGTTATCGTCAACGGTAGACAGGGCCGGTACTTTTTCTACGAGCCGACATGACGGACGTTGGAAAATGTGGAGCAAGCCATGGAAGGTATCGCGAGGGTCAGCGCTGCTTCGGGTAATAATGTCTCCGAAACCGGGCTTACTGCTGCCGATCCCTCGTATGCGAACCATACCCAACTCCGAGGCCTAGACCTCACCGCTGACTCTTGCAGCCAATCTCCGACTCGAAAATATTCGAACATTGCTCTCAGAAATACGCCCTGTCGCAAGGGCTCGTTACGAAGAACGTCATCTTCAAGGATGGACCTTTATGCCTCGAGTCTTACACAAAGGCAACCTCTGACGTCACCGCAACCAACCCGATAGCTGTTTTTGGTGCTTGCTCAACCCAGTATATGAAGAGTTTGACAATCAACCTTGCGAGCTCCCACCGTCAAACCCTTTGTCTAGCTTCTTCAATGCTTCTTCAACCTCCACCGCTCTCTCCTCCCCGCCCCTGAGGCCTTGCACACGGGGCAGATCACGCATGACTTGCTGCACCAGGTCCTCCAGTGCTTTTGGATCCCTCATGCTGCCTAGTGTAGCAGCATCGACTTTTCCTTTACCCTTGCTTCCTGTATCTGAGCGAGATGTCAGTGGCTGCTGGGGCTGAGGCTGGGGCTGTCGTTTTCGCAACATGACCTGCCCTTGTTTGTCCATGTAGGTTTCGTACCCTTGTTGATCGAGCACTTCGTCAGGCACGCGGACATTGACGGGTGATCTGTTGCTGCTCTCGCTTGCCGCTGCAGGAGTGCTTGAAGAGGATGATGAGTTCGTCGAAGTCTTAGCTTTGTTGATTGCATCTTGGCTATATCTCTCTAACGCATGGATGCAGTCCTGGTTTTCTTTGTTGCCTTCCATAAGAAACCGCAGGCACATGATGGCATGCTCGCGGATATATGGGTTGTGCTCGTCATAGGAACAGCAATTCAAGACTGCCTCAATACCACCTAGAGGACGTATCTGGTCTTGTACTTGTTTGTTCTTCCACACCAGGGAGCTCAGCACAAGCACAGCAAGCTTCTTCAGGTTGCGCCATTCAAAGTCTGAAGGCTCATCAGCAGCTTCGTCCATGTACGGCCTAGGCGATGGTGATGTTGGTGGAGGAGCATAGGCCTCTGCAGCTCCTGCTGTAGTGTCATATGGTCGCTCGACAGCAACTGGTTGGGGTTGTGATGTCTGTTGTTGCTGCTGTGAAGTATCTGCCTCTGCTGGCGCAGTTGTGGGTGGGGCATGTTGAACATTCCTCAGAGGTGGTGGTGACAGCTGACCTTTAGGAATCGCTGCATCGAGCTCTTTGAGTAACGTAACTAGCTCGTGAGAAATCTCCCAATTACTTAACATCCTCTTCCATGTTTCGTGTTCGGTGAGGATGGCGAAGAACTCTAAGTATTGGTAGACACCCTCATACATCCGCTCCATATCCCAGAGATTGAGGGGGAAGTCCTCGGGTTGTGCATGTCCAGCCCGAATTTGACCCTGCAGAAATATGAGTGCGCAAGTTTGTGGAATGATATGCCGCCGGAACTCAGTAAGCAGGAAATTGACCATATGAACGTCGCCTTGATCAACTTGTGGGTGGTTCGCTTTGAGATGGCCTTTGGCGGGCTGGGTGCGAGCTTGTCTAGCGCGGAAGATGTTGGTGAGAAGTTTCATTATGACGGCCTGGGCTGGCGATATGATATCCTTGGATCTGGTACATTGTTAGCTCAATTCTACCATCTCGTCTAGTGGACTTACTCAGATTCTCTGAAAGCGTGATAGGCAAACGGTAGAAGCTGGTTCGCGAGGATGGCTTCCATGATTTTCACCATGAACTTGAAGTAGAGCTCTTCCTCCCTAAGGTCCCAGGCAGCAACAAAGATTAACAGCTCGCGTAGTAGATTTCTTCCATTGTCTTGTGCGAGGAGGAGATGGCACCGCACACCATGCATGCTCCTAACGCTACTGAAGACAGTCGGATCAGAGTGATATCCAGGCTGTCCCTCTTGTGGCTCAACGATGCCGGCCATGATGATCATGGGTAGAACTTCGATTTCAGTGGGCCCCAGAATTAGGGGAACATCTGTGAGCAGACCTCGGCCTTCATCCCCAGGAATGTCGTCGTAGTCGTCGTCATTATCATCGTCATCCTCTGGTGGAGGGGAAGTCGGAGAGGCTACGTCACTGATTAGCCCTGATGGTCGGTCGGGGTCTGGCTCCAGACGCTTGAGCAAGTCTTCTTTGCCATTCTGAAGAATCTCGGCTCCAAAGGATGGCGGGTATGTCACACGGAAATCGATCTCACCTGCCGGGGGAGACCGTTTGATGCTGGGATCTAGTAACGAGTCATCCGCTGCTGGTTTCGGGGACTGCTTCTCCCCATCCTGGGCTGACGATGGTTGGTCTTGGCCGGATTCGTCCCCTGGTAACACAGTAATGGATGAGCGCATTCGGTCAACTTCAACCTGGAGCTGGTTGATGCTCTTGGCTAGCGCTTGCACGCTCTCCTCATTCTTAGCATGCTGGTCGACAACCTTGCGGTATGTGCTGGACTGAGTGATTTGGTCCCGGTATCTGGCAACAACGTCTGCATACAGCATGTTCCATTTCTAGAGAGGTCAGGAGGAACTTCGCAAAGAGAGACTAGTCTCTACTTACATTCTTTTCTTCTTCGCTCATGGTTTGCCACCGTCTTCTGCACTCAGCGGCAATCTCATTTGCACCGGCCTTGACGCCGTGCTGTGTGAGAGCCTTCTTGACATCATTTCCAGTCTCACCAATGTAGAGCAGGAAAGGGGACGAAGCGGGTTGTTGGGGTATCTTAAAGGTATCCAAGCTCCGCGCTGCGTGGCTTGGCAAAGGCTGTTCTTCTGGCAGTGGTTCTTGATCTTGTTGCGGGAACTCATCCATTTTATATTTCATGTCGGCGAAATTAGGGAGCTCGTTGTCCAGGTGGCTGTCAAAGAGTTCAATCCAGAGCATGAGTTTGCGCTGCTCATTCTTGGCGATGAGATTGTTCAGGAATTGTAGACAAGTAATCAGTAGCTTCTTGTATGCATTGATGACGCCCTGCCATTTGTCCTCGTCTTGAGTTCCCGCTTCGCCGTCGTAGCCCCTCGCCGTGACACGCACACAGACGTTTATGAGAGCAAATATGTCTTTATCGAACAGCCTATCTGCACTGAGATTCTGCACCCGCTCTCCATGGACTAACACATTGCGCGCAATGCACACAAGCTGGTTTAGCCGTTCCAGATCTCTAAGCAGGCTCGGCGAGTAACTAGCTATTAGGGGGCCCGACAGCCCCTCATATTCTGGAGCCGCAGGATCTGGCGCAGCAAAGCAGCGACGTTCGAGTGAGGGGACAGCAGCCTTGAGTACGCCTGCAAGCTCGTCCCAAAACTCCCACGAGAGGCCGAGTTCTTCACGCAGCTCCAAGCTCTTGCGCGACTCTTCCAACGTCTTCTTCACGATATCGCGCTCCAACATGCGCAGCGTGTCGTCTCTGATGTAGCCTGGGTTGTGAAAGTGAACGGTATACGGGGCGAGTGCGAGGCGAAGACGGGTAAGATATGGCCTCGCTGGTCTGCCATTTGAGCTCTCCGGGCGCTCAGAGTCGCCCACGCTCTCGGTGCCGTTGACGCTGCCGTCAGCCATGTTGCCTGCCGAATTCTTCACGGTGATTGCTGACGATGTTGCGTGTTGGTTCCAGTCATGCCACAGCTGGTGTTGGGCGAGCAGGCAGCGGTACACCCATACACGGATAGGGCCTGGAGCGCGTAGGATGCGGTAGAGGTTGTTGGAGGCCAGCTCTTGGGCAATGTTGTGGTACTGCGCCAGCGCTATCGGGGCAAAGGCAAGGTGGGCAGGATTTTTGGAGGCGTCTGGAAAAGGCGAGGGCAGATCAAGGGCAGGAAGCAGCGAATCGGAGGGCGTGGAGAAGCTGGAGTCCGAAGTCATACTATTACTTGGGAGGCGTAGAAAAATTACGATGTCAGGCACAGAGGACCCCCACCATGCCTGCCCCGCCTGACGTCGTTTGTCGACTGGGCTGGTATACTATGCAAAAAAGACAACACCACATCACCAATCAACGAGGGCTTGCCATAAGATTTCCAAATTTTTTTATTGCATTCATTTGTGCCAACAGAGGCTGTTAACAACAATATATATGTATGGAGAAAAATGAACCGCGCACAGGCACAAGTTGCCAAACGCGTCTAGTGGCTCCGACTTGATCTTGGAAACAATGTAATGTGAGTCTTGACGCATGGTAATGGCATCTCTCACGGACATGAATTGTTCCGTTTGTTGCGTCACGCATATAAAAGAAAGATTGGACGACAAGCCCGTGCTGGCGATGAATAGACTTACATACCCTCGGCTTTCAGTCTTGCCGCCATGAATCTACTTACCTTCTTCGGCTTTCCATTTCGCTCTTCCATGATTGGGTTCTCATCGTCCTCTTCTGTTGCCTTGAACCCGCCCTGTCGCTGGATGAATCGATTTCGCGTCTTGTGATACTGAGCTTGGATCTCGCGATTCAAGAGGACCTGATCAAATTCATCAGGCGCTTGAGGCTCCGACGGTAAGGGGACGTGCTCAGTGATTGTTGAGACTAGTGTCTGACCAGCAGGCCCAGTCGGTACAGGCGGTGCTTCTGGGACAGGAGGCGTAGGCAGTACTTGTGGAGTGTTTGCTCCAGCACGGGCACTCTTGAACCTAGACATCTTGCCTGGCTTGGGGGGTTCTACTTCAGACGGTGGAGCAGGCGCAGATCTCTCCACGATGGTGTCTGCAATTGTTGACGCTGGTTTGGCCGCTGGTTGTGTTGTTCGCTTTGCTTCGGGCACTGGCTTGGGAGCTTCGGATATATCAACTTCATTCGCGAACCGCACGCCCTTCTTCTTTGACTGTTCGTCGCCAGCTTCGTCTGTTGATTGCGCAGCAGACTTTGGTGTATCCAATGCCTCATCAAACTGCTCGTCTTTCTGTACACGCATGGTGCGAATGTCACCAATGTGCTCGTCTAATGGGCGATCGTCCGGTTGCGGCCCAATGTTTTCGAGCATGCGAGCACCCAGTTTCTTCTCCAGCTCCATCATCTGCTTTCGATATTCCTCAGTGATGACAGGCCTTGTGCTACGGCCGTATTCATCTTCCTCTTCTTCCTCTTCAGTGTCGTAGTCGTAGTCACCATAGTCGTCCGACTCATTATCAGAGAATGATGCAGTAGGCTTATCGAGGTTGAGCTCTGCAACGACTTGCCCGACTTCTGACATGCCATACTGCAGCATCTGCCTTCTAAGCTCGGCATCTTCTGGAGACTCATCTTCGGGTATAACGGCCGACGAAAGGTCTTCATCGTCCTCGAGCTCGACTGCTCTGACACCCTCTGGAAATTGCACTGATGCAAGGTCCTGACTAACTTGAGGTTTCGATACCGGCTTCACCGGTGGCTCGACGTCAAGCTTCTCAGCAAAGGACACAGCTTTCTTTGGAGGAGACTGGTCCGTTGCAGTACGGTTTTCGACAGGTGCCGGTTCTGACGAAACAGTAGGTGTGAATGCCCTGGTAGAATCTGAAACTGGCGGAGAAGTGGACGAAGATTCCGGTGTTTGTTCCTTTGCTTGCGCCGCATTCTTCTTCTCCAGCTCAGCCTTCTGAATCCCAGCCTTGCGCAACACCTCCACAAGCTCAGCGGCAGCCTTTCCCGTCTGGTTGACTGAGCTCGATATCTCGTTACCTTCTTCGTCTAGCTCTTCTTCAATGTCCATCATTGGTTCGCCTTCTTCATTGTCCATCCCGGGCTCTAACAGGACATCGACACCAGCAAGCTTCTTCTCGGCGGCATCAAGGTTCTTCTCGATTGTAGCACTATTGGTTCGCACATAGTCAATGCGTCTAGAGATCTTGTTAACAACTTCGTTACCAGTGCTTTCGGTTGATGATTTCTTGTGGAGCAACTCGTCGAGCTCCTTTTCATTGAGCAGCTCGAGCTCCAGTTCGCGTGCCATCTCACGTATTTGTGAGGGCGAGGGGTCACCGGCAGCCTCGATTTCTTCTTTGAGTGCCTCATACTCGGCCTCCCAAGTCGTCCAATGAGTCAAGGACTTGCGGAGTTGATCAACGGTCTGTTGAAGCTGCACTCGGCGGCGTTCAATATCCTCTAGAGCACTTTGTGTCGAGGCTGCCATTATGTCGGGTCTGTCCTGGAGTAGGCGAGGTAGAGGAAGGAGAAGGGAAAGAAAAAAGTTGGCGGAATTTGTCTGCAGAAAATGGCCGAGCTTGGCGATGAGCTCGCCCCGCAGGGGGACCATGCACGCGCATCTAGAGCATTGGCGTCTCACAATGTTACAACAATCTTCGTATGTAATCATTCACAAAAGTCGCCATCGCATTATTTTGTCCACTCGTATCGGGGCAGCAAACCATGCTGTCGGTCTAATAGAGCAATAAGCGAAATCCTACCGCTGAGTAATCAGCCCAAATCAAGTCACTTGCCTGCGGAGCTTCACATTATCTTCGCCTCACCTCCGCCATGTCGAGATCCGGACGCGCAACAGGCGCGTCGAAGCAGGATAGCGGTGCGTTTGCCCTTTCTAAATCTCTATATAACCTATCTTTGCTGCATGCCCCGCGCGAACCTTTCGCTGATGCTCTTTCAGGCGTATGCCCCGTCTGCAAGGCATCGGGTTACCTTGACCCGAACATGCAATTCAAAATCAACCCTACGTGCTATCATTCCATGTGCGATACCTGTGTCGAACGTCTGTTTGGAGGTAACAAAGGAAACAATATATGTCCTGTGGCGGGATGTGCAAAGACGTTGGCATACAGGAACTTTCGAAGGGCGACCTTTGAAGACCTGAAGGTGGAACGGGAGGTGGATCTGCGAAAGAAGGTTATGAAGATGCAAGTGAAGTCCGCCGTGCACAGCTTGGTTTTGGGCTAACAGCAGACCAGTATGAACAAAACAGAAGACGATTTCGAGACGTTGAGAGACTACAACGATTACCTGGAGCAGGTGGAAGAGATGACTTGGAACCTTATTCTCAACATTGATGTGGACGCGACATGGAACAAGCTCCATCGGTTTGAAGCACTTCAAAAAGCAGACTCAAATGCCGCTAGCACAAAGCGCGACGCTGGGAAGACAGGTGATGCCAAAGGTGCTGGCCAGAAGGATGATGGCGCTGATCTCATGTTCCGTGGACTCAAGAAATACGTCCCGCCACCAAAGGAGCCGCCCTTCGATCCATGGGGAGGATACAACATTGCACCTCAGTACTACGTACTGCAAGACAATTACGATGTCGACTGGTATGCGCGTATGAAGAAAGACTCGACACATCTTGTTGGAGGACACAGCCTGCAAGAATACTGCGATCGCGCGTTGCGTGAGGCCTTTGGAGGCTTCGGGGTCTTCATCGAGGATGAGATCGCAGCAAGGGATGCTCCGTCCATGTCCATGGATGCAGATATCGGCACCGAACATGCAGCAGCGGCTGCCATGAGTGGGAAGGAGGCGAACATGGACGACATCTTCTAATCTTCTTCTACTATGATACCCGGCATAATGCCAACATTGGGCGGCGTTTGCAAAAGATCAGTGTATCAGTACTTGAGAATACGGCGTTTTGTATGTAACAACGTTAATGAATTGAATTGCCAAACCTCATGTTCTACGTTCCAAGCTCCTCCGCCGAATCTCCCCTGCTGCTCCATGATACGCCAAATCATCATACTCAAACTGCTCTTCTGGTAATGCATACCCCTCGCCACCTCTAACCTGCCTTGTCCGCGCAGCAATCGGATTAGGATTGGCTTCCGGGTCCTGCGAGTTATCCGGAGCTCCTTTCCCCTCACCCGCCATTCCATCTACCGGCTGGAAGGCGCCTCTCGTCCTCGCTCCCTTCAGCACCTTGACATCTACAGCCAGCGCCAGCAGCGTTGCGAGCAAGCCCAGCAGCGCAAAGCTAAACAGCGCTTTGTACTGCCTACATATGCTCACTCCTGTATCAGAGTCCCAATGTGAAGTGTCACAGACACCCGCTACCGTCCCGGAAGTCCACCTCGCCAGCAACCCAAACGACACAATCCACAGCACCCCGAGTGAACCGTTGACTGCGATATTTAAACCAGGATTAAGGCCGTGATATAAATGCAGCACAATAGTTGATGCAAGAGCGACAATAGTCAAGATTGATACCACCATCAGCTATTCTCGAATTAGCCATTGATCTCTCTTGTATATTCCTCCGTTGCACCGGGCAATGATGCCCAAAAGGTTTCAATCGAGCAAATATTCTGGGAGAACCGTACCAAGATAAACGTCCAGGGCAATGTGTACCCATCCCGCGATAGCTCGCGCAAGAAATGCGACATAATGCCCGCTACCACGAGCGACGAGACTAGTTGTGCGCTTCGCGGAAGGCGGAACCAGAGGAAGGGGTACGGCGTGGGCTTCACGCGGGTTTTACGCGTCGCCATGGCGGGCCGGCGGGTAGCGAGAGCAAGAGGGCTGTTCTCGGGCGGCAGACAAGGGTTCGAGGTAAGAAGAATTACAGTTTGTGCGATGGGGGATAAATGAGTGTAGGCGGTGGGTTAGTTACATGTAGGATTAGGGCGCTGCGCGGGATGCACAGGGAGGCGTTGGTTTAGGGTTTAGCTGGGTGGGCTATTTTGATGCCGAGGCCGAGCCGTGACGGCGTGTATACTTGTTATGATAACGGCATTGGGCATTGAAGTCTAACAGATATGTTTCTATCGAGATCTTGCTGAGAGTCGTTCTAGTCATTGATATTAGGGGGAATTTCTTGATGCTAATGCAGAATGTATGCTTCATGACAACCTTGGGGTCAAGCAGGGCATGCGTCAGGTATTGTATAACAGCGCAGAACTCGCTGAAAGTAAAGCCAATGTCATTTTGTTACATATCGAAGGCGAAATTATACTTCAGCTAGTAAAATAAAACTTGGGATAAAAACTTGGGATAAAGTGAGTAGAAGCGAGTTTTTAAGCACTTAGTCTAGTAGAGCCTAGGTACTGATATGTGGAGAGGACTTTACCTTTAGTGCATACTCCCCAGTGCAACCCCATGGCAGCCTTTTCTTCCGTCTTTCTCTGTGAAGGTTACGCCAGCCATTGTATTGGCAACCCAATAAGCCGTCTCTCGGTGCAGAGTCTTTGTGTCAAAATCATAGTCATCGCTCGGCATCTCTATACTCTAGTCAGTCAATGGTCGTTGCACATTTTCTAACCGGACAAACCTAGAGGCACCCTTAGTCTGGGATCTTCGGTAACTAGTCTTGCATTTCCGGGCGCAGTCACAGAAGAAAATCCGTTCGCAAGGCTTTGGTAGATCACAAGCATATCCTCGATATTCTCATCCACAGCATTACCCGACCTGAGCTCGTTGATTAGACCGCGAATGCAGACTCGTGCGAGGTGTTTGAACAGCCTATCCTTATCAAGAGCCAGCCCCTCAGGAAAACCCGACTTCTGCGGAAACACTTCTTCGTATCCAATTCTCGCGTTAGGATCTACTGTCTCTGCAACCAAAAGAAGGTGGTATTGATCGGGAACCGAGGATTGAAATGTTTGAACCTGTATGTCGAGCTTGGGATTTGGACTGCTACTGCGTTGGTGGAAAGCTTCTTCAATTTCCTTCTTCACTGTAGCCCCAAACTCCTGGTATTCGTCCTCTGGCGCGTGAGCGATGAGACGAATAATTGATATCTCCCCTCGCTTCTCCAGGATGAAAGCCTTCAATGGGATTTGAAGTGGCTTGACCCAGAGCTTTATACGTCCAGGAATCTTGACATAGTCGGTATGCCATCCTTGTTCGTAACTTGTGTCAAGCTTGATGAAATCCTCACTAATCCCAATCGCCTTCAGAGTAGGTAGCAGGACTTCCACAACATTGTGGTAAGATGGAGCTTTGACACAAAGCGTCCCTGCTCTGATGGTTAACTCAATCCCAGCCTTAGGGATGATCGGTTGGATGTAGGCGGCAGCCCCCAGGTGTGAGAAAAGGATGTATGGTATCATGGCAATCATGAAAATCGCGGCTGAGCCCTCAACAGTTATGTCCAGATGCTTCCCATCTTCGATGACCCCTGCTTTAGGATCCTGGTGCGGCTTAAAAACAAGCTGTCGGCTTGCAATCGCGTTACCTTCTACGACTGCTCCAGTGAGGTATGCCATAGTTTCAATGGCGACAGTGTGTTCAACACGTAGCCCGCCGATACCTGGTCTATTTGCGCGTATAGAATTGACCTGCACACTTCGATTGAGTAGGCTAGAAAAGGATAGGACATCCCGAATGAGTCCGCCGCCCCCTTCGAAATGGGTGCCTTCCAGGACTACAAACTCTTCGGCCGCCATTTCTGTGGTTTCGAGCAGGCTGATAATATGTGGAAATGTCCAAAAATTGCATATATGCACAAATAGGACTGATAAGACGAGAGCTGTCGGTACAGATATTAGCGTCGGGTAAAGTAGACGCATAAGTGTCTGGTCAGGAGGTAGCGAACCTTCGAACGGTTAGGTCCTCGCAAGGGCAGTGGCTCCTACGACGGCACGCAAACGCCTCTAGATGTACACGAGCTTGCATGTGATCATCGAATGCATGATTGACGTAGTGCAACATTTTTGCCTGCTTGGTTGCCGTGTTTGCCTTCTTTGACGTGGGGTACCTCCTGCAACCATAAGCCACATCAGCCTGATGGATAGTATAAGTAAGGCTATGAGAAAAGACAGCGCGGCAACTGCACTATTCATGCACACAACTACAGAGATGACTCTTACATCCCTCAACGTTGTGTCTAAGGGCGACAATGCGCACTTGCCAACAATTAGTACAGATACCGTTCAGCACTGTGCGGCGCCTCAAACCAATGCAGGCGCGCGTTGTTGGCTGCCAGGTCCTCCCCCGCGTCGAAGAATCAAGGAATTGAGGCCCCCAGAAAATCTTCCCTGCATCCAACATCATCTAGAGATCCCGGTCCGAAAAGTTAATCTTTGGTCGTTCCAAAACCGAACCAGTACAACCCTGGCGCCTTACTTCGACGCGCGCAAGGCTGTGAGCAGTCTTGATGGTACTTTGAGCACAACAGAGCGCTACCTCTTTCATGGCTGTGCGAACGAAATAAGCCTAGATTTATTAGAATCTTTCTCGAGATATGGGCCCTCTATCTACTTCTCCCGGCCTCAGAGCTATTTCTCTCGCACGCCCGCCGTTTATTGGACGGCATCTTTAGACTTTGCGTTTGCCTGGTGCGTTTTCAGTGAAACTGGCCAGTGGGAACCCAAGCTATCGCCTGAGACAACGCCATTCGAGTGTCTGATCTATGTTTCGAGAGTGGAGCAAAACATCCTAACTGACGAGTCCCATTGCTACATGGTTCCCACCCCCTCCAACTATGATGAAGAACAGCAGCTTGTGGAAGTAAGCAAGCACTAGCTGAGAAGGTTGTACACAACTAATACCTGTGCAACAGTGGTGTGATTCAAACATGTCAAAATCAGCGGAGCCAGACCGTGTGCCGCCCCCATATTCCAATCGATCAGACTGGCCTTTGATAGGAAGCAGGATACCACAGGTGAGCTTGATGCCTCCATCAGATGGCCACGTTCCACTTATAGTCATATCAGCACACTATGGACTCATTGGCCTCTTTCAATGTCCGGGAGTTCCCAGCATTGGGTGCAACACGCGCCCAAGATATCGTCATGTACGCAGCTTGTGACGAGAAGATGAGTTATAGATTAGCTTCGGCCGGTGTCGAGGTTCGATCCAAGCCCACTGAGAGTTCATCAATTCGCTGATATAATTATAGATCTTGCACCTCGTTTCTCTACCGACATCTAGCCATCGAGCGATGTTGTAGAGTGTCAACAGTCTGAAGACATGTTGGGTGAGATGCCATCCATCATTCTATCTCGCTAGCTAGTGCATCCTCAGTGTGTACAATCCTAAACGCGAATCCCCCCACGATGCGATTTAAGTGACAATCATTAATTTGGATGTTGGGAGGTGTGACGGTACATCAGGGAGTTGATGAGATGGTTCGCGTGCGCGTCCCCCTCCTTGATCAAATAACGTTCTGTTGATACATTTTGGCCGCCAGAATTCAGACATTTCAGCTTCCGTATAGGAGTCATCAGCGAAGATGCCGCCTTGATGTTTTCCTGGTGCATAAATGACAGGCCACATGGGGATGTAACACAGTTCCTGCCGTAATGGTCAGCTTTGATACACCCGCAACAAGCCACAATAACTCACGTTGAATGCGCATCTATGTTCACATCCGTGCCAGCTATCCCAGCCAATCCACTCCATCAGTTCTTCCGTGCTTGTTCGAATGTAATCGAAAGCAGCTCTCACGCTCGTTTTAGACACAAGTTCGGAAGAAGCTACAAGTTCGTGTTTGGGGTCAAACAAGTCTGAGGTGTACCTGTCGCTCAGCGCAAAGAGATCAAACTCCCATGAACACAACTTATGCATCAAGACTTGAATTGAATCTCTGATAATTACCTCAAAGTCATTGAGACGATTACTGTCGACATGATCAGTGTAAATCCTGGAGCACCTTGATATCGTCTCCTTTTTGGCAGCTGCAGGCGAGATGCCTACCGCAGTGGGATATTCTAGGTAGGTGTAGAGTACTGCATGTGTCAACTCATGGACTTTGGTCAGAGCCTCCTGCATAGTGTTATTGTCCTTAACGGCATGCCTCACCGTTGCCAACATCTCTCTTGCGCGAGTTCCATGTTGCTTGACGATGGTCTCGGTGAGAGCCTGCCAGTCGATGCCAGAGCAGTCCTGTTTGCCGAGTGCAGTAATCTGCTTCAACCAGGACTTCACAGTTCCGATATCGTCCGCCGATATGCCTAACAATCGATGGCCTCTGCGTAATCCCCAGCCATTCTGGTACAAGACGTCTTGCTGGCTGTGATGATGGCCACTAAGACTGCGAAGGAATGGGTCATAATACGTAATAAATCCACAAAGATCAAGTGAGACACGCGTCTCTTTATTGCCACCAGGGACAGCTTCTCCTGTGCCGTAATGCCAGGTGCCACTTCTGATCCACTCCCAGCTATTCTGTGGCGCAAACTCATTGCCATATCCTAGCGGGGGCACTCTATTCGGATCTCGCGGAAGGCTGGGATCGTGCTCTCTTTCCATGTTCCCCGGGACTGTGATATTGCTAACATGTACTTGACGAACACCAGCGGCAACATAGTCGCAGATCAAGACCTCAAATCCAGCATTCATGCGAACAGTGCCATCGATACTGAGGCTTTTAAGGAGGGTGCAAAGCTCCCTTGCCCTCTGGTCCTCGTCGAAAACCAATCTCTCACTAGGGTTATCCGGAACTTTGTTTTTCAGCAGCGCCATCTGCGAATCAAGTGTTCCCCAGTGTGTCAACGAGGCTGCCTGTCCATCAAAGTAGAGTACTTTCAATGGTTTTGTCGTCGTCATGGTGTATATGGTCGGTGTTCCGGAACTGGCGTATATACCGAGGGACATCTCTCTACAGTACGTCAGTCACAGTCACAGGCAAAGTAGCGTGTTTGCACGTTGCGATTCCGCATACGTACGCATCGAATGCAAAAAACGTGGGTACTTTCGGAGGCTTTCCATCTGGCCTTGCGTGGTAAAGTTGAGTGTTGAGTGGTACCGTTGCTGCTACGATTGAGTGTCCGTTGGGTCCATATGTATTTGGCCACTGCTTAAGCAATGAATGTACTGTATCAAATATGAAAGGTGCTGTTGTTTCGCAATCTTCCTTGTGTGTGGAACACGCTAGACGATGCTGGACATCTCGGGCTGGCGATTGGGTTCGAGTAAGCGTGGAAGCGGTCAACAGCAACAGTAAAGATGCAGTCGCGATCATTACCGCGACGCGATACCGTAAGCCATTTTGCCGAGCCTGTCGTCGCCCAGTTAATGGAAAACTCTCTCGTTCTTCATCACTTAAAAGATCTAGAGATGAACTGTTGCGCTGCATCGTGTTGTTTCAATAGCTGGCCTTCATGGAGGGATGAGAGAGCGCCCTCGTGTAGCTGCGGATAAGAAAAGAGGCAATCAGCAACACCCCGGAATCTCTCCCATGAAGAAGAAAAGCGGTATGGCCAAGCATGGACACCTCCGAGCCACTAAAGTCATCTGGCATTCCTTGTTGACACATAGCCAATGACAATGTTCTAGTTCTCGCACTGTCACACGTTGAGGACCAAGGTTTTTCATCTGTGGCGGTGCTAAAAGGGGGTAATAATCCTCACCCGATAAATAGAGCGTGATTAATCTTCCAGATAATCAAAGCTTAAGGTCTAGTAATATATAGCCTCTTTAAGCTACAATAGAGATTATTTCCGGACTCTGAAGCCTGGCCGAGCAAAAACAGGATAGCTCTCGTACACTAAAGATTTGGGTACCCAAGGTGTCCACTTTCATGCATGCATATGCATTACATGCAGCCAGGCTTTGAAGGTGCACGTCAGAGGTGGGGCCGGGCCATCTCTCGATCCCGTGCCGCCCGTATTTAGCGGCGCTTAGCACTCATAGTGAGTTCCCTGGAACGGTTCACTTCGACACCCCCACAACTAGATTGATGTGTTCCCACGTTACACGAAAACGGTGTGAAGCTGTGTTGTCACGGGTCTGACAAATCGTTTCTCCGGCTGATGATGGCTCGGACAATAAAGTCCAGGACGGTCGGTCGCTGATATGTGTGCGCGTGTGTGCGAAACAGTGGCATGTCTGAATACGCTGAAGCCCACCGGTTTCAGCCTCACTACTACCCTGACGATACTGCGCAATTCTGGGAGAGACGTGTCCTGCGACGAAACGAATACTCCTACAAGAATCTTACCGGTTCATTTCTAGGAGACCTGCCTGCAAGGGTTGATTCGGTCCTCAGTTGGGACGGCTCCGCGCTCAAACCAACCGATTATGTTTTCCAACTCGATGAGACGCACCTTCAAGAGATCAAACATGCATGTGCCGAGTTCATGGGTTTGTTGCCAGCTCTTGGAATGTTGATATGATTTTGCACTAATGATATCGAGAATCCGGTCAAAAGCTACGCGAAATTTCGCCCAAGACCTTCAGCATACCATTGTTGGCAGAGGCCTTAGCGGAGAGGCGACCGACGCTACACGCTGGAGTTGGTATGTTGCTACTTCGGGGCCTTGATCCGGCCAGCTTCAGCCGTAGAGAAAATATCTGTGTGTTTGCTGGACTCGCATCGCACCTGTGTGAAGAATTTGGCAGGCAATCTGGTGGCAAGGTTCTTAGTGAGCATTGTTACAGACGTTTTGCATGGAATGGACCTATTAACAATGATAGCCCACATCAAAGACTTAGCTTCCATTGATAAGCGGAACGGTCTGAACGGATGTGCAGCACCGTATTGCAACGTCGCGCTTGTGAGTTCGAAGCATCGCCTATTACGTGCTATTTTGCTGACGTGCATAGCCACTTCATACTGACAGCGGCGACGTGGTGGCAATGTACACTCTCGAAACGACAGCTACCGGAGGCTACGGTACCTTTGCCTCTGTGGGATCTATATATAATCAGCTAGCTCGTGATGACCCTGAACTGCTGGCCGTTCTATTCAAGAATGGCTGGCCCATGGACCGGCACGTAATGTCTTTATCTCCGATTGAGTGGTTTTGTAGTCTGCTGATAACTTGTTATAGTCCACCGGACAAGAAAGGACTGGATGGAAACGGCCTCTACTACCGTCGACCCGTTATGTTCATGCACAAGGGTGCACCAGAGATGGCCTTTAGCCGAGGCGCACTCATACGTTCTCCACGTGGGACAAGGTCCTTAGAAATCCCGAATATCACGATGCTTCAAAACGACGCACTAGACGCCGTACACTATGCAGCTCACCAGAGCCTGCACCGCATCGACTACGAGACAGGAGATATGTTGTTCTTCAACAACCGAAAGATCATACACGGCCGTGATGAGTTTCACGATGGCAAGGGTAAAACTCGACACATGTTGAGACTTTGGCTCAAAGACGAATCCATGGCAGGATCGCCGCCTCATCCCGCTCTGCAGCTCCAGTGGGGCAACATCTTTCGGGCTGGGCTTTCTGATACTCCAGAGGATTCAGAATGGCCCATGGAGCCGGATAGACTTTGATGTTATAGAGCATTCATTTGGCTTGTAGCCTCACGATGGGCTAGTCTGTTCGATACGCGTTTCCTGGGTTCATAGTATATCTACTCATGATATCCATTCAAGTGATCTCATGACTACAAATTTGTAATCTATTGCAGGGCTTTGCGATCGCTATTCGTCAATACCACCTTGAATATTCTCTGATCTAAATGTGCTATTCTGATCTACCTATGATCAAAGAGCAGAAAGAAATTAAAGACAGAGCATCTCTACTGAAACAGCGATATTTATATGGGACAGTTCAATCCCTAGTCAATGAGAATAGCTCTCAGCTCAATACTGGCACGAGGAGGGGTATTGGGCGGAGCGGTGTGGTCGACAAATGCAGCGTGCGGACAGACTATGTGTTACGTCAGCCTTCCGTCAACATAAGCTCTGTACACTTACAAGAGGCCTCTGTATCAATGCTATCGTAATGTTTGAAGACTATGACATCATCGATTCCCATATTCCTCTTGTAGAACCATCGGTGATTGACGTTATGAGTAACCTCGTAGCCCTCGTCACAGTAATGCGGAAACAGTATGTCGGCTGGAACTAGATCGTTAATCGCGACAGTACGCGAGTCGCAAACTGCAAGAGTATTGTCCTGATACGGACCTGACAGCGCGCGCCACATACTTTTGGATACACCATTAGAGAGGGTTGGGGAGCGATGCAGGAGTGTGCATACAATCACTTACCCAATCATACGGTACCGTCCCTTCAGTAACTCATCTGCTTCTCCGGGCAAATGAAGTTTTAGTCTGCTTTTGCCTGATTTGGGTGTGACATCTGCAATATGAGAAGTGAGTTGGTACTTCTCATGCATGAAGGGCTCATCAACACATACCACAGTGAGCACGGGTGAAAGGTGGGATCCAAGCTTCAGAGGGCTTCTTTTCTGGATCGAGACTTCGGAACTTCGATTGTTTAGTGTTGGTAATGTATTATGAAGGATTGTGGGACTGACGTTGTAGGTATATATATATACCTTCTTGCTGTTGAACTTTTCCCTCAACCACTCCCCCATCGATGGCAGATACTGGTCACGAACTGTCTGCGCATTCCAGGTGTGTATCGTCTGTGGAATTTGACAAAATTCAAAGCCAGACACTGCAAGAACAAAATGCTCCTCGACCCCTGTGATGTCATGGATTCGAACAGTGTCAAATGACTGACCAACGACATTTGTACGCGGAAGACCTTCCAGGAAGGGAAGTCGGCTATGGTAAGGCTTCTCAGTCTGGTACAGACGATTCAGAGCCAAGTAATTGAAAGCCTTCGGCTTTACGGTGCCCAGTGCCCACTCCTGAATGCGCTGATCCAGTGTGGAGACATTCTCTGCGACTTTCTGGCCATCCATCTCATCTGCAATGAGGCTGTGTTCGTTCGCCTCAGACGGAGCTCCAGTGGTTGTATGTGCTGGCATCACTATGGAAGGTCGTGATTTGCCCGATTTACGGGCTTCCTGTGACCACTTCTGCCAAGGACGGTCGAAAGGTTGGTCTGGGTTCCATCGCCAGCTGAGAACGGCAGGACATTCGGTCTTGAGCCAGTCGTGCAAGGCATCACCAGGAGAGGGCGGCCAATAATCCATCCAAGGGCGACGTATGCCACGCAGAGGTGCATGCTCGCTTGCACCTAGTTGGGGGTCGGAATCTAGGAAAGTCATGCTAACCTCGTAACCAGGCAGAACATCTGGGGCTACTAATCCAGAGGTCATGTTGAATATCTATCTCGAGCAAAGCCTGTCGTTCAGCGTTCAGTGAAGGCTCTGGAATGTAATGGGATATTCACTGAATGATGTTGCAGGTGGTCCCGTCCGCGGCCCAGCTGTGCAGGCGTGACATGCTCTCCAGCCTGATGCATATCACCCACCCCTCCATGGGAATCCTCCCTAATCGTGTCTTACATGCATATCTCAATCAACCATGGCGCATTCACTGCGCCCCGTTGGAAACGATAAAGCAGTCGACATGGCAGGTTCAATCGCCACGGGCTGTCTTCGATATATGGTGTGTTTTGTTTTCTTACCAAGAAGTGTGCAATGAAGTATCCGGCCGCATCCACGTTTCCTGCGACCATTCAGATCGGGACGATGACACAGGATGTTTACGCCATGGCGATTGATCGACTGCAACAAAAAGTAGGGTCATCCATATCACAAGATGAATTTTCTCGATTTTGTATGGCTCATGCCCCATGTTCGAAAATGACGGCCATGGATGCACTCAATGTCGCAAGTGCGGGGCAGAAGGATAAGCACCCGACCTTCAAGAAGTTTGTGCATCTTATTCACCGTTTATTTGAGCCATTGGAACGATTCAAATCAGCGCTCGACACATTTGTGCAAGTTGCAGAACCTGCCTGTTTGATCTGGGGCTCTGTCAAAATCATTCTCACGGTCAGTCGTTTGTCTGTGATGTATCATTGTGACTATTGTTGCATACACTAATGACGCACGCCAGGTGGTGCAAGACTTAAAAGAAATTCCGGAACTCATCAATATTACTTTAGAACAACTGGTTGAGTGCTTGCCGACCTACGAACATTTCCGTTTCGCGCTCGTACACAAAGCCAACAATTCCTTACGCCCCCATCTTGTCAGGATATATGAAGGATACCTCCACTTCTGCATACTTGCGCATCGATATGCTGTAGAACCATCGTACAGTACGTAAGCAAGGATTCCGGCTATTTGACGATGATCTGATGTCAGGCAGAATTCGTCGCTCGCACCACGATATCAGCCAGTGGGCGGCATGAACTTGAACAGTGCATCGCTGTTATCGACGTTCAAGCAAAGCATCTGGAGCGGACAGCAATAAGTCTAATTTTTGTTGGGGTAGAAGGTAGGTGCCCCACCCTTGATTTCGAAACTACTTCTTACCGCTTTTGTAGAAACGCGAAAGACAGTGATTGACATGAAGCGTCAACTAAGCACTAATGCGCCTGGTCAAATTTCGAAGTTCTGGTCCAATGTCCCAGGACTATTGACTGCCGAGTTCAAAGGGAGGGATCAAGAACTGCAATGGATGCGCCATGCGTTAACATCCGCCATTCATTTCGAGCGCAGAAGGATCGGTCTGTATGGCATGACAGGAATCGGCAAGACGCAGCTGGTAAAAGGACAACCTGATTCTGGGACTGGAATATCATTTGCTAAATTTGTACTAGATGCTTAAGTATGAGGAGCGCTTCCATTCAGAGTATACATCGAGCATCTTCCTCACATCGGGCAGCCAAGAGAAGCTTATAGAAAGCGTAAATCAACTCGTTGAACTTTTGGAGCTTCCTGAACGGGGGGGCTCTAACCCAGCCGTCAACTTGAATGCTTTGCGACAATGGCTGAGGGCGAACACGAATTGGTTGCTCCTGATCGATAATGTCGGTGACTTGGAGTATGACACTATTCTCGATCTGCTCTCCTCAACTTCCGAAGGGCATGTGATCCTTACCTCTCAGCGCCGTGGAGCCATGGAATCCATTACAGGGCGTCACACAATGTGCTTGGAGATTACGGAGCCATCCGTTGAAGATTGCGTAGACATATTTTTCGAAGGGTGTGGCATGAAGGCGACAGTAGCGAATCGAAAATTTGCGCAAGTGATCGTCAGAGATGTTGGCTATCTTCCACATGCTGTGAAGCAGTGTGCTTCCTACATAAAAGAAAATGGAATTGATCTAGAGGAGTACTTGGATCGATACTCTAAAGCCCCAGAAAAGGTAGGTTATGTGCACACACTGACATCCACTAGCTGATCTTATCAGGTACTTGGATGGCAAGATAGCTACTCAAAACGACGGGAACCTATCTCCAAACACTTTGTTATGATTCTCCAGCATCTGCGGGAGAATCACGTAGATGCGGCTAATCTGCTTCGTTTGTTCTCAGTCCTGCAGCCTGAAGCCATTCCTGTCTTTGATCACTGGTGCAGGGAGCAGGACACAGCTAAGAAGCCTCAGACAGCTCCGTATGCCACGGATCAGTCAAACTTTCTCAATATCATTGCGCGGGTTGCCTGTTGCATATCGCCACGGACTTCGAAGTCAAAAGATCGGCTAATTTCCCTGCAAGATACATCCTGCGATACGAGCGAAACGGCAAATGTTGTTAAAGATAACGAACGGCTGTACAAGGCTATCGCAAAGCTTGTCGACTTTAGTCTGGTGAGAAGGCTAAGCGAAAAAAATGTTCTTTGGATGCACGACCTCACTCGTCGCTCGATTGGTCAAAGTATTCCAGACAGCGATCGTACTCAGTTCCTGCGCTTGGCAATCCAGGTGCTCTATCACTCATTTCCCAAGAAAGACAATACGCTCAAAGAACGTTTGATTGTGGATGCATATCTCAATCAGTCTGTCGAACTGATTGAGCAAGCTCGCAAAACAAGCATCGTCCAATGGGATTACGTTCCACTTATGGTCATTTGTGCGCAGTGCATGCGTAATCGTGGCAACTACCCAAGAGCAATTGATTGGTTCAAGATGGCTATGCCGGAATACCAACGCAACTTTGGTAACATTCACAGTCGAGTGGCTTCACTTCTACACAACATGGCTTTGACGTACCACGAAGCCAGTGACCTGGATGATGCTGAGAAGACCTACGTTGCGGCGCGTGATATGAGACGCCAATTATTTGAGGAAGACTCTGTCGAGGTTCTGGACACCATGAACAAACTCGCAGCCTGCATCGAGAGACAGGGTCGTTTGAAGGAAGGTGAGGCAATGTTTGACAGCACTTATAAGGGCTTCAAACAAAGGCTCGGCATAATGGATCCTATCACCCTTGCCGCTGCTCACAATCTCGCTTTATGCTTCGCAAATCAAGGCCGCGTCGCTGAGGCCGAAGTGCTTTATCGTGAAACTCTCCAAAGATCTGAGGATGCCTTTGGACCTGAGGACTTCGGTACACTGAAGACTCTCGGAAATCTTGCAGTCGCTGTTGATCAGTCAGGACGGCTTGACGAAGCCGAGCCATTATACCAACGTGCGCTAGCAGCATACACCAAGCTTTGTGGTGCTGATGATATGCTGACTCTCAGAGTACGCAGCAACATCGCGTGTCTGTACCGTCAGCAGGGGCGCTTTGCAGATGCTGAAACTTCCATGCGGGATGCTGTTGGGGCATTCGTCACGATCTTCGGCGACGATCATTTTCACACCGCCGTAGCACTCTACGACCTAGGAGAGATTTTACTAGAGAAGGGAGCCTTGGATAAATCGCAAGGACTTCTGGCACTCGCGTTGGAAAAGATGAACGCAAAGTCGGCGCAACATCCGTTGACCTTCCGGGTCTTGGATGCCCTTGGCATCCTCCATCGTGAAGCCGGCAATCTTTTCCAAGCCGATTATTTCAGCGCACTGGCATGTTCACAGAACGAGGCGTTACTTGGACGAGATGACCCGTTTACTCTCGTGGCAGCGAACAATCGGGCTGAGTACCTACATGTCGCGGGACAATATCAAGAATCATGGGACCTCTACGTTCGATGCCTTGATGGCTTTAGGAAGCTTCTTCCAGCTCGACATCCACATATACTGATGGTGCTAAACAATCTTGGACGACTTTCATGGTTGTTGCCCACCAAAGATCCATGGTCGTTCTTCCTGGAAGCTTTAGCTGATTCCACTTCATTGCTCGGACCAAGACATCGGTGCACTGTCACCATCGCCATGAACATCGCTCGTACGAAATTTTCGCAAGGCAACCATATTGACGCAGAGACTGCAATGCTTGAAGTTCTTGAGTTATACAAAGTAACACTTGGAGTCGAGCATCCATACGTAGGAACTGCAAACTTCCACTGTGGTATGTGTTATGCATCAACAGCCCAGAGCAATGACCTTCTCAAAGCACGGTCTGCATTTCTCGATGCATCCGATTGTTTTTTGAAGGCATTTGGACCACGGCATCCCAATTACATCATGTCTGTCTGCATGCTTGTACGTATCCTCCAGGAACTGCAACAGTCCGATGACGCTGAAACCTACCGATCGGTGTTGGAGACAATTCCTCAGGATCAGACTGCCGGCAGATATATTAACGTCGGCGACACTTCTTTGACGTACATGGCTCTAGCTTTGATAGATACTTTTGATTGGAAATCCATAGTCAGTCTGCCTTTTGGCGAAACAATTAGACTAAGATGGGGTCGCAAAAATGTCTGGCGAGAGCCCGAACCTGCCATACTAGAGGACTAGTAAATGTTCAACTTACCACAGGTAAGGTAAGCAATCAAAAGCTTAGTATTATAGTTTAACATAACTTGAATGGATTATGCCTATTTAGCGTATATATATATCTTAGAATCACCTAATCTATATGTACTATTACTAGAGGTAAGGTATGAGCGAGGCCATTAAGGTTATAGTATTACTATACGCTCTCTTACTCCACTTAGAAGCCACTGAAGACACTCTAGCTTCCACCCCTCAATTGATCCTACCCTACGATACGTATCTTTGTTAAAATCGTCTCGCCGTAAGACCCATACGAAGAAGTTGAAATCCAATTCGTTGTGTATACCACATCCAACAGGATTGTCGTCTACATCGTTCGTATTGTCTACTTCCTTATCGTTGTCCACCTCTCCTTTGTCTTCCATTTTCTTTATGTGATCTCTGTCACTCGGGTGCCTACGCCAAACAGCAACTGGCACACCAAATAATTCTGCCTTGATGGTTGAACCTCCACCGTCAGTGGTGTACTGCCCCAAACTCTCTGAGCTCGCGGGATCAGTGAGCTTGCAAACCTGTTCGGAACCCCAGGGCCACTGAATTTCGACCTCTCGTATGGTGCTGACCATGGTTAAGGCGCCTTTTTCGATGGAACCAAATGCATCATCTAGCGGCTTGATATCTGTGCTCAGCAGCTCGTAGCACACAGCTAGCACATCAGGTTTAATCTTCTCGACGCTGCCGGTCCATTGAGACCACGCTATACACGTATCACGCGGCACGTCGTCGGGGTAAGACACTCCATGATCGCACGCTGCCCATGACCAAGACGGCCCAGGATATTCGGCTGCGTACTGACTGACAGAGTTGTAGTCGTGTTCAGTACGCCACTTGAGTATTTTCGTGATTGGATACGACGACTTCCATAGGAGCCCGTAGACGAATTCCGATGCCCATAGCCCAGCACAGTACTCGCTTCTCACTCTCTCTGCAATGATGCGCGCAACTCCTGATATCGCAGTGAAACGGTCCTGTCCCTTGGTCAGGTGTCGGCTGCTGTAATCGGCGACAATGCGGTACCACATGCCCATAAGCGCATGGGCGTCAATCTCCTGCAACGCGGTCTTCGTAACGACGGTGGAGTCCTCGTGGAAAGATTCAAGTGCTAACGGAGAAGTGCAGGAACGTGAGAACTGCGCCGTGTTGCACTCATAGAAGAGCTTACCGTTGGTAAAATACAGAATCCGCGTAGACAATAGGCGTTCTTGGAGCGCCCAGGCCCTCGAATTCCAGGGCCAGCCGTCTTTGGGATAGAAGTGTTCGTGCCAGGGTTTCTGCTTAAATTGCTCATAAATCGCAATCGTCGTGGGAGAATCTGCATTGTTCCACTGGACATTGAATTGACAGATAGCAGCGTGCGGAGCCCAGGACGACTCTTCTAGGAACCCGACAAAGGCGTCTTTTACGCATGACGCGATTGTCACCGCGGCGTTCCCATAGATCTCCGGCATCTGCGCGGCTTCTCTTCGCCAGTCCTCGCCATCCTGCTGAATAATGCACAGGCAGTCAATCCATAGATACTTGAAACCGAGTGCCCGCACCACTTCGACTGCATCGCGAAATGTCTGTGGCAAGTCGCCAATCTCTATTCCCTCATTGATATGTCTACTAAGGCTATCTTTGGTAGTAGTGATTGGCTCGCGGTGGCCCCAGCAGTGGCTCAGCGCGATGTAGCGGTCAAGGCGCCCGTGTGATACAACAAGACGCACCCGCGAGGAGTCTTTGTCACCTATATCAATCACACGTGTCGGGAGCGGCCGGTCTCCAAGCGGTGAACACCGCAGATGCTTTGCACCACAAAAGCGCAACCACTCCTTAGCCGCATCTTCAACCGTTGGCCACGGCACGCTGTGAGTTATAAGTGGACCTGGGGATCCCACGACTGGAACAACGTAGAACGGTAGTGTCCAGTGTGGTTCGTACTTCTTCGAACGATATGTCTCCGCGAACTCAATCCCTGGCGTACCAATCGCTGCGCTCCTGTCCGCGTCAAGATCTTTCTGCTTTCTTTCGATAGCGTAGACCACTAGTGGGAAATGAGGGTTGTGCTTGGAGCGAAGGTCCTCAAGCACACGCGAGCAAAGCGGACAGCCCTCGCTCGCGGCCAGAGTCAGAGTCTCCAGCGTCGCATGGTGTGGGATGCTGTTTTGGTCCTTACTCCAGTATGTCTTAATGTGGCCGAGATCGGGTTCTAGTCCCTGGAGGATGTTAACGAAAGGGAAGCTTTGGCAGACAGTACAGAGGCCCATGTCTTACAAGTAACAAAAATAATTTTTTCTTTGACGAGAGACGAAAAGGCTGGAGGCCTAGGGACGTCTACGTCAGAACATAATGGTCATTGCGGGGCCCGGGGTCACGTGATGTATACGATCTCCACGGCTTGCCATCCAGGATAACAGTAGATGAAGGAATGGTAGTGCAGGAAGAGATAGAAATGTTATTTACTCAATAAAACTAAGCTTTCTTCGCTAGCGTGTAAAACCGTACCCTATCTCTAAGTACCGGCTCCGTGTATTGCGGATCCACCGGGGAAATTAACCCTACAGGTATTCATCGAAAAGACGAAGGATCCTTGACGATTCGGGGCAACACCAAGTACATTTGTTAAGCTGCCAAGCTGAAGTCCCACATTCGCCCAGAACAACGATAGTCGCCTTTGCACAAGCGAGCAAGAGGAGTTCATCTGAAGACTAGTACAGCCAGGCATCCACGCGATTCAGATGCCGTGTTGCACAACTTTTGCATGTTTCCGGATTGCGGGACCGTGCAAATACTAAGCGCAAGCACCCTAGAAAAAAAACTGATGGTATCTTGTAGGCAAATCCCCTGTCAACGTGGCGTCGTCTATGCGTCGGATAAATGCGACGAAGAGGATCTAGGCTTAGCTTGCCCCTGTACAATTACATCGTTTTCGGGTTGACAAGCTGGATCTCGCTGGACATGCATGTCTTCGGCCTCATTGATGCGGACATATCGTCCAACCTATACATGCGGAGGACAACTGGACGCCTAACGGAGACTATTATAATACCCTGGCTCCGCCCACCCGCACCCTGAGTGCTCTGCTCTGGAGTGCCTTCATTCCACGTCTCACGGGAAGATGAAGTTCCTAGGATTGGCATTGGCTGTGTATGGGCTGGTAGAGCATACTGATGCAGCCACAGTCAAGCGTGCAGAGAGTGCGTCTGGAAATTCCAGCTCTTATGATTTTGTAAGTCTCTCGTTGAGCTGTCAAGCTGAGCTTGCGGACATCTATTTTCTAACAAGCAGGCTAGATCATCGTAGGTGGCGGTACTGCAGGCCTCGCTGTTGCATCGCGCATAAGCAATAGCCTCCCAGACATCAAGGTATTGGTCATAGAAGCAGGGCCCGATGGCCGTCAAGACCCAGGAATCTTCATTCCAGGAAGAAAAGGCTCGACGCTCGGCGGGAAATACGACTGGAACTTCACCACGCTACCACAGCCGAATGCCAACAACCGCGTCTTTACACAGAATCGTGGAAAAGTGCTTGGTGGAAGTTCTGCGCTCAACCTCATGACATGGGACCGCACTTCGGAGTACGAGCTGGATGCTTGGGAGAAACTCGGCAATGTTGGGTGGAACTGGAAGAATTTGTATGCGGCCATGCTAAAGGTCGAGACATTTTTGCCATCTCCTGAATATGGATCTGATGGCGTTGGCAAGACTGGCCCTATTCGAACTCTTATCAACAGAATCATTCCTCGCCAGCAAGACACCTGGATCCCGACCATGAACAATCTGGGTCTGAATCCTAATCGAGAATCCCTCAATGGCCATCCCATTGGTGTCGCGACCCAACCAAGCAACATCAGGCCAAACTACACCCGTTCATATGCACCAGAGTATCTGCAACTCGCCGGACGGAATCTTGAGTTAAAGCTAGATGCTCGAGTCGCAAAAGTCAACTTCAAAGGCAAAACCGCCACCGGCGTTACCCTGGAGGATGGTACTATCATCAGCGCACGGCGAGAAGTGATTTTGTCAGCTGGATCCTTCCAAACGCCTGGTCTTCTCGAGCACTCAGGTATCGGGGACTCGACCCTCCTAGAGAAACTTGGAATTCAAGTGGTCAAGCATCTACCCTCTGTTGGTGAAAACCTTCAGGACCACATCCGCATCCAGTTGGCATTCCAACTCAAACCAGAATACACTTCATTCGACGTTCTGAGAAACACTACGCGTGCGGCTGTCGAGTTAGCCCTATACAATACCGGAGAACGCTCACTCTACGACTACACCGGCAGCGGATACGCCTACTTCCCCTGGAGTCTAATTTCCAACGCCACGGCCTCGAAACTACGAGCCCTAGTCGACAACGATACAACCCTAACCTCAGCCACCGACAAGCTAAAGAAAAGCTACTCCTCCCCATCTCTCAACAACAAAGTCCCCCAACTCGAAGTCATCTTCTCGGACGGCTACACTGGCCGCAAGGGCTACCCCACAGCTAACTCGTCACAATTCGGCATCGGCACTTTCTCCCTTATCGGCGCAGTACAGCATCCCCTGAGTAAAGGCAATGTCCATATCACCTCGCGAAACATCAGTGATAAACCACTCATCAACCCAAACTACCTCTCGCACCCCTACGACCTCCAGGCCATTACGAGCCTCGCAAAGTTCATGCGCAAAATCGCTTCCTCGGCCCCAATGAGCGAAGTGTGGACTCAGGAATACGAACCTGGCAGTGCCGTACAGACAGATGCTGATTGGGAGAGTTTCGCGAGGGAAAATACGCTGAGTATTTATCACCCTGTTGGTACTGCTGCGCTGCTTCCGGAGAAAGATGGGGGTGTGGTTGATGCGAAACTTAGGGTTTATGGCACAAAGGGTCTGAGGATTGTAGATGCCAGTGTTATTCCTCTATTGCCCAGTGCGCATATTCAGACGCTGGTGTATGGAATTGCTGAACGGGCGGCGGGGATGATCGTTGCTGAGTACAAGCACTAGGTACATAGCGTTCAGTATTTTCCTGGATAGCCTGTTCAATCAAGTAATTTCGTTGCACTTGGATGTTTTCACTTTCGTTGTTGAAGAAGACAGCATACGTGGTCTACTGTGTGATGCAGTTCTAGCATTTCCTGGGCTTTGATACGTGGAGCCGTCTTTGTCAGCTCTTGCATTGCATGATTAGGGCCGACCTTGATACCACTACACACGTAGCCCCGCCATGCGTGGCAAGCGGCATGTTCGTCAGTGCCGACGACGGCAAGTTCCTTAGATGCCACCAGCACGGCGTGCGGGGAAGACGTCGAGTCATCGGCGCACTTGTTTATAAACACAAGTAGAAGTTAGTAAGCATACATTGATTCAAGTCCAAAGTGAGGGGTGTGAGTGTCAACTTAAGAATGATACATCTTCATCCATTTAACCAGATGCCCTAAAAGTTGAACTACAATCAAGACAAGAATCACGATTAAGATTAAAACCACCAACGATAAGAGACCACTATAGTTACATCGACAAAATGGATTTCTCAATAGGAATGGAATGGAGTGAAGGCGAAGAAAAGATGCATCGTCTTCTGCGTGTGCCACCACAGGACAACCCCACATCAACGCATCTTACGGCTCAAGCATCGGCTATGTTCCAGCGCGCTCCTCTACTCGCATTTGGCACTTTGGATGACCAAGCCAGACCCTGGGTCACACTCTGGGGCGGATCACCTGGATTTACCGAGTCAATCGGCGGAGGCGCTGTTGGTACATCTACGCTTGTAGACGGCAAGCATGATCCCGTCGTGCAAGCGCTGGTTGCAGGCAGCAAGGGATTCGAAAAGCCGCGGGAAAGAGAAGACGCGAAGCTTGTTGCTGGATTAGCTATCGATCTCATGACGCGGAAGAGAGTCAAGACGGCTGGCCGCCTTGTTGGCTGCATGGTGCGTGAGATCGAAGGCAAAGCTGATAGCGAAGATGCTCCGGCTGAGCCACGGCATATAATCCAAGTTGTCACGATGATTGAGCAGAGTCTAGGCAACTGTCCTAAATACATCAATCAATACGAGATTCATCATGCACTTGTTTCTTCGAAACTAGTCGCTGAAGGCGCCTCGTTGTCAGACGAGGGCCGAGCCCTAATATCAGCATCCGACATGTTCTTCCTCAGCACCAGCACCCCTGACGACATGGACGTCAACCACCGCGGCGGCCCCCCGGGCTTCGTCCGCATCATCTCGCCTACAGAAATCGTGTACCCAGAGTACTCGGGCAACCGCCTCTACCAATCCCTCGGCAACCTGCAACTCAACCCCAGAATTGGTCTCGCATTCCCCAACTACGCAACAGGAGATATCCTCTACATAACCGGCACAGCGCAGATCCTTGCTGGAAAAGACGCTGCAGATATCCTCCCCGGCAGCAATCTCGCTGTCAAGATTACAATTGAGGACTCACGCTTTGTGAGCGCTGGCTTACCCTTCCGCGGCACACAAAAGACTCAAAGCCCATACAACCCGCGCGTCCGCCCCTTGGCTTCCGAGGGAAACCTGAAATCCAGTCTTGTATCTTTCCGCAGTCAAACCGCACATCTCATCAAAAAAACCCTACTCGCACCCAGCATCGCCCGCTTCACCTTCTCGGTGCCAGACACCGACTTCACGTACACTCCCGCTCAATGGATAGCACTAGACTTCAAGGAGGAACTAGGCACGGGATACGAGCATATGCGCGATGACGATCCAACGAGTCTAAATGATGATTTCGTGCGTACGTTTACTATTTCTTCTACTCCTGCATCTTCCGGTACAGCTGGCGAATTCGACATCACGATTCGTAAAGTCGGACCCGTGACCAAGTTTCTCTTCCAGACCAACGAGCGTGCGGGGCTGGAAGTCCCAATTCTGGGTGTTGGAGGGGGAGATTTTGTTGTGAAGCAAGACGACCAAAAAGAGGGAGTAGTAGTACCGTTTGTAGCTGCGGGAGTGGGGATTACGCCGTTGCTGGGGCAGGTGTTGCAGCTAGAACTTTTGCCTGAAAGGTTTCGGCTGTTTTGGGCAGTGAGGGGGGAGGATGTCGGGTTTGCGGTGGATGTGTTTGCGAGGTATCCGGGGCTTGCTGGGTGTACGAGAGTGTTTTTGACAGGGAAGGAGGAGGAGGGAGAGGTAGGTTTTGGAGATGCGGTTGTTGAGAGGAGGAGGATGAGGAAGAGTGATTTGGAGAGTATGGAGGCGGAGACGTGGTATTTGTGTGTTGGGAAGGGGATGAGGAAAGAGGTGTTGGGGTGGTTGGAGGGCAAGAAGGTGGTTTTTGAAGATTTTGATTATTAGGGATAGTCGTTAAGCCTCGTTGTAACCAGTAGTCTATCGATATTCCATCAACGTGTATACCCTCAGACATTCGTTACCTAAGCCTTGCGTTTTCTAATCCTCACACCAACGCTGCCTGTTGGCTTCATGGTGCCCCAAGCCGCTTTCTTGATTGGTGGAACCGTCTTGCTTGCAGCCTCTTTGTCTACCATTTCGATTTCGTATTCGCCCATCAGAATAGCCAGTGTGATGAGGCCAATGTGGCGGGCAAAATGCCGTCCAGGACATTTGTGTTCACCACCACCATAGCTCGTCCAGTTGCCAGACAGACCTGCATCGCTGAAAGTTTCCTTCTTGTCTCGACCCTTGCTGGCCACAAGGAAGCGCTCTGCCCAAAAGACATCTAGCGGGCGTTCAAGAGTACTGGGACGCGCCTCAACCCATGCTGCAGAAAACTGTCCATTGAATTTGTTTGAGATGAATATATTAGTGCCCTTGGTAATAGTGTATTTATCGTCAAGATTGAACATTGGCGATATGACTTGACGTACCGCAACATTAGAGCTGTAAAGACGTGTCGTCTCGGCATGCAGTGACTGTATCAAAGGGCATGTGGCAAGCTGCATGAAGTTGTACATTCCCGACTCGGGCGTGGCATGGGCTTCGATTTCCGAACTAACGTACGTGTACATCTTGGGGTCCCGCAGGATCTCGAACAAGTACCAGAATGTGATGGGCACGGCAAGACCGGTTGCACCATACAGAAGCCCAAGGGTTTGGGATGCTCGCGCTTGTGTGTCGTGATCGGGCAACTCGCTGTACATCTTTTCTCGTTCTTGGAGTAGACCGGACCCTGCTATAAGATCCCATTTTGTATCAGCTTGACTGCTTTTCCTCAGCTCTTCGGACTTGATGGAATATTCACGGAGTTTGTTGAGCAGCCGGTCACGTGCAGCGTACGACTTGGGCATGGCGAAGCGGGGGAGACCCATGAAGAACTCTGGGGTTGCCTCGATAACTTTCCAGAGATCGTCGACGAGTTGTGGATATTCGTCAACCAGGGAAGAGCCGAGGATTGAGACAACAATGGCGCGAGTCACATGGTACGTGATGAAGTCGAAAAGATCCGGAACATGTTTCCATTCATTTCCGGGCGCAACTTCCAAAGTTTGTTCTACACTTTGCTTCATCAAGTCGAACATTCGTTTGTCAAGCAAGCTGAGGCCGGAGCCAGTGGTGTGCTGGCGGATATGCGTTATCTGAATGTAATCTGTGTTGATTCCTGGACTATTGTAGTAATCAATGGTTCTTTGCGGGCAGCCCATTAGTGCTCCTAGAATCTTGTTATGGATCAAAGGATTGGGGTCGAAATGCTGTGCTGACATGAGCACGGCCTTGACGTGCTCTGGATCCTGCACAAACAGCATCTTTTCGCCGGCACCATCGAGAAAGAAGGGTGTGCCACCGCCATACTTGTTACTGAAGGGATTTTAGTATCAATTGCGTGTATTGGGTATGCAATCACTGTCTGGTCATGTCACGTGCTTTGTCGTACTCTTGACAGATGTATGATTCTTTGGATGACTTACAAGCATCTCGCCACGAATTGCTTGTTATCCAATGCCAGTGACAGAGCATGTCGTAGACCGGGAATCAAATATGGAATCGTAGGAGGCGCTACATTGCGCCCCTGGCCGTACTTGATAGATCTGTAGTGGTACGATGAGATGACTCTGGTGCAAACACAGATGGCCAAAATGGTGAAGAAAGCCCGGACAAGGAGACTGTTATAAAAAGCAGCGAGGGCGAGCGAGCCCCCGCGGTGTGCTATTGTCGAATTGTTGCTATCCATTGTGTGTAGTGTCACAGACAGAGCTGTTGTTGGGGTTGGGTAAACAGCCCCCAAACTAATAAGCGCTAGCCCGATTCGGCTTGCATAGAGATGTGTAGCCGGCGGCACGGCAGAGATATCACATTGCAGCACATTGCAGCATCTTGAGCTGGGCGACGATAGCAAAGACAGTGCGAAGCAGGGTCATCAAGGGCATCTACACATCAAGTACAGATGCATAAGCATGCCGCAGGTAATATGAAACCCCAGTTGGCCATGGCATGTCGGCAAATGGCGCTATGCTTGGGGGAGGGTCGGGTGCATGACAAGGTGCGGAGGTGGAGACTGTTTCGCCTAGCCCCAAGGGTTCATCCAGTACCTAGTGTACACCCGACAGCTAGGTCGAAGCTCCCCTCGACCCATCTGCCTCCGTCATCTCTCCACATCCTTCGTGAACATCGTCTACCTTTGTTCTGCTACTCACTGCATCACTTTTGCGCTCGTCTGCTGCACACGCTCATCTCCGTGTGCCTTTGTTTTCCCACATCTCCATCTGCCCACCAGCCACAAGTTCTTGAATCATGCCGGGGGTTCGTAAGTACAATCCCCATTCACCCTCAGTGTCTCCCTGGCGCCTATTCCACCGTCACCTGTGATTGCGACCACGCACACCTGCTCTCATGCACATATTTCCTTCCTACCATTGCCCCATTGCCACACCAATCCACGCACCCCACCTCCTCTCCAAGACTCGCCATCTAACGCATTCCCTGCCCCAGCGCTCGACGCCATGGACCAGATGAAGAAGGCCCTCAAGGGCATCTTCAAAGGCAAAAAGTCCAAGAAGGATGAGTTCGAGCCCGAGGATTCCCAGCACGCTGCCGCTCCTGAGACGGCCACACCATCCAATGCCGCGACCAAACCTAGCGAGACGACGCCTGCAGCTTCCGCCCCCGCTACTGCGCCTGAGGCCGCGAAGACGGAGACATCGACTGCTCCCGCTGAACTGCCTCAGCCTGCTGAGCCCGCCGCTGCTCCTGCCGCTGCTCCAGCTGCGGCCCCGGCCCAAGGCGAAAGCAACAAGGACGAAGCTGCTGCACTGACCTCGGTCAAGAAAGCCACGCAGAGTAGGTCAACATCTCGTTCAATCTCTACTCCACAACACTACCACGATCAAAATGCCTGGGACGGGTCCAGGCGACGGATGAAAGTCGCCCTGGACAACCAGTGGAATGATCCCATCTAGGCGTCAGCAAGCTCTCCAAGAGACACGCGCCGCACGATGGCCACTGGCCACGCCAGCATAATGACCCGACTACGATGTTACGCCCAGATACCACATTTCCTTAACACCAGAGTCTTAACGATTTCCTTTGTCACCAATTACGCATGAGACTAACGAATTTCTTTCAGCACCCGAGCCTGTTGGCGCCGTTGCGCCCGCTCCTCCCACTGCTGCTGAAGCTCAGCCCGCACCCACCGAAGCACCAAAAGATGTAGAGGCTAAGCCTGCTGATGCGCCTGCACCAGCTGCCCCTTTGGATCTCCCCGAGCTTCCTGACAGCAAGCCTGCCGCTGGCATGAGCGCTACTAGCGGGCCGATGTTTGATGAGCCCAATTTTCATGAAGATAAAGCCGCTGCACCGGCTGCCACCACCCCTGCCCCCGCCCCAATTGCTGATGCTGCCCCTGCTCACAGCGCTGAGCCCACAGCGACTGCTCCTTCAGCTGCCCCAGCTGCCCCGACTTCCGAGCCTGCGCCGGCTGCTGCACCGGCTGCTCCAGCTGCCCCAGAGGACAAGGCAGAGAAATAGAAAATCTTTATATGGGGTAGTCGCAAGGCTGCAATGGAGCGGGCGAGGAGGAGATTCAGGTAAACTACGAAATGAAGAGAAAAAAACATGGTATTGCAGCAGGCAGGCGCATGGTGTAACGGTTAGGGGTTTCTTTCTAACGTTTTGTTTTGCTTTTCAACTCATTCTATACCCCACCACTACTGAGCGTAGTCCAATTATGGCGAACTGAAGTATGTAAAATGAAGAAATTCATACCTGCTATGCTTGCCTGCCTTGGGTGAATGCATAGCGGAGATTTAGCTTTGGAGTATGACTTATTGACAAGGTTGAGATTGATAATATATGGAGGCATCTTTGACGGCTGAAGCCTAGCGCGGGGCAGCTACAGCCGCGCTATACGTCAATGACATTGCCCCACCACCGACGTCAACTAAGGGAGACGCGATGAATTCTCGCCAACCAAGAGACCGATAATCAAAGCTGCCCGACACATAGCTCAACACCCCCACGCATAGAAAGCTACTTCAAACAACATCGTAATTGTAGGAAATTTTACTCAATCACTGTTTACACGTCCCGCACCCGCTAAAACAGCCGAGGTCGCCTGCCATGCCACCCAAAAGCGGTTTCTCGCGCACGCGCAACGTCGATTATGATGACGATGACCTCTACGACGACGACTATTACGAGGAAGAAGGCGACGATGGTGGCGCGGGAGACGGCATGTCGGAAGAAGACAAAGAGCAGATGCGCATCGGCACAATACGGGTGCGCGAAGCAATGGGAGATATGAGTGATTTCACAAGCGACAAGCAAATACAAGAAGCGCTGTGGCACTACTACTATGACGTGGGCAAGAGTGTGAGCTACTTGAAAAACAAACTGGGGATTGCAGAGCCCAAGAAGGAGGCACCGAAACAAGAAAAAGCCAAACTAGCATCGCGGTTCGACCAGGCTGCAAGCGTCGCTCACCAGAATGCGCCCGCATCCACAGGTAAGCAAACTCACATGAGGTCTAGCTATAGATACCAGCCCGCTCGTCTTGTTGCCCATCACCTACCGCTGCCCCCACTGTCGATGCCTACCAACGCTGCTGTCACAGACTTTTTCTGGGATATGCCTTGGGGCAATGTACCACCTGAGCGACTGGCCAATATCACCATTGAAGCCCCAGAGTGCAAGGGGGGATTGCTCGGAGGCTCTTCAAAGCTAGCTGCGCTCGCGGCTAAGCGCAGGAAGGAGCGAGAAGAGGCCGAAGCTGCTGCCTCCAAAGCCAATAGCGATGCGGACTCGGCTGTTGCGATGCTCGATAAGCTTTCGGTCAAGAATCAGGAAAACGTCAACTCTTTGCATGACGCAGTTGCGAGTCACCCAGCTCGATTGTCTAAATACCCTGTTCGAAGACGATCGCCTTCGCCAGCACCAGAAACACCAAAAGAGCCTGAGATTAAAGAGCCCCAACTCCCTCAGCCGGCCATTGTTGTCGAGTCTCCAGCTCAGCGTGCTATTGCTTCCATGTTTGCTTCGACTCTCTGTGGTTCCGATAAACCGTCAAAGCAGCCGCAGCTCCACGTCCAAGAGCTTCCAATGCCATTTGCTGCCTATAAGTCATTTGATGGCACAAAAGCCTTCTCGGAACCAAGTCCGGACGATATCGTGCGGGCAGCACAGGCAAAGAGCGCAGGCGGCGGGCGTCACTAGACTGTCACGTGTCATTTATATATGCATATCTAAGACTACCAGGGACCACACCGAAGAAGAAAAAGAAGCAGGCTAATGGCGATCTTACCGAGTCCGTCGAGAAGCTCTCTGTTGCCGACGAACCGAAGGTTAAGAGCAAGAACTTGAATGTTGTGGATGAATTTGAGAAGAGCAACATGAAACGACTGGCGAATTTTGTGGTTGTTGGTAAGCTCAGCCCTTACCCAAGTGTCTCCAGAAACAACAAACTATTTGGAGCGGTCATATTGACCAAGTACAGGACATGTCGACCACGGCAAAAGCACACTGATGGGCCGTTTGCTGTATGATCTCAAAGTCATCGACCAGCGATCAATAGACAAGCTACGAAAGGAAGCCGAGACTATTGGAAAATCGTCTTTTGCATTGGCCTGGGTCATGGACGAAACAAGCGAAGAAAGAAGTCGTGGTGTTACAGTTGACATTGCAACAAACTACTTTGAGACAGAGAAGACACGGTTCACGATATTAGATGCTCCTGGCCACAAGGACTTTATCCCAAACATGATATCAGGGGCGTCGCAGGCCGACTTCCCCATCCTGGTAATTGACGCCAGCACCAATAGTTTCGAGTCTGGCCTCAAGGGTCAAACCAAGGAACATGTCATAATTGCACGAAGCATGGGCATGCAACACATTATCATCGCTGTGAACAAGATGGACATGATTGGATGGTCTAAATCTCGGTTCGACGAGATAGTAAAACGCATGACGGCGTTCCTGACCGAAGCAAGTTTCCTGGAGAAACGAATTACCTTCATCCCGCTGGCGGGTCTTACAGGCGAGAATGTCGTCAAGAAAATTGAAAACTCTGCCGCTCATTGGTATACTGGTGAGACATTACTCGAGGCCCTAGAGCGCATCGAAATACCGCAACGTAACCTCCAAAAAGCACTTCGCCTCTCTGTCGCTGATGTATTCAAGGGTGACATGCGTTCACCGCTCAGCATATCCGGACGAATCGACTCTGGAACACTACAAGTAGGTGACGTAATCCTCACCCTTCCCGCCAACGAAACCGCGACAATCAAATCCATCGAAGTCCAAGATGCCCCTGTAGACTGGGCAGTCGCAGGCCAAATCCCCACACTACACCTCACAGACATTGACCCCGTGCATCTTCGCCAAGGCGACATTATCTGCGCCCCCAAAGACCCAGTCAAACTCGTCAAGGCATTCACTTCTAAACTCCTGGCTTTCGAGCATGTGCTACCCATGCCGGTAGAGGTGTTTCGCAGCACCCTCAACTCGCCTGGTAGCATTCGCACGCTCAGTGCCCGCTTGAACAAGTTCACGGGCGAGGTCATGAAGAAGAAGCCAAGGATCGTGAAGCCGGGTGAGGTGGCGAGGATTGTGGTGCAGCTTGAGAGGGAGTTGCCGATTGAAGAGGGCATGAGGGTTGTGCTTAGAGAGAGGGGGAGGACGGTGGGGGCGGGGCTTATGGAGAATGTTGCTTAGTGGCTTGAGGTGAAGGTTATGAGGTTAAGGAGGAGATATCGGGCGGGTAATTTTGGTAGACTGTTTTTATGTAATTATTCTTGTGCGGCGAATGAAAAAAGTCTATATCATGAATGTTATGAGGTTAATTTGATTTTTGTTTATTCTCATGGTTGTGACATGGATCATGTTAAGCATGTAAGTATACTTTCATACTAATCTTTACACTTCGTAACATCTCCCCACCACCTCACCGTCTATCCGCCCACGGCGCCTTCGTGTTCTGCTGTCCCTCCCCCGCAGCACCGTCCTCCTTCTTCCTCGCCCACGGCGCCGCCGTCCCAACTCCAGCCCCCGGCATCGTCGTTGGTGGCGGCGCAGGCGTCCTACTCCCCCACGGCGCCTTCGTAGGCTGATTAACTCCACTCGGGACACCCGGACCCGCCGCCACCGGTCCTCTCGCCCACGGCGCCGCCGTTCCTACCGCTCCACCCGGCCTTGCTGTCGATGGCATAGCCGTTGTGTCAGCGAGGGGGTCGCGCAGTGCGGGTTGGGGGCGCGGGGTCGCTGATACTGCAGCTTTGGGTTGCGAGGTTGTATGCACTGTGGCTTGGATTTTGCGGGCGTTGGCGTCTGGGCTGAAGGAGAAGAGGGAGCCGAAGGGGAAGTGTTGGACGACGGGGAATTTGGAGAGGACTTCTGCGTTGTACATTTTTATCATGCCCTATTTTCTTCAGTCAATTCTCCACGCATCTCTCTTGTGTAATTCGCTGCTTATGCTACTTTTGATTGGGGTAAATCGAAGGCTAAAGTTTCACATACCTTGTTGATTTTTGCCCAGCCGGCTTTTACGCCGGACACGTCGTATAGAATGTTGCTGTGTTCCCAGAAGGGGCCCTTTTTCACGTCATAGATGAAGCCGATGGCGCTGAAGTACATGTTTCGTTTTCGTTCGCGCTCGACGGCTGGGGCTTTGGCAACGTCGCCTGGGTTTGGGGCTGTGGGGAGCGAACCCTCTGCCGCTACGTCGCCGGGCGTTGAGATAGCTGGGGAAAATTGTGCGCTGCCGAAGATGTATGGGAGGAATGAGTGGTCGTCTAGACCCCATACGCCATGTGACCCCGCGGGTTCAAGCGTGTAGGTTAAGATCAGGCGCCGGATGAGAACGAGGTAAGGTTCCAGGACACCCAGTACGATGCCGCGCTCTTGATCGCCAGCCTGCGACTCAGGAAACGCACCGAGTTTCCACAGACAGCCGAGGAAAGCGAGGAAACTCAATTCATGCCCCGTACCGTAGTCAAGGCGTTGCGAACTGCCAAAGCTGCCGAGGAAATACGCTTCTAATTCGCTTTTCGCACTAACATCCGATGTCGACTTGAAATCCAGCACGTGCTGGGGAAGATGCTGATCCAGAAGCCCCGAAGCCTGCTCACGAACAAGTTTGTACCAGGTTCTGAAGCTGACATTTCCGAAACGACGGGGTCCCGGGTCTGGCGGTGCTTCGTCGATGATGGACGTTAGGGCATCGAGAAGCTTGGCGAGGTTCTGTACGACGGGTGTATATGGCACATCTTTATCATTTAAAGTCCATTCTTTTGCTGTTTCCTCTTCTCCTGGCTCTTTTAGATCAATCTTCCGGGGTATCATAGCCGTGTTTAGCTGGAAGATGAAAGTCATAATGTCGGCGTATGCTCTGCTTGCCAAGAAAGCAGTGACGTCGTCGCCATCGTGGATGCGTTTTGCGGGCAGCGCAAACTCATGTCCGGAAGTTTTGTCGATTGTTTCTAGCACTGGGGCTTGGGATGGGTTGGATGCCATGGCGGTTGGACTTTTGGATGAGGGGTTGTATGGGGGTGTGGGCTGGTGCGGGCGCTCCTCATGTGACAGCGTGTTTCGGGGCGGACCCACCTTTCACGTTGTCCAGCTTCCTACAACTACAACCCCGCATACTCACTATCGTTAGATGACTCTTTACTTGAGGACGGAGTGTGTGTTTGAGGCAATCAAAAAATGGCACGTCTAAAGCAGCCGCCAAGGGCGAGCGGTAAGTGAGAAGCTCTTTCTGAGGCTCGGCGCGCACGCGTTGGTGTGAAGACGTCGTCTGCGCGAAACTCGAGGATCGTGTACCAAGAGCGCGTCCATAAGAATGAAGATCTTGGGTTTGATGGAGCATGAACTGATAACGGAATAGTAGCGGCTGAAATTTTTCGACAGCCCAGCTCTTCCCATGATCCCGACTTCTTCCATCTTGCGGCAGACAACCAAGCAGCCACCGAGCAGCTACTCACAGAATCCCTCGCCACAGACGCACCAGCACCTCCTCCTCTTCCATCCGCCGTAGTCCTTGGCGCAGATCTCCTCAATGCTGCGCGGATAGATCACCGACATAGTAGTCCTGTGGTTGGCATGGCGCGGAAGAATCGCGCCGGCAAGCTCAAGCGGGCAAGCTTGATTCCCGAGAGTGCCAGAACAAACCTCGCTGTACGAGGTGATGTGTACGAGATAGAGCTTAGCCCGGAAAAGGGGAACTACGCACTGCCTGAGAAGGTGAACAAAAAGCCGCTCAAGATTGTAAAGAAGAAGCCACACGCAGTCGCGAAGCTCAGTGCTGCACAAGATGTTCCGTCTAAGCTGCCAGTGCGCGATGAGGACAGGCCACAAGTAGATCAGGAAGGGTCGGCAGAGGATCTGGCTTCTACCGGTTCAGCCATGCGCTCTTCTCCGCCCCAAGTTGCCCCCATTGGAAGCGACAGCATTACCGTTGATACTACCAGACAAAAGATGCCTTCAAGTGAAGCAAATTCACATGCCAATGCTCCTGGAGATGTGAAAATCGAGGAGAGCCTTGCCAATGGGAAACCCAGATGCACAGCAATCTTCTACAAGTACGATAAAATTGCGGGCCCAGCTTATAGGCAATGTTTACGCCCTGGTACCGGCCAGACAGACGATGGTTTCATATGCGGAATTCACATCAGTAAACCCCCTATTGTTCGATGTGAGGAGATGGTGGTTTCCGACAATGTTACTGCGCAGTGCTACAGGGCTGCTTTTAAGGTAACCGCCAACGGCCCACGATGTCCGACTTGTATCGAACAACAAGGTTACGAAATAACGCCGCGTGATAAGCGAAAGTCAGGATCGATCCATCAAGAGGCTCAACCTGCAAAGATTTCAAGGAGAAATCAAGGTGCAGGTAGGCCTGCATCTTCCGAAAAGTCTAAAGACCAAGCGCAGGATTTGCAAGAGGAGAGTTTAAATCCAACATCAGCTAGGAAACGCGGGAGACCGCGAAAAGATGGTAGCAGTGGTTCTACCGAGCTGAACCAAGAGCTCCCGAAAAGAACACGCAAGAGCAAATCATCACCAGCGATCTCGCAGGAAGTTTCAGCGGTGCCTGAAGATCTGCCTGGTGATGGAGACCCAGAGTACGCTCCAGAGGATGAAGAGACTAGACACATGGACCAACTGCCTGAGAACATTGCTACAGTCTTTAGTTTTCTTGACCTAGAAGCGCGTCAAGGTACATGCCAGACTAAACGTGCTAGGAAGATCTTACACATGTGTGAAAAGTATTGTGCAAACTTCCAGGATGACACTCACTCAATCGACACTGTCACGCACGATGCCACGAAAATACAAGAGACACTACAACAGACGCCTAAAGATTACAGTACTGAAATCGGAAAAAAACACCAACTTGCGTTCAAGAGTGATGCATACAGCTTTGTCTTTCGCTCTCTTACACTATATCTTCGAGATTTGCACGACTGGCTAGTCAAAACACACGAGTCCGCAACAGAGTCTTTAGAAAGCTTGCATGTAATAACCCCGTTGATGCAGGAGATCGTAGCATTCAATGACGCAATCAGCCATTGGGACGTCACTGTACCTCAGCGTCAAAAGGGTGACAGAGTAGTCAAGGATGTCCAAATCCGACTAGTTGCGCCCCTGCGACGGGTCAGTCAATCACTCAGTGTTCGTCTAAGCCAACTCCAGGAGGCAGAGGAACGTCGTGAGCAATATGGAGAAATGAAACAGAGGATAAAAGAACGCCGCGATGCACAGAGTGAACAGTTCAGAGCCATCGAGGCAATGGAAGAGCGGAAGAAGCGCTGGCAAGACCTTCATATCGTGCGGATGCAATGCGAGCCCGATGTATACAGGCGACGCAAGCTGTTCCACACCAGATTTGAAGATTTGGTGGAGAGAGATGCGAACGGTGTCGTTTTCGAACGATTGCCTATCTTCAAATCACGTTCCACTCCACCACACAGCCAGGTTTCGGAACTTGCAGATGAGGTGGACTGGACTGAGGATGAAGAGACTGCCGTGCTTGAGGGCTTGCAGTACTGTGCGGGTGAGCAATTGCCATTCCGTATCAGAACATTGGGGTATTTTGCTAATGCTTTAACTAGGTCCACGCGTCTTTGAGAAAATATTCAAAACGTATTGTGATCCCAGGTCCTCGCATCCACGCGGGGGCAGCCTGCGTAACCGTAGTGTTGCAGAGATTATTTCAAAGGCAAGGTGGATTCGATCGACGATGTTGACACTACGTCAAGAAAATGGTGAGCCGGTGGAGGAATGGGCGACTGGGATTCCGATTTTACCGTAGTAGGTAGGGCTTCGGTCAGCTTCCGCGTTGTTGTGGTTATCTTTGGATGCCATGAGATTCTTCAAAAGTGCTTGTTGCAAGAGTCGCTTTCCTGTTAGCTGGCAACGCTTTGATACCCCTGTATAGTATTGGGTTTAGCTGAACGTCATGTTGTTTACAAAAAATGTTGTTACGTTCGAATTCAAGTCCTATTTATGTCTTACTTTTGTTCATGCAAGAACATATGGGGCTCGAAAGATAGAGATGCGATAGTGAGTATTGACTGCCATATATCAATCCATACATACGACTTTTTTAGTAATGAATTGATAGCTATCTGGACATTGAATTCACTAGAGGCAAGGTTCACGCCGTGATTGTGTAATACGATAAGCGAGCAAACAGTAGTACTACATATACCTGCCTCTCCACCCGTTCTACCATTCGTCGCAGTGACGGTACCCCTTGTACCACCACTCTCCCACTATGAGGCCACTCCATCTTTTTCAAATTGCAGCCAGCCGTTTAGCTTTGCATGGCCTCTCCAAACCCTTACCATGAATAACCTCATCCCTCAGGTCTAGGAACTCTCTGGTACAATTCACTCATTCCCTAGCCAATGGGTCAGCAAAAGAACCTTCTGAGCTGTTCGAGTATACGTCTGGGTGATGGCTGTTCGTTCATACTTTCCTTCAAGCTCAACCTCAAACTAACATAGTAGAAGATGGAACAATTCTTTGAAGCGTGCTGAGAGAGGACGTGCTTTCAATGCATCCGAGTTCAAGCGTTTGGCTGCCGCCGCCGTTAATCAGAATGCGAAAGATGTGGTTCAGTTTGAGAAACTTGGTGAGGGAGGCTTCAACCGAACTTTTCTTATCACTATGTGTGACGGATTTCAGTTTGTCGGACGCATCCCTTATCTCTCTACCGAGCCAAGACATCTGGTTGTTGCCAGTGAAGTCGCAACGATGAACTTTCTCCGTTTACATGATATCCCTGTGCCCAAGATCTACGATTACTCAGCTACGCCAGATAATGGTGCTGGGACTGAATACATGTTTATGGAGCTGGCCCATGGGAAGAACTTATGTGACATCTGGTTTGACCTGTCGACAAAGGCCAGAATCACTGTCGTCACTAAACTTGTCGAGTCAGAGTCTCGATTGTTCTCTCTTACCCTTTCCAGCAAGTGGTAGTCTGTATCATACCAAAGATATGCAACCTGAACTCGAGAGGGTTGAGGTGCCGATTGTGGATTCTGCATGCGATGGCCACTTTTGCATTATTCCTAATACAAAACTCAGTCTGTGGCATGGAAAAAGGCTCAACATCGAGACCGACCGTGGGCCATGTACGTATCAGTCCTATCTTTCTATATCAACAATCAGCTTGTTGATATCCCCGAAAGAATATCATTCTACGTCTATAGTGCTGACCGAATTTTCAAAAGTCACAGATCCAGCAGCCGCTCTTGAAGCTGAGGCCAAAAAAGAGATTTCGTATCTAACAAAATTTGGTCGACCGCTTCACCCCTTCCAACGTCTACACCGAGAAATCTATGGTTACCAAGCGCGATCGCCCTCTGGACACCTGAGTAACTTGTAGAAATACCTACAAATTGTGCCTTACCTCGTACCAGTCGGCAACAGTACCCTTGTCCGCCCGACAATGAGACATCCTGATCTTCAGCCGAACAACATCTTTGCATCCGATGATTTCAGCATCACAAGTGTGATTGACTGGCAGCACTGCACAATACTCCCACTGTTCCTGCAATGCGGTATCCCCAATAGTCTTCAAAACTATGGCGACAACATCTCCGAATTACTTACACTCCGTGGACTACCATCGAATTTCGAGCTAAGCGAAAATGCAAAGTCTCATGAGGTAATGCTCTTACGTCGACGCCAACTTCACTTCTTCTATGTCGTGGCGACTGCCTCATTGAACCCAACGCATCACGATGCCTTGACCGACAACTTTGGCACATTGAGGCGTAAACTCTTTGAGCACGCGGGTTACCCCCGGGAAGGTGATATCGCTACTCTTAAAAATGACTTGATCTATTTAACGAAAAAGTGGGATGAAGTCGTGGCCTCTAAGTCTAATACGGGTGACGAGACTAGTAATCCCTGTCCCATAGCCTTCTCAGAAGACGAGGTGGCCGAATGCTTGCGTCTGAATTATGCGCAATTGGAGGCAGATAAATCACTTCGGAATTGTAGAGATGTTATTGGTATTGGGACTGAAGGATGGGTGCCTGTTGAGCAGTATGACGAGATAAAGCAGCGGGAACAGGAGTTTATGGCTGCTGTACTCGAAGCTGCAGATTCTGAGGGGGAGGGACAGAATATACTCGAGCATTGGATGTTTGATAATTTTGATGAGGAAGAGTATTCGTAGGAATGTCATAGACTCTACGTAGGGCCTTTAGAGCGCCATTGGGAATTGCATCCCGAACGGCCTCATGAAGCTGTGGCAGTTCATCAACGAATGAATTGGGCATAGTTAGAGCTTATATTGGTTCTTTTCATGTTCTGACTAGTTAGAATACCAAATGGAACGATCTTGAAGTTCACTCACATATCTATAGATAGTACAGATCTGATTGTTATCGCCTTTCATATTTTACCACAACTGCTCCAGCAATCCGGTGATTTGGGCTTCCATTTCACTCACTCAGATACAGTATGCATGGCGTTCATCAGATGTGAGGTAGTGTCTGCCATAGCCCCACCTTTCCATTACCTATATTTCTCTACTCCTTTCGTCTCTGTACCCAATCCATCAACCCTTCAACTTTCTCAACCCGCCCTAAACAATAAAGAGCGCGCTTGAGTGACGCAAAAAGATTATTCTCTGTCATATCACCAACTATACTTTGTGTAAAACTACAGTCTCTTCTATACGTAAGTGGAGCATGCTTATATGCCATCGTGGGCAAGACTAATAATACCCCTCGTAGTCAGAACTCATTTCTTATTACGAAAATGCCAGCCTCCAAGAACTCCGGCAGTGACGGTGTGAGCAAGAAGATGAATGGGCTGAAGGAGTACAAGAGGGCGCAGAAAGAGAAGAAACTCGCACAGCGCGCCACCGCCGCCGCTGAGCAGATCAAGGCGAAGAAGATATCCTCTACTTCCGCTAAGATGGTAAAACTGAGTGACGCTGAGTCCACCAAGGCTACTTTGACCCCAAAAGACACACTGGATATTGTCGCGCTGCGCAAAGCCTTGGAGTTTGCGTTGTATGAGAAGATGGAAACGCCACGCCAGATGCTTATCCGGTGTGACTTCAAGGCTTATATGGATACCGAGTTCCATGGCAGGGACGCTAAATTCGACTACATGGCACCACATGCTGTGTGTCTTGACGACAATGGATTTGAGACAACTATCCGCACAATCGGCTCAAACACACAAGACGGATTGACTGCCCATGAGACAGAGCTGTCGCCATTGGAGCAGTTTGAGACTGAGAAGAACGTCACCCTCTCACATCCTGCTCCCCAAGCACAACGATGCGACTCTCGTTTTTTTGAACACCTAATTTCTGCCGCATCCGCCCAGGAGGAGGTCGTTACTGCCAAAGTGCAGGACACCATCAACTTTTCGACTGATTCTCAACCACCCGAGTCCGTGTCTACACAGGTGCCGCATCTGATGGATCCAGCCATCATCAGCCACAAGATCAAACAACAGACACCTGCAAATCTGGGAATGCTTGTCACCAATATCACCCAAACGATCAGAAAGCATGCAAAGGGCACTAGTCTGAAGGACAGCCCCTCAACCTTCACCTCTACTCTCGTTTCGACGCCAGGCTCTTCACCCACCAGTACTCATCGCTCCAGCATCTCTTCACCGGTCGGGTTCAATACTCGTTCATATACGCCTGCGACGCCTCAACTAACTTCTGCAACTTTAGGTCACTGGGGCTATCGCTCTTACCCTAAGCCTGGCGATATTGCTGACTGGAGCTTTTTGGATTTGAATTCGAGGATGTGAGCTACAGTTCTGGAAGAGCAGGGAAGGGGTACTCGGATTTGTTCTTTGGCCAAGAACAGTAGTTTTTGATGTTTCCATTCATGTATACGCATCAGTCATATGTGGGGGAAAGGTTTAGTACTGGCACAAAAAGGGTAGAATTTGACTGAAATGTGTGGACGATGTCTCCTTAGTTAGCATGGGGTGTAATATGCAGATGAAATACCAGATGATGTAAGACAAGACCGAATACCCTAGCAGTGACGTTCGGTGGAGAAAGGAAGCGGTCACGCAGGGACTGAGCAAGTGCGGGGGATGAATTGTGGAGCTTGGACCGGCCAAGGGTTGCTGCAAGTGCTAGTGCATACGTAGTATGTAATTTGGGTTAGGTAGCGATCATTCCTCTCCACCACACATGTCCACTTCACGATATTGCTAGTACAGGACGTATTCAACTCGCTATTAGTAGATATTCCTTCTAGTACCACGACTCGCTATTGCACGCACATACACACACTTCACACACACCATGCTCAAGTCAAAGTGGGCAACACAGCCCGACGAGGCAGACAAAACTCCAGCGCCAGTCGCCGACAAGACCCCGCCAAAGCTACAACCACCGTCTGAGCCAGCAGCACCAGCACCAGCTCAGATTAGTCATACACCGGTATGTAGTATCTGATGCGACTGTTGTCGTTTCCCTTTCTATAATACACATTTTGTGTTCCTGTCCGCAGAACTGTCCTAACAAGATGCCAGGTTGCCAGCGCATCCTACGACCCCGCCTATGACGACCCCTCAATAGACCCATTTGCTCAAACTGCAAGCACCGACGACCTATTCTTCGACGACGATATCACGCCTATTGCTGAGCCAGTCGTCGAAGCAAATCCACCAGAGCTGCAGCCTTCCGCCCCCGAGTTTGTACCTGAAGAGCCAAAGCCACCTATCGCACCACAGGCGCATTTGGCGCCGCAAGCCCCAAGAGAGCCCAGGAACAACGATAGAGGAAGCCGCGGCCGTGGACGAGGAAGGGGCCGTGGGAGGGGCCGTGGGGGCCATAACACTGATATTCGGCTCGAACAAAACGACAAAAAGGCTGTCGAGGCGCCAAAAGAGGCGGAGCCCGCGACTGCAGACAAGGTCGCTACAGAAAATGCGGACTCTTCATCTGCCCCTTCATCTGCTCCCACAGAACCAAAAGAAAAACCAACCCACTCTGTGCGCGGCGACAGGACACTGACTGGTGGTGCCGCACGCACACGCCTGACCGAGGATGAATTGAACGCTAAGCTTGCCAAAATGCGCATTAAGAACGAAGCTCGCCAGACTGCCCACGCTCGCGCTGAAGCCGATAAGGGCAACTTCGAGGCTCGCGAAGCGGTTATGCAGCAGCAGGACATAGAGCGTAAGAAGGCACTAGCCGAGAAGCAAAAGGCCGAACGCCAGAGCCGTCAGCAGATGATGGGCGAGCGCGAGAAGAACCGACAGCGCAAATTGAAAGCACAACAGGGCAGAGAGTGGGACTTGGAGAAAGAGGATGGTTTTTCAGGTATTGGAGACGACAAGCACAGGGGTGCCGCCAGAGGTGCTCACGGCGGTATTGCGCCCTCACGGCCAGCCAACAATGGATTCAACGGCGACGATGACAATGAATCTATGACGCATTCTGGCCGGGGACGTGGCAGAGGCCGCGGTGGAAGAGGAGGCCGAGGTGGACGTGGCAACTATGACAGAGCAGGATCGAGACCAGCAGAGCAAAAGAAGTTCGACAATCCTCCACCATCTGCCGCAGACTTCCCAGAGCTTCCTCCAGCAAAAGGCAAAGCTGTCGAAACTAAGGACCCTGAACCCGAACCCGAACGTCCTACTATTCAGAAGCAAGACTCCTTTGGATTGCCGTCGCCAATGGAAAAGGGCCGTAGCTGGGCTGATGAAGTAGGCTCGTAGAAAGAGCTATTCCGAGAAAAGACTGCTGTCAGGAAAATGCCAAGAGTATACATTGTAGATGTGGAAATCCAAGAATCGGATATCGCAGCCATAGCGGCTGTATCAGAGAAGGGACCTTATACCGGTTATGAATGTGACATTGACACCAATGGCAAGGATTATGGAAGAACAGGGCAAAAAGCAATAGCACTGTCCTCTGACGAGTCGGAAAGAACAGATCAAGGTTCTGAGTGGATCAATAGCGGATACGGTACTTCTTGCGAATCCCTTTCAATACTACCATTCGCATCTCTGCGTGGCGGAGGCAATTCAGAAGGGGCCAGTGAGGAAGACTATTCAAGGTATATCTCCTTGCAGTCTTTCTTGCTACATCGTGAGAAAGCTTCTGACCTCTTCAGTGTTTCGTGTCAATCACCGAACGCTACATCATCCACTCATGTGCTAGATTCATGTGCCATATCGACACCGAATATGTCACTCCATACTACTTCGTCGCTATATACAACTCTCAATGACTCCTTTTCACGTGCGCCTTCATCTATGTCATCACCAATGTTTTCCACATATGCGTCTCCTGATACAACAAAACGCTGCTCGTCCCAGCATGCTCGAGAACCACCGCTACCACCAGGGCACAATCTACATGATCCAGAAACTGGTCCCCAGACCAGCCAGTAGCACGGTGCGGCTGAAACGAATGATTTGGATCAACCAAACGTGGAACAGAGAAACGCGAAAAGTCTACAGCGGCAAGGTGACCATGGACAGGTGCAAATCTCACAAGCAGCAGTGGCAACAGGGAGGTGCGCTCAAAGTCCGGGCCTCAACCAGATGCCAAACGCTTCTCATCCGGCTTATATGACAGACGAGGAATTTGATGCTCTTCCGTGTTGGTCAGAGGTCGAAAATGATCCAACATACAACACCAGGTATCATCCAAGGCACACTACAAGCGGTTCAGTGCGTCCAATTGTACATGCACAGGCCTATTTATCAGCGAAGTTCAGACCGACACCCCTAAACGGTCCGCCCGGCTTTTCTCCAACTCCGCAATTTATCGGGGCATGCGATGCGGTATGGTTTTCATCATCAGACGAATTTGTCTCAGATGACCAAGATGAGCAGCCGCTGCTAGACAGGGCTTCGGCCGCGAGCGTCTCCCCAAGCCCGCGTTTGATTGGAACCATAGATGGAATTTCGTTCTTGGAGCTTGTCAACACAAGACTGCGCTCACATATTGGCCATGTGCAGCATTCAAGAAGGAATTCGAAATATACGCAAGATAACCCGAGTACCCCTACCTCGTCTGATGCTGATGAGTGGAGCGTTTACCATATCGGAGATGAAATGTTACCACGAAACCCACTGCCGGGGACCATCACAAGGACTGAAAGTGGCCAAAGGGGAGCATAGATTGTTACTCCGAGTCGATCGTCAAAATCAAGTTCCGAAATCGCCAGAACATTGTCTAGTCGCAGAGCTGGAGCTCCTTCAACATCACATCTGAACGAAATCGGCCCAGAACTAGATGATTCGACGCTTACTAATTCATTACACCTTCGTTTGCGAGGTGGAGCCAGTTCGGATGATGAAGAATACTCTGAAAAGAAATACATACGACCTTTGTCTACAATCAGTACGCCACCTTCAGTAAGATGGACATCTCCTTCTCCTCGAGAATGGTTACAGCGCCTATCACTTCAAGGTGACCATGCAACTACGCCCTTCGATTACTCGCATGCTATAAGGATTCTGGGTCTCGGACAAGGAGCATCACGTGGATTCGCATCATCAGCCACCTTGCAGGTGCCAGACTCTTCCAATACGCGTGGCTCTGCTGTATGGTCTTCTTCCGAGACCTTGACCAACCAATCATCACAGGAACGCACGTCAAACTATTCGCATTTACGTCCATCACAACCCCGTCCATCTTCTGGCGAGGAGGACAGCGAACCTAGGCGTCGTCCCACAGTCATTCGCGAGGAACCTCCTCCCGTTATTCGAGTGAGCCAGCCCCGGTCAAGGGCCTCCCTAACTGCTAGATCCAACTTTCATGAGCTACTTTCAGATAGTGATCCCGGTCCACCCTACCCAGGCGACCGTGACCGTCTTCCCGTACCACCACCTCTCGTAGATGACTCTCGCGATCCAGACATGAACCTCGCTCCCCGCATCGTCATAAATCCTAGCATGCCCACGCGTTCAAGGATACCTGTCGAACATTCCCCGCAGTTCCGAAATTCGAATGAGCCTGCAAGAGCAAGGACGAGAGAGGGTGAGGAGCCGGAAACGATGCAGATTGATGATCATAGACGGGGGCCAGGTGGAGCATCTACGGTATGCGACTGTGAAGATCCTGCTGAGTTTTGGTGGCAGTGCTGCTGTTCAGTCCTTTGTTCGGTAACTGAGTTGTGTATTATCTTGTGAGACGTGCTCGGTATTGATACAGTCAACTGGTTTTGTTGATTCAGAACATGGGGGGAATAATTACTGCTAGTATTGAACACAGTATTCATTTTTCGATACGATTTTCGTGTCGATCATATCGCTTTCGACGATGCTTGCAGTACGTGACTTCACTTCTCTATTCTCGTTATGATGAACCCGCCAGCACAGAGAATGTTCAGAAACAGGTATTCAGATATAAACAAGGCACAAACAGCGCCCAATCGCCATTAATCTCCACATCCATCCCACTATGATGAGAGAAAAGTAATGAGAGAAATGTACCTAGCATTGCTACATACAAATCCATGCCCCGCTTCCCAAAACAAAAGAGGGGGAATGTGATGCAGCGAGGGAAAGAGAAATGGGTTCACACCCATATAGACCATGATGAACAGCCTTTGAAAACCACAAGAACAGCGAGTTGGTCCCCTCTAAAAGACATGAAATTTTTTGTTTGTGAAGCTTACAAAAAAGACAAGGTGGGAGTGAAAGAGGGTGAGTGAGAAGGTTTCAACGTCGCATCATACCCGTCGTTAAAAAAGCCGTTAACACGAAACCGAAAAAGAAACAAGTGGGGGTATCAGAGTCGGTGAGAAGATAGAGATGCGGCCGCCGAGAAAGAGGAAGAGTCTTATGACTCGCCTCCGGTGGATGCTGCCGCACCTTCACCTGCACCGCCCCTGAAGGAACCCCTTCCTCCTCGACCGCCACGAGCGCCTCGCTCTCCACCTCGTCCACCCCGCGAAGAACCACCACGACCGCCACGACCACCGCGGCCACCTTCGCTATCAGAGGCACCTCCACTTCGGTAGCCGCCGCCTTGAACACCACCTCGGTTGCTGGCCTGCCAGTTGCCAGCGCCGTACCTGGGTTGATTGCTGCCCGGCCCACGTTCGTTGTAGATCTTGACCGTCTTGTTCTCTGGTCCTCCCCTAGCATTCCTGACATCGTCCGCAACACGGCGAAGAGCGCCATGCATATCCTGCGATGTGGAGAAGTGTGCGACAAAGAAATGCTTGATCTTTTCAATCTTCTCGATCTTTGACCGATCTTCCTCCGCGAGCAGGCTCTTGGCTTCCTCTTCGTCCTTGACACCAGAGATGAACAGTCCCTTGCTCTCTTTTCGCTCGACGGGTTCTCTGGGTGCTGGCGATGCGGCTTTCTCTGGGGCCGAGGTGCCATTGGGCTTGGCTTCGCTAGGAGCCGACTTCTCGGCTCCAGCGTTGGAGGCTCCATTGTTGGCTGGGGGTTGTGGAGTGGCGGCTTTGATGGGCTCCTTGGGGGTAGCAGCGCGTACGGGCTGGGTGCCGCTGTTGGGCTTCTGCTGAGGAACAGGTGGGGTGGCGACCGCTGGGCGGGGCTGCTGAGGGGCGCTCGTAGGGGGACCACCTTGGCGTCCAGGAACAGGAGATGGCTGAGCAGAGGGACTTGGGTTTACAGCGGCTGGAGGGCCACTTGAAGTGTTGGCGGCCGCAGGCTGAGTCTGGCCTGGCGCGACCTTGCCACCTCGGTGGGCAAAGTTGAAACCCTGAGCCCTCATCTCGGTACCAATTCTGCCATTGTCAATATCCAGGACAAGCCATCCATAGGCAGCATCCGCAAGGTTGAAGTTCCACATGTTCTTGAATGCACTCTCATCGATAACGCCACTTTGGGGGCCTGGAGCAGGACCGCCAAAAGGATTCCCACCGTTGGCCACGGTGGGCATCTTGTTCACTATTTCAAGTGCCAAAGCGAGGAGGCGCTGCTGGGACTCGCTATCGGCGACAGCAGGCTCGACTTCAGTCTTGACTGTATCCCAAACATCATTGAACGAAGCCTTGGAAGCGGCGAGCTTTCCGCGGTAGTGATCAAGGGTTGGGTTGACGCTAAACTCGTTATAGGAGCTGCCATAGCGGAAATGCAGACCAGCAGAGATTGAGAAGTCGGCTTTCAATGTGACGGACAGCTGGTTAAGCAGACCTTCACGTGCGGGGGAAGCATGGGTGACGAATATGCGGGTCTCGGTCGGATCGTATACGCGGTTGGCAGTGTCGACGAGTTCACCCATTTGCAGCAGGGTGGTCCACATTGTGCCCTGTCCACCTGCAATGGTAGTCCTGCCTTCGCCGTTATCGAACAGCTTGTGCATAACGACGGCACCGCCAAGACCGAGTAGTCGCAGCTTGACACCGCCGACGTCGAGTAGCCGTGAATGCGCCTCATCGATGATGTGCAGGTTGTCCACCTTATACTCGCCCGACCGCAGCTTCTCAAGGACTTGAACATCCTCGCATGCTCCCCACACAGTGTATACAGGCACGTTAAGTGTGAAGGTCTTGTTTAAGAAGAGGGGCAATTCTGAGAGGGGCAGGTGTTCTCTTGCGAAGCGCTCCTTGATGGGAGGCTGGGGTGGTGCCGAGGCAATGGAGCGCTTGACCGTGTCTGATAGGAGCGGCGAGTACTGGGCTACGTGCTTGAGGGTCCTAGGCCAGTCAGTTCTGGAAGAGGGTAATTGAAAATATGCGGGCACCTACTTCTCGGCAATGCGATCCAGCGAGCGGTCATCGTAGAAGCCGAAATCGCCAGTGTGGATGATATAGTTTGCGCGGGCATCGGCAGCGAGCTGGTTCAGCGATTGCAAGTTTCCTTTACAACGTCAGCGTATGCCATTGCACCAAAGACGAAGGTTGTGCCCACCCCGGACATCGGCAATGCAGAGAACTCGTACGCTTCCTTGCTGAATCACGCGGCCCTGGTTGGGAAGCAGCGGGACAGCTCCAGGCGCTGGGCCCGAGGGGACACCAGGAGCGCCGCCGTTGGGAAGGTAATTGCCTGGATAGGGGCGCGGCTGATTGGGAGCTTGCTGGACAAAGTCAGTATCAATGTCACATGTGGCGGTATCAGTGCGGAAGTGCCTGACGTACTGAAGCCATGGAGTCGGAGGCGGAGGGGTCAGGTAACGTGTCCGAGTGAGGTCTACAGACGTGGTGATGGGGGGGAGGGCGCGGGCGGGGCGGGGTAGGGAATTACAATGTAGGGACTAAGAGAGAAGAATGGTAGAGAAGGCCTCCTCGTTTGTGATGGCAGCGGCGAGTTTGTGCTGGCCGCTGTTGCTCCTTCTGTTTTTGCTAACAGCTTTCCGCCGCACAGACCCCGGCCTAGCGCGTCCTATCACCTTGTCCTGCACCTGGCTGGACCTCCCTGTGCCTTCGACCCTCTCTTTTGCATCCAGCTCTGTATACGTTCTCTATGTCTATCTTTGCCTCCTTTTCTGCTCTTTGCAATCCCATGGCCATTGGCGCATCATAGCCTCAGTCTGCTTGTCTCTTGTTCACTGAGCGCCGCCTCATTACACCATGCTGCTCGTCATTGCTACGGCATGGCAGCCAGCCATTTCCACCCCCTCTCTCGATTGAGCACCAAAACTCCCCATATCAGCGCCACCGCACCGGCAATTCACCTCGTTCACACTATACGCCATTCAGCATACGGCATTGATGTTGCTACAGTTGAGGTGCCTACGCTCTGAGCCCCAGAGCTGAACTTTCTGTCTCTTCTCAAATTTGCTCGAGTGGCCGGTCAAAGCTTCATCCAGCAAAGACAGGCCTTTGTGCTACACAATGGAACATGCAGCCAATTATGCTCTCTGCACACGCACTTGCGCTGCATACTGCGCCCAAGCAGCCTCCTGTGGAAGCCATAGCTCCTCCGGCCGCGCACTGCCGTCATTGGCTGCCAGCATGGCTTACCTAATTTGCTGGACCCTGAGACTAGCGTAAAAAAAGTTCCAATCCCCACTTCAAAGAATGTGCGGCCCAGCGCTCTTCCTCCACAACTGTCAATATTGGTCTGCGCTGTTCTGCGAGAGACCACCCTAGGCAAGCTTTCTACATACTTACACTGTGAGAGCGCCGCCATGGATGAGCAACAGTTTGTCCAGCTCCTCGAGGGCCTCTTGGAGCGTAAGTAGCCTTGCCCCGCCTGCCCATGGTTCTCAACTGACAATTTTCCAGCTAACACCGAGCGTGTCAAGGCCGCTACTTCCACCCTGAACAAGAGCTACTACAGCTCTCCTGCCTCTCTCAATGCCCTGCTTCAAATTCTCTGCGCTCACCCCAAGCCTGCGCTGCGCCAATTGGCTGCCGTAGAGGCTAGGAAGCTCGTGACAAAGCACTGGGCAAACCTCCCCGCTGAACAAAAGGCTTCCCTTCGCAACCAGATCTTTCAGTTCACACTCAACGAAGATGTCGCCCTTACCCGCCACTCTGCTGCCCGCGTCATTGCTGCCATCGCAGCCATAGACTTCGAGGATGGCGAGTGGGCTGACCTCCCCGGATACCTCCAGCAAGCTGCTACCAGCGCCAACGTCCGACAACGTGAGGTTGGCACCTACATCATCTACACAACTCTCGAGTCGGTGGGTGATTCCTTCCCTGCTAAGCCTGCCGATCTGTACAAGTTGTTCAGCTCCACTATCCAAGACCCAGAGAGTGTCGAGGTCAGGATCAACACCATGCTTGGTCTCAGCCGCCTGGCCATGCTCTTGGAGCCCGATGAGGACCCCAAGGCACTCGCTTTATTCCAGGCATCCATTCCTGCCATGGTCAACGTTCTCAAGGCTACCGTCGACGAGGGTGATGAGGACCGTGCTATGCAGGCATTCGAGGTCTTCCAGACCCTTCTCGGCTGCGAGTCTGCGCTATTGGCAAAGCATTTTGGCGACCTTGTCAAATTCATGCTGGAACTTTCCTCTAGCACAAATGTCGAGGATGACTACCGCTCCCAGGCTCTTGCCTTCCTCATGCAATGCGTCCGTTACAGGAGGCTCAAGATCCAGGGTCTCAGGATTGGAGAAGAGCTGACCCTCAAGGCTCTGCACATCGTCACCGAGCTGGGTGATCTGTCAAGTGAAGACGAAGACGTCACTCCTGCCCGCTCGGCTCTTGGCCTTCTTGATATCCTCGCTTCCAGTCTGCCTCCAAGCCAAGTAGTCATTCCTCTGCTTAAGAACCTCGGCCAATACTTCCAATCACAGAACCCTGACTATCGCCAAGCTGGTATTCTGGCTCTGGGTATGTGTGTTGAGGGCGCACCTGACTTCATTGCCACTCAGCTTCACGAGATCTTGCCTATGGTCCTTCACCTGCTTGAAGACCCTGAGCTCAAGGTCCGGGCTGCTGCTCTCAATGGTGTTGCGCGCTTAGCTGACGACCTTGCCGAGGATGTTGGCAAAGAGCATGCCCGTCTCATTCCCGCCATGATTAAGAATTTTGACCTTGCTGCTAGCAACTTGCAAGGCACAGAAGATGATCGCAGCCTCTCAATTATCCGTGGTAGCTGCCACGCTATTGACTCCCTCATCGAGGGTCTGGAGCCTGAGGATGCTGCCACATACGTGCCTGAGTTGGTACCACGTTTCAGCAAGCTTTTCCATCACGAAGACCTCAAGGTCAAGAGTGCTGCTATTGGTGCCGTTGGCTCCATCGCCTCTGCCGCTGAGAAGGCGTTCATTCCCTTCTTCGAACAGACCATGAATGAACTGTCGCCATACGTAAGAATCAAGAACAGCCAAGACGAACTTGACCTTCGTGGCGTCACCTGCGATTCGATGGGCAAAATGGCATCTGCTGTTGGCCCAGGGCCATTCGAGCCTTTTGTCCTGCCACTGATGGAGGCTTCTGAAGAGGCCCTGCATCTCGACCACCCCCGCCTCAGGGAGACCAGCTACATCCTCTGGAGTACCATGGCCAAGGTCTACGAAGAACAATTCGCTAAATACCTCCCGGGCGCTGTCAAGGGACTCCAGGACTGCCTTGATCAAGAAGAAACTGGTCTCGATGTCGAGCTTGGGGAGGAGGCTGCCGACTTGGCCGGATCTGAAGTTGTCATTCAAGGTCGCAAGATCAAGGTTGCTGTACCCAGTGATGACGGTAGCGATCTCAACGAGGCTGCAATGGATGACGACGATTCCGATGACGACTGGGATGACCTTGAGGGCATCAGCGCCGTTGCCATGGAAAAGGAGATTGCTGCTGAAGTTTATGGCGACATCATCACTCACACTCGCCGTGAATACATTCCTTACATGGAAGCCACCGTCACCAAGCTGCTTGAGCTTGTGGACCACCCGTATGAGGGTATCCGCAAGGCTGCGCTTGGTACCCTATGGCGAACATACGCCTGCCTCTTTGGCATGGCCGAGGGCGATGGTATGGCAAAGTGGAAGCCTGGTCTTCCTCTCGCTGTCGAACCACCAGAGGAGCTCCGCAAGCTGGGCAACCTCGTTATGACTGCAACCATGACTGTCTGGCAAGACGAAATGGATCGGTATGTAATGTTCATTTCCTCAAACCTTTTTTGCAAAGATGACACACTATTCGTTAATCCCAGCTCACTCCGATGCACAAAGTGCACTTGAGGTGAAAGCGATTCTACTTCTGAGCAACTTTTACATCAACTGGTTCTTTTAGTCTATATTCGAGAATATCGCTAACTCAACCCAGTGGCACTGTCACTGACATCAACCGTGATGTCGCAGCAACTCTCAAGCTGTGCGGACCTGCAGTGTTGCTCACCGAAAATGGCACAGTGGTACCTGACATGTGCCAGCATCTGCTTGCTGTCATCACTAAACGCCATCCTTGCCAGCAAGATCTCGGCGACGATGCTGATGAGGACATCCTTGACGAATCCTCAGAGTACGACTGGCTCGTCATCGAGACGGCATTGGAGGCTGTCACATGCCTGTCCGTTGCCCTTGGCTCGCAGTTTGCCGAGCTCTGGAAGATGTTTGAGAAGCCTATTGTCAAGTATGCCAGCAGTCAAGACTCGACGGAGCGAAGCGCTGCCGTTGGTACTATTGCTGAGTGTGTTGGTAACATGGGTGCTGCCTGCACACCCTACACCAGCGGCCTACTCAAGCTGCTTCTCCACCGTTTGTCGGATGAGGATCCTGAGACCAAGTCCAACGCCGTCTATGGCATGGGTCTGTTGTGCGAGATGACGACCAACGATGACGAGATTCTCAAGTCGTTGTCTAGCATCTTCTCCAAACTTGAGCCTCTGCTCGGGGCACAGGACCAGGCTCGTCTGCTCGACAACACAGCAGGCTGTGTTAGCCGGTTTATCAGCAAGCACCCTGGCAAGCTGCCCATTGTGGAGATTCTTCCACGGTTGGTGCAGCTCCTCCCCCTTCGCGAGGATTACGAGGAGAATAAGCCAGTATTCGGCATGATCGTCAAGCTGTACCAGCAAAACGAGCCCACTGTCCAACAGCTCACTCCACAATTGATGCCCATCTTTGAGAAGGTGCTCAGCCCTCCTGATGAGCAGCTGGAGGATGAGACACGCTCGCAGCTTGTTGAGCTAGTGCAGTACCTGCGCAAGTAAAAAGTTTCGTGTTGGAAGAGGAGAAGGGATACCCGTCGAAAGACACCACTGATGAATTGGACATGGAATGGCATTCGGGGCCATGACACGATAGAACATGGCACTATACAGTATGAATTTATATTAGATCGATGAATTGCTTTTTTTTACGCCGGTGTGCAAAAAGTATGCGATGTAAATGCAAGACCAGAAAAGCAAAGCAAAGCTTCATGTCACATGACGACGGGTTTGGCGTTGGTAGTGGCTGGTGCGCATGATCACGATTGCGGATCGCTCTTGTTCCTGGGCGGCGTTGCGCGTTCCAGCCAAGCGTCTGGGGCAGTGACGTTCATGACGCACCCCAGACAGTGTTTAGCTTCGCGCTCATGCCTCAGCATACCATCATCTCTTCCCCCTCCCCAACGATAACTCACCCGCTATATTCTTCTCCAGCGTCTGCTGCTCTTTTAGTATTGAATCGACTTGTTATCATCTGACTATCCACTCGCTAGGTCGACAGAGCTCCGCATTACCGCCGCTCGCACCTTGCCGGAGCCGAGGAGCTTCACAGAGCTGCATCTACCTCACCACCGCGCCTCACCCATACACGACCAAACCCATCACCAGCTTGCACTTGCTTCACTGAGCTTGCGCACATATTACGAGATTTAGCCGTGCTGTCGTCCTCGAAACACTTTGTCCATCTGGACCAAGGAGGCGCACAGGCGCGAAGCGTCATCATGAGGCAACGACACACACCGGGATGGAAGGCGATGACAGTCGGCCTGCTTTCCGTCCTTGCTGGATCTGCTCTCGCTGGCCCAGACCTCACAACAAGACATGAGAGAGGGAGGTGCGCAATGAGAGGGCAATGCGGAAAGCAGGGTTTCTTTGGCTCGGAACTGCCTTGCCCAGACAATGGTCCAGCAAAAACACCCGACGACGACGTACGCAAGAAGCTTGTAGAAATTTGTGGCACGCAGTGGTCTGATTCAGACATTTGCTGCGACGAAGATCAGCTTGACGCCCTCAAAACGAACCTCGACCGCGCTACTCCCATCATCAACGCGTGCCCTGCCTGCAAGGAAAACTTCTACAACCTATTTTGCACATTCACGTGTTCCCCTGACCAGTCGACCTTCGTCAATATCACCGGAACGGAGCCCAAGGGCGATAAATACTTAGTAACGGAATTGGACAGCTTAATCGCGGACAAGTACGCGTCAACCTTTTACGACAGCTGCAAGGATGTCAAGTTTGGTGCGACAAATGGCAAGGCTATGGACTTCATCGGCGGTGGCGCAAAGAACTTTACCCAGTTTCTGAAATTTCTGGGCGACAAGAAGTTCCTAGGCTCGCCTTTCCAGATTAACTACCCGCGACCATCTCAAGAGCTCTTCCCAGGCATGACCGCGATGAGCAAGCACGCCTATCCTTGTGATACCGAAGACGAGAAGTACCGTTGTGCCTGCCTGGACTGTGGCACATCTTGCACTGAGCTTCCAGCTGTCCAAGAAGGAAAGCAATGCCACGTCGGCCTGCTTCCCTGCCTATCCTTTGCTGTCATCATCATCTACTCTTGCTTCATTGGACTCTTGTGTATCGCCGTGGCTGGCCATGTCGCATATCAGAAACATTCGAGACATAAGACTGAGCGAATGCGTCTTTTGCAAGACACGAGCCCCAGCGACGATGAGGACGAAGGCGATATAGTACATAATGTTGGCATGCTAGATCGCCCCACCAAGCACTACTTTGTCAACACCTGGTGCGATCGCATGTTCAGCCGTCTTGGATACATCTGCGCTAGTTTCCCAGCCATCACCATCATCACCAGCATCATAGTAGTAATCCTTATGAGCTTGGGCTGGCTGCAGTTCCAGATTGAGACCGATCCTGTAAATCTGTGGGTCTCACCAGATTCCGCTGCTGCTCAGGAGAAAGCCTTTTTCGACGAGAAGTTTGGACCTTTCTTTCGCGCTGAGCAAGCCTTCCTCGTCAATGACACACTCGACAGTCCCGGTCCAGTTCTCAGCTATGAAACACTTGATTGGTGGTTCGGTGTTGAGAACCAGATCCAGCGTCTCAAGTCAGCCGAGCACGGTGTTACTCTGGATCAGATTTGCTTCAAGCCAGTAGGGGATGATTGTATTGTTCAGTCCGTTACCGGTTACTTCCAAGGTGATTTCGCCAACGTCATACCCAACAGTTGGAAGGATGACCTGCTACAGTGTGTCGACAACCCATCTCAGTGTCTCCCCACTTTCCAGCAGCCACTCGATCCACATCTCCTCTTCGGTGGTGTTGAGGAGAGCGTTCTTGACGCCAAGGCACTTGTGGTGACTTGGGTTGTACAGAATCATCCCAAGGGCACCCCAGAAGAGCAACGTGCAATGGACTTTGAGAATGAAATGAAGAATTACCTTAAATTCGTGTCCGATGAGGCCAATAAGAGAGGCCTTCGGCTGAGCTTCAGTACTGAAGTCAGTCTCGAGCAAGAGCTCAACAAGAGCACCAACACGGACGCTAAGATCGTGGTGATCAGCTACATCATCATGTTTTTGTACGCATCATTGGCGCTTGGCTCAACCACACTTACTGTTCAGTCTATCCTCCGCAACCCCGCCAACGCCCTAGTGCAGTCCAAGTTTATGCTAGGAATAGTGGGTATTCTGATCGTACTCATGTCAGTTTCTGCCTCGGTTGGTCTTTTCTCAGCAGCTGGCATCAAGGTCACCTTAATCATAGCAGAGGTGATTCCGTTCCTTGTCTTGGCCGTTGGTGTGGACAACATATTCCTTATTGTGCATGAATTCGAGCGCATTAACATCAGCCACCCTGAAGGAACCGTTCCAGAACGCGTTTCTCGAGCTCTCGGACGCATGGGCCCCTCAATCTTGCTTTCCGCTCTTACTGAGACGACCGCATTCGCTCTAGGATGTGCTGTTGGTATGCCTGCTGTTCGCAACTTTGCCGCATATGCCGCAGGAGCTGTCTTTATCAACGCCATTCTCCAGGTTACTATGTTCATTGCCGTACTCTCCCTTAACCAGGAACGTGTCGAATCAAATCGTGCGGATTGCTTCCCTTGCATTCGCGTTAAGCGCGCTGATCCAGTCGGTATGGGTTTTGCAGTGGGAGAGGAAGGTGCACTACAGCGCTTCATCCGTAAGACATATGCTCCAGCAATTCTGGGTAAGAAGGCCAAAATTGGCATTCTCGCGCTATTTTTCGGAATCTTCACAGCAGGCCTTGCTCTGTTCCCCCAAGTTGAGCTTGGTCTGGATCAACGTATCGCTATTCCAAGCGATTCTTACCTAATCCCATATTTCAACGACCTGTACGACTACCTTGACGTCGGTCCTCCGGTTTATTTTGTCACAAAGGAGCTCAACGTTACTGAGCGCAAGCCGCAAAAAGAGCTTTGTGGACGATTCTCCGCTTGCGACAGAAACAGTCTGGCAAACATCATCGAAGCAGAGCGCAAGCGCCCCGAAGTTTCGTATCTTTCGGCCTCTGCCGCAAACTGGCTTGACGATTTCTTCCTGTGGTTGAATCCTGAGAACGAAAAGTGCTGTGTGGAGAAGGGCAAGCCCTGTTTCCAAGGTCGCCAGCCGCCCTGGAATATGACTCTTTATGGTATGCCTGAAGGCGAGGAGTTTATCAAGTACTTGGAAAAGTGGATCGAGGCTCCAACCACTGAAGACTGTCCTATCGGCGGAAAAGCCGCGTACTCGGACGCTCTGGTCATTGACTCCAAGCACTTAACCATTCCCGCTTCCCATTTCCGTACTGCGCATACTCCGCTGCGCTCGCAGAAAGACTTCATCTCTGCATACACGGCAGCGCGTCGCATATCCAAAGAGATATCAAAAGACGTCGAAGCCGAGGTATTCCCATACTCGAAGTTTTACATCTTCTTCGACCAGTACGTATCTATTGTTCGCCTGGCTGGTGCTCTGATTGGATCTGCTCTCGCGGCAGTACTTGTCATCACAACCATTATGCTTGGCTCCATCGTCACCGCACTGGTTGTGACACTGGTAGTTGGTATGACGGTCTCGGCCATTATTGGGTCTATGGCTGTCCTTGGTGTTTCGCTCAATGCCGTCTCACTGGTCAACCTCATCATTTGTGTGGGCATCAGCGTCGAGTTCACGGCACATATCGCTCGAGCATTCACTTTCCCAAGTCGTGCGACTATGGAGCGGGCACCGAGACACCGCTTCCGAGGCCGTGATGCCCGCGCATGGACAGCCATGGTCAATGTAGCGAGCAGTGTGGTCAGCGGAATTACCATCACGAAGATTCTAGGAGTAGGAGTGTTGGCTTTCACTAGGAGCAAGGTATGTGCTATTCGTTTTGTCTCTCTTATATCAGTACTCTGTGCGCATGAACTAACAGGATTGGCTAGATCTTCGAAATATACTACTTCCGCGTATGGGTCGCTCTCGTGCTTTGGGCCTCTACTCACGCTCTTGTTCTACTTCCTGTCCTTCTTTCACTTGTAGGAGGCAAGGGCTACGTCGATCCCGAATCTGAAGGCGGCCTTGAGCAAGACCTCCGACGTCGGCAGTACCCTGCACTACTGGCCGACGACGAAGAATACGACAGCGACGACTAGGAGTCTGTCTCATACCGTGCCATCGGTCGAACTGGGACTAGGATCAAGGATCTAGTCAGCAAGAAATGTAAAATTACTTATCTACGTGTTCTGGAGTTATGGATGGGTTTTGGCGAAGGATTTTGGCTGTGGTTGGGCGGGGTTCGAGACAATCACGAGCAGAGGGACAGAGCACCCTCACTGACAGTGTCTGATGCAGCAGATCCTCCAGCTCCAGCTTCACAATTTCCAGCTACATTTGTGTCTGCTGCTGTTGCATCTGCATTTGGGACGGTTGGCGACCCAATCCTTTCATCTTGTACTAGGACCATGTCGACAACGACTCGCGCAGGTCTTCATTCTTTTCCAAGTATAGAAGAAATGGAGTCGTTTAGTTTATTGGGACGAGGTGGTTCCCCTAGCCTTGGCTCTAATCGTGACAACAACGATGACTTGTATGAGCTTTGAATGAGCTGGCTGTTGTATTCTACTACGTAGACTATAGTTGTATTCCCAAATAATAACAGACTAACTTACATGAGAAGGACAGAAGAATCAGTTGCTTATGTAATATCACATGCAGCTTCCAAGATAGAACCGTGATGGAGGCGCGTTCTATCAAAGAATGCATACCAACTCCAATTCAATTAGGCTCCCGTCAAATTTATCCGGTGTGGCTGGCGAGCGCAACAGGTGTTTTGACGAAATTGCTGGGAATGGCCATGAGGTTTCGTGTTGGCCGCCATTGTTCCACCAATCTCAGGAACGCATCTCGCTAGCCACATGGCCCGCAAAGAGATGACGCCTTCTCAGATCCAGCATCTAGCCATACCACGCAGTCTGAGCACCACATGATGCAAGCTTGAGTGGATCTCGGAGGCAGCTTACGTGCGGAGAGACTGCTAGACTTGGATATGCCGCCGACCTGAGGCTCGGTGACGTCTCCGACCCCTCCACCCCACCTCCGACAACTTTTCCCCCAGACTACCCTTTAATAGCTCCCAACACCCGCACTTTAGATCGCCACAGACCCTTTTACTTTTTTTCCCAAGATACCCCATTCACATTAATTGCAAACATGTCTCTCGGAAGGAAGGTTACTCTCAACACTGGCGCTACCATCCCGTGAGTACCTCAATAGCACACTACGTACATATGATGACATTTACTGACTACTTTCTGCTCAGGCAATTGGGCTTTGGTACGTGGCAAGCTGAGCCTGGTCAGGTTGGCGCTGCCGTTCTTGAGGCCCTCAAGGTTGGCTACCGTCATCTGGATCTCGCCAAGGTCTATGGCAACCAAAAGGAGATTGCGGAAGCCCTCAAGAAGGCTTTTGGTGGCGAGGTCCCTGGCCTCAAGCGCGAGGATGTCTTCATCACATCGAAGCTCTGGAACTCTCAGCACCGTCCCCAGGACGTACCAGCAGCTCTAGACGACTGCCTGGCTGAGCTCGGCCTTGACTACCTCGACCTCTACCTTGTCCACTTCCCTGTTGCCTTTGACGAGCGGTCAGATGTTCACAGCAACCTCTTCCCCCTGGAGGGCGAGGACGTCAAGATGCTGGATGAAATCTCAATTGTCGACACATGGAAGGCTATGACACAGCTGCCTAAGGAGAAGGCCCGCGCAGTCGGTGTCTCCAACCACACCAAGGAGCACCTCCAGGCTTTGATTGACGGTACTGGTGTGACACCCGCTGCCAACCAGATCGAGCGCCACCCACGTCTCCTCCAGCCAGAACTCATCCAGTACTGCAAGGAGAAGAACATTCATGTCACTGAGTACTCGGTAAGAACTGTTTTCCCTCCAGCTTACCATTCGAACAGCACTGATCCTACTTCTAGGCATTCGGTAACAACATGCTCGGCATTCCTCTTCTCGTTCAGCACGATACCATCAAGGAAGTTGCCAGCCGAATTGGCGCTACCCCCGCACAAGTTATCCTCGCCTGGGCTCAAGTGGGCGGTCACTCTGTCATTCCCAAGTCGGTCACCGCCTCGCGCATCCAAGAGAATTTCAAGGAGGTTGAGCTGTCCGAGGAGGATTTCCAGAAGGTCGAGGAGATTGGAAAGAAGGAGCGAAGGCGATTCAACATTCCTTACATTGCCAACAAGCCCAGGTGGCCTGTCAACATCTTCGACGAGCCTGAAGAGAAGGAGGCGCCACACAAGGTCATTGTCTAGATGTCTGAGTATATGAAACAAAATAGAATGACTTATTGGTGGTGTAAACACACAATGTTTGATTATATGAAGTAATTGTATCTCGTGCCTGGGCTCGCCCTATACGTGTTCAGATGTCAAGCTACCAGTAAGTTTCCAAGGCGCTCAAGGCATCTATAACTCATTTCTAATATAATGACCAAGATTGGAGATTGCCCTAGTACTGGTAAATATTCCCTGTGCGTGAAGGGTGATATCACCTAGCACCAAGGTGAAGGTGTAACTAACGGCTTTAAGCACATGGTAGCGTACACAATATCGTCACGCATAACCGCGTTGATGCCATGTCTTGCAGGACCGCTTTGATTCACTACTTAAGTTACTTGAAGTGGTATTCATACATCTTGAATGACTCAGGTGCACGTGTTCTCACCGCGTACCTTGGGAAGGCTTCACCTTGGCACCTCTTGAATGATCTCATACTACCCTTGGTGAGTGCACCTTCCTGTCAGTGCAAACGCACCAATGAGGCAAATAACATTACATTTGTATTGGAATTTCCCTTTACTCATGCTTGGCGTGCGAGTGAGCGCTGATTGCATGTGATTGATTCCGCTTCACCTCCACCTTGGGTAGACAAAGACTTTTGGGACCAATACTGCCTCCGATCACCTTTCACTCGCACTTATATCTCTACTTAGATAAAAGTTAGTTCATCTGCTTATTGCTCCTACAAATCCGCCACACAACCAAATTCAATCACTCAATTAATGCCATGACTTTACTCTCTGGCACCAGAGCGTCAAATGATCGCCTCGTCTTCGTTAAGAACGTCCCGAGCTACGTCGCCGACAATCAGGTTGCTGAGTTGTTCTCTCCCTACCGCCCGGTAAGTTACAAAAACATCTACAAAGGGAGCAGTATTACAACAATCGTTGTCGGCTTCCGGACCATGAGCGACGCAGCGCGTGCCCAACGTGAGACAGATGGGAGGTGTCTAGGCAGCGCCATCATCAAGGTGGAGATGTATGAGCAGCGGCGTTCGATCCGCTATATCAGAGATCACGGATACAACAGTACACCATGGGATGTTGAGGAGGAGGAAGAGGAGGAATGTGAAGCTGAGCAGCCTGACGAGGAGGTTCTGCCAAAGGAAGTTACCGTACACTTCTCACCTTTGTACCCGGCTCCAGTCAAACTGTCTAGTACAGCTACACAGGGTACCACATGGGCGCACATCGCAAGCAACCAACGAATCCAAGGAGTCACTAAGGCACCCGCCATCACCAAAGCAGACTCGGTGCCGAGTCCCGCTTCAACGCTCATCGCGACGCCACAGATCTCGACCGCTATCCCCGTCAAACCGATTGAGCCAGAAGCTCAAGTCGCAGAACCATCTTCCCCGGTAGTAGCGGTCTCGCCCGGCGACACTACCACAATCGCGATATCTGAACCATCTACTCGTGATGAGCCGTCGAGCAATGGGGCCCATGAATCAGAAACGGAATATCAAATTATGAGGTGGAGCGGGATTCTGAGATGGGCGCAGCACAGTGGTAGCGATGGTATTCAAGAGATGCAGTCTAGGCCTTTTGTGCCAATTGATACAACGGTACGTATTCGACAAATCCATTGTCGTGATTGTGCTTTTTGCAAGTCGATGGAGAGAGTGCGCAATGGGCACGAGTAATGGGGAAGAGGATATATGGGCGGGCTGATTGTGAGGCTGGGAGTTTCTTATATGAGGCATACAGGGTAAGTACAAGAAGGAGGTAATGGATGGAGACATCTTACTTAAAAAAAATTTAGCTTGTTAATAATGACGGTGCAGAGATGGGTGGGAATAGAGACCGTGCATTGGTGTTTTGAAACACATGGCGATTCGGGCACTAAAGAGTTGGGCGTCAGCGGTGAGCGATATTAATGGAGATCAAGTTCTGGAGCCGGGCTGCGATCTGAGGAGGTCGCCCAAGGTTAAGAGAGCGTGTTCCAGATGTGTCACGGGTACATAGCTGCTCAGACGGGTCATGTGGTGATAATGGGTATTGAAATTTAGATATTCGACCAATGCACTTGGCAAACCAACAGCTTCACCGGATAGTGTCCAATCCGGGGCATGATGAAAGAATCATTACTTTAAGGCGCTCCAGTAAGATCAACACCCTCAGCTAGCCCTTCCCATCAACGCATCATGGCCAAACAGCAACGACTGGCTCGCACTCTTCCGCTAGCTGCCGCGTGAGCCCTCAACGCCCTCAGCTAAAATTCCAGATCCAGCATTGACGCGTACATTGGGACACTACAAAGACGGACTTTTCAGCCGTACCCGCACATCAGATTGCGAAACCCCATTTATACCAGCCAATCAGCCTCCTTGTTTCCCTACCGTTTCGCATAGTCTGCTGCCCTCCCCCCACCCACCGCCCGCATGCACCCCCGCCTCCCCTCGCCACCCCAATCAATTCATTCGCACGGGACCCTAGATAAGCTTGCCCTCTCTCCCCGAAAGAAAATAAAACAGATCGAAAAAGGGAGAAAAAGTAGTCCCTGCATAAACCTCTTTTGATTTCTTTTTTCTGTATATTCCTGCAGCTACGTTACGCACGTATACGTTTACTACCACTACATACATACGTACAAACTCCATCTCGCGGAACTACCGTTCATCGCGCACCGCCGCACCCGCACCCGAACCAATCTTTTACCTGCATTACTTTCTCCACCAACAATAGCACAACACAAACACACAATACACAGCGCATACATAACACACATATTCACCTCTACATAACCCTGAAGTATCAAACCCGCACAATGCCCCGCTTCCTCAAACGCATCTTCCCAGACCACCTCTTCCGCCGCGACGCCACCTCAACAACAGATGTAAGCCAGCTGCAGCGCTCACGCCGCGTGCTCGTGCGGCCGTCGACAAATGCGCTGTACGAGTCTTCTGCGTCGAACTGGCGGTTAGGTGTTTTTTACGAGGGAGAAGGGGAGACGGGGCGCGAGGAGCGGCGCGCGTTGAGGGATGGGGCGAGTGTGGCTGAGAGTGAGGCTGTTGGTCTGGAGAGCGGGTTTGCGGAGGTGCCGCATGAGCAGTTACCTGGGCGCAAGGAGAGTCGCGCGAGGAGGAGGTTGAGTAAGAGGCATAGGATGCCTGTTTGAAAGAGAGTCTGTGAAGATATGTGTATGTGTTTAGGAGGTTGGGTGTGGGGAGGATGTGCTGACGGGTTGGTGTAGGTGGTGTTCGTGAGATTGAAAGGCCGTATTGGCGTCACAGAGGTCGCTGGAGGGGAGTATGGCGCTTTGGGGGTTTCTACTCGATGAAATGCGCTACAGAGGTGACGAGCAGAATAGCTGTACGCTCGCAGCGCCATGGTCGAGGGCGCAAGCGCGCATGCTGAGGTGCAAGAAGCGCGGGGTTATTGTACTGTGGCCATGGCGATCACGGGATCAGCGCTCGACCTCGATGGAAGTGTTGCGGTGTATCTACGCCGAGTTCCCGACAAAGTCTCATCTGGGAAGAAGCGGGAGATGGCGGAAATTGAGGCACGTTGTAGGGTTTCGACCCCCACCTCACTTGGGTTTGGCTAGTTAGCTGGGGTGAGCGGTTAGTGCAGATGAATACCATGCTCGTACGAGGCCATCCCGTGTAGTTAGGGTGTGAAGATAGAACATTGTGAAATTGTGTTTTGCTTTTTATGCAGCTAAGCTGGTTAGCTTGCATGCGGGACTCGTGAATAAACGTTGTGTGAATCGTTGATCGTTAGACTTGGACATTGTGCGAGTTGTGGAAGCTTTCGATGGCTTGATCAATGTCCTAGACATATCTGTTCTTGTTTTTGTAGAAAGGATGAATGTAAGTGTGTGAGTCTGAGATGGTTGATATCACATGAAGAGGACGTTACTAACATCGTTCATAAAAAATCAAGAGATGATTATTATCCTGACCCGTGTAATAGGGATCTGAGCGAGCAACTCGTACAATAAAACATATATAAATGGAAACAGGGTAACAGGTGGCTCTCAGGCTAATAACAGGGATTGGCGGCTCGAATAGCTCTTGAGTGTGAGGGTTTGGGCATAGCGATACGTTGCTGTAGATTGGCTTTGCGTAAACTGGGCTTATCAGTGATGCCTTGAGAGCACGTGTAAATTCCGAAACGTATGCTTACCTAAGTATAGATGGCTATCAGTCAGATTAGCAGTAGGCGTTTTGAGATGGAGGATATGCGGGACAGAGGAATTTGAAGAGGGAAGTTGATACGGGTAGTGTGCCTTGGTGTGGGAGATGGGTGGATATTGAAGCGTTAATGGAGTTGTTGGATGAGAGGTTGGAACACGGGGATAATAGGCTAGGTTGGTGCTTGAGAAGGGCTTACTGCTTACGATACTCTCCGGGAAACTCGCATGATGTCGACATGAGCAAGACTGCTGATTAGAGTTTAGGGTAGATGCATTCGACGTCCTTGATTATATGCTTCTATTTCTCATTCACATGACCCCATGAACACATTGGACCAACCCAGTTGGAAAAGTCATCGGTAGGTGAAGATCTCGTTGAAAGAGTTATTCCCCTTCAATAAAACGAGTAGTCAACACTACATCCTCTTTACTGCCATTCCAGACATCCAGTCCTGCGAAGGACTTTATCTCAAGCCCTTGTACTCCTGCAGATCCTGTATACTAGTCCAAACATTAGGATGATCAGGCTTCTTCTTAAGGGTCACTACACTAGTGAAATAGTTGTCCTTGATCGGTGACTGAAGATTCCATACGTTCGAAACTGTTTGCGTTCATCAACGTTGCATTCTTTTATACTCAAAATTTCTCACAGAGGGAAGTAGTGACAATAAATTAAGGCCGTTTTCCCACGTGTATCTGAATCCCGGTTGACTGCAGCGTATGGTGGAAGCTCTGGAGTCATCCTTTTCTGTAGACCTCGTCACGCAGTTGATGCTACTGATCTGGCTTCCCTTGAAGTTCTTCAATGTGAAATCCATGGTGTCGATGGCGCCGTAGGGATAACCGGTATATGACCATTCACCATATGCACACTGACGAATTTATTCTGGGTACAGGCGAAAATCTGGAGGGTCAGGAGAGCGGCCAATTGTATATTGCTGCAGAATTTGATTGCTGAAATGGTTTGAAACTCTAGAGCAGAGGTCTGAGAACGCATTTTCTTTTAGCTTGAAGGATGCATCCACTGTATATGTATACCATTTGTGTTATTATCATTTCTTATTGGTAATCGGTATAAGAATCTGACATTTTGGCTTTGCTGGATGTTAGATTAGTTCACTTCGGCACGACTTCTCGGTGTGAGTTGACATCTTGTATACAGATGTTGTAGTGGTGATGTGCCTACTCTATGGATTGTTGTTGGATGAGAGCCACGTGTCTCTTGTTTCTTGAGTTACTGTACCAGAAAAATATCCTCGAAACTAATGGAAAACACAGCCTACAATCCTGATGTTTTGACGGTGAGCAATAGCTCGTTTTGTTGCTAGCACTATTTTGAGGTATTGTATCCAAGTAAGATATCCCATATGGTCGGAAATATGACAGAATGTCCAAACTGAGTTGATTGGCAGCGGGATAATGCGGAAATGGTTGTTTGCGGCGGAGGTAGGCCAATGGAATCGAACATCAGAAATAACAAACAGTTGTATGCATATGCATAACTTGTGTATGTCCCTAATTGTTGAGCTGGGAATACTCTTCAACTTCAATTTGATTTTTCCAAAAGAAATTTGATAGTCGTGAATACATCTGGTAGAAGATTAAAGGGGGCCGATGATAAAGATTGTTCACGCATCGCATCCTGTTTTGAGCACTAAAATTCGGTCCTGTGCTGACGATAGTAAGAGCCGCCAGCTGATCTCGATGGATGTGAACGACCGATTCCCCAATCGGGTTTTAGCGCAGAGAACCAAGCTCGAGGTTTGAGAATGAGAAGCTCATATCACTAGTCGGATCGAAATGTTGTGTTGAGTAAGAGTACGCGTGCCGGGTCTCAGATGTTGGCCTTACAGCAGTGCTGTTCATACACTTCGAGTATGGAGGTTTTGTGGTCAGTAACTGTGATGTCGGAGTCTGGTGTAACCCTCGGGACGGGTCATAAATATTCCCTAGACATCGAGTCATGGGTAGCGATTCGATTAAGTGTCCGTGTACTGTGCGATCCTTGGCTTTTGCAATGCATAGAGAACCGAGGTACATATATCTCCTTCTCGAACTTAACCTGCATCCTTAGTCATCCGTACTAACTAGTGCAATGATCCGTCGGCTATGGCTTCTCCCGGTGGATAAGTACCCTACCACGATATCTTGAAGCAACATGCGAAACCGCCAGTTGGATGTCGTAGACCAGAGAAACCCGTTAGTCGAAAAGAATATTGTTTTAAACAAGACCAAGGAAAGTCGCAAGATTGCGACAATTGATCCATCGACGATATGTTTTTTCAGTCAGCCATTAGAATATGTGTTTCCATACTTTTGTGTCATTCGCTGCTGATATATTCATCGAGGCCTCTCGGGAACAGATGTACACTAGAGAATTCATCGGCGATGATTGAATTATAGAGCGGGATCGGATACTTCAACATACCGCACGAGCTGGGTCGATATAGACTTTGGTTTTTGGCCCGTCACGCGGTCAATTTGCGCAGATACCATGTCCATGCGAGCATTGGGCGGCGGAAGTCTGGGCTTTGCAGTAGCCTGTTATACAACAGTATATATAGCGCCAAAACCAAAAAAAAACAGCTGGTGCGATTGAAATCCCCAAGACATGGGATGGTGGTTAGGGAAGGCTGGTTCGGATAAGACTGCCAAACGCGGAGGGGAAACCTTACCCAACGTACATGTGTGCATACACTACGCCCACAAAATAGAGAAAAGGAAATTCCCTGATAGGCACACACACGAACTATCCTCGTCAGTTTTTCCTGCGCCCATGTTCTTTGTTCGCAGAGTGGTCGTGGGATCCCTGCACAATGCTCGAATAAAGCACCTTGGCACTCGGACATATCAGATCTGCTATCGCGGCAGTTATTCGCGAGATAACGGCTGGTACAGCCCCCATTGGGGAAGGAGATATCACTTGAATTGCATGTCTCCTATGTATAATATCTGCCTGAGCATACTGGGTGCCATGAGACCGATGTAAATTCGTCAGGATAACGTCGGGACTGCTACAAGAGACCTAGTCACGGTCCACTTTGCCATTGACACAATAACGTTTTAGTAATACTAGGATCCACTGAACAATGAAACTTTCTTTTCATGCAAAAGGTTCTTTTCGCTGGCCCGGTTTTCATCTGCGGTAGCAAAGCAAGTACCATGATCAGCTGGCTGTATAGCTTCAATGAGGGAACATCCAGAATACTGTACACAAGAAGCGTATACGCGGGACCGTGTTGCTGAAGTGACATTCCGCGTACATCTTGTTTGTATATTAGTAGCGTCAATCTGGCCAATTGGACATGTCTACTTCGCTACAACATACGATACTAGGCCGCCCTTACCGGCAAGCCTCGCCGCTATCTTCCGACAAACTCACGGCTGGCAATGGCTTTTATGATCCGACAAGGACAGTGATTCTGCGCAAGTGTCATCATGCTTGTGGCCGGTTCTCGGGCTAGAGACGTCCGCTCTTGTCTCGCTTAAGAATGTTCGACATGCAAGCTAATGACGCACGTAGCTGCACCCGCGAGTGTCCTAAGTGCGGACTTTGTTCCGAGCTAATGACGCCGTTTTTTTGAGTTCTACAAGGCGGAGATTTTTCATCTCTCTTCTGCCTTCCCTTAGTTTCACCTTTGGTACCGTCTTGACCAGGGAAAAGGGCTGTCCCAGAGGCTGGTGGGCGCTTCTCAACACTCCAAGGTTTCGCCTAGCGCTGGGTCGCCACATCGGCCACTCTGAAGTTGCGGTTCGCGCTGGACATGTCGTTGACCTCTGCCGTGCAATAGAACTAGTCCAAGACTCTGATGTTGCTCTTGTCTTGTCGCTCTCCACTTTGCTGATCTAAGGGTAATACGCTTACTATGCATGTAGTATCGGTCCTTCTAACTACTAATACTCGCTCGTCACCGCTCATTCGACTGTTGGACTCTGCGACTAACTGGTGTTACGATCCAATAAATCGGACATGGTTTTGTTATTACAATCTGTTACACCAATTGGGTGGGTACGGCGCCCAGTGATTTAATTGATACATTCCCACAGCATGCCAGTGGTAAGGCTGGTGGCGCTGGGTGTACAGTAGTCATCTCGTGCATGTGGACGGCTCGAGACAGCACAAGAGTCCGCTAGACCACGTTCAGGCTCGATACGCTTTGGTGCCATTTTTCTAGGCTCGATGGTCAATGACATCCTCAGTGCGTACCGAGCTCATACTTTGCTATACGCACCGAAACCAGCAGCGATTTCCGCGTCCGGAGACGAAGCCTTCAACGGAGGCTGACCCGCGCCCCTCTTTGTCGGTACATAGTTTGGAGTATGCTTGAAATGTAGGCGCCACTATGGCATCTCTGCCGTATTGTCTTTGCCTAAACTAGATGCATGAGATATCTCGGGTTGACTACGAAAAATCCTGCTGTTCCCTTGCTCCTCCGGATCAGCGTGTTGTTGTCCCGGCCACTTCAGTGACCCAAGACCGTTTTGGCTGCTATATTCATGCAATACACACATGGCCTCGGCAGCCCTCGCATTGACAACTCACGTCTGCCTGGTGGCCCGTCTTCTTTGTCTTTGATCACTGCTGCACACCGTCATCGGTCTGACAAGCCACTCGTGTACTCGTTAGCCAGAAACGACGCGTGGAATCAGCCAGAACATAGACTTGTACCCTGATCCCTCCTCATTCGTGCATATGCGGCTAGACCTTGGTTGCATGTAGCAGTTTCCCGTGCTTGAGCGAGCTTCTCCCAGCGAGCATGCACATGCTTCCTCCATGGTAAGGCGAAGGCGAAGGCGGAGCAAGGCTTTCAGCCTGAGATGCCGCCGCTCCAACCGTCCCACCTATACTGGGCAGATTGGCCACCAAGACGGGCGGGTCTCCTCTTTTGCCTCTTGGAGACGTCTAGTCCTGATGGCCATACCACCGTAGATAAGGTCGTACCTGTGAAGTCTTTGCAACCCGTCATAGTGCTCTGTGTCTGATATCTGTACTTGCTGGCTTGGTCTAGTCCTTCTCCACCGCTGTCGAGAGCACTCAGTGCCTCGATGGACGTGTATGTAGTTCCCCTCATGTGCGCCAGCCAACCATCTCACTCATCGAGCGGGGACATGCACCCAGGCTGGCGAGGCCGATTCGACCCACTGTCGGTGGCACCCGCCAATCCGCAGACACGCAGCCTGGTCCTCCCATGCACCGAAGACGCCAACGACCGCAGCGCTGACCCACACAAGCACAGCACTTGCTCATCTCGGGATCAAAATTGCGTGCGACCTTCCTCCTAGTCTCTCCGCCGTTCATGTACCCACGCAATACCCAGCATTGCTTTGTCCTCACATGACAGCAAGCGTGTGCGGAGTGCCGTGTAGCAAGTTTCAACGTCAATTCATAATCAGTCGCCTTTGCACTCCCTCGAGGATGGCAACACAGGCCTCATCTGCGGTCAGAATGATGAAAACTCACATCACCGCGTCAGAGATGCCAAAACAAGCTAAGTTGGTCAATGGGTCAATTGTTTGCGCAGCTATTTGCAAAGCTACCTACGGTCGCAGCAATGGCCGCAGCTCTCATGTTTGTTGTGGTGGTTGGTGTGGCTCCGTGCATGACACGAGGGCCGTCCTTAGGTCTGACGGCACAACACCACCTCAGCTTTTGGCAGCCGCTGTTATACACTCACTTTACTGCAGACGAGCCATGGATCTCTAGTCTTCAATTCGAGTAAAAATATGATGGCCGTACACTTCAATCTATCTCTGTACAAGCAATTGGTCCGGCAATGTGGACTTGTTGCCTCATCTGACAATGAGGCATACTGGTTGGGATGATTGACAGAAACATGCTGCATCATGTTGCCACCGCATGGACTGCAGCAAAATGCTCACATCTGGAATCTCCTCTTTACGGCTTCACCGGTAAGAAGGTCGGAATCATGGAGCCCTCTTCATAGGCCGCCAGAGGCAAGCATTCCATGTTGATTATGCGTGGAAAGGTAGGCGAGCCAACGCCGATGCGTTCATCAAACCCATGACAGATGGTGACATGAATTTCAGGGATATAGCCTCCTCCCCGATCAACCACATACCGCTCGCCACGTCAGAGGATCTCCGATGGGGCAGGCTTTGGCCGGTTCTAGTGTCTGCCCAGGGAGTCCAGGTGATTGCTTCGACATGCGATGGCGAGCTAGGTTCCGCATAAACTTCACGCCATCCTGTTATCTGAGTGAGGCATGCCTGTCAGCGTGCAGGGCCTAGTTAGTCAACATTGGGCCGGCCACGGTAAACGCCAGCCGTTGAGTGGAGATAGAGATCAGCTGAATGGAGGGCCCAGTCCATGCAAGGCAATATGCATGCGGAGGTTGCTAGTGTTCCATGCAAGTGGCAACGATGGATTACCGGACGTAATGTCTAACATGTAGTACTGCAGCAAGTGGAGATAAGGTGACTGGCCGAGAGCAGCTTGGGTCCGTCGTGTAGAGGCCGGCAGTCGCGGACTGACGACGAGAGGCGAATAACAGTCTTTAGTGGACGTGAGAGGCAAGAGAGCGCCATCGGTGAAGCTGAGTGATGCTACACAGATTGATTAGCTTGGTCACATACAACAGCTTGGAGGGGTAGAATATCGAGCGTAACGAGCCGGCAAACGCCCGAAATTTCACGGGTGTGCTTCATGTTAGCAATCTCGAGGGCGGACAAATGCCCAATCGAGAGCACTGTTGATACATGCGCTCCATATCTTGGCCAATGCATCTGGTAACGGCTGACCGTAGCTCGTAACGGAGAAGGGGTGCCCAGGGCTCTCAGGGTTCGTTGGCGTACTTTCCTCCTTTGGCGTCCGCTGTTGGTATCTCAGCGGACACCATTGGCCAATCGCTTGTTACTCCCAGGAAAGAATATCTGGAGCGGACTGTGACTCGGCATGAACCACATAGCACGTGATCACAACTCGGTTCAGAAATGCTCCATCTCCCATAGCATGAGAGGCCCGGAATGCTCGAAAATGACATACCACAACATCCTGGGGCGCCCACTAAGGCAATTCGACAAGGAAGATGAGGGATTTTCACATCTGGAACTCAGGGTTACGTGGTTCGTGAAGCCACGACACGTTGATCCCTTAGCATATGTGATAACTCTCTGCAGCTGGAAACGCCGGCATGGCCTAGGGTTCCATTGCAGCCCGTCTCCGCATTGTTTTAGCGTCAGAATGAAAGGGATTTGTGAATCGTAGCGATGTCGTTGGACGGGACGAGGTGGGGTGCAACCACGTCGACGGAAGGATAGGCCATGGCAGCAATCTATGGTCTGACAACGAAACAGTCTCGGGTGCCAGAAGCGGCCCATGAGGTCGGCGAGAGGTATGCGTCCGTAAGGATAAATAGCGGTATGCTGCTGCTTCCAGTCTGGCTCTACACTCAACTCAACAGCAACCTCCAGTCGTTGACGAGATCTTCTGAGCATCTTCCAACTCTTGTGACATCGAGTCCAACAACCGACCCACCTCCCACCTCTAGACCTTGCTCATTGTTGTTCAAGGCTCTCTATCAGCCAACCATCCAGTGTATGTCCCCTTGAGGCCGGAGGTCAAAGACCCCTAAGTTGACCGATTCCAGGTACGAGATCGCTGGTCCTATCAAGCAGGTCCAGTGTTTGAACAAGGAGTAATCCGTACGTATTGGAGACCTGTAGTCCAAGCATGAGCACCAAGGCTAATGTATAACCGAACCCCAGACGGCACAACTCTTCTACTCTGAAACATGTGCTTCTACGACCAGCACCGTTTTGTCTGTGGTGATTGGAAGTGGGGCCATTTCCGCCAGCACTGCGCCAAAGAGTACCGAATCGGCGAGACGTGTGGCATGAAGCTCATCATGCAAACAGTCCCTACTGGCACATATTGCAAGCTCTGCGAGAAGATCAACACCAAGATGCGCCGCCGAGCCGCTGAGGTGGACCGTGTCGGCCGATGGCAGCGCGAGGCTCACAAGTTCGCGGCCTCTATTGAGAAATCCATGGAGATGATTCGTGCATTGGACGGGGAAATCTGTGAGCTAACCAACGAGCGTAACCGCAGACTGCAAGCGATTCACTGAGCTCGGGGTAGACATGACGCAGGCGTCTGGGAGTTTTCGTTTCATGTACAACGTCTTGGTATTTCCTTTCAAATTGAGCCCGTTCAACTTTCGTTTCGGGGGTCGACATAAGGCAGGAAGTGCTGCTATTGAAGGAAGAGGAGCGGCACATGGAAGACCGGGCGTTACCTCTTACAATCGCTTCTTTTCAGTCATTGAATCCTCTTGGGATTGGGTAGTTCAATCAATCTTTTTTTCTCCTAACTTCCATGATTGGCTACATGCTCAGTCGTTGTGAACGTAGCCGCTGTGCCATGAATTGGGGGCTGAAGCCATCCAATCCGCGAATGTCGCGTAGCCGCGAATAGAAGTGGAGAGGTGGTTGCGCACGGCCCAGGCAAAGGAACGGCGCTTCTTCCGGTATCTGGGAGATACGCAATAGAGTTTTGACGGGAGCGTTGTAGACATGCAGCAAGCTAAACGATAACGTCGGGATAGGAAGAGTGGAGGAGCGGACGATGAGGATGTTGTTTTGTCGGGGGACAGCGGTGGGGTAATTTCGTAGCTCGGTCGGCACGTGATGGCGCTAAGGGTCGGGGCGGATAGCGTGATCGAATGAGGCCGAAGATATGCCGATCCTAACTCATTTACCATAATGTTACCAAGTAGCTTACCACCTCAACATCATTTTGCGTATCTCGAAAACGTTCCGCTGAGACCAGTCCATAAACTTTCCACCGAGATATTGGCTCTAGACCCCTTCGGAGGGTTGTCTTCCACAAGACCGGGCGTAGCAGCTGACTCCCTCACTCCGTTATCCCTTGCTAGTGTGAGTCTTTGCGTACTGGATCATTGGAAGACGTGCGTCGAAGAGAGGGGTAGCAGTATGAATGGAACAAAGCAAGAGAGGGTATGCTCGTGTGATCGATAGCCTCACGCTTGACGTGAGCTCAGTCTTGAGGGGATCCTCCTAGGTTTTGGCGGTATCGCAACGTATTCTTCGTCCATGTGGCGCTCGATTATCCTTCGATCATTCAACGGTATCGATATAAGCAATGCTGATGAAGAGAATGGAGGTCCTGAGAGTGCCATATCAGTCGGAAGAGCCAGGAAGAAAGGCAGAAAATGTCGACTTACGTGGCGAACGCTGAGTGGCCTGAAAGGCGATCGATCGCCCTTCACACGCTGTCCCTGAGTTATGCTCACCAGTACACTCGTAGGCGTCATAGCCAATTTTATACCACTAATATCTCCTCGAGTGCCTTCTAGTGCATCCGTGTGCACAAGAGAATGGGGTTTTGACAGCGCGGAAGAGGGGTGCGAGAAGGGTACGGGCCACCCCAGCTTAAGAATATCTTGTGATCGTAGCCCTAACACAGCGACTAGACTTAAGCGCCCGTGGTATAATACAGTATGTCGCTCGTGTACCGTAGCTTTTGGTTGGGTTCAGAGACGCAGCTGGGTGGATGCGTAAGGCGATACCACGACAACATGGCCAATAAATCGACTCGACGTGTTGTCAATAGGCCCGCAAGACATGGTTCCTACATGGCCTACGACCGATAAACCATCTTTAGGCCGTACCATGGACGTATTGGGCTACAATCAGTATAGTTATGCTTAGCCGGAACGCATGTAAAGCACAAGATGAACCAATGAGAGCCTGGAACAGCTCATTCAGATGAGCTGGGCAACCTGTTCAGTGGCATCCTCATTTCGCTCCATCTCAGATGCGGGCGACTATCCAAGTCGCATGTACCGGCGGTACGTACTCTTTGGCGCTCACCAATTCAGCTCGTTTCGTTGTGACTACGAGCATTGCGCATGACGACTTTACCCTTTCGGGTGGATCTTACCTTCCATAGCGCTCCCGCAAATTGTATGCATATCGGAACGGACGCACACTTACTCCCGCACCAATCCGCGGTATACAACGCACGCATTGTGTACGATCCGTTGGATATCTACCTGGCCATCTCCATTATTGCCCCCAATCGTTGTTCAGCACTGGCTGTTGCATGATGGAAATAGAAAGCGGGAGCCCATGCGTTCAGACTCAATGCAGCCTCACTGTGACCAAAGAAACTTTCTGCTTATTTTCAAAGCCTCCTCAGCCTATGCAGACCTTGTAGGACATGCGATTGTGGTACAACGTTTGCCGAGAGTGCGACCAATCACAGCCCAGAACAGGCATTCTGCCTCAACTGCAAGCCGCCGACTTCGCCCAACAGGAACAACGATACTCACAGCTCACAGGGGCGCTAAAATGCATGAGTCTTCTCTAGACTTCCAGTCATGCCATCTGTAGCAAGAGTCGTTGCAGCGTTGTGATGGCTTGGTAGGTACTTACGTACAACCAGCCTTCGTGAACCTAGAGATGCGCTTACCCTTACGCACACCGGCGGCTCGCCTCGCAGCGTATGTCTAGGATAGCCCTTGTCGGTCAATGCAATGCTTGAACCCCCACGCCTCTTTCAAGAGCACCAGTAGTGATTTGTGGGTATGCATCGAAGGATTCCACTAGGTGTTAAATAGCCGTGAGGTCAGCGCACCTGGTTATGCGAGCAACTAGGTTTATACCAGGTGGTATTCCAGTCATGTTCTTAGCTGTATGTGGTCATGCCAACCAGAATTTCTGATATTCCGCCCTGATTGTATCAGATTCTGTACGCTCCGTTTATCTGAGCCGTCCAAAGGTCAAAGAAGTGAATTTAACCGAGCCAGAAGCCTAGTATAATTGGGAAGAATTAGGCTGTGAGCATTAGCTCGGCAAATATAATGAGAACCGATGGACATGCGAGTTAGGAGGTTGTTGTCATCACCATTCAACATCTGTGCAGTCAACAAGACCTAAGTAGTGACGCAGACGTAATCAAAGTAGAATCGATGCCAGACAACTCGCCTGTGGTATACTTCAGCTCCAGAGTAGTATTTGAAACTTCAAATCATCTCAACCTGTAATTATGGAAAATAGAATATGCATTGGGTGATCAACCCACCTCACGATGGACGTTACGATCTATAAAGATACAGCAAACGCCGGGGTCACGTGATGTTTTCTGGACGTGGCGCAGGCGTGTGGCTGGAAATCGCCAAGAGGTCGGACATGTTCGGTGCCGATCATCACAACTCCAAGGAATCAACCCTTGTCACAACAAGTGTTAGCAACGTTCTTCTTACTGTACTGGATAGCACGCTGTTTCGAGGGGTTTACACATCTACAGACTCGTAAGCTACTCAGAAAGCAGATCCTTCACCTCCGCTGTTCTGTCCTCCCCACGCTGCTTTACCCACTACGTAACACACCCTTTACATCGCAATGGGTGTTTGCGCGTCGTGCTTAGGAGGGCAGAGGACTTCGGATATAGATGTGAGTCCTCCTGTATGCGCTTTTGTAATGACAAACCAGCTGACGTAAACTCTTATAGCAGTCGGACGCTTCACATCTTCTCGGGGACCAATACCAGCCCAACTATGGCACCGCCAGCAGCACTCACAATGTGCCTCAGCCTGACCCTGAGGAGCTTCGCCGCCAGCGAGAGAACTTGGAGCGTATCTGCGCTGAAACGAACGAGTAAGCATCTCGTCTTTATGCACTTTACTGATCCAGCTCTGATGTCATCCCCTATAGACAGTTGATCCCCGTTTCACAACCGAGCGCACTCCCCGAGGTCTCCGAGCAGCCTTCCAAGAACGACGAGTATGCCCATCTTTTTAACGAGCGCTTCAAGTCCATCAGACACGGCCGTCCGGCTTCTGCTGGTGATAACGAAGATGACGAAACAACCTGGCTCGAGAACGTTGTAGGCAGCCAAGGAGAGGACGAACTGGATCAGATCAAGCCAGCCAACGGCAAGCTGACGATACAGTTCGGCCAAAGATAGACACACGAAAACTTGTGATCGACGCCATAACGCTTTGCTTGTGCCCTTAGAGGCAGAGATCTACTGCGTCTTCCGATGCTTATTCTATTCCTTCTTGTATGATTACCCATTTCGGATACCCGTAATACACCCTTTCTTCTCTGTATTCTTTCTTTTCAATCAGCATTGCCTTTGTCATTCGCATATTTCCTAGTGTTAGCATAGGTAGGTTCAAAATACTTTTTTTGCATCGTCATGTCAATATTATCCTATCGTCTTTCTCACACTATCTCACTAGCCTAAGGATGGTAAAATGCAGCATGTAATTATTTCCTTTACTTTTCAAAGCATAGAATTGAACAAGACTGGATTCTTTCCTCGCAATTGCCGTCAAACCACATGACAAATGCTAGGCTACTATACAATATCCCTCCACTAGTTGCTTCACAGGGTTCTGCGTGAGAAGATCACGGTTAAAAGAAGCAGGAATACAAAGCAAAAGCAGACTCAAGGGGAAAACATTGGTGATGGCGCCTTATACATGACATAGACGAAGATACCACCCCACGTCATACCACACCATCAGCCGGACGGATGTGGTGGCGAGGTCGTAGACAAAGTCGCCGCTTCATCCAACTCATGTAACGTGTGCTCCGCGACGCCATCCATCAAGACGCGCAGTTCCGTAGTGTACTTATCGGGGATCCTGTCAAGTTGCAGATTCAAGCCAGGAAGTAGCAGACGCTGCATCGCAGGTTCCTGTTTCTTAAACGTCTTCTTTCCCCATGCCAATGCTGCACCCTGCATGGTACGGAACAGGGCTTTGCTGTCGTCTTCGTCAAGGATGTTGGCGTCTTGGTGTCTCATCGCTTCTTTCTCAACGAAATCGCGGACAGTGGTGGCGGTCTTGGCGTCTGGGGCTTGCTACGCTATCGTCAGTATTGTGCCCTGAAAAGAAGAACAGAAGATGAAATCTAGGCATAATCCTTTTAACTACTTACGTTTGGAGCGGGTACACTGGGCGTTTCAGGGCCGGGGGCAGATTTCTCAGCATGCATCTTCTCCAGCCTTTCCCGAACCTTTTTCTGGATGTTCTGGTAGATCTCATCGGCTGTGGGTCGACGGTGGCCGCTTCGCTGGATGATGGCTGGGATGCGTCCGGTAGGGTTGTATGTAACGGGCTCGCGGCGGGCTAGCAGCGGCTCGTCGTAGCCAAGGACGCAGTTTTGATACAAAAGATCGTTATAGGGATAGTCTTCGCGTGAGTGAGCGACTAGGACCCGGGGCCGCGCAGTCTCTGACTGTGGAGTTGAAGGTGCTAGGTACGCTATACTTGGGTTTGATCGAAGAGCAGCACGAGTGGTTGGCGGTGCTCTGGTGGCGGTCGCGAGAGCACTCTCTGCGAAGGAGAGGGTCTGATGGCGTTTACTAGGAGTTGGGGATGCGTGGTCTGGGTCGAGCTCGCCCTCTGAAGACTCTTCCGCCTCGCTGTCTTCAATGCAAGAGCGGCCGCGCGACCGCTTCGTTGCTTTCGACTTGGGTACAGACGGGGTGTGCTTGCCTGCCTTCTGGACACTTTCCTCACACTCCTTCGACTCTTCCTCGTCGACGTCCTTCTGCGAACTACTGGCCTTGACCGCACTACCTACTGGCTTCTTCCTCGATGCTCTCGCTCCAGTACCACTTGGAGTCGCAACTCCAGTCTCCTCGGGGGATGGCATATTGCCGTGGACAAGTCCCTTACCTTGGCGTTGACGCTTCTCATAGCACGGCTGGCAGACTTGAAAAGTGCAGCCGGGGCAGCGCCGCATGGTGTCCATGTTGCGTTTGTCGCACTCGGTACACTTGGCGGTGTGTACAGCTACTCTGGTGTATAATGGCTCGTCGACAGTGCAAGAATTCGGAGCTGTACTTGCTGGCGTGTGAGGTGTGTGTGGTGGGGACGGGCTTTGAAAGTGATGTGATGTGTTTATATGGGGTGGGGTGTTTGCATGAGACGGGCCACGGTGAATGCATGAATTTTCTGGTGTGAGTGTGAGGACCTGGTTACCAGTGCTACGGCTCGAGTCCGGTGTAGTGAGAGGATACATCTTTCCGTTTGTTTGGCGCGGCTTGGGTGTTGTGTGTTCTTTGTCAATGCTTCACTTGGGCGCTTTACTGTGTGGAGAAGAGGTTAGATTTGTATTTTTGCACTTACAAAAAGAAGAGGCAGTGGCGAAGGTGGTGGTAGGAAGAGTTCGGATGAGGTTGTGAAGAGTATTCAATAATGGGAGGGTCAGGGTGAAATTGTATTGTGGTAGGAGTAGGAATCCGCTCACATCCACTAACACGATTAGTCCGTTTGGGAGGGCTATTCACTCTGGATGGTTTCGTTTTCGGGGCGTCTAAGCTGCAACTCTACAAGATTGATGCATACACACTGATGTGCACAATAGAGGTTACAGAGAGCAAGGCGGCACAGTGGGTTAGATATATAAGATACATGCCCGACCAGGTACGTGAATAGATCAGGTGAATCATAAGCTCACTTGGTGGATGAAGTTTGAATGCCTTGGGAACAAACTCGTTTGTTCTTCTGTGTTGTGAAGGGACTCTTTAGTGTGTTGGTTAGTGGGCAAGATGTTTCATGCCGGTATGCTTGGTCACTAAAGTCACGAGTTCACGATATCGCCCTTAACTCGATGAAAATGACACATATGCGTTGGCTTCACGTCCACGCTCGCAATGTTCAAACGCAGGAAGCGGTGAAGGATGTTTAGTGCCGTTGAACAAGACACGAATTGGGAAATACATCCAACCCTCTCACCAGCGTAAGACGGGCGTGACATTCTGGCACGGATGGACGGCCGTTTTAAGCATTGAAACGGCCCTATGCTCTGCCGTGCGAACAGGCGGGGCGTGTGGGCCGATTTTGGGACAAGGTTTGGTTTTAAAAGATGAACGCGATGATGTACCAGGTGTCGCCTTCTGGATTGCCATTGTTTGGTTGTGCCCAGAACAATGGCAAAGCTTGAATTCTAAGTACCTTGGCAAAAGGAGGGGACTTCCCTGATAGCAGTGAGAAGACATGGCAGCCAGGGACATGTACAAAAGGAGACTGGGCTCGCATAGGTAGATAGCACCATGCTATAGTATTGTGTTCACGGCGAAATGGGCCATATCTGGGGTCGAGGAAAGGAAGCAGACTTGGCCATGATATCGTGAAAAGAAATATGGGATAGCTGCATGTTGATTTGGAGAGGAGGCTATCTCACACCGAGCATGACATGCATGTCAGCCTGTGGGTGTCAGTACCAGGTGTGTAGTCGAACTAACCCTTGCCTATCGCGTCACCGACGTGGTATGCAGAAACGCTAGCCGCATTTGTCCTAACCACCATGTTCCAGCCCTACACTAGCAGCCCACGATATGTACTCATAAAGACTAAAGCGCGCGTTGCAATTTCGTTGGCTTCCTTTGACGCCCTTCACTTCAGCGCTGATGGAGTTTAATAGGCGTCGTTAGTATTGCGCTCCTTGTGCTGTCAGACTTCTGCCTGGAGCTGCCCCGCTGCTCCTTTCCAGCGCGCATAGTAGATTCTCCACCTCTTTGCCATCGCGTATGTACGCTTCTTATCGGTGATCGTTTTCAGGAAATGGACCCTCAGCGGGGATAATTTTAGCTGCCCGACAACGCACGGCAGCCCTGAGGTGCAACATGGTTGACTGCTGCGTATAGCGTATAGGCGTATAAGCTTAGGCAGCGGTGTGCAGGGGTGCAAGAGATGACCGCGCCCTCACTAGCCACACCCACTGATCTGCTAGCAATGAGCATTGCTGCATCTTGACTGGAGAAAGCCTTCTGCGTAATATGCGGGAGCTACTCGAACCCACCCGCTATTTATAACCCTGTCCTGGCCATCAAACGCTGGTGCAATGAATCGTGCAAGCAAGGGCATGGCCTGTCGCTATACAAGAACTCACAGCCCTGCCCTCACTGCGCATCTCTTTGCGAAACATCAACACGCCTTCGGGCCATCGTCAACCCGAGCGCAGATACTCTGCATCTATACGCCATATTCCTAATATAATACACGCCTCGTTTCTCTGGTTGCATACGTCGGCTGTCATCAAGCGGATGACGGTCTTGTGGCGGTGCTGCAGATCGTACAGCCCCCAAACTCTTGGAACAGGGTTTTTCAATTGACTCTTCGCCAACGCCGAATTCCTAGGGTTCTAGGCTCTCTACTCTCGGCGGCCTCTTTCAAGCCATTTGTGGACTGGGGTGTTTGACGATATTGCGTATCTTTAAAAAGGGTGCGAGCAAGAATAAAGATCGCCTGTTCAGCCTCCCCAAACATTGGCGTGGTTTGCCTCCCAACCACAATCGTCTCAGGCCAGCTCTGGCACAAGTGGGATTCCTGAACCTTTAACAAACCCACCACTTCGACCCCCATCATGGATCAAGACGAATCGCCACCGCCGTTCTACTCGGCCATAACGCTGTTGAGCTACATGCATGCTCCTGCGGTCGGCTTCTATTACCTAGGAGCGTGCATGTTCGGTCTTTGCATCTTACAGAAAACACGAATGGTGCCACGGAAACGACGGATAAGCGTAATGGCTTTCATGGTCACAATACTCCTAGCATACATCACAGAAGTCCTCTACTACCTCAGCCAGTCGATAGCCGATTCCCAATACACAGCTCCACAATTCTTCGCCATACGGTGCTTGGGCTCGATACTTGTCTGGAGCCCTCTGTCTTACATGTTGTGGGCAAGCAAATCGCTGCGCTGGCATGCGTACTTTGGAGCGTTTGTTGTGCAGTTTGCACTCGAGGCGACGACTTGCTTGATCACGATCTTCACCCAGCCAGAACTATTCCCAGAAAAGTACCCGCCTCTGATCATTAGCTGCGTGAGGGCTTTGGTCTCACTGCTCCTACTGGTCGATGCGTTTGTCGTCCTCGTCACCAAACAGACCGAAGTTAGCACAGACGAAGAGCGCCAATCACTTCTGAACAAGTCAACGGATAGCTTGTTAGGCTCAGGTTCCCACATGGGCTACGGCGCCATCCCATTCGGTGATGATTTTGGCGGTGATAGCGATGATGAGGACGGTCCGCCAGAGGAAGACGACAAAGACTTGAAAGCGCAACAAGCGAAACGACTCGAAGAAGAGGGTGGCTGGTTCGGCTACTTGAAAGGCTTCGCCGTCTTCCTACCATATCTGTTTCCAAAAGACGACTGGAAGGTCATGGCTTGCCTCGGCATCCGACTGGTGCACATGTTGCAAGAGCGTGCCCTCAACTTGCTTGCGCCTCGACAACTTGGTATCATCACCACCGAACTCCAGAAAGCGTACGAGACAAAGAGCGGCGTCATGCCGTGGAAAGACATTGGGCTCTGGGTGCTGTATTCCTGGGTTAACAGTTATGCCGGACTTGGAGTCATCGACAGCATGGCAAATCTCGTCATCTCCAACTCTGCTTATCGCCGCGTCACATTGCTAGCTTACGAACACGTATTGGGTCTCTCCATGGACTTTCATACCTCAAAAGACTCTGGTGAGGTTTTGAAGGCTGTTGAGCAGGCGTCTTCGCTCAACACACTCATTGAAATGGTGCTGTTTGACGTTGCGCCAATTCTGTTGGATCTCGTCGTCGCGATGTACTACGTCACCCACCTGTTCGACGCGTACATGGCCTTCATCGTTCTGTTCATGGGCGCAGCATACATTGCGATTGGGTTCTACTTTACTACACTGTCGCAACCCAAGAGACGAGATTACGTGGAGAAGCAACGAAGCGAAAGCTCCACGGTCAACGAGACGATACACAACTGGCAAACAGTCGCTTATTTCAACCGCTTCGCGTATGAGTATAAGCGTTATGCTGAAAACATCATCAATACCATTTCGGCGCAATATCAATACTACTTCAGATCCATGGGCGGACATGCTGCGCAAGATCTTTTGACTACCCTTGGTTTCGCCGGTGCCTGTGTCTTCGGCATGACTCAAATCGTCACCGGACGAAAGCCAGTTGGTAACTTGGTCACACTGATCTTGTACTGGAATACGATGACTTCGCCACTTTACGTTCTTTCTTATAGCTTCCGGCAAATTACCAGCTCTCTGATCGATGCCGAACGCCTGCTCCAGCTACTCAACACCAAGCCCACAGTAGCAGACCAGGAAGGTGCCAAGGACATTATTGTGGAAAAAGGAGAAGTGGAATTCAAGGATGTCCACTTCCACTACGACGAGCGCAAGCCTATCATCAAGAATGTAAGCCTCAAGGCTTTGAGTGGCCAGACCATTGCCTTTGTGGGTGAGACGGGTGGCGGAAAGTCAACTATGCTCAAACTTCTCTTCCGCTTCTACGACGTGACAAGCGGATCGATAATGATTGATGGCCAAGACCTGCGCTCAGTGACGCAAGCTAGTCTACGGGATGCCATGGGCGTCGTACCTCAAGACCCTGTTTTGTTCAATCAAAGCATACGACAAAACATCCGCTACGCCAAACTTGATGCCACTGACGCCGAAATCGAAGATGCATGCCGGGCTGCCGCCATTCACGACGACATTGCCGGCTTCCCAGACGGCTACAACTCTAAAGTGGGTGAGCGCGGGGTACGGTTGTCAGGCGGCCAACTCCAACGCATAGCCATTGCCCGTGTGCTCCTGCAAAACCCTAAAATCGTATTGCTGGACGAAGCAACATCAGCAATTGACTCTTCCATCGAAGCGCTTATCCAGCAGGCTTTCCGCAAACTAAGTCAAGGCCGCACCACGTTTGTAATCGCACACAGACTCAGTACGATTGCAGACGCCGACCAGATCTTGGTCGTAGAGAAAGGCGAAATCATTGAAAGAGGCACACATCAGGGGTTGCTAAAGAATGAGCAAGGAAAGTACTCAGAGCTGTGGAGAAAGCAGACGGCGGGGCATCTGTCAAAGGGGTTGGAAGCCAAGGATGTGAAGGAGGGCGAGAATCAGGAGGGAGGCGTAGTCATTGGCGATACGACGATTCAGGGAGAAGACCAGGCAACCACTTCTGCGACGAACAGTGACAATGCAGGCGAAGATAGCAGCGTAAGACGCAAATAAGTATTAATAGAGTGAGGTGATATCATGTATACAGCTACTTAGAAAGGGCCTGTAAGATAACGAAATAGAGAAAGACCACAAACCAAAGACCACGATGTCTTTTTTTTTCACTTTTTGCGCCACGTAGCCATGTTCTCTTTGCATCAACAGCGCACAAGTATCAACCAAGATGAAGAGAGAGAAAAAAGCAAAACGGCTTGCAAGAAAACCTCCTTACTACGTACTACTATTGTTCTTCTTTTCTTTTTCTCTTTTCGTCCGCGGAACAACACTGATTTTCTTTTTTTGGTTGCCTAGAATTCAGGCATCTATCTCACCCCAGCTCACCCTCACCATCCCCTACCCATCTTTCGTCCGCAACGCCCGTCTTACTTGTTTACTATAGTCTGCTGAGTCGGGACAACAAGGCAAGGAGCGCCCCTCGCCAAGCCCTCTCCCACCTCAGTCGGGACGACTATCCTCCGACGCATGGGCCCACCGTGCGCGCGATTGGACCAGCGCTGAGCGCCATCGCAACGCGGTGCTGAAACGAGCATTGTGTGAGTTTTTTTGTGGCGCAGAGGGCGGGAGAGGCGTACGCGTGTGATTGTGATGTTGGTTTATAGAAGGACCCTTTTCCTACTCTTTTCTCTTTTCCCTCATATAAATATATGTATCTTCTTTTGCTTGAAGCGAGCTTTTTTTTTTAGGGTACTTGGACACGAACTGGTGCGGCTGATAGAAAGTCGGCTACGTCACGAAAACGGAACGAACGAACCGCTCTAACCCTTTTGCACTAAGTAGGAACGTTGGACCCGTGGTTTTGGGCTGCTGCCTTGAACGGGCCAGATCGACGCTTTTGAACTACGGACGGTTATCGAGCCCAGACTTTTCTGTGTTCCTAACACGCTCTGCACGACTGCCAACCCCAAGTAATAGTAGTTGTTGCTGTTGTTCTGGACAGCGGGGTCATTATGGCGGTGCCGAAACGCGTGCTGCTGCTTACTTCGGCGGCGTATGCGGGTTTCCGAGCGCGGTATGGTGTTGGGTTCACGCCGTTTGCAGCGCAGAGTTATGTCAAGAATACGCTTGGGGTCTATGTGGTTTTATTCTTTGCGCAGCTTTTCTGGGGGGTCTTTGTGTATCCGTTGTTTTTGACGCCGTTGAGGAAGTTGCCGACACCTGAAGTGAGTACTTTTCTTTCTTTCTCTTCTGAATTGCTTTCTCTATCGATTGGGGAGGCGGAGATTAATACGGGATATGGCATGCTAATATACATTTGTGTGATAGGACGGGCACTTTCTTCTTGGGCACTATGCTAGGATTTTCAAGGAGCCGACAGGTGAGCCGCAGAGAGATTGGGTCGATAGTGTGCCGAATGATGGTGTCATCTACTATCGGTTCTTGTTCAATGACCCCAGGATTTTGATTACGACTCCAAAGGCGCTGGGTGAGGTCTTGGCGCAAAGGAGTTATGATTTTATCAAGCCTAAGAGGGTGAGGGTTGGGCTGGGCAGAGTACTTGGTGTTGGGGTTTTGCTGGCAGAGGGAGATGAGCACAAGGTATGTATTCTCTAATTGCCCCTAAATGGTAGGCATGACGCTTGAGCGCTCCCAAGACTAATCCTGAACCCATATAGCGTCAAAGGAAGCTCCTCATGCCTGCATTCAACTTCCGCCACGTCAAGGACCTGTATCCAATTTTCTGGGGCAAATCCCAGGAGATGGTGAACAAGATTTCCGAGACAATCAAGAACGATCCTAGCGGGTCTTCAGTCGTTGAGATCGGATCTTGGGGTTCCCGTGCAACACTCGACATCATCGGCGTGGCTGGTTGTGGTAAAGACTTCGATGCTCTTGTGAATCCTGAAAACGAACTCTACGAAACATATCGGCAAATTTTCGCCAGCAGCCGCGGGGCGCAGGTGGTTCAGATTATCCTCGGCATGATTCCGTACAAGATCGCCATCAACTTACCACTCAAGCGAAACGACGAGATTGGAAACGCAGTCCGCACCATCAAAAGCGTAGCCAGAGATCTTATCCGCTCCAAGCGTGCCAAGTTAGAAAGCGGTGAAGCAAAGGATCTGGATATCCTCAGTGTAGCCATGGAATCCGGCGGCTTCAGCGACGAAGATCTGGTAAATCAACTCATGACGTTCCTTGCCGCAGGCCACGAAACCACCGCCTCAGCCCTATCATGGGCCGTCTACGTCCTATGCAAATACCCCGACGTGCAAAAAAGACTACGAAGCGAAATTCACGAGAAAATACCCTCAGCACTGGAAGACGGCGGTCAAGTCTCGTCGACAGAAATCGATCATCTGCCGTATCTGAACGCCGTGCTACAAGAAACTATGCGTGTCTTCCCATCCGTACCACTTACCCTGCGCGAAGCAGCTCAGGACACAACGATCCAAGGGCACTTTGTCCCCGCCGGCACCACTATCGTCATCTGCCCCTGGGCCGTCAATACATCCACCCAGCTCTGGGGCCCGGACGCCCGCGAATTCAATCCTGATCGCTGGATGAAGCCTGGTACGGCCAACACGGGTGGCGCAGAGAGCAACTACGCCATTACTACTTTCTTGCATGGTCCCAGGAGTTGCATTGGTAGAGACTTTGCTAAAGCGGAGTTTGCCTGCTTGGTTGCGGCTTTGGTGGGTAGGTTTGAGTTTGAGTTTGAGGACCCGGAGTATAAGTTAGAGATTCAGGGGGGTATTACGTCGAAGCCCAAGGGTGGGCTGAGGGTTAAGTTGAGGGATGTTAGGGCATGAAGGGTTTAATGGGGAGGTGAGGAGAGGCATTGGAGAATTGCTTTCACGAGGCGGATATCCTTTACGGTTTTATGTGAATGTGTATCTGAGGAGTATGTATAACTTTTACGTCTACTAGATGAATTGCATAACTTCTATTTGACATTTTTTCTCTGGAAATGAGATGTTTTTCAACTGAGCTGGGGATTAAGCGTCTGAATGACTGACAAAGCAGCACTCAAATGTTCGAGAAAAAGGCCCTATCGTTTTCAGAATATACACTCATTTGCATACTCAGTTTCCGGTTCTGACGCGACTTAAAGATTACAAGCGGAGTCTCACATAAGGGCAAACATCTCTAGCTTAACCTACGAATTGCACAGTAGCTGTAGGGTAACTTCAACTTGGTGAATTCGCTTTTAGCATCACGTATGTGGCAAGCGAGCGGCGTACGTTGACCCCGCCAATAGTAGCCATTTAGCGTTCACCACGACGCTCGTGTAACATCGAAGCTTGGCTTGGGGCAGGATGGAAGGTGTAATTACCCGGGCAAGTTGTATGGTTGCTGCAGATGCTGCAAAAAAGATCATCGCGTTGTCAGAATCAAAAATATAAAGCGTTGATAGCTCCCCCATCGACTCCTCCTAAACATCGATCTCCTATGATCATTAGCATATTTGATCAATCCCTATAACTTCATCGTGAAATAAGTTTTCCGTCCCCTTTACTCCCTCTTGTACTTAACTCCATTGAAGGGCGTTGCAGTGCTGCCGAAGCATCGCATGGTCACTCGTGTCTTCGAGGCTGTAGTTTGTTCACTTACTGTAGTACGACACCGATGTCACCACATCGACTTTTCATAGACATTCACCTTTGTGGGACGCCCTTGTAGGTTCAACATCCCGTATAGTGTGCAGACCGGAAGTCAGTTATGCAAGCGAGCATGAGTAGCGTCGGTGCCAAACAACAAATCATCAAGAACCCAGATTTTTTTTCTTTTTTCTAAACACTCTATAACAAACACAAAATCGAGCGTACCAGGCAATAAAACCCTTTGAGTCAGATCAAACCATTAAGGAGCGTCCTTTACATCCTTCCCCCCCCCCCCCCACCTCTTCAATTCCCCCAGCAAAAAAGAAAAAAAGACAGAAGAAAAGCATAGCCTGCATCTCAGTGCCTCGAACTTAGATACATTTCTCTAAGCGCAGTAATCAGGGTTTCCAGCTCCACCATCAACACATCGCCCACAAGGCACGCGCCCATTAATCCACACCAGTGTATCGCCCGCACTGCCGCACTTGAACAGCGACTTGTCGATTTGGTTGACGGAGGGGTACTGGCCGTCGTTGTAGGTGCTGCGGAGGCACTTGCTTTGGATTTCATTGTTTGTCCAGCCTGTTTTGTTGGTGTGGTTGTTAGTTTAGAAAGGTTGGGAAGGAGAAGGAGAAGATGTACCGCGGGAGGCCTTGAGCGTTTTGCCGCAGTAGAGTTGGTGGGTATTGCAGTTTGAGGCGGAGGCGGTGAGGGCCAGGGCGGCGAAGGCGAGGAGGGGCTTGATGGAGAGCATGGTTGGTGTATGGAGGGATGGTTGAGGTTTTGGTTGGAGTGGTAGTTGGAGAGTGAGGTGGGTGAGTTTGAAGGTGTAGGAAGTGGATGCTGGGATGCTGGGATGATGAGTTGATGAGTTGATGGCGTTTTGATTTTCTGAAGCTGCGGTGGTGGCTTTATACTTTCTCTTTCTCTTTCCCTCTCTTGGATTCTTGGATGCTTTCATCTTCGCAGCTGAGGTTACCGGTACCGTGTGATACTGGTGTTGCTACGGGATCCACAGGGTGTTCAGCTGCGGGTAATACATCGCCGCTGGCTGTGGAGTTGCGGTCTCAGTGATGTAACTTTTTTAGGGAAGTTGAAATTGAAAGAGCGGGTCAAGAGTTATTGGCGTTACATTTGCGCATAAGAAGGATTTAGCAATTGAGCGGTCACTGTACCAGCTGAAGTACCTAAGCGAGCGTTGCGGTAAGGAAACGCCTAAGCGGTTATTTTGGTCGGCTGAAACAAGCTTTCTTGTTCCCCACAATTCGTTTTTACCAGGTTACAGCTCTTGTTTATCTTTGCTAAATTAATGCGAATTTCTTACATCACACCACTTTTGTATTGCAAAAATCCTCAATTGGTCTAGGGAGATGAACTACACTGCCTGTATCTGCCCTGATATAGAATATGGTCTCTCAAATTTATTTCCTATATTATTCTAGTGTCTTGATAATGTAACATACATATTGATTGCTCTTGCTGGTCTTTTCACAAGAAGCAGTTCTTCTACTCTACCTGCATTTGAGTCATTTTGTCCTCATTGTTCTTTGGATACCCTGAAAAGGGTTCTGCACACTACGAAAATCGAAACAAAAAAACCGCATCCTCGAAGTGATACTTGCAAGGAGAAAATATGTCTCTTTGAGATATATCAAAGCTGAAGGTGAAGTACCGAATTCTCCTATATACGCACAAAGCATATTCATCACTGCACTCCCTATTCACGAGCATCACAATCTCTTCCCAGAAGATCCTACACATGTTCCTCTCCACTCACAACTCATCCTTGCCACCGTTCCATCCATCCCCTACACCCCTCATCCACTGCACACCCACCAATTTCAAACCCTTCTTCGCCACCAACTCCTCAGCCCTGAAGCTCCTTCGCTCCACAAACTCCTCTCCCCCAATCTCCGCCCTTTCCAGAGTCTCACCCTCTTTCTCCTCAAAAAGCAGGAACAAATAGCGATGTGGGCCACTTTCGTCCTTGGGTCCAGGCGCAAGATATTGCGTCAAAGTCTTCCCTTTTGAGGTAATATCCTCTGCTGGGGAGACTGTCGAAGGAATGGAAGTAATGACCCAATGGCGCCAGTAAGCGAATTTCGGGTCGTCGGGCGTGGGCGCATCAGGATCAATCATCATGAAGGCATATGTTGATGCCGAGGATGTGGAGTCTGACGTTGAAGAGATGGAAATGAAGGGTTGTTCCGCGATCTGGCTGACGCGTGCGAGACTTCCCCTTTCGGGGGCGAGACCTGATGGAAATTTGACGGATAGATCGATGGTGGGGGTGAAGTAGTCTGGGATGATGGATGAAGGGAGGAGGTTTGCGCTCTTGAGCGCGTCGACGAGGGAAGTGGTGGTCATGATGATAAGTTTTGATTTGAACACTGCTTGAACTGAAATTTGAATCTCTATTTGGGGAGAAATGGACGACTTGTATTTATGACTTCTGCGTGGTGGTAGAAGGGATTTTGATGCGTGATTGAGGCGGGGGCGTGTGATTGGTGGATAAACCTCAGCTTTGCTTGGTACTCCGCTGAGTTGTCCACTTCTGCTTGGCGTTCACTCAGAAGGGCAAAGGTTCGGTATAAGATAAGTAACAGCGAGGTGGGGGTTAAGATTATATGTACCCTTACAAACTTCGGGCTTTCGAATGTTACGCTGTGAAGAAATATGAGATGACTATGCAGCAACCTTCGTCAACAATACTAGGACTTTGAGCAAACTCTGGACAAGGGCTAGCAAACAAAATGATATCCTGGGCGGTAGATGTAGTGTCATAGTACTCTTAATTGACGTTGCTCACAGCTACATGCGACATTGGATTTATTTGACATTGTGAATTTCCAGCCCCGAGCTGTTATTATCCGACAACTTCATTCCAGATAACTCGACGACCTACGGCCGGAGATCTACACCCTTTCGACTTCCCCCTACTAAACCCGAAAGCACAGGCACTTGCCCTTATGATTCTGTGTGTCAAAGGAAAAAGAAGAGCTACGGAGACGTGGTTGACTCCAAGTTACTATCACGAAATGGACAAGGGGCATCATCGTGTCGATGAGTTGGCAAAAAGCAAGTTCTGAGACTATATGTACTAGTCGGTTCTATGTAGGATCGTCGCAATGTGGATTTTGCATGCGCGACGTGATGGAAGAAGATTTAGGGATACCCGTCAGCTTTGCCGTACGCAGGAACTGTTCCAATACCTTCGTCGTAGAGGATGTATCGTATATGTACTACACATATCGAATCGGAAGCGTCGTGTAAACTACTCTATTAGCATCAGCGTCATCACTTACTCAAATCAACAGAGTACATCACACTGCCCTAGATCTAGCCTTACATGCCATCCGACCATCCAGATCGTTTTCGTAGAGTCGCTCGAATAAGAGCATGAAACAAGTCGCTGGACCAAACAACATCAATCCAGCAAGGCAGTCACTCGTAAGCACAAACACGCAGTCATTCCATCCATTTTCACCCCATCCTCACCCTCCTCGTAGGCCTACTACCCTCCTCGCCCCCGTCTCACTCGCCACCACCCACAGCCCCCTGAGCTGAGACCCGCCGTCTTCCAGCCACTCAACAAACTCTTGTACACCCAACCTTACATTGCTCATGACGCGTATCTGAGACCGTGCTATAGGATGTCGTTATCCCCTTCTGGCAGAAAATGACCTCGTAATTGGCGCACCCAAGTATCCCAGCCCACAAGAGTCGTACGCATAAGGACCGGGTACTATTTCAAGGACCAAGCGAATCAGGTTTGGGGGCCAGATATACGGCTGGCGCCCACAACATCAGATGCATCCTATATTCTCGTTCCTGTATTAGGCCTCCCCTCCTCTACCCAGGGGTATATATGTGTGTGTGTGTGTGCGCATGACGTCTGATTACCAAGATACCCGTTACACATCCTACACGAGCAATATAGAGCATGAAAATGATCAAGCCACACGGTAATCAAGCAGTGGAGGCTTAGCCCCTCCCCGGATGCTGCGCCTCAAACCCACCACACACAGCAATCAAGCACAAGCACAAGCACAACACACACTGCACGCAACACACACGCCCCCACAAACACCGGACCACCGAACACGCTCTCTTCCCACCCAACCCAACCCAACCACCCCCCCCCCTCTCATAACGGCCCAATCGCACACACCCTTTCTGCCATGTACCTGATCCAGGCACAGCCCTGCAACACCCAACCTCCCACCCTCCATCTCACATCGGGAAAGCTACAACAACCCCATCAGCCAAGAAAACTTTCTGGTGTGGATGGGCATCATTCGCATCCCCAAATATACTATTACCAGTAGTCGCGAAAGAAAGAAAAAATCTAGCGGCCCATTGGGCAGGGCTGCCTTCGCTAACCAGTGCCTAAGTATTAAACGGGTGTGTGTGTGCGCGCGCGTGTGTGTTTGCGAAGCTTAGGCCAGGAACCCAGGCCCAGCTAGTAAGTAGACAGACAGACACACACACACCATAGAGTAACACACGCACGGGCGTGCGCGCGTGTGTAGAAAACGGGACACTACACGCTGGCACACACACACACACACACACACACACACACACACACACACACACTCTTAACGGCATTCGGGCACCGGACTGACCATCGGGCGTGTCTCGAACGACAGGAAGGAAGGTGACCGATGGGAAGGGAAAAAAAAATTGGGTCGTTCAATATTCTGGGTGGGCTGCCCGCTGCCCGTGGACGATGACCGGAGTGTGGGGAGAGAGAGAGAGAGACAAAGCGAGAGCAAGGGTGAGTAAGGTAAGTATGGGTACTAGTCAGGGTTGGTGGTGGGTTGGGTAACAGTTGGGTGAGATCACGATAGGGTAGCTTGTTCGTTTGTTTCCCTGTTTCATCTTTTCGGGCGGGTAAAAAAAAGGACAAAGCGCGGCTGGATCATTCTTTTGGGGGAAGGAGGTGGGGACGGGCAAGGGAAGAGGAGAGAGTTAGGGTTCGACGATCACGCCGGAGAAAGGGTGGACACGCTGGCAACTGGCATTGGAACAAAGCAAGTAAAAGGGGGGGGTTGAACAGAGCGTAGTAGTAAGTAGTAGTAGTGTAATCCAAAGGGGGCCCTGGTAATTGCGGGGAGATGAGTTGGCATGTGTGCTTGCGCAATGCCTTTCTGATGGGTGAAACGGTAGGGTCGGAGACGCCCGACGACACGGCGAGGGCGATCGAGACCGTCGGAGTTGCGGGTGCGAGCTGTGGGGAGACGGCCGATGGGGGGCAGCGCCGTCTTTGGCTCAGGTACTGTATGTACACATGTATGTATGTAGTAATTACTGGGCCCAGAAGGAAAATACTACCACACAAAGTATCGACCGGTGAGGCTTGCGAAATGCATCATGCATGTATGCTGCACCTCTGGCATGCAGGCCCTTACTTTTTCTCATTCGCCCTTTTTTAGCCGCATTCAAAAGTGTGGGGACCTGTCAACACATACACACACATAATCGCATGGGTCGGTCAAACTCCACAAAAACTACACATCTTTACGCACAACATTGCCGACTTGGAACCAGGGCTGGATTTGGCGCTTTTTCGTTGAGATATTGGAAACTTTACCTTGGGCTTGGGCTGCGGGGGACCCACTTTACAAACCATCTGGTGTGTATACAGTAGTTAACTTAAATAGTGGGTATAATGTAAGTAAGTAAGTCAGGCTTTTGGGCCGGGGGGTTGGGCCGCCGGTGGAGAGAGGGAGAGTGAGAGAAAGTAAAGAGAGTTTGCTGACTTGGACACCACCCAAGGACCGAGTCTGGCATACCCTCGGCTGTTTAGGTGATGTGCACCTGGAATATCCCGGACGGGGTGCAGATGGCAGCGCGCAATCGAGTGACAGCTGTCCATGCACAATTTCAGTGGAGCCCAAATTGTTCTGGAATCACCATCTGAATATCGATCAGTACCAGATTGCAATCTAGATGTTGAGGGCGGGGGGGTTTGCGCGTAGCCCGATTGCGAAACACTGTTCCCCCCGATTTCTCTTGTTCTCCTGCTCGTTTGATGTTCCTCTGTCTCTCCCCAGTGTTGGTAAAACTGCACACGGTATACACGGCACCCAATATACACATTCAACTATTACATACCCGCTCCATCCTCTGACGTATGTATGATGCCGGTAATAGCAAGCGTAATAATCGTCGGTCTTTTTCGCGGTGGACGCGTATACGAACGGGGTCGATCTCCGTAACGTGGGTTGGGAAAACGGACACCTATCTCCTTTCATGCCCTCGTTAAAAAAAAAGTGAGGCTCCTGATTCGCACGTTGCCCAGCAATTAATGCGAACCATGCTTGTCCATTTCTGAGGCCACGGCACACTCACACTGCGCATTCTTGCCACTCTCGCCTTACTATGTGACTGGTAGTACGTACCCCGCAACACCAACACCATTCTGCCATCATCACCATTGCCATTGACCCCCATTTCACTCTCCACGTAGCAATTGATTATGCGGCGTTGCTCTGTACTACATCGCATAGCCATGTTGTTTCAGATTGAAGCCCCTTGGCCACGAGACTCCAAGCTGACATGCGTACTGTAGTGTAGGTGGTAGTTATTGGAACTGGTACCGGTTGCCAACTTTTGGGAGCCGGAGACCCTGACGTCTGCCTTGCCCCGCATCACCAATCCTTCCGCGCCATATCCTTACCCTCGACAAGCCTCTTCAGCAAGCAAAGACGTCATGGCGGCACGCTCAAGACTCGGCTGAAGCTGGTGATGATGTCGTATCTTTGCCTCTGCGTCTTGGGGCCTTGGGAGCCAACCTTTGCCCGACCTTTTACTCAGCAGTCAATCGCTCCACAAACTACACCACACTTTGCGAAGAAGCGCATTCAGCCCTTTTGCACGAGGGTCTGCGTGCAGTAGCTAGCGGGTGTGCGCGCGCCCTCTGCAGGTCTTGGTATACCGGTGTGTCCAACACGGGTAGCGCAGAATCACTGTGGCGGACAAAAGGCACCTCCGATGATGGAGAGGGTGTTGAGCAACGGGGCAGAAAACGTCAGGGTCTTTCAGCAAACCTGTTCACGGGTCGTATCGGCGCCGGCGATCAATATATTCCTGGCCACATGATAGTAGCATGGGTAGCGATAAGACTAGGGGTGTCGTTGTGCCATTGGCCATGTGTGAGTCGAAGCAAAGGAAACAGCCTTCGCCTACGTACAGAGGGAGCTGCCGAGGTGTAGTGGACGTGATAGCGTGCCAGTTGCCCATGTTTGAGTGTGTCGAGGGTCTCAGTAGATGGTTGCTTGGTGCAGCGTAATCTCCCCATGGCACGCACATTCTGCCATTTCGCTGCGGGCCAGCTCCACCCTGCAATCCCTCCACGATGCACTCAATGCCCCCAAGGCCGTCTCATTCATCATCTGTACTATCCTTAGTAGTCCGTGGCAAAAATCACCTCAGAATGGCAAGAAATCATGTCAAGTGTCGAACAATGTTGTTCCATTAATAGCTATCTAAAATAGTACATGTGTCAAAGTCCCTAAGCCCCGCCCTTCAGCGTCATCTAGGCGTTTCCATCGCATCACTCCAGGGTCCATCAACCCCCCCTGCATTAAAATCCATTACCCTCAACACCGTAAAGGTGGAGGCATCTTCCCCCCGATGGTACATTCCACTCCTCCCTCGCCGTCCCAGCCAGCATGTGTGTAAGCAACGCAAAAACAAGGCGTGCAAAAACATGAGGAATCGGTCTGTGGTGGTAGTGCGGACTGCCGCGGAGCTTTTGCAGCTTCCGCCCGTCTCACACACACATGGAAGTAGAGCACGTAGCGGCGGGCGCTAGGCTCTTAGTAAGAGACTGATGGCGTGATAAGTCGTATCAATCATGAGATCGTATTTCGTAAAGCGCAAAGAGAATGCTTAGGTCATCATTCATCGGTAGTAGCCAGACGAGCGCTGCTCGCGGATGTCCCGGTTGGTTGGCTCGCGGACTTCAACAGCGTAGTGCTTTGCGTTGCGGCGTTGCTTGGCCAGGTCCTCTTCGTAGAGGGAACCGCGCTTGGCGTTTGGGGTGTTGCTGATCTCAGACAATGGACGCTTTGCCTTGGTGGTGGTGGTGGTGACGGTGTGTTGAGGCCAGTCAACAATGTCGTCGGTTCGTGGTCGGGCGGACTTAATCTTGGGCTCTTGCTCGACCTTGACAGTGTTGCTTCGTCGTGGGGGGGAGGCAGGTGGTGGTGATGATCGGGGAGCGACGTAGTAGCTGCGGTCCATGGAGACAAAGGGCCTGCGTGATCGGTGGCGGAGGCTACGCTCAATGGCCTTGAGGAGGCTGCAGACTTCAACGTAACCGGCTGGGATCTCAACGCGGACAAGCTTGTTGTTCTCCTCCACTGTGGAGTAGGTGGCTCCAGACTTGTGGTAGATGTAGCGGGCGACATCCTGGGCCAGGCCGTGGCCGACATCACAGAGACGCTCGTGGTTGCGGTGGACTTCGTAGGCGTTGTGGCAGTGAGCACACTTCCTGGCGTGCATCTCAAAGTGGTAGGCAGCCCAGCTCTCGGAAGTGTTTACAGGACGGCAGAATGAGATGACGGGGTCTTCATAGAAGCCAACCACGCGTTCCTTCTTGGCCACGGCGGGCTTTGCGTGGACGGCCGTAGGCATGTTTGTGCGTGCAGACGGCATTTCCGGGGAAGATGTTGGCGGCTTCTTGAGTATGGACCTTGGGGTAGCCGTGGTGACGTTTGTGCCAAGGTACGATATGGTAGCGATGAAGTCACTCTCGGGCGAGAGCGACAATGGTATCTCAGTGTTGTGTTGTTGGCGTGGTAGACTCGGCTGGCGAGTACAGATGGTAGACAGCTGAACGGATCAGAGTGCGGGTGGGTTGTTGGTAGTAGGTTTGGTATGAGGAGCCATGGTGGGTGCGGGCGGCATGGAATTATATGTCTACCCTCGCTCGCAGTAGACGCATACCTTGGGTGTGGGTGGAAGCCTGAGACTAGCCGGGGTGCCTGCGCCCATCGGACAGGGGTGGTATTAGCAGCAGCAGCGACCAGGGCCCATGGCGCGCTAGTGAGGGCGGTGACTGCACATCTGCTTGGGTGCGAAGATGACGACTGTGCCTGTGATTTCTTGGGAACTGCAGCTAGAAACGTGTTTTGGGCCGACGTTAGAGAAAGTGAAATGTTACGGCCAGCCGGCGCTCTGACTGGCGGCCTAGTCGCTGTGCGTGGCTGCTGCGAGCAAAGGGGGTCAGCGAGGGCATCAACAGCCGCTGCACCATCTCCTGAAACGTGTTGCGGCGAGCAGGGCAGACAGGCGCAGCCGTTTGGACAGAGGCTCGTCGATTGCTGTTTTTGGACAGTGGGTGGTGGCCGTGGTGGTGTAAGTGTAGCAGTCGGGCATGGTAGTGACGGGTGTGACAGCTGCGCCCCATGGCTTGCAGACCCCGTCGCAGCCTGTTTCTTGAGGCACCAGCCACTGCCGTCACGCCCATTCGGGTCTAGTGCTCAGATAGCTGACTGCCGGGGCACAATCACAGCCACAGCCACAGTTGCTGCACCTTAGCCGGCCTGCGTCTCAACGCATACCTTCCAGCTGTGGCTGTTTGGTTTTGTGCAAAAAGTCAACATGTGCAAGTATGATGATGCGTACATCCAGCCCTCGCTCCGCGCTGCGCAGTTGGGCCGAGCTGGCCTCTGCCATGGTGGCCTCATGTCCCCGCGGTGCTGGTTTTCACACACCGGACGGCGGCACCGTACCTCGAGCCGCCGGCTCATCACCAGCCACGACAGTGCAAGCAAAGGGGAAAAAAGCAGGCGTGGCTCCCGCAGTGCCCTTCTCGACGTACCACCAGAGCCGCTCAAGGGCGCCCAGAGATGGAGCCACTGCTGCGTGTCCTGAAGGGAGTCATCAGCGCACCCTGCCATGCCACAGCTGCCGGCGGGCGACAGCGACGTGCATGGCGCTACGCAGCCTATGGCGCCTGTGGCCTTGCTGGTCTTGTCTCACCGGATTTTTGCTGCCCCACAGTCGTACACAATTGGGCCTCTCTGCTCACTCCCGACCTCCCGGCCTGCTGGCAGAGCCAGAGCAGTTCGCCCGCCGGCCCATCCGGACGTGGCACCTAAGGACTCTGCCTGTCACTTGTCTCCGTCAGCGACACGAAACAGTAAAAATTCCTCTGGCCCTTCTCGTCCAATCACTCCCACTTTCAATTCACACTCCCTTCTCACACACTCGCCCGCACAATTCTGCCATCCGTGACTCCTAACAGTCAAAAGCTGCCCAATTTGGCACGGGCGTAGTTCGTCTGCTTCGCCCTGTGACTCCGTCTTCTCGTTGCTCTTCGGCTCGCCCCGTACATGAGGCGCAGCCCTCGCAGCACCCGTCCCTCCCATCTCGACTCTGGCCAATCTCTTCAAACGACCACTCTCTATACGAGCTCCTAGCTGGCGTTGCAAGCCTCTTAGCGCAGCCATCCACCCACAATACCCGTTGACAGATGCATGCTAGCGAACTGCGGTCCATGCGAACCACTGCGCAGCCACACAATGCAGCTAATCTACAATGCAAAATGCCATCGTGACTTGCTTTCCTCCATCCACTAGCCCTTTTGCTCTGTAAACACCTTCGCCCACATCTTGGATGCATGCCTGCTGATGACCCTTCATATCCGGCTCCCGAGAATGACGCCACAGTGTGGCGCCAGCAGAGCCTCCTTACTGCAGCCATACGCCCTAGAGTGGACCAAGACTTCCAAACTCCAGGTCAATGGACTGATATTCGAGGCTGTGTACTTAGCACGCCGTTTCCGAGCCGTTGTCCCGGCCAAGCCCCTCAGGATAATGCCTTCTCCAACTTTCCCCAGATGTTGCATCGTCATGTGGTCCACCAGGCAGATCTGCAGCCTTCCGAGCAGGCAGCCCTATCAAGGTTGCGCAATGGCTAGGCAGCAACTGCGCAATCCCAGCTGAACTGCGAACCATCTGATCTTGACGGGTCTATTCGCCCTTTGCTATGTACACCTACGTACATTGCCAATTGCATAGTCAATTGCGCCTGGTTTGATTAATCAGCAAACCCAGGGGCTAGCAAGTAGTGTAGAACCAAGTGCCCTTTTTTCCAAACCACATCACATGACGCGCCATGTCCGCCCACCACCACCATCCCTTCCTTCACTAGGTGTAGGTCCAAGTTTCTACATCAGCGGTTGTGGCGCCACCCGTGCACTTGGTACCTGTTGAAGTCTTCTGTTTGCCTTCCCTGATTACGTTCACCTGCGCATCCCGCTGTTCTTCAACATATGTAAGCTGCGGAGCTCCTTTTGTTCACCGGTTACTTGGCCATCAGCCAAGCTACTCATCTACTGCAAACACCCAACATCAGGAGTCATCGCTCACCGTTGACCGCAAACCGCTACATCCCCCTAACTATGGTTGGGGGGCCTTTTGCCGGCGCTGCCTAGGGCGATGCGGGGTTGTAAGTTTACCAGCAGCCCAATAGCACGCCTTGTTTAGTCATGACACTGCGATGGCTGCGACAGGAGATTTCGGTCGCAAAGCTGTCGTTGTCGTTGTCGTTGTCGTTGTACTGTCACTGTCGAACTGGCGGCGAACACTGAATGTATTTTCAGCTGTGCTTACCCGTATGGGCCCAGTTGCCACGAGGTCGGTCAGCGGCTGACTACCCCACAATCTGGCGGTCTCACCGTTTCCTTTTCCAGTTGCATCACGTTGCTGCAACCCCCATTGCAATCGACATGCTACGCACTCGGAGATTTGTTTTGCAGATCCCCCAATCGCGGGTCCCAGAGTGCGCGCGACTTACAATATGGCACAACGCCTCCGAAGCCCTTAGCACCTCAACAACCACGCTCTTTTGCGAGAAAAAGCAGCGCAAATTTACATTCTCGAAGTTCATACGTCCAAATCGAATCACTCAAGGCTGAGACACCTGACCGCGCGTTTCAGCGCTCGGTAAGCCTTAGCCTGTTCCTGGGCTAGTTTGCGATCTGTGCTCTCACACCTCACACCGCTTTTCACCGAAACTTTCAGCAGCGACAGATTTGCTTGAAATACCAGTATTCCCTTCTTCTCCTGAAATCCCTTCAAACCCAACCCAACTGTCCCGGAAAAGAAGAAACATTCCCCAAAAAGAGCAAGGAAATGCCGCCACGAAGCGTCTGTTTGAACGTGTTTACGCACAGTCTTGGCGAAGGCAATGGAGCGGTGAACACCAGAAACCCCATGTTGGAAAGACGAGACAGTGCAATGGGTGGTATGTTTTCCTGCCAGATATCTTCGCACACTTTAGCGATTTCATTTCATATTAATATTAACATTTTCTTGCAGACATTCCAAGAAGCACGTCCAACGGCTCTCTCACACCGCAATCGGTTTCAAACTCAACCTCCCCTCCACCAGCGTTCAACCGCGCGGACCTCTTCCGCTCTCTGCGCCCCATGGCCAGCACCGAAAGTCTCAACGGCGCGCTGACCAGCAAACGTAAGTTGTTATATCTTCAATCTCCAATTTCCATATGGGTGGGACGCAGGTGCCCGATTTGATTCGCTGCACTGCATTAGCGCCCATGTGGTGCTCCACTTTACCCACTCACATTGGGGCCGCTTTTGAGGCCTAACATCACGACATGACTATATCACCCTTGTACCAGCAACAATTTACTAACACATGATAGCTTGCACCACATGCTCTGGTCAGTACGCACGACGCCGATGCTCTCGCTGCAAGGCAGCATACTACTGCGACCGCAACTGCCAAAAGTCGGACTGGAAGACGCATCGCAACATCTGCGAGCCCATCACCCAGACTTACTCTGCTCCCGAGACGCCTAACTGCTCCAACCCTGCAAGCCCGACAAACGAAGCTTGAACGAGTGTCACGCCAACACATACTGAGACACTGCACCTTCTCAATGGCGGCACATCTGGAAACTCCCAGTGAACCGGATGCACCCTACAATGAAGACAATCACCACATGCCCCACGCACGTCTGAAATAAATCGACACTAAAGAAGATGGAAAGAAGACAAGCAACAATTGAATTGCTACGACATTAATGATAGATAACCAACTTGCACATATGGAGGGTCGGAAAATCAGGCGTTCTTGCTAACTGTTTTTTTCTGTTTCTTGTAAAGCCTGTTACTGGGATTCCCAACGTCACATTCTAGAAAGAGCGATAAAGCATTCAATTGCAACCATGCATAGCGACGAGCGACTAGCGAAAAATATCCGGATTATTACTTTAGCTTTTTTGTTCTGTTTTCTACCTTTTACAATCACCAAAAAAAATATAGACCTTTTTTTTTTACCCTACACCACAATACTATACTCACTGGCTTAGCGCCATATGATTCGGAGAATTTCCTAGCGAACATGCATTCTTTTTCTCTCATGTATGTTATGCACACATGAGACATAACAGCACAGCCACCCACGACTTCACACCTCAGGCCAGCCAGACAGACAACGAACCAAAAAGGCTACACTGAACGAGGTGTTCACCTTATGCGACATATGCATACCATCTTGCACATCTCCATATATGTACATGTCACATTTATGCACCCCAGTGGCAACTGACTCAGCAACAAGCCCTGCTTCACCGCTTCTCCACTTCCACCACCACTGCCACCTTCCACCACCATCTCCTCATCTTTGCCAGACTAGAGTACATCGGTACTGCTATCTATGTACGTGTCATTCCCACCTTGCCCTTCCGGTCACTCCCCTCGCCTCGCCTCCCCCCCCCTCTCCCCTTCACCCGCATGGTAAAGTGCATATCCAACGAACTCTAAATCTCGAACCAGCGCATAGCAGGACAGTGGCCCTAGGGGTGGGGTTTATGTCCAAAATGTCTTGGGTTACATTAGTAAAACGGCAGAAAAAAAGTGACCAGTACCATTGTATTGGATTATAAGTACATTGTACAATATTCGTCCCCCCTCCCATGTCCACTTTCCATGTACATATGTATTATATATGCGCGTGAGACAACGCAAACAGCAAAGTCTAGAGCGGGGTGGAGATACTTTGGCTGCATGATAATGTATCCAGAGCAAGGATTCGCGTATGCAGAGTAAGACGAGAGGAGAAAGAGGATATGGCCTTCTGGGCAATCACGGGCAGCGCGTGGCGCGTAGGGAAGCAAGGGGGTGGAGAAGCAGGGTGGGCCGGACGGGGAAAAAAATGGCGTACATGTTGTTAGCTTGGAGAGATAGTGAAATGTCCACTGCGCTGGCAATATGATTGCTGATAATGATATGGGCCGCCCGCATACGTACATATGTATGTAGTACATATGTATAAATACAGTGGAAACTGGACACACCTGCATGATACATGACTTGTTTGAAGGGGGGTGGGGAGCGTGTTACGCTATCGTGCCCGGCCGCGATCGAAACATCGATGTCGTACTGCAAAGCAAACGAATCACATACCCCAACCCCACTTATGCTTATATGGCGACGACGGCGCCAAATGGGGCTTCCCCATTGAGTTTGAACGATGTTGGTTGCAACGTCTGGAACACACCCTTGGGATCGTACTTGCTCGAGACCTTGTTTAGTCTTGCCACGCTGTCAGCTCCGTAGCCGGATATAACGGGCTGGTAGGGGCTGCTGTACGCCATGTACATGTAATCGTTGTATGCACCCAGCTGCTTGGCTTTTGCTGTCGACGCGTCCAGAAAGTCCTGTTCCGTCTCGTATATGGTCTTGTCGTCCTTCTCGTCCGTCCAGGCCAGGTAGAGCAGGACGTTGAAGAAGGGTCCACCGTCTGGGCGCAGACCCAGCGCATTGCCGCCCTTCCTCTGCATAACCCTCAGCACGGGCTTAAGTAAAAGCTTGGAAGGCGATCGAGGGGGCGCCGCCACCGGGAAACTTAGGGACGATTTTGAAAAAGTGGTTACTCATCCATTTCATTAGCTCCGTATTGACTTTGAACGATTGCGACTACATCGTTGTGCGTAAGCCAGCCGGCATGCTCTCAGTCAGCCCCAACGTAATCTCGGCCAATATGGTATCCTTGGTGGCTTCATTAAGAGCAGGGATCGAAAGATAGTCGTTGAGAATGGCCGGTGGATTCGACACGTCAACCGGTTCAAAGTATTCGTACTCTGCCGATGCAGTCCTGTATCCCGAATTGTACGCGACGGCGACAAAGTGCGCAGCCTTTGTATCCACCTCGGCGTCCTGAACCGTGTTTCCAAAAGCGTCAAATAGTGCGGGGATGTGGGTGGCGTTGTATTGGCGTGTGCTAGAAAACATGAGACCTTAGGGAAAGATTTCATAATTGAAGGTTGTAATAATACCAAAGTTATTACCGCCGCCTCAGAGAGCCCAGTATAGGTCAGGGTACGTTTATTCGCCGAAGGCAATAATGGCTCCAGATGCAGAAACCATCTCGTACGATGCGATATTGTCGCATGCGAGGCCATACTTGTTAGTGTGGTGACTGATGCCACCGCCGAGCGTGAGACCACCGATTCCAACCGTCGAAGCCTGTTGAGGTTATCAATCACGTGATTAGCTGATATGTTGAGTGACTTACGTGTCCACCAACCATTGCGAGATTGTAGGGAGTGGGGTAGTCGTAGACCTTTTTCCAGCGGTTTCCGGGACCGACAGCGACAGTTTTGTTATCAGCGGATAGCACGAGCTTGTTCAATTCCACCAGATCGACTGTAATACCACCCTCAATATTCGATGCAGGAAACGCAGCATGTCCCCCACTTTTGACGGAAAATGGATACTGTATCAAGCGTGAAAGCAAAAATAGAGTCGACACCTCCAAGGCTGCTGTTGGAATGAACGTGCAACGGGGCTTTACACTGAGCTGCTGCTGTGACCAATACGTTTTCGGCGCTTCTTGTGATAGCTTCCAGTCTCCAACAACGAACTTCAATGAATCGCACTGTCGATAGTGTTAGCCAACATCTAATACAACATATGAGGATTAACTCACGGCGATCGAGCAGCCTTCCAGCGGAGACCGTTTGACTAAGCTGGATAGCCCTAGTATGGAGGACACATTGAAGCCGTTGTCAATAAGTGCTTTCGGAACGTTGAAATCAGCTGTTTCAAAAATACCATGGGTAATTGTTGCGACAGCACTTGTGTTGAGGGCAATGAGTGTGAATATGTGGAGACTCCTCATGGCCACAGATGTCAGACAACCGACGACTAAATGAACTCAAGACGCATGGTGAGATCTGGAGAAAACGGCCTTCGCACGTAGACACCGACTCTATTTGTAAGTATTGCCAGATCTGTGATACGTTCCATTGCGAGTAAAACCAAGCGGGCAGGTGGCTTAGGAATGGCGCAGCTGGTTTATCAATCCTGTTGTCTTTACTTAAAATTCATCCTGGTAAGAAAAAGCAGTTTTCCCGCTACCTTCGTCTGACCACCTTGAAGCATGTGTTAACACGGTGCACATGTATCGTCCAATCAGGCATCTTCGCGTTGCCACACCAAGCTTTGAAAAAGGACTCTGTATGTAAAGAGAGCGATCGAGATGCTGGAAGCGAACTGTGTCGTTTGGACTAGATTAGATGTAAGATTTGGCTCTTACAGGAATGCATGTCACGACGTGATAAACAGGCTTGGCTGTTTGATGGGGTCAGGTTACTTGCCCCCCGCCTGGCTAGTTGATAACTTTGGCGCCGTCTCGTGGATAGTAGCCGTAAAAGCATTCCTGTCATTGGTGGTGATTGTTTGCTGTGTGTTTCCTCCTTTGTGTACGGGTGGCTGTGTGCAAGTGAAGGAATGAGGGGCAGATTGTCCTGTTGACGTGGAAAAAGAATTTTGGCTAGCAACTGCTTAATATGGAGATCCCGCGGCCCGCAGCTGGCTATCCGGGCTGGGCGTCGTGACACCGCTTGCGGTAAGTGCAAAGTGTTTACCGACGTTCCGTAAAAGAGAATAGAGAAAATTTGTCGCGGTATTTGTTGTTACCTTTCCAATATACTATTCGAGTAAGCAGTACCACCCCAAATCGCAATAATTTGTACAAGCCGACGTGCTATCGAGACATCCAATCAGAAAGAGCATGCAGACTAAGGAGTTCGGCCTCGACCTGTTAGCAAATCAGTCGAGATTGTCAACAACAGTAATCGGAGACCTACCGATACTTGAATCTCCAAGAACATAACTAAGAGAATTCTTGACCCAAACAATATTTGTGCAATGACTGGTATCCATACCGAGGAGACCCTAAACCTGCAATCCGTGCTGTGAAGATGGTTCAGATTCTGAAGCATCGATTCGAATGTACTTGATATATCGCCACGTGTATTCATTACCATAGCCTTCTTTCGTTCGATCGAAGTCACCTAGCTTCGCCGATTAAGTATATCCATTCACACTGCAGACTCGCCCTCATCCACTACCGCTTCTCCTGCACTGTTATTGGGCCTACCCTCTCCATCCAGCAGAGGTGCATAACCACTTAATAAATCCGCGTTGAGTTTGTACTTTCCAACCGAAAAAGATCTACCCTGACACTGCGGGCATGAAGTCGGATAATAGGTACCAGGCTGGAGCGCTTCGAGGATCTGCGTCAAAACGAAGTAAAGGTGTATCAAACTAGATTCTGTTAGTCTCCCTTCGATCCGAAGTTAAAATCATCCCAAATCACATACAAATTGCAGATGAGAAAATTAGTCCCATACGTGCCTAGCATAACTAGGCTCCTGTCAGCCCACCCGTCCGGAATGAATATCCAATCTCTGGAAACGCCATAGTCAGTCAAAGCCTCTCGATTAGAGGGAGTCGCTTCTTACAAGATCAGGCACACTAGCAGCCCGACGCCAAGTAGCAGGTCAAAAACCAAATGGATCGGTGTTCCAGTTAATCCACTAGCTTGGCATCCGCACTTCTTCTCATTCGCAAGTAGTAAGGCGGAGTAAGCCGAAGAGAAGAATAAGGGAACGATACCGATGGCGGGATTGACGCATTTGGAGAAGATGCCCTGGAGGAGCAGAATGAGGAAGCCGGGTGGGAAGGTGGCGAGCGAGATGGCACGAAGGGCGTGGTAGCTTGATTTTGTAAAGACTGTAAGGTTCAACATAGGACCTGCCATGTTGTAAATTATCTAGGAACTCGCTGGGCTGGACAGTCGAAAGTATGGAGCGCGCGGGTGATTTGTGTAGAGATTGGTTGAGGGAGACACGATTGGGTACCTAGGCGTTTACAAAGCTCTTTTTTCAAGAAAAAGCTAAGAATTCTATGGGCTGGTGTCGGAAAATTGACGTCCTTATATTTCAATCAGGCAACAGTCGTAATGTGCTGTTCAACTCGTACTTGGGCGATCGGCAGGGGGCCTTAATGGCAGTGCTGTGGAAAAAGAGCCTGACGCTGCGGGCCGCACATTGGCAAGGCATACGCGTCACTAATAGTAGAACCATCTCGTTTTCCGAAGAGCCGCAGTGGCTTAGGTGCGTGTTGTTAGCGACGTGCCGCGGTATCTATTTACGGGTGCTGTTTGATGTTCTCTACACTTTCGAACCCCACCTGATGAGCACACCCGCGTTGATCCTTGCCCTAGAACGGAAGAAAAGTAGCTCATTGAGGCCAGAATAGGTATGCTTTACGAAAAAGATGTATCAAGTCTAAGCCCCGGTGAAGCTCCAGTGGTGAATATAGAGAACATGGACTGCCTTGCGTGAACCCATTCTTTTCCATCATCAATCCATCTGTCGTCCCATAGCACTTAATTGAAGCCCTTTCCTTGGAAAATTGGAGCATGATTCGGTCGCTGACACCATGGGCATCTGCCAGCCAAATCCAGGCCGTTGTTTGGACAATCCACAGTTCGAAGCGTAGTATGGATAGAGCCGCAATTCTGTTGGTGTATATGGCCACTTTATCATTGTTATCCAGGTGCCACATGAACATCTCATGTCTTGGAAAAACGTAGAGAAGTATCCCTCTGGCATCTTGGGTTCCATCAAGTAATCAGGATACGGTCGAAGCGTCATTCTACGCACGTCATTCACATCCACGACCAGTTCTCGAATCCGATACCCAAACTCTTAACAACACGATCCTGGGAATCCTGACTCCCCTTTCAACCATGACCACCCGGTTTCTTCAGCGCTCCTCCAAGAATACTCGGATCCAACATCTTAGCCTCCGGCACCTCAACCCCACACCGCACCCACATACTCTTCCAAAGTGCACCCACAGCCCTCTCCTCGGGCATAAAAACTACAGTATTGATATACGTGCTAGTAGTATTCAAGCAATCTCCCTCATTGAAAAGCGCCGCCTCGCAATTATCCCCTTTGTTCGAAAAAAACACGCCGCAGCGCGCTTCGCCGGGCAGATTGATGCAAGTTCCATTTTTCCATTTTTCCAGAGGAGGCGGGAAATATGACTTTTTGAGGAGCTTGCCGCGGCAGTGCTTGGGGCCGCCGGAACCGGCGTATGTGAGGGCAAGAATGGGGATTTGCGGGGCTTGGGGAGCGGCGGGTTTGGGGGCTGGGACTCGGGATGGTGTAGGTGTGGGTTTGGGGCCTAAGACGCCTTCGGCGTCCCAGCTGCCGCTGCTTTGGGGTTCCGGGGTGAATCCGATTATACCTTCTTGTGTTTCTGTCATGATAGTAGGTACACTTTCTTCCGTCGTAGTGGTGGATACGCGCGTTTTCACCAGGGTAACGGATACAAGTGTCGTGGTCAAAGTAGTAGAACCGAGCGTTTTTGTAAGGACAGTGGACACGGTCGTTCTTACTGTGGCAGTAGACAGAAGAGCCTTATCCAAAGTAGAAGACACAAGTGTTTCCGCAGTGTCAGTAGACGCAAGCGGCAATCCAGATATAATGCTGCTTCCATTGAACACATCTCCGCGATCAAATTCCGTGCCATTCAGCAGCGCCTTGGCCGCCACCACATCTCCATCATCCCCAACCTTAGCAGCCTGCGCGGAACTGATTTGTACAATCTGGGGCGATATACCGCGAATCTGGATAGCCGTCGCTAGCGATAAGGCGATGAACAAAAGAAAAAAAGCCGAAGACGCGATAAGAATTAAGTGCCGAGAAAACAAAGACATTGTGCCATGGACGAAGAAAAAGCTTAAAAAAATGAGAGTCTGGGGGATTGAGTGTAATGTTTGTCGGGATGCGAGGACGTTGCCAAGCTTCCATCAGGGGTTGTTGCTATGTGGGTTTCATCCCCATGCTCGTCTCAAACGCTTTTCAACCAGACCTTCTCAATACGTATATTGGTGGCTGTACGCTAGTATAGTTTGACGATAACCTATATGTCCCCGCTTAAGATCGTTGGGGTCCAGACCAAGTGGTGAAAACATGATCGATCAGCAAATCATGAACGCATAGGAACGATCCTTAGAATGCGCGGTGAACTTTGACTGTATCAATCCAAAATATTAGAGAAAGTCGCAAAATCCCCCCAACCCTCTTCATCCCTACGAAGACTCATCCGCCGCCTTATCCTTCGCTCTATCTTGCGGAACTTTAATCACAATCTTTCCCTTCGCCCTTCCCGTCTTCAGCTTCTCAAAAGCCTTGGGTGCATCTTCCCACTCAAACACCGTATCTACAATCGGCTTCAACGAGCCCTGCTTAAGCCACTTGCCCATGTGCCTCAATTGCTCCGCCGACGGCTTAGCCATAATCATCTGAAAGGAGTTCTTCCCGCCACCTAGAAAACTCGGCAGAAGCATATTCCCAACTAACGTCTTCGTACCACCAAGGCTAGGTTGCATCCCGACTTGCACGAACTTGCCCTCAGGGAGGAGGAAAGCAGACGACGCTTTGTACAAGCTGTCAGGCGCACCGACGTTGTCTACCACGGTGCTAAAAACCTGGCCTTTGGCAGAGAGCGCCTCAACGATATCTGTAGTCTTGTAGTCTATGACTTCATCTGCACCAAGGCTCTTGCAAAACTCAATGTTAGGGGTCGAGCAACTGGTGGTAACGTGGCAGCCCAGCGCTTTAGCAATTTGAATGCCAAAGACGCCGGTTCCGCCTGAGCCGCCGTTGATAAAGACTTTGTCGCCGCTCTTGACGTTTGGCACAAGTGCCTGGTATCTATACGGGGTCCGTGTTAATTCATGTGTATCTCATTGCGTCATTTGCTAGAAATAAGCAAACAAAAACCACAAACTTACTCTGTCAACCCGACGATGCCGACGCCTGCCGCTTCCTCAACTTTCACGCCTTCTGGTAGCACAGCGAGCATGGTTCGTTCTACGACTACGTATTGAGCGAGGGTTCCGCCGGTCAGGGCGCCGACTTTTGCACCAAAGACGAATTCGCCGATTTGGAACTCGTCGACTTTTCGGCCGACTTTTGCGACTGTACCGCAGAAGTCGGCACCCGGAGTGATATTGGATCCCACGAGTCGAAGGGGCATGGGGCCTTCAGTGACTTTGTAATCGACGGGGTTCAGTGCCATGGCGTGGACTTGGACAAGGATTTGTTCATCGTGGAGGAAAGGTAGTGGTGCGGATTCGTTGATTCGAAGGTTCTTCTCGATACCACCGTTCGTGCTATTGTACTGCCAGGCTTTCATTGTGGCAGCCATGTTTGCTGAACTTTTGGCTGAGACGGAAAGGCTGGGATGAGCTGAATGTAATTTGCTGGGGCGCTGTCCTGGTTGACTTTATAGTCCGAACCCGATAGAAGTGCGTCATGACGATTCAGTCCAGGGCGGGGTTCGCGGCGGCGCCATTCAGTTGGTATTTCGCCGCTAGATGTGCGCCTCTTTACCAGTGCTGCGCGGACTCGACTCATGGAACCATCACCATCACCACCACGATTGGTTTGTTTGTAGAGTAGCTATTATCCAATGAGCTGCAAAATGGGTCAGTGCACTTCCTCGAGACTTACTTGCCCTATTCACGCGCAATTGTGTGCGCCCACGCCCTTTATAGGTTCTATGTAGTGGCTCTAAGATGACGGAAATTTTAAAAGAACACAAAATATCTCTTCTTGGTTGCTCGTCATGTTTAATATATATCGCGAAGTTAAGGTGCTGACGGGCGTAAGCCACGTGGAGCGCCGTACTTGCAGCCAACCTATCGACCTGTTTTCAGATACAACTACTTTTCAAGAATATTTGATGAACATCTGCTCAATGCCGGTAATATTCCATGTGCCAGTGACAGTGTTCAGAGTCAGATTCGTTGGAGTCGTTGGCCCACGCTGCAGCGCGCCGCTCTCAACGTATCCGCCCGCAGCCACAACCGAGCCATTAGTCCTCGCCAGATGGTTAGCGCCCGCCTTGACAGTAAAGTTGGCGAGACTAATGTCAAAAGGGTTGCGAGAAGCAACTGAAGGAGAGCCTGTAAAGGATTAGCAAAGAGTGACGATTAAGACGAATAGAGATTGGCAACTACTTACCGTAGTACTGCGCGTTGAGCTCTTCAGGTGAGATGAAAAGTTCATAGTATCCTCGATAATAGCCCTCTGTCCACTGAAGCTCCCTGTTGTCACGAACAAGTGCTGCAGAGCGGTCGCTTGAATTTGCAATCGATCTACCAGAGCCATAACCGCTGGAGGAGACAGCAGTGCCAGCAAACTCGACTCCAATAGCACCCTCTCCCGTAGCCTGGTCGTATGGGGTTTCGTCCAGCCAAACGAGATCAGACACCCAGTTGGCGTGTGAATCACCGGCTAAGAATGCAGTGTTTGGAATCTTGTTACTATAGAGATGGTGTAGAGTACGGTTACGGTTTGCCGTGTAGCCCTCGTCGAAGTCAGCAGCGCTTCCTGGTCATTGTGCAAATCCGATGCTTACATCCCACTGATCAGCATTCAGCCAGTCGCTGTAGACCGCACTGTTGTTCATGCGCGAAAAGATGATCTGGTTACCAACAATCCTCCAAGTAGCGCCTCGTTCATGTGACTCAGAGAGCCGGTTATAAAACCAGTTTTCTTGACGACTGCCCATTAGCGAGCGGCTAGCATCATCTCTGATTTCTGCGATGTAGTCATCGTTCTCGTTTAGAGTCGTAATTGACCGATCATAGTTGCGGGTATCAAGAATGATGAGGTCGAAGAGTTTGCCCATCTTGAAGTTGCGCCATATGCGGAGGTTGTCATCCAGATCGACTTGGCGGATTCTATTCTCTTTGTTGGTTGGATTAAAACACAGTGGGTTATGACGCTTACGGCATCCATTCAAAGTACGCTCGGACAGCGTTCATTTTCCTTGAATCAACGCTGATACCTCCGTACTTCAAGAAGCTCTCTTCGGTGTTATTCATGTTGCTATCCGCATTAGTAAACACTCCAAGGCAAACTGAAGTCTCTTACCTAAATCCATCACGGTATCCGTTGTTGGCAATTTCTTGAAAGAGGTCAGATGAGTACAACGCATAGAGTAATTTGACATACCATGGTCATCCCATGTAGGGATCCATGCAAAGTTCTGGTGAGCAAGCTTCAAGTCATCATCCGTACGATACTGGCCAATTCTAGCTCGGTAGTCTACGAAATGTATTAGATGCGATCAGTAGTTGGCAAAGTATAGGTACTTACCGTATAGTGTGACAATCTCGCGTGGCGGATTTGTTGCTCTAGGATCTTTGCCGAGCTTTCCTTTAGTAGACTCGTATATGTAATCGCCTAGATGAACCTTGAATCTTGCATCAGCCAGGTTTACATAAGAAGTGCCAGGTCAGCCCTACAAAGAAGTCTACTTGGTCCTTCCTAGCAGCATTGCCATAAGCATTGAAATATCCGTTCTGCCAATTGGAGCAGGAGAAGACTGCAAGACCAACTTTGGAAACTTCATCGTCATGATCAGGGCTAGTTTTAGTTCTGCCTAGAGGACTTTTGTTGGAGCTGCCGCAGACACTGAATTGATAGTAGTATTGAGTGAACGGCTCCAAGTTCTTGGCTTCAACCTTCACGGAATTAGCTTTCATCTTAGCGGGAATGGCGTATGAGAACAACCTTGACAGTATAATCAATGTCGGACGTGGTATATGCTTGCCCTTCGTCAACAACAGTTGAGAAGTCGCTGTCTGTACCGACACGATAATCGACGCAGATGGGATTTGGCGAAGCTTGAATGTATTTTTCTGTCTCATGGTTGTAGAGTGCTACATAGCCAGAAACAGTGACATTTGATCTGTCATGTTCGAGCGATGGTGCAATACGGGTCCAGAGGATGACCGAGTCAGGGTAGGGATCTCCAGAGGCAACGCCATGTGTGAAGTTGAGCTGAGCTGGATCCAATGGAGCAGAGCGCTTGGAAAGAGTTCTCTTTGCGACCTTGGGTACATCTATTCCAAGATCATTGTGGCGGCGAGAAGGCGAATCATAGTTCAAGTTGCCGTCAAAGGATGCACAAACGAGCGAAGCCAATGGAACAGCTGCAAATAGGACCGAGAGCATCTTGTGAACTCAAGGAGTTTTTTGCTCCGAATGATTTGAAAGAGTGCCGGGTATCAGGTTGTTTATAAACCGTCGTTGGCCTTTGACGTCTTCGATACTTGCATGCTTGTATGCACGCTTTAGTCCTCGTAGACATGTATGACGATACACTAGTCTCCACACGTTCACGTCGTACATTCAACAAGGCCACGACACCGCAGCAGGCCAATCAGCGATTCCTTATTTCCAGTGTGAAATACGGTGCCTGTTGATCGCAATTGCACATGTTGCAATATGAGACTCTGATTAGTTGAATACGCCATCACCCTATCAAATGGTCTAGCGTGTCATCGATATCCTGCACGTCTTCACCTTTGCAACAATGCTGCAGAATACTTGAAGGGGCAAATCAAATCCAACAGCCGCAAACTTATAGGTACCCGTTAGCGATGACGGGCGGGGTTGATGCAAGTACGCTTTTCCCCACGCACGTGTGGGCTAAACGGATCTTGATTGGCGGTACTCTTTTGAGGATAATCCCGGGAGCATTTCTCATCCATACCGCTGCCATGTCTACCTCGCTTCATGTTATATCCGAAGCCGCTCTGCAAATAATATGCCGCTGATAGCTCATAATATTCACCACGTCATCGTTCCAGTATGTAAATAACATAAATCGATTCAATCGTCAACAAACCGAACACGAATCATGGGGCCTTGTTTATACATATAATATAGCGTTACATCAAGACATCGTCCGGGAACCCTACAAATACAAACTATACATGTCAATCAACTTTGTACACAAGTTTCACACCCGAAACCTTTCCATCCTTCAAGTCCAACAAGCCCTGGGGAACACCAGCCAAGCCATCTCGCACCTCAGCCGGGTGTGTCTTGATCTTGCCGCTTTCGATCAACTCCTGCGATCGTTTCCAGAACTTGACACCGAACTCGTAGTCTTCTGGCTTGGCATCAAGTCTCTCATTGAACCTCTCACCAAGCGCCGTGTATCCGAGCGTCCAGACTGCTTTCACGTCGCTCCTTGGGTAGCCATCGGGATGTAGGAGTCCAGACATGTGGCCGCCAGTGGAACTGATAGCTGCAGCTGTGATGTCGAAAGAGTTGCCTTCGGCAATGCAGTCGAAGACCAATTTGAGCTTGTCGTTGGTTACTTGGCGGATCTTGGCTCCGACGTTGGGCTCGTTGTAGTCGAAGACGTGGTCGGCGCCGAGCTTACGGAGGAGATCAAAATTACGGGGAGAGGATGTGGCAAGGACCTCATAGCCTGAGAGCTTTGCAAACTGGACAGCAAGCGTGCCGGTTGCAGTAGAAGCACCATAGATCAGGATAGGCGTAGGCTCTTCCACTTTGGCTGGCGGAATTGGTAGGCCGAGCTCCTGGTACAATCCTTGGCCCACGGTAGTGATCCCAACGCCCAAGGTCGCAGCATCCTCAAAAGACATGCTGTCAGGGATCTTGAGATTGATACCATCTTTAACCTTGATGTGTTCGGCGAAAGCACCGTTGGAGTGGTCTGCTGGATCGCCTGGGGCAGATTAGTGATACCTTTCTTCAGAGATCAGGAATATTCCAATTTACCTCCACGAACAAATCCACAAATACGATCACCAACCTTGTAGTTAGTCACTGCTTTTCCAACCTCTTCAACAACTCCGGCAAAGTCGCATCCCGCAATGGCACCTGGCGAAGGCGAATGGTGGATGCTTTTCCAATCAGTTGGGTTCAGCGCAACAGCTTTGGTCTTGACCAGAAGCCAATTGTCGGCTGGAATCTTAGGAAGAGGTACGTCGTTTCTCAACTCAGAAACGTCCTTTGAGACGTGGACTACTGCTTTCTGGGTAGACATGGTTGATTTGTTAGAATGAGATTTGATATGAAAAGAAAACTTCCGATACTAATCAGGGCTTGATATGATTTTATAGAGGTTTTTACTAAGAGAGATATCGTAGTTAGCAGATTTGTAATACCACTTATAGCGTCATCTTAGTGTATACTACAAATTGCCTCGGAGATAAGCGGGGCATGCTCAGCGAAGCTCGTCATTCCTTCACGATCATAGACAGAGTGAATTATTAATTCGCCCGGTTGGAACTTTTCTGTGCCGATGTCATTGCGGCTATTACCGGCGACGCACGTGTGGTGAAAGGGAAAGTGGGTAATAGCAGGGGTCCGAGCTTGAGCTACCCAAGCTTGCATGCAAGGGTCCGGCAAGCACGCGTTGGTGATGGACTAGAAGTCCAAACCTCAATTCCAACCGTGTAGCACAAAATCTCCGCACGAGTCGCAAAATCAGGCTCGTGTACCGCTCCCTCTCAAATATGGCAGAACCTCAACGGCCCGGTCAAGTCGAGGACGAAGACATTGTCCTGAGCTTCTTCCCCGACCCCCCACCCTTCTACAAGCACTTCACACCAGAAAACCTTGCCCGCCTCCAAGAAATCGAAAAAGATGCCGGACTCCACGAAAACAATGACGATGATCCCTCCTCCAGCGCCGCACCAGGGACAAAGCTCTCCGCCGAGCAAATCCTCGCGCTACCCACCGAACTCCGCTACCTGATCCCGCCCGAGCCCCCCGCCGACGACGCCGAATTCCACGTCTTCGACACAGTCGCCAAAGCAAAAGGCACCGACGTCTTCATGAAGAACATGGAATACATAGCCGACCAGCTGAAAATGCAAGGCGTATTCCAAGATTGGCAGTACGAGCAACTCTACCCCAGCGACCCTTCGTCCACAACCTCCTCTCAGCAACTACCAACCTCCTCAACAATAACAACATCAAACTCCGTGTCGATGGACAGACAAAACTATCTTTTCAGGTTTCTGCGCAGTATACTTTTGAGTTACATCTCGCTTCTGGGTATTGTGGCCTCAGACCCAGTGTCTGAGAAGAAAGATGAGAAATTAAAGGATATCATGACTATGGTGGCCAACATGCATGCGCTGATTAATGAGTATCGGCCACATCAGGCGCGGCAGACGCTGATTGAGCGGATGGAGGAGCAGGTGCGGCGCAAGAGGGCGGAGGTTGAGGGAGTACGTAAAATGGGGGAGAAGGTACGGCAGGTGCTTGCGGGGCTTGGGGCTGTGGATGGGGAGGATAAGGACGGGGTGAGGGATGCATGGGGAGAAGGGAGTGCTGGTGTGGGGAAGGAACAGGTGAGAAAGGTGGAGGCGCAGAAGGGGGCGTGGGAAGCGCTTGAGGAGGTGCTTGGTTAACGGAGAGCGATTTTGCACGCGTTCCGCTAGGTTATGGAATAATGATACCCTTTTTTTTATCTTTTCACAATCATCATATGTCAGAATTCGGCTGCGGTCGCTGAATGCGTCGATCGCGCAGCTGGGCGAGGGGGCACGAGACTCCATCATACGTTCAACGGGGGAAGTTCGGCTCACTCACAACAAAACTACAATCCATATGTCTCAAAGTTCTGGCAACACGAGAACAAACCCACCACGCACATGATTGCATTTGCAGAGTTAATGCCACCCATCCTAGTGCAACGCACCACAGCTGTCAGGTACCCGCTAGCCCTCTTTCTGACATGCAAGACATGACGTCAGCCAGTATACACGTATCTATTCTCCATCAGCGTCTGCGCTATACGTGTCTATGCTACCCGCAAAAAAACTGGCCCGTCTTCTTATCCGTGAATGATAAGAAATCAAACGATGATGCAAAAGTTATCGCGCGGACCGCACTGTGTCTCGGGACCACCACCTCCCCCCGTTTCAGCGGCTAAGATTTCCAGCTCCTCTTTTTGCAACACTTGCGATAACGCTCAGCTCGAAGTAAGCTTTCAGTATTACTTACATAACAAACCTTTTTCTTAGTATTGGGGGAGGGTGCGCACGCGGTGAGATTCGACAACGCCCCCTTAGTTTGCCTAGCTCATGAGCCGCCCCCCCGTTTTTAGAGTATAAACGGCAGGGCGAGGCTGAGACTTGCTGACATAGTTCAGCCCCCCCATAGGCGTGTGTGTGTGTCTGCCTGTCAGCTGAAAGGACGGGGAGGGGGGATCGAGGGTTCAAGGACACCAAGACTGAGGGAAGAGACAAAAGGTTGACGTGGTGCTTATTTTCTTACCTTCTTCTTCATCTACATCGTCGTCGCCATCAGAAAGAGAAGATATCTAGGAGACTATCGCAACGCCATCCAGAAAAAAAACCCAGATTTTACCAACATAAAGCACTGTATTATCGGCTTCATACTCGACAACCATGGACTCAGCAACCTCCCATCGGCCGCCCAAACGCCTCGCCGTCTTCTGTGACGGCACATGGGTCGGCCGCGAGACAGCCGTCGACGACGCACCACCAAGCAACATCCGGCAGCTCGCCAACATGGTCGGCACCGTCAAGTACAAAACCGACGACAAAGCCGCCGCAACCGTGCACCCCATCCAACCGCACAAAAACAAGAACCTCTCTGAGACTTCTTCTGCCTCCGCCCCGGATGCCATCATCGCAGGTTACCAAGAAGGCGTGGGCCTGAACAAGAACTTCATGCAGTACATCTGGGACGGCGCCACCGCCTCCTCCATCAGCGAAGAATGCATCGCCGTGTACAAATTCATCGTGGAAAACTACACCGACGAGCACGAAATCTGGTTGTTCGGATTCAGTCGCGGCGCGTTTACTGTGCGCTGCGTCGCGGGCATGATTAACAACTGCGGCATCATCAAGCGGCGCGCCGACTACACCGACGAAGAGGTGTCGCGCCTGTGCTACGAAATATTCCGCACGTATCGCTCTAGTTTGCCGGTTGATGCGCCTAAAAGCGAGGAATGTCAGCGCTGGAAGGGGCTGGAAGATAGAGTGTGGCAGGTTAAACGCCCGATTCGCTTCATGGGGGTTATAGATACGGTGGGTGCGCTGGGGATTCCGCGACTAAGCGCGGGCGTAGGGTTCGATTGGAGTCCATTTGAGTTTTTCGATATGAGCATCTCGAGCGTGGTGCAGCATTGCTATCACGCGCCGTGCTTGCACGATAGGCTGTGGATCTTCCAGCCGTGTCTTGTGTCTGCGAGCGAGGAGACGGCGGCGGATGAGAAAGAGGCGAGGGCTAGTATAACGCAGAAATGGTTTCCGGGGACCCATTACGATGTCGGTCGTATGACGTTTCGGTTTGTGCGGCAGAGCCCGACGAACTGGATTGAGGAGGCGTTGGGGTGGCTTCCTAACTTGCTGTCGCGTACAATTTATCCGAATCAAGTGCTCAGCGATGCGGTATTGCGGTGGATGGTGGAAAGTGTACATGCTGTGGATGAGCGTTCAGAAACACCCATTATGCCTGGCGCGCAAGAATGGATACAGCATCTCGGAGAGAGGCTGGGTGAAGCCGCACTATCAGCTTCATCAACGGAAGATCAACACCTAAGAACTGGCAGTGGAGACATCTACGGCGACGTGCTAGCCTACGCACCCGGCGGCGTCGTGATTAGCTCGGTGCAAAAGACCTCGCGCTCCATCACCTCCCTCCTCAATGGTGTCTTGCCGCGGCTTGGTGACAACATCCAGAGCGTGCTGGGTGTCAAAACACTCATCGGTATCCTGACAAACACTGCCGATCGCCGTATCCCGGGTACGCAAGCAGAAATATACCCGTACACAGAGCCAGAGAAGGTGATGGTCAAGGGAAGCGAAGTTGTTTTCACAGTAGAAGAGCTGGCGCGAATGAAGGAGGTAAATGACGTGGGGCAAGTCAGATATCCCAGTCAGTGTTTCCATTCGTTTTTGCTTTGGAAAGAGGTGTTTGGGAAAAAGGTAACTTCATGTGGACACTGAGTCTGGTTTCTTCACGTGAGCGAACAAATTGTCAACAAACAGTCAATTATCACTGCTTCAGTACTGGAGTTGGACTCATCAGCCTTTCTTGTTCATTTCAAATGCACCTTCGTTGGCAAATGCCTTCTTATCGATGACTTGGTCCCTGGAGAAATGTGCATTAGGTTCATTGTACTTCTATTGAGTAGTATGTCCATATCTAAATCCAGAGTCTACTATATTAAAACGAAAAAAAAATGACCATATCGCTCACGACAATTCTAAATGTTGTACACAAGAAGCAAGAAACTTACTTCTTGCCACGTCCGCCAAAGCCCCATCGGATCTGGTTCGCCCAGCGCATCTCTACACCAAGATCGTCTGCGCACTGCCACACGAAGCCAGGATTCTTTTGGAACATGCGGCCGATGAATGCAATGTCGAGGTTGTCATTCTCAAGGTAGCCGTTTGCCTGCTTGCCGTCGGTGATGCTACCAACGGTTCCAACAGCCATCTTGTCGCCAACCTTGTCTTTAACAGCCTTGGCGAATGGCTCTTGGTATCCGGGTCCACCATGGATGTGCTGCTTCTCGTGGAGCCCACCAGATGAGACGTCGAGCAGGTCAACACCCCTTTCGGCTAGTATCTCGGCAAGGCGGACGGTCTGGTCAACAGTCCAGCCTTCGATACCGGCTTCGTCAAGCCAATCGGTCGCGCTGATGCGGAGCACAAGCGGCATGCTCTCCGGGATGGTCTTGCGAGTGAGGTCTACTAGCTCAAGGGTCAGGCGGGTGCGGTTCTCGAACGAGCCACCGTATTCGTCGGTACGCTGGTTGGATGCGGGAGAAAGGAAAGAGTGCAACAGGTAGCCGTGCGCATTGTGAATCTCAATGGTATCGAAGCCAATCTTGATCGCGCGCTTGACAGCGTCAACGAAAGCCTGCTTGAATGTTTCGATATCCTGTTTGGTCATCTCCTTGGGGGTGCAGTGCTTGTCGTTGAATGCGATGGCTGATGGCCCATAGACATTATCCGGCCAGCCGTTCATCTCCTTGGTAGCAATGTCACCCTTGCTCAGCCATGGCGCCACTGTGCTAGCCTTGCGTCCCGCATGACCGAGTTGGATACCGATTTTCTGGCCCTGGGAGTGCGCAAACTCGACAATTTTGCGGAGAGGCTCCATTTGCGAATCCTTCCATAGACCACTGTCCTCGGGCGTGATACGGCCCTCTGGAACGACAGCGGTTGCCTCTACAAATGTGAGCCCTGGGCCACGCTGGATGATGCCACCCAAGTGTGTAAGATGCCAATTGGTGTGGTGCCCGTCTTCGGCCGAATACTGGCAGAGAGGAGAAAGGGCGAGGCGGTTCTGGATCTTGAGACCGCGAAGCTTAAGGGGCTGGAAGAGCTTGGGGATCTTGGAACTGCCATCGAGCATGCCCAATGCAGTTCCAGCAGGGGGCTCTTGCTCAGGTGTAAAGTAAGAGATCTAGATGGGTTAGTAAGTTATGGAGACGTGAAGGGGAGCATCGCATACACCAGGGGCAGCCTTGTTTCTTAATTCATCTTGCTTGGCGACTTTGTCGCTGTTCTTATCCTCTGGCATGTCTTTGGCAACCGCGTGATGCGAGTGTGGCTTCGCAGTGTCAGGTTCGGCGCCCATGGTTGCAATTGACGATTGAGGTATTTGGGATATGAAGGTATTAGGGGATTGTAATGACTTGTTCTTCTGCTCAAGCCTGAGTTGTGCCGAGACTGAAGTTGCGGTCAATGCAGGTTTTATACTGCGTGATGTCTTGCTTGCCGTGTCTAGAAAATACTAGTATGACGTTTACTTACGGACACGCGCGGGGCATATGCCGGGCCCCGCTTTCCTTGTTGGGGTTGGTATGGTGTGGTTAGGGCATGTGGTGATTTGTAAGAAAGATGCCACCACTGTGTTGGCTAGAATATCGAACACGCATGTATTATTTATGATTACATGCTGCTGTATGTGGCAATGGACGTATCAGAGCCAGAGCCAGCACTCGATGGCGACATGAATTGGTTGAGCGGCAGATTGTACAAATGCTGACTGAGGGAGCAGGGAGCACGCCCGCAGTTGGCATGTTTACATAATGAGAGTTTTGGCTTTCTTGTGTGGTGGAATTGTCGATTCTGGAATTATTGATCTTGGAAGTGTATCTGCCTCATCGCAAAGGTTTACCAAAGCATGCATCGGAAGGTTAGTCAGCGATACTGTGTCGGCCTTGTACTAGACGTCATTCAGTGTCTGTGTGGTTTGGTGGGGCGAACCAGTAGGTGATTTGCGCGACTCAAATTCCGGGGGCTTGAGTGCGGCGACGAGGCCGACGTTGTCCGCTCCAAGCCTCTAGTGCCGCGATCGATACTGGGTGGCAGACTTCCATACTCAGTATACCAAGTCTTGCAGGACGCTGACTGCAGACTTGGCTGTCACAGGTCACGAGCGAACAATCCCGTCGGGTGGACTGAGAGTGTTTGAGCCTGAAGTTGAGCAAGGATAGGGATAGTTGGCAATGGCATTAATATGGCCACAGTCACGTTGTTGTCGTGCTTGGCCACAGCACGTTAGCAGGACGGTTAACAGTCGGGAATAACCAGAATTATGCACTGGAGGTTGACACATGACAGCAGCATGACGAGGCGTATCTCTATTAACATCGCACAGTCCAATGATGCGCGTCATGCGCGTTTCGTTTTGCCCGTAACTGGAGCGTCAGGGCTGAAGCGGCCGACGTTGCCGATGGACCCAGAGCATCGGCCCTTTATTGTGTATGAGGCAGAGTGGGTAAGACTGGCAATGGGGTTTTCCGTTTTTGCACGCGGGTATGCAGGCCTCAGACAAGGACTGTGGCACGAGGATAGGTGGTGAGGAACGGCCAACGCCTGGAGCCGCCTGTGCCACGGCGACGCCGAAGGGAAGTAGAGATGTGCACTTGTTGCATTGGGATTTGCAGGAAGCTTTGTCGACAGCGGGCGTGTATGGGCGAGAAAGAAACAACGGCGGCGCGAGGAGGACAGCGATAGGGTGGTAGGGTGGGAGGATAGATTAGCATTGGCACTCTACCCCACGCTGGGTGCGGCGCAGGAAATGAGGAACAGGCTAGCAACCTGCCTGATTGGGCCAAGTGAGGCACCCTCAAACATCAGCCTGTGTGGCGCCACCAATGAGAGCCCGCCAGCCCGCCAGCCCAGCACAGGGCCCAGCAGAGGACCAGCCGCTCGCGCAGGGCAGTGGATCAAAGACGCCCCGAGCATCCGCACGCGCTCTCTTACTGCCACTCGTGCCCATTACACCCTCGACGACAGCGACGACAGCAACGACAACGGCAGCCACACAAACGCTGCCGGGTGTATCTATAGACACTTGTACATAGACGCGGGCGCTTGACATTCACACTCTCTTGGTACCCCCATCGCCACTGCCCTCTCGGTGCACAATCGCACCTGCCGTTCCTTTAACGCCCGCAGTCAGCACCACCTCAGCAACAACCCGCGTGTTCACTGTGCCCGCACTCGCCTTCACTGCGGCGCAAAAAAAACTTCAACAATCCACCCTCGCAGCGACAATCGCTCCGCTCGCCCTTTTGGCTTTCCACGGGCAATCTCTCTCGGTCTCGGTTTCTCCGCCGTCACCGCTGTGCCCAAGCCTTGTGCCTCAAACGTGAGACGCTCCACCCAACACGCGTATTTTCTTATGCACACCACGCCCCCGTACCAACTGAACACCTACGCTTCTGGGAAACACTCCGTCCCCTGCAAATCCCCCAACCTCAGTCCTTCCCTCGCCCTACAAAACTATTCTGTTTACTGTCGCTTCCTCCCTCTGCTCGATTCGTGGTGAGCAGCAGGCCTGTTACCACCTTCGCGACCACCCTTTCTTTGTCTCTTCCTCCCCAATCCATGTCCTAGCCACACACGTCACTCCTTCGACAAAGCAGCTGGGCTGTAGGATACAATACCGTTGACCGGATACGTACAACCACTCCTTACATACATACATTCATACAAACATACATATATACATACATACCTCCTCGCCGCCTAATACTCAACGCCACCGCCGACTATGGGCTGCTGTGGAGATCGCGAAAAAGCCCTTACCGTGGCCGAAGAGCAAAAATGGACGCACCTTGTAAGCACTCCAGGTGACACAACCCGCCCTCATGCAATGTACTAATCCACCCAGACTCTGTCCGACTTCAAGTCTACTTCATGCCTCGCTCCCTTCTCCTACGTCTGGCTCTGGATCCTTGTTCTCGTCTCTTGCGCCGTCTACGCTGCTGACGCCTTCACTGCCATCAATCTTCTTGCCTTTGACAAGTGGACCAGCACCATCAAGCCCGCCGTTCCTTTTGAAATCGCAAAATGGATCTTTGCCATTACCATCATCATTTCCTACGTCTTTCTCCTATACCGCTGGATCAGGACCATGCGCGTCATGCGCACCGGAAGCGTCACTGAATGCTACCTCGAGCCTCTGGCCGCCATCTGGCAGAGTATGCGCCTAACATCCTCGGGTCAGGGTTGGCGCCGTTTCTTGGTTTTTGCAGAGTTGACCAAGAGTAAAAAGGGCGTCAACTACATTGCCCTCTTTGTCTACTTCCAGTTCAAAAGCGCCTTGCTTATCATCGTCGCCCAAGGTCCCCGTGTCGCCATCAATGCCATGACTCTGTACGCCGTCATGCAGGCTCAAATCATTCCCGGAGGCGACCATGCTGCAAAAGATAGATCCAACTTTGAGCAGTTCTTCGTCAACATCAAGACCATGATCGATACGGGCAATAGGCGAGAAACCGTCATCTATTTCGCCATGTTGTTCTCCTTGGTGATTTGGGTCATTGCTGCCCTGAGTTTGATTGTCGCCTGCCTTCTCTACATTTTCTTTCTGTGGCATTACATTCCCAAGGCTGACGGCAGTCTAACCAACTACTGTCGCCGCAAGGTTGAGACTCGTCTTGAGCGCATTGTTGGCAAGAAGATCAAGAAGGCAATCGAAAAGCAGAACCAGCAATTGAAGAAGCAAGAAGAAAGGGCCATCAAAAAGGGTCAGCTTGATGTATCCAAGTCACGACCAACTCTGCCCAATATTGGTGATGACGACGATGACACGTCTACTGTCTTCTCTCTGCAACGCTCCGACACGATGAGTACCAACACGACGCTTCCACCGTATGCTCCATATCCTCAGTCGCACACCAACAGCATGGTTTCAAACAATGGTCGAAACTTGATGATGAAGCCATCTCTGCCCACACTCGACGAACGTCCAAGCACGCTTGCGCGATCCGAATCACAATTTACCACATTTTCTACTAACAGCTATGGTTCCAATGCACCCATGTTGCCCCAAGCCGGTAATATGGGCAGAGCATCGCCAGCCCCCGGAATGGCGCCCCTCGATAACAACGGTAGTGACTATTTTGGTCAACAGCGCAACTTGCCCTATCCTTCCGACAGGCCTTTTACGCAAATGTCACAGGGCAGGGCGTCTCCAATGGCTCAACGGGGACATTTACCGCCAGTGGACACGAGCTTCAACAATACTCCATATGGTTCCGAGCCTCGACTGGTTTCTCCTCTTGCCAATGACGCACGATCATCGCAAGCTCAATCAAGCCGTCCATACCAGGGATTCAGTCCGTACAACAGCCGCGGTCCCGCCACAGGTCCCGAATACGAGCTATCGCCTGTTGAAAGCAACGCGACAGAGGAAATCTCCAGACATTACTACCCCGACCCAAATGACTACAATGACTACCAGCCACCACAAGTACCCAATGTTTTGAGGGCTGGCTCTCCTGCCCCCTCGCAGTTTGGCGGCCTGCCCGGCCAACTACGATCAAACACAGCACCTCCACGCCGGGACATGCCTGACCGTACTATGAATGGCTCGATGCCGCCACAGCGCAGTGCCACTGCTCCGATCCAGCAGCCAGGTTGGGTTCAAGGACCTCCCCCGCGCAGTTTCACTCCTTCCGGTCCCGCTCCTCAACGGCCCTACACTCCTTCCGGTCCCGCTCCGCAACGTCCTTACACCCCGTCAGGACCTCGTCCTCACGATAACTACAACTACTAAGCTATTTTCGGGTCAACATCTTGTTTATACGTAGCAAAGTCCGGTTTTTCCTACAGTTGATACCAATCACGCATTTCCATGGCGTTCACTTCTCTTTTCTGTTAGATACAGATCCTCCCCTTTTTCCAGCCAACTTTTTCACATTCATACACACCTGCCCATAACCTTTTGGGATACGATTATGACATCTCTCTCACTTCGGTGAGAAGGTCGTTCGTGACCTTCGTTTTATACATGTATATATGCTTCGAGATACCCCACCCAACCTCCCGCATGGCTGGCCTCGGACGTCCATTCGCTTTTTTCTTGTATGAAGTTACCATTTTTGATGGCTTGGAGAGACGACGGATACGTTTTTTTCTGAAGCTGCAAGCGCGCAACATGTTTAAATAGATTTGCAGCCACATGTATCAATAGCTATCTATCTTGATTTTCTCTCTTTGTGCGATTCGATGCTACTTTTGCTCTTGTTTGATCCACTTGTATGTTTATAACGTAGTTTACAAGCGAGTGAGCCATACAAGCGAGTGAGCCACCCTACCAACTTTGCGCACCTCTGTAGGCGTATAGCTCCACCATAATATAATTATTTTGCTATATATTAATATAATTAATTAAGTAGTACCTAGAGTATCTTTCTTACACGTACGCGCATTATGGCTAGTCTCTTTACACCTACTACAGCGCGCAAGAGCCTAGCAGCTGACACCTGATCGCTCTCCTTCTTGACGCTCTTCATAAGCAATCTGCTAATCAGCCTCGCGCTGAGCGAGTAGATCCTCTCCAGCTCCCTTTGTTAGCACTCCTTGCTTCTGTATCCGCTTCTTCTTACGCTGCCTACGCTTTATTACGGCTTCGTTCGCCTTCTCAAGGCTAGCTATCCGATCGCGCATTAGCTCAGCCGAGAGCATCATTACCTCAGCCCCCTTCTTAAGCTAATTAATTGCTGTAATAATTAAAGCTGGCGATAAGCCTTAATGCCGCTAAACGCGATCACGTATTAATGTTAATTAAGCTTTAAGCTCGCGTGTGTTGCTAGGCGTGCGAGCCTGCTAGAGAGCCTCTAGAGCAGCTGGTAGAGTAGGCGTACGGAGCTTTATATCAAGTCTTGATAGAACAGCATCTAGCTAGAGAGGAATAAGGCCTGCGCCGCGGAAGGCAGAGCAGATATTAGATGGCGTAAAGGATCGATCGAACGCTACCTTAAACGCTGGCAGAAACTCGAGCTTAGTGATATAGTTAATGTAATAGCGGATTAGGCTCTCCACCTCGCGGCTGTACGCGCGCTTTAACGGCGAGAAGCAGCCAACGTTAAGAGGCTAGAGTAGATAAGATAAGTAAGGCGGCATACAGAGCGTATATATATTATTCTCCTTGCAGAACTCTTAAAACTCTAGAGACTAGTAGCTCTTATAGCCGTTAAGAATAAGCAGGCGACGTATACTAATAACGCGAGTCTTCGTGTAGGCATTAAAGTGCTTTATCCATGCGACGCCTAGCTCGTTATTCGTCCAGCTATTATCGCTGACTGCAATCGCCTAGTCGCGTGGGATCTCTGCCTCCTCATACCAAGCAGATAGGTGGTACTTGCCAGCGAATACAAGGAACGGTAGGACTGACCAGCCAGCTGCGTTGATCGCTGCGATCAGCGTCACCCACTCACGATTACCTAGCTTAACTGCCTTTAGCCGGCCTCTCCTCTCTAACGCTGTAACGACAAGTTAAGTCGTAATCTTGCCTATTATAAAGCCAGCTTCGTCGAAGTTGTAGACGTCCTCGTCGCAGATGCTGTACTTAGCCTTTGTCTGCTCTACAAGCTCAAACCAGCTCTTAATTAGGACTAGATCTTCACATAGAGCTCTCTGCCTATCGTACGCTCGACTAAAACGCGTTATAAGACTGTCTGTACGCTTAACAAAGTTACGCGGCTAGTAGACGCCGACCTGGCCAGCGCCGCGCGCAGCCAGGAGTCTATCAGCTATATCGCGCACAGCTGCGTAGGTAGGCGAGAATCTACGTAGATCAAGATCAAGTATATGGCTAATAATCACCTCCTCTTCTAGCTTAGTAAGCTTCTTTGAGTTGGGCTGGCAATCGCGTCGGGCAGGCTTACCAGCGCGTCGGCGGTGGAGAGTAGCGCGAGAAACATTAAACGTAGCTGCAGCACGCCTTTTAGTTTAAACTTAACTTTTTTTAAGAGCTGATAGTGCAAGGTATATGTCAGCCTCACGAGGGACGTGTTAGGATAGATTTAGTGGAGTCATTGTATATTGTAACAAGAGAGGTGCGTAAAGTTAGTGGGGTGGCTCACTCGCTTGTATGGCTCACTCGCTTGTAAACTACGTTATGGATCTTAGCGCTACGTTATTATACCAGGCTTATTACATCAAGATTCAGTCATCTACTTCTTATGATGTGCATGGTTACCGCCCTGCATTCCCTCCTTGAACCAATACACCTGTCCTCTAACCGTCCACCTTGCAACATTCCAGTCCTCACCCTCCACATAACAGTTAGTTTCTCCCTCTCCTACATTCGTTCGCATTACTATCCTCGCCCACCACCATCCCAGCAAGTATAACCACATCAACCACACACAGTCACACGTTCTTATACTCACACCCCGAATCTCTTACCCACGAACCCTCTGCTCTCTACCCCTACCAACCATTCGCATACCCATCACCAATACTCGTACCACACACATGCCCATATCCTCGGCTAAATTCCCCATGTATGCCGTCTCGTTAGAAGAAAAAAGAGCAAGGGGAGAGTAACCTAGTCATCTTTTCATTTGCACACACACACATGCCCCTCCCTTGTAGACTGCTTATTATTTCGCTGACGTATAGTACGTGATGCTCGAGGTTAATACTTCTGTGAACAAGCAGGCCACTCTTGCCAATCGTCGGGAGAGAAAATATGTAAAAACGAGGATGATATCACTTTCATCGGCTTCAACATAATACTTTGACGTTGGTCTTCTGCAAGGGGAGGGAGGTGGGGGGTTTTTTTTTCATCTACTTATTCTATTATGCACTCTTGTTCGATGTCGATGTATCGCTCGATTGCAAGTCGAGGTATCTAAGTTAGGAAGAAAAAAAAGGGGGGTTTTTTTTAAGTGAGGGACGATGCTGAGGGGGGGGGGGGGGAAGGGGAAGACAAGGAAAGATAAAAAAAAGAAAGAGGCCGCGATAAGGAATCTGATTTCCGAGGTTCGCACTAATGGTCAGAAAGTTAGATATTTCCCTGTGTAGTGTGATGTGGATGCGGGGTTCAAGTCGAACAATGTAGTAGAATACCTACCCCCCTAAAAAATAATAATGATGAAATGAGTCCAGCACTGTTCTCACTGTAAACTAGTTAGTTGATGCGATTTGATAAAGGTCGTCGATGACATTTTGACACATCGATAGTGCACTTTTTCTTCCCACTGGTTAACTTTGGTAGATGTGAACTATGGTACGCTTTGCGCACGCCGGGAAAACGTAGATTGCAGCCAAGCCTCGATTTCCACGTGTCCGAGTTGGTAAATGCTTCCCTGACCCAGAGTTGCGTGCGCGCGCGATCGGGAATGTATGTATGGTTTCTTTGTTAGGGGGTTTGGGCCATGGGGCGGCACTTGGGCATGCGCAGCGGGGCGGTCGGGGGGGAAGGAATTTTAGTAACTAGTACCTTGAGATGATGGTTACGGAAAGTCTCCGGTGTATGTAAGTATATACTATGTACCATGCCGCGAGAGAATGCAGCGAAGTAAAGTCTCCGGAAGACGTGAGCGTTCTCGTACTCTAGCATCCGAGGAGTAGAGAAGCGCCTACATCCGCTCTAGTCCAGACACCATCATCCCCAGTAACGAATCGCGGTAGTGCAGCATCAAAAGTCGCAGTGTTGAACTACACAACAGCTGTGCAAAAGTCATATGCCAGTCCCCTTGTGTCATGAGCAAGAAAGATCGTCACCTACGGTCGTACGTTCTCCGTGGCTTCCGCAGCAACACATGCCAACGGACAACGCCACGAAACAAAACTACTGGCGTGTTTCACGCGCTGTATCAGGCATCGATACCTCTATTTTTTGGGATGAATCGGGGGCGCGGTTATTGAATGTGTCGCAATTCCCCCACACCACTGTGATTGCACACTTATGGGCTGATCGGCGAACCTGATCTTCAGGCTTCCTCCTCCCTCCCACCCGAAACATGTTTGATCGCCAGGCACTACCCGCACCAGCGCGTCGGCTCTGGCGATTGATGGCTATCGAGCCCGCTCATAAACGTTTTCTTCACTTTGTCAAAACAACTCTTGTGCAAACTGGAGTAAGTTGGCCAAACGAGGCGTCGTATCCCCTTTTGTCTTCGCCGTCTTGGTGGCTGACGATCTAGTCTTGGTTGTTCTTGGGGGCAATTTTGATTTTTGCACGGGAACGATTCTCGGGTTCGGCGTTGCTGAGTACAAGAAGCGGTTTCACTAAGCCACACCATTCTTTGTTATTAGGATCTGGCGTCGCGGAGCGCAGTGTTTCACGTGCTGTAATCATCTTGGTCTTTGTGTGAATTCGGCAGTAACTAGTAGAATCACAGTACGTAAGCTGGGGGGCAAATTCGCCCATACCCGAGTATCAAATGTCCTTTCCGCATGTGAGTGCCTGTGGCCGCTGTTCTTGCCTGGCTTCACCGGTGGAGCCATTTGCAAATACGTTGACTTGCTCCGTAATCCTGCTTGTCTTTTCACATGTTGTGGTGGCGTGAGAAAGAAACTTGCAGAAAGAATTCTCTCAGCGATCTCCAGTCAGTCAGCCAGTTGAGCAGACGAACTTGACAAGAATTGGCAGAGCGCTCCACCGGGACCATAAAATCCTGCACAAGCGAAATTACACGCAATCGTCTAGAACATGTTCGCTTGTCGGGAAGCGTACACCTGCTGACATCACACCGGTAAGGCTCCGAGTAGGTATCGATAAGATGGCGAAGCTGCATGAAGCTTGTTGAGAGCATCCACAAGGCGTTCTGCCCACTGCGTGATTGGTGTACCTTGAAAATCCAGCACAGTAGTATGCAGTTTGTATGCACGATGCGCCAATGAGAATCTGCTGCGAGAAAATTGTGGCCAGGTTCTATAGGAGACCTTGAACAACATGTTTGGGCTGGACAAGTGTTGTGGTAATATGTCGCGTCATGAATACGACGGGCTGTCAGCAGTAGCGGATAGGGCCGCATGCAATGGTTTTTTTAGTATGCTCTTTGACCATATGCGGTCGGTCAACCGAGCACAATAACCTTTGTGGTATACTCATAGCGCGGTGTGTCAATGCATGACCACTGCAGGTGATAAGTAGATGAAAACGAAACAAAGACCTCAGTGTCATCATCAAAGGTGGACAAACTGCGCCATTCAGGGCATGAGACGCACTCGTACATGTTGTAGCTCCTAGTTCCGTCTGCGTTCGAGGCAAGGTCACGGCTGAGGATTAGCAAACAACGGACAGAAATCCACCACGTCGCATCCACTGCTGCGCTGTTACGATGCCGACCGGTGGACAGCAGCCTTTGAGTTTTTCATCGTGCATACATATGCTGGCTAGCCCCAACATTGCGATAAAGACTCTATCATTCCGCTGGCCACATCGGGGCTCCACAAACGTTGCATCGGCCGCTTGCCTGTGAGTGGAGCAGCGGATGCTTGGGTACAGATGGGCTGAACTACAGCCGTGTAAAGGACGAATGGAAGAAGAGCGAGTGCAAACTGCTGCGTCACTATGCTGCACGACTATTACACAGGCTGACAGAGGCTTTTTTACCCGGCCAAGGAATGGTCGGGGCAGGACGGGGCTGTCGGACCATAGTGTATTGACGTGGTCGAGAGCATGTACCAAGGAGCATCCGGTCCACGTTAGTGACAGTGATAAGAGACGGTAGTAAGTACATGACGACGCTGGTGAGGCTAGACTGGATGAGGCAAAAAACACATGGCGTAGTGTGATGGCAACGCGGCCGGTGGAAGACGTTCTGGAATCCGCAAGGTCGTTTGCTCCACTTTGGTTCGCGGCGACAAGACAACACGCACACGCCTTTTCCAATCACAACATGCTGGTCCCACCCTGTGATGATCGTAATTGCGCGGCCTTGCCATGGTCGGAGAGCCGATAAAGTGGCGCCTGTGGCAGTGCGCTTTATTGTCGTAGTTGTTGTTGTTGTCGTCGTCGAGATGTCGAGACTTGTTGTCCGTGGCGACAAGAGCAGCTCGGTCGCTATACCACACGGCTGCTTGGGTGCCGCCAAGGGTATAATAAATGGGGGGAAGAAGGGGGATGCTTCAATTCGCGATTCAGCAGTAGCCGGCCAAGGTGTCGAGCCAGGGCGCGCCAACTGTGCCTGAGCCAGGCACACCAATCACAGCAGGGCGCGAAGCGATGGGGCCGCGCTGTCAGGGGTCGCATGTCCGGTGCAATTGGCCCCATGCAAATTAGCGACGGGGATGGTTGGCGGCACGCTAACCTGTCAAGGTCAGCCAGGAGATGAGATGGAGCAGTCCGGCTGGTGCTGCGTCTGGCCGCTTGCGTCCCTTTTCCTCCTCTTCACCGCAACATATAACATACCCACGGTCCCTCTTTTCCTGTTAGCCACATTCGCGCGTTCACTCATTCACGCCCGTCTTGGTCTTGCCTGCTTGCTTCCTTGCCTGCACGCTCAGTCATTCCTTTGCTAATCTTACTGCAATCCTTTATCGCTCCATCAGCACGCTCCGACACGCCGTTGAACGCCGTTACGACCTGTCTGCTCTATCAATACTCGCCTGTCGCATCATTACTCACAAACCTGTTGCAAAATGCGTTACTCTTCTGCTTTGGTGTTGAGCACCATTGTTGTTGGTCAAGCTGCCGCTGCCAACCTCCACAACCGTCACGCCAGCTTCCATGCTCGCCGTCAAGCGTGAGTAATACCGGCAAAGCTCACATATCAGCCGTTTCTAATTGTGCGTAGTGAGGCCAAGCGTTCCGCTGATACTAGCAACGTCGATTGGAGCAAGGTCGCCTACGACCTGAACGATGTCGACTGGGACAAGGTCTTCGCAACTCCTTCTCCTACCCCAGCTCCCAAGCCAGCAGAGCCTGTTGCTGAGGCCAAGCAAGTCGAGGCTGCCGCAGCCCCTACCTACCCCTCGCCCTCCGCTCCCGCTGAGGAGAAGAAGCCCGTCGAGGACAAGAAGCCTGTTGAGGATAAGAAGCCCGTCGAGGACAAGCCCGCTCCCACTCCTACCCCCACCCCGGCTCCCACCGACGAGAAGAAGGACCCACTCGGCGATCTCCTCGACAATGTAGGCGACTCCATCAACGACATTGTCGGTGATGCCTTGAACGGACTCCAGTCTCTGATCACCACCATCGGCGCAAAGACCGGAAAGAACCCCAAGAGCAACCAGAACGGTATCTGGCTCGGCAAGGACAGCAAGTGGAGGACCCAGTTCACCAACGACAACAACAAGGATGCTGTCCTCTTCTGCTGGAGGTCCAACGACTTCAAGAACATGTGCATCAACGAGATGCAGCCCGAGATCTCCGTTGGTCTCAAGTCTGGCGAGTCCGTCGACATTTCCTTTGAGGAGAACGCCTCCGCTGCTTGCGCACCTGTCTTTCCTGACACCAAGCTGGCCATGTTCGGTGGTGTTGACAACACATGGTTCGAGGTCACCTTCGGCCCAACTGGTGCTTTCGATGTTTCTCGCAACATCAACATGAACGGTAGCAAAATCTCTGCTAAGGGCTCTAAGTGCACATCAGACATGGACACTTGCGTCTACAAGTGCAAGAACGGCATGACCACTTGCGAGAAGGGTACCGACTACGACCTCTTCAACTGCGACTCTGGCAACGGTGGTGGCGGTGGCTACGACCCAATCATGGCTGGTACCGGTGGCGGTTGCGCCATGGGCCAGAGCGGCGAAGTCATCAGGGTTGTCCTTTCATAAGCCGTGTCAACCCGAACTTTGCGGCGTTGGCCATCTCTTCATGTTGGTTTGCATATTCCTCTTCGCCATATTCCCCCTTGTTCCTTGCTACTTGGACACCACTCGTCACACAAGCAATCTTTTAGACACGGTTGTTTGGCGAGATATCCTATTCGCAGTTTTGGGTACTGGTAGCCTGTCCATTTACGCTTCCAGTTCAGGCTCTCAGTGGTCCATGTCTATTTAGTAAATGTTTATTGTTAGTCTTCCAATCCTATAAAACTTCCAAAAAAAGAATCAACTTGCCTATCTTTTCATGCGTGATGCGATTCACAATCAGCGCCGCCATTTGTTTCGGCTAGTAAGCGCCTGAGGCATGCACTGCCGTCCCCAACCCAACCGGCGACGCGAATCCCCTTGTCCATAGCCGCTCCTAATTTACCCACGGAGCAGGCAATCGTGCCGATGGAGGACTCATTGCGATTCCAAGATCCCAACAAGCCAACTTCCCCATTTCGGCCCACAGACCATAGCGAACAAAAGATAAAGGTAGGGGTACCCCGTAATAAGTCGTTCGCTCAGCTAAGCGATCGCGTTATTCCTCGTACCGTCGTTTCATCGCAACGTATACGATGACGGTCCGACAAGGGGGTCGCCTATAGCCGTTAAACAAAAAACTTATGAACAACGGTTAGAGAAAACGAGCTGACGAAGCGCAACGCAACCAAAGAACCCAGCGATCGAGAGAGAGAGAGAGGGAGCATTACGCGTAATCGTATCTATCCCCTTACGGCAGGCACACCAGCATAGCCATGCCTAGCCAATAGACTAGAATTTGTGGGGTCATGTTCGGACATTGGAGCGAAAGCAGCGGCAGTGTGGGTTCCAGTCAATAAGAAAAGGTGATGACGACGATAGGAGCTGGGGAAGGGAGGTAAACTAGCACAGAGAACCGGGGGGGGGGAAAGGCTCGCAACCTGGTTCTGCTAGTACTGAGTATTTTGTGCACAGATAGAACAAGTTCGAGCATACGAAATGACGGAAGGTGCAGTTTCGGCCGCGCAACCTGACTGGATGGCGCCGAAGCCCGATGCAGCGACTGGAAGGTCTAAGCAGCATCTATGTGTGAGGACACAACGGTTGATAACAACAATAATAGTAGTGTTAAGTAAACACATGATAGGGGTGCAGCGGATAACACTGGATTATGTCGATGCCTCGTCTTATAGTAGCTAGTGGAAACCAGGCAGAGAGCATTGCATCATGTGACATCGCAGTATGTAGGCAAGGCTTTTTTGATCTGTATCCTGCATTTTTCTTCAATACGATTCACGTGGCTTGCATCGCTCAAAATGCGTAGTAGTACCAATGATACGTAGTAGCCCAACCTGAGCGGTCACCCACACAAGACTACTACGGGTGACGATTACTTACTACTACACCCCAAAGGTCGGGGTTCAAAACCACTACAAGATAATCCAAATATCATAAAACTATAAATATGAGAATTGAAGACGCTTAGTACTATGTAAGGTAGTAGAAAAGTTCTAGCCACCCCAGCTACACCAGATGCCCGTTGATCTAACTGCACCATATGTCCACTGATCCGGCTGTACAAACTGCCTATATGCTTATTGATCCGGCTAAGCTAGCTAAAGCAGTGGAAATGCGGACATGCGGACATGTGGACATGTGGTGCAGCCAGATCAGTGGGTATATAGTGCAGCCAGCTCAGCCAGATTGATAGGCATCTGGTGCAGTTAGACCAGCAAGACCAGCCAAATCAGTAGGTTTCTAGAGTAGCTGGAGTAGCTAGAATCATTCTACTACCTTCCATAGTAATGACAATATTAGGTTTAGTAGGTTTAGACTCTAATTTTTGAAATTTCAGTCTTGGTTTTACTAGTGGTTTTGAATTTTGATCTAAAGGGCGTAATCGTCACCTGTGCAAGACCCTCGGCAAGGAGAATCGACATCACGATGAAGGACAAACTTCAGTATGCATCACCAAAACATATCAATTCGTGGCAAGATTATGCTCATAAATGCTTCATTCCAGAAAACACTACTATAGTTCAAGCAATACTCCGCATGTACCATGAGCTGTATCTAAACAATCTCTGATGCGAAATGCCCCTTCTGTACTCATACATTTGCTCACGAACTACATCTGTCTAGTTCGCATATGTAACTAAACTCAGGATATAAGATGCAACTTTCAACGCCAGATCTGGCCCTCTACAACTCATCGTGGTCGTTGGGGACATCGTCATCACCAGCGCTACCTGAAGAACCGTAGAGCTTGGAGGTGATGGGGTAGGCGACGTCGGAAAGCTTCTGGAACTGCTCGTCGAAGTCCTCAGCGGCAGCCTCACCAGCGTTGCTCTCGAGCCAGTCTTGGGTCTCCTTGACGGCCTCGAGGAGAGACTCCTTGTCATCGTCCTCGATCTTGCCACCAAGACCCTCCTCGTCGTTGACCTGGTTCTTGAGGCTGTAGGCGTAGTTCTCGAGCTTGTTGCGGGCCTCGATGCGCTCGCGGGTAGCCTTGTCCTCCTCGGCGTATTTCTCGGCCTCCTCAACCATACGGTCAATCTCCTCCTTACTGAGACGGCCCTTGTCGTTGGTGATGGTGATGCTCTCACCCTTTCCAGTGCCCTTGTCAACAGCGCCGACCTTGAGGATACCGTTAGAGTCGAGCTCGAAAGTGACCTCAATTTGGGGAACACCACGAGGCGCAGGGCTATGAAATGTTAGTTGACGTTCCTCCACATTGAATCTGGATTGAAAACTTACGGAATGTTGGTGAGCTCGAACTTTCCGAGCTGATTGTTGTCCTTCGTCATACTGCGCTCGCCTTCGAATACCTGGATCAAGACGACGGGCTGGTTGTCCGCGGCCGTGGAGAAGATCTGGCTCTTCTTGGTAGGGATGGTGGTACCACGCTTGATTAAGGTGGTCATGACACCGCCAGTGGTCTCGATACCGAGGGTAAGAGGGTTGACATCCATGAGAATGACACCGCTGGTGCGGTCCTCACCAGAGAGAACACCACCCTGGACGGCGGCACCGTAAGCGACAGCCTCGTCGGGGTTGACATCCTTGCGAGCCTTCTTTCCGAAGAACTCCTCAAGCATGGCCTGAACCTTAGGGATACGGGTAGAACCACCGACAAGGACAATGTCGTCAATGTCGCTCTTCTTCATCTTGGCGTCCTTGAGAACCTGCTCAACAGGCTTGAGAGTCTTCTTGAAAAGGTCGTTGTTAAGCTCCTCGAACTTGGCGCGGGTAAGAGTCTCAGAGAAGTCCTTGCCCTTGAAGAAGGACTCGATCTCGATCTTGGTGGACTTCTGGGAAGAGAGAGTGCGCTTGGCCTTCTCAACCTCACGCTTGAGCTTACCCATGGTCTTAGCGTCCTTGGTGATGTCGACGTTGTTCTCCTTGTTGTACTTCTTGGCGAAGTAGCTGATGACACGGTTATCGAAGTCTTCACCACCAAGATGAGTATCACCAGCAGTAGCCTGGACCTCGAAAACGCCCTCCTCGATGGTGAGGATAGAGACATCGAAAGTACCACCACCAAGATCGTAGACGAGAACCTGGCGTTCACCTTGGTCGGTCTGCGAAAGCGAGTTAGTTTAGTCCTTGGAGTAGCAGATTACTATTGCATCTTACCTTGTCAAGACCGTAGGCGAGAGCGGCGGCGGTGGGCTCGTTGACCACACGGAGAACATTGAGACCGGCAATAGTACCAGCGTCTTTGGTGGCGGCACGCTGGGCGTCGTTGAAGTAGGCGGGGACAGTGACAACGGCGTTCTTGACAGGCTCACCGAGGTAGCTCTCAGCAACCTCCTTCATCTTACCGAGAACCATGGCGGAGACCTCCTCGGGGGTGAAGGTCTTCTCCTCGCCGTGAACCTCGACACCGACGCGGGGCTGGCCATTCTTGTTGATAACCTTGAAGGGGAAGTGCTTGATGTCGTTCTGGACAGACTTGTCGGTAAACTTTTGACCAATGAGACGTTTCTACTCTCCAATTAGTATAACGTGTTTCGAATAGCGGGGTATGGGGAATGCGTACGATATCGAAGATGGTTCGGTGGGGATTGGAGGCGAACTGGTTCTTGGCGGCGTCTCCGACAAGGCGCTCCTCATCTGTGAAGGCGACCCAAGAGGGAGTGATACGGTTACCTGTAGAGGGAATTGGTTAGTTGGAAGCATCTACGAGCAATTGGTAGTGGTGGGGCTTACCCTGGTCGTTGGCGATGATTTCAACTTGACCGTTCTTCATGACACCAACGCAAGAGTACGTGGTTCCCAAATCGATACCAATAACGGGGCCAGAGACGGCATTGCCGTCATCCTTTGCGGATTCATTGTCCTTGGCGTGTGCTGTCTTAGCCAGCATTAGACCGCCGACGAGGACGAGGAGAAGGTAGAAGGCAATGGACCATGTCGAGCGCCTGCTCGCATTCCGTGAGCTACGCGCCATTGTGGATGTGTGTGTAGTAAGATCTCTCGGAGATTATATGTGGCCTTGAGTGCCAGAAGCAAGTGCGGGCGTAACTCTTTTCGAGTTCGCGATGTGGTGGAGTAGACAAAGCTCTCCGGGTATCGTAAAGAATGGAAACCAAAGGCAAGTTGGAATTGATCCTAAGGTGAGTGAAGGGAGAAGGAGAAGAGCGGTGGAGGGCTGCTGTTATATGCACGCCCAGTCGTGGAAGTATTTAGAAAGAACACCTTGCGATCTCGAAATACTAGCTCCGAAAGCGGACTAGCGCGTACACTGGACCATGGCGCTTTTGCCCCAGTCACCCGCTACAGCCTCAATTTCATCCGTGTTTAATGCAACCTGTTACATGACACGTGTAATTTAGCGACAATGGCTTTCTGTGTAGCCTTGTTGACATTGTGATTTTGTAGTCTATGTGTGGTTGTGCACCCACGAGCAACTTGAAGCGCATTGGAATGGGCAAGTAACAGCTGCAGTGGTCCTACCGCCGGTCGTTATCTAGTGGCCGATACCCCTCCATCTAAGCGAATGCAAATGCACTCAAGTCCTCTGGCGATTCTCGACATGCTTTCTTCTTTGATGAAGCGGTGGACCAGATCGCGGGTGCCTAATATCGACTCATACATTACAAACACGTCGAAATTTCCGGCTTGTCCATCGGTGATTACCCAGACTTTCTGTGGCGGCCAGCTCCAGGTGTCCTTTTACTCTAAATGTGGGGGTGCTTCCAAAACAGCTAAGCCGAAATTGACACTCGACCATCTACCAATAAACAGTCACCACATTGAAGGCTCCATACTCTTCTCTACCTAAATGCAACGTTTCCCCAATGCTAACGCCTAATTGCCACCTATGCGCATTGTCTAATCATTCTAAGTGCTGCTGCCTATAGAGAGGCGCACGGCATTCCTTCCGGACACTTTGGCACCCGTTCCTGATATCGTACCATTAATAAATTCCTGTTTTGATTGCTTCAACGTGTTAATATGCGCCATGCAATTCAGGTTGTCGCGCGCCACTATTGTGTTCAAGATTCTGCACGAAAGCAGTTTGTGAATATGGTATACTTGTCAACTACTACGAATTGGCCACCCACAAATGGAGACCACCATTCTGGAAGTATCTCGACTAGTCCACGCACTTCACAGCCTCAAATTCACGATACAATAACCTCTTTCATGTTACATGTCCACGCGACGCTGGCAGAGAATAGCAACTTTATCTCGCTGCACGGCGCAATCTTGTCACGCTGACGCGCCGAACCCGGCATCTTCCCTGCTAAGATCGTCAACTCTATTCCAATTATAATGTATCACTGCTGTCACAGGATGCTGTTTGTTGATTATCACGTGCTGAATCCACGCTTCTACAGTACGCACTACTACCAGATTCTCCACGAACGACGACCAGTAACACAGTAAGCGGTCAAATACTGCGTTCTGATTGGACGATGCCCTGTCACTACGTCATAGACTCACGCGTCGTTGCCAAACCCGGCTCTGACACTTCTGACACTGAACTTACTTGGAATCAAGTGCGACAACACTCATTTCTGTATATAGCACAACTCAAAAGATGTATCCCATTATCTGTCTTGGGATACATAAATGCTGTCTTGGCTCGCTTCCGTAACAGTCCTCTTTAAGCATTCTGCTAACGTGTCATTGGATACATAGACTAAAAGCACCTTGGCAACATGTCTGACAAGGTTGTGGACCCTGCGGCAAGAGACAAATATCTCCTTCAAGGTACTCACACACACACAAAAAAGCCTCCATCGCCTCGAGGTGCCTAACCGTACTCAGTAACTGCTGGCCCATCCTACAACCCTTCGGAGCATGAACAAGTAGCCGTAAACGGTGCAGACCCAACCTATATCGAAAGCGACCTCTTATCCGCTTGGATACGCGTTCGTATAAAGGACTACCATGGCTTACCTCGCGGTTCGCCAGCTTCATCGTCGTACTTCGACCACCCACAACATACCTCGGATCGCTATTCCATCGCCTACTCTTTCGTTCCCAAACAAAACATGTCTGGCTCCGACTTGGTTATGGGATTTGACTACGGCCACTCAATCAGGCATCAATTGCCTCCTGGTTTCAAGTATGCGATGAAAATTGCAACTAGCTTGCTTGATCCGGGCCTGTATTCTGATCCCTACTCCGACCAACCGTACCTGTACGGTCCAGCGCTATCAAGTTTCTTCGCTTTCCAGATCGGCGAAAAGACCAGCGTCATGTCTCCGTCTGACCAACTCTCCCGGCTAGAGCAAGATTCAGCTAATGTCATTGAAGAAGGCGCTTATGGAAGTGGTGTTGAGATACGCAAGATACTGAATATGCCTCCTAAATGGAAGAAGAGGCGGAAATTCTTTCTCGATGCAAAGGCTCTGGCAGATTTCACATTTGAAAAGGACAGGATGTATCATGCAGATTTCTTCAATCCGCACCTGGATTTTGCGAATTTCGCCTTGAGGTTACCAGGTTTCTCCATCAGTGTCGCACGGTACGTGGATGAGAAGACGCATCATCTAAGATATGTCTTGAAAAATCGCAAGACGGAAGAAGCGTTGCTAGTCGTGATTTTCAGACTACTGTATGGGAAGGAGTTGGAGGCTACACTGGAACAGGAGAAGAACAATGGCAATGTGGCAGCTGCGCCTGAGACGACCACCACCCAGTCAGGAGAAAACAGTACAGATCATGATGGGCAGATCAAGGTCTCCCCTGTCGAGGAAGCTGAAAGAACGACTTCGCAATCCCCACCAGCAACGACGGAACACAACGTGGCCAAACTAGAGCGACCGGAGCCTATGGCGACGGAATCTTCGGCAACAGATTCTGAGCATGACGATAGAAATGGCCAAGGCTATATTGGCCAAGCATCGACCGCGATATCAAGCTTAACGAGCTCAGTGGTCGCGGTATATGCGGCACTAGGTTTTAAATACTCGTCTTCCTCGGCCTCTGATTCTGAGGCATCAAACAGGAGTCGTTCGCCACAGCCTTCAGATCAATCCATGGAAGCAAGGATCGACGATATGGACAATGAGACTGTGGAGAAGTTCCTGCGGGATCAGACTAGCAATGTTCGAGATGCTCCAAGGGCCAGTCATAGCCAGGATGAGTAGACCGTGTATTCTCTCTTTCCTGCAATAGACACAATTAACGTTTGGCGTTTTCTCATCAGACCATTGGCATGGTATTCTCTTCGTCTTGAATGTGCTCAGCATACTTATATGTTGGCGATACGACCAAAGATGACAAATCCAAGCAATGCGGGGACGGCAAGCTTGCCCCATGAAAACAACGGGGATGCCACCCGTTTAAACTTTCTTACACTACAGTATTAGGATCATTGTTCAACACCTGTCAGTCTCAACATTGCGCCTCAACAACTATGTTTCCTTTACGCAAGAGACACAATACTTGCGCAAGTCCAATGCCTCCAATTGTTGAACTGAAACCTGGTTTTTTATAACACATGGACACAAAATTAGGAGGAGATCCGCGGAGGTATTACTATAGCAAAAAAGTCGACTCGGCTTATGATAGGAAGTCAGCCTTTGACCCCTGCCTCATGCTAGCCTAACAACGCACGTACCACGAGCCCCACATCCATCTCGAAGGTCATGAAACCTGAAAGAAGACTCCTTGACACACACTTTGCACCGAGCATCCGTCCGAGGGCAACAATACACGCCCTCATGACGCATTGGGCGGATCGTAATTAACTTCTACCAAGGCTGGGCTTCTTAGACCAAAGGCTAATACTTTGCACGCGGAAAGGGTGAGCACCGGGGCTAAAACAGTCGGTGACCTCGTGAGCCTAATCGATCTGCGTTTCGGATACTCGAGCTTCCATGGCACTAACACGGCTTTGTCGCGAAAGACTGCCCCAAGCACCCTCGCGGACACGCCTATGATTTGCGGTAGGGTACCGACTCCATCGGCGTCAGTGTTCCCGTAGGCTTGCGGTTGTCAACGTTTCCAGTCCAGAGCATCTTGAGGCACTTTTAGTGGCGCGGATTCATGCGTTGCCGAACGATGACAATCCTTCTTTAGAGCTCTCACTATCACGTTTTTTTCTTTCCCTCCGATATTAGTCTACGTGAATAACCTTGTTTTCCCCGGATACGACTTAACCCATCTTTCCTTTCGTACGTAGTAAGCGCTATATTCGGTCCTTCTACAAACTTTCGGTCAAGCAACGATGATAAGTACCTGTTTGGATCTCGCACTTTTGTGCCACCCTGTACTTGCACTCCTCACAATCCAACGGTCCAAGATGCAGACGCAGCAATCGTGGTGGCAGTATTTTCTGCTCAGTTTTCTGTCTTTACTGGCTATCCGCTATGCCAGCAGCGCTAGCACACCGTTGAATACCACTCTCGACGCAGTTGCCGCAATTACATGTCAATCGGAAGACCAGCCAAACCCAATTGCATCGACATATCCAAACAACGCTACTGGGGTCCTCAATGGCACAGTTTCAATCGTCCCTATCCCACTGGATCTCGCACGCCAACTGATTCCCTCACAATACCGCATCTTGGAACACGCATACCGCCACCTCCTCCCTGCATTCCCAAAAGACATGTACCCCGCCGTCGTCCAAGCCGTGCACGACCACGACATCCAATTCGCAGGCTTCAAAATCCCAGACTTCTCAGTAAGCTTAATTTCCTATACTATTGCTCACCTGACTGTCCCACTAACCCCCCAACCAGCGCGCAGGAATTGAATTCCCCTTCCTCGACCTCCTAGGCGACAACTCCACATCCTTCAAATGGGTTCCCTCCCTCTTAATGTCTGCCGACAACGCCGCCGCTATCCAAGGAGCACAGGCTTACGGCACAACTACCTACCCCTCTACCTTTGACCCCACATGCAACTCCTACCGTGCCGTCCCCAACGCCCCGAACCCTGGCACTACTTCCTACAGCGGCCGCAGTGTCGAGTCCGGGGCCGCGTGTGCAGACACACAATTCCACAGCACGACCGAGGCGCCGTACCCGCTGGGCTTCTTCGTCAACGTTACAAATCAGATTATTTTTGCAGATGGCAAATCGTGCGATAATATGATTCGCCTGTTTAACACGAGTTTGAGTACGGCGCCGAATCGTATTGAGAATGTAAAGGGATCTGTGCGTGCGAAGATGGAGCCGTTTAAGACAGAGCAGGTGTGGGATGGCGTTTACGGTATCAGATTTGCTTCTGCGTTCATTGAGAACAATTACCTCCCGTGTGAGAACTTTCGGGGCTACGGGGCGTAGGTTTCTGCTGAAAATCCGGAAAGGAAAGGGTAGGATAGGGTTTGTCAGTCCCCTACGACATGGCTGTCGTTATGATATGAGGGAATTCGGGAACAGGTGTTACTTTTTTAATGGTTAAGGGAGAAGTAAAAGGGATACCCGATTTGCAGTTGTTTTAGAGCATTGTAAATACATGCATACAATACCATCACCTACTTATTCATCATTTCGAGACATTTTTTCTATAAAAAAGAGACAAATCTTTACATATTCTTCTACAATATCTATCATCTGATTGTTTATTTAATACCTAGCAGACCCTTTAGTCTGAGTATCTTGCCCTGAATGATACCTTTTAGGCCACCCACCCCCGTGGCTGGCACCTCGTCAACACCCACAAAGCGCCTTACGAGCAAATTGAAAATGTTTCCAAAGCCCAATGCCATTACTGTGCTGGTAAGAATGATGACGTTGTACGGCATACTGAAATCGGGTGTTGGCAGGGGAAGAAGCAACGAGGTTGTGCGGATGTAGATGCCCTTGTTGTCGCCGGATGATGGGGACAGGACGCGGATGACAGCAGGAGCGACATCAAAGCCTCGGTTTGCATCTGGCGGGTACTCTGTGTACCGCAGAATGGCCTTTTCAAAGTCGTAGGTCAAGGTGAGCGTGGAGTCAGGTGGGATAACCATGCGTAGCTCGAGGTGAGTGCCTCGTTTGCGGTCAACTGCTGGTCGGTAATATGTCTCTTTGATGGGTGTTTGATCTGTAGTGTCAACATGAGCGCGTAGTGTGTGCAGATACGGCTTCATGAACCAGGGCAGAGACTCAAGGTAAACGACCTCGACTGCTTGTTGTTTGGATGGGTTTCGGATGACTGCCTGAATACTACCTCGCTCCTGACCGTGACCGTTGATGGATCTTGCAGCAAAAACGGGTGGATCTGGGCGAACCAAACCTGTCTTCATCTTCTGCTCAGGGAGAGCAAGGTCGAAATTCTGGCCTGTAGGAAGCTTGAAGCATCGGAGAGTGTCCGATGCCAGTTTTCTCTCTGTGAACTGGCCCTCTGTCTTCACTTCCATGATGCGTTCCGGTGGCATGTTGATACAAACATTGTGGGCCTCGTCTATGTTCTCATCTATCAACGGACAGGCGCCCCGGAGCGGCCTTCCGAAAACTTCCTCGAGGGTCCAGGGAAGCTCAGTGCCTTTGTTAAGGGGATAGCAAGTATCATGCGCGTTGTAGCCCTTGGAAGTGTCGCATTCCATTTGCTCGATGGGAAGAGGCCGTGGGATCGGATTATCTCTCGGGCGCTTCGCTCTCGCAATGTCCAAGACCATGTCCACGCTCTGCTCCATCTCTATGGAGCAAGTAGAGCTGCCCTCGCTACATGCAGGACGAACATCTACCGCCATGGTCTGGAATGCAGCATCAAACAGCTTGTGTCCATCAAGAAGACTGGAAACACCAGCCTTCCCCTTACAGGGTAGCAGTTTCAAGAAGGGAGTCAAGTTCTCAGTGCAGACAACTTCGTGAGGCAGGGTGCCGTGGAGCAGGTGGAGGTTGGATGAATTGCCATGCTGACCTTCTGGGTCAAAGGACATGACAGGGCGTATGGTTTTGGTGGCATCGATGAAATTTATCGAGGCGCAGAAGAGGCCAGACAAGGCATTGGTGAGTTTCAGCCATCGGGCAAATGCTCTGGAGACACGGTTAGCATTTGATGAGTGCTGTGTATATACGGGACATACTCCTCCTCAGTCGCTGCCTCGACCCACGCCCACAGCTCGACGCCCGTGCCTCCTTCTCGCGCCCCGTTCCATGGCCGCTGTCCCCAGTTGTCAGCATCCCATCTTCCGACGCTGAATCTCAAGTGCAGTTCCTTGGCATGCGCATGTTGTAGAATCTGGCCAAAGGAGCGCGGGAAATAGCGAAAGTTTTGTGCTTCAAAGGCAGCCGCACTTTCGTTGCTGCGGAAGTTGAAAGAGGCCAGAAGGGTGTTCTGTGGCAGGGGCCGAAGGAGGAGACGCTCACTGTAGTCGGAGCCTGCCGACACAAGTGTAATTAAGGCATTGAGTAACAGTATGGTGAAAGACGAGAGCATGGCAGCATGGTAGCGCTCTCTACGCGGACAGGATGGTGAGGGTGGTGAGGGTGGTGGTGATGAAGGGCGCCCCACATGTGATTGGTCAAGCGCAGTCCATGTAGACCAACCGTACTTGGCATTACCGCGGTCGCAGCGTCGCGATTTCTTTTGACCGTCACCTCACCTCAAGCTCTCCTCCACATCACGACAACAGGAAACTAATACTAGACAGATTACATTATGGCTGCAGCAGAGACGCGTAGGCTGCTCGGTATGCAAACCCAATCGTTCCTGAGAAAATACCAACCCTAACACACGATGTAGAGCAGCTCATGGGCGAACAGCTCATGAACGGAACCGACCAGCGCGCGCCCCAGCTCAGCATTACCGACCCCAAGGTCTGTCGCTCGTATCTAGTCGGCAACTGCCCGCACGATCTCTTCACCAACACCAAGAACGAACTGGGGCCCTGTCCCAAAGTCCACAATGAGGCGCTCAAGACCGAGTACCAGGAGGCCGACGCAGACCAGAAGCGCAAGTGGGGCTTCGAGTTTGACTACATGCGCGACATGCAGCATCACATTGACGCCTGTAATCGCAAGATAGATTCGGCCCAGCGCCGCCTAGAAAAGACGCCTGAAGAGATCCGGCAGACCAACGCTCTTGTCAGTAGCCTAGCCTGACCCCGTCGAGGAGTTTTGAATGTATACGCTAACAACCTGCGCAGCTCAAAGCAATCAACGAACTCACAAAGTCCATCGAATCCGGCATGCTGGAAATCAAGATAATGGGCGAGGAAGGCATGGTCAACATGGCCGTCCAGGAGTTCACCAAAGTCCGCTACAAGAAGGCCGAGAAGGAGGAACGCGAGCGCGAACTACGGGCCCTTTCCGACACGGGCGGCCCTTCGGGACACCAGAAACTCCAAGTGTGCGATGTATGCGGTGCATACCTCAGCCGTCTGGACAACGATCGTCGGTTAGCAGACCATTTCTACGGAAAGATGCATCTCGGCTACGCCCAGATGCGCAAGTCGTACGAGGCGCTGTCCAAGGAACTCAAGGACCGTGCGCCGCCTCGCAACTCGTATGCTCCCTCTGGCAGTGACATGGATCGAGGCAGTGGAGGCGGATGGGGTGGCGGTGGTGGCTACGGCGGAGGCGGCGGAGGCGGCGGCTACCGTGGCGGACGAGGAGGTCGTCGCGGCGGCAGAAGAGGAGGCTGGTAAAAGGAAAAAAACGGTGTCTCCCTTGTGTCTTCGGCGTTAAGGTGTGTCGACTTGAGATTCCCAAAAAACTGGTGCAGCTTACCACAGTATATTTTTATTGGTTCTTGTTTTTTTTGGGGGGCAGAGATGCGAAAGAGAAGGGAACAAAACACACGAAAACTACCGCGATTTGGGGCTGTTAGGGCTGTACAACAGGTTTAGCGACGTTTTACTGATGGTCCTCCCTCCCAGTGGAGCCCTGCTTGAGCTTGTCAATCTTCTCGAATTACATGTACGCTTACTTCCTTTTTTTCATCTTTCTTTCCAAGATGCAAACTTGATATGCTTCTAACCGTCATTCAAGGGATCAGTTGAGCGACTGCCGGACCCTTATACTGGATGCAAAGCATGCCGTCTGTTGTGCATTGTCACAGGTGCGTGGGTTCTGTTGTATCCTATGACTTGATTCTCCGATGTGATTCAAATGTTCGTTCATCTGTACAATCTGTAAAACGACAAGTATCCCGTGATATCGTAGTAGCATGGTAAGTTAAAACTTTTAGCCATTTATGAGAGATTGGGATGCTTGAAGAGTATGCAGTTGCATCACTGCTGCACACTCGTTCGATATGTAATTTCCTGCCTCATAGAAAAATATGTCTCCATATTCTCCTTGAACCTAGCTCATGATTCCTTGAACCATAAGCCATACGTTGTTCAAGTATATAAAAATTTAACATCCCTCATCTTTGATATAACTATAACTATATATATATATATATATACCATTCTTCAAGTCAAGCCTCGACGCTTCTCATATGGATTTAGTTTTCTCTCTTCTATTTCGTAAACTATACTTCAAAATGGGGTATATATCCCAACCTCCTGTCAACCTTACTCCTCCACGTCCTCATCATCAAACCCCAACCCATCCACGTGACCCAAAAACTCCAAATTGCCCTCTCCCGCCATGAGTGCATCGACGTCAATGCCGCCACTGGTAAGATACCTCGCACTAACCCCCGTATTAATCCTCTGGCTCAGCAACGCCTTCAGCTCAGCACGCAGCGCCTGCATCTCAGCTTTCGTCATCTGACTCGCCTCTCTCTCCTTCTTCTTGCGACCGGCACCACGACCCCGCTTGCCTTTCGCTTCCTTGTCGAATTCCTCGCTGTCGTAATCGACACCGAGGTCCTCAGCGGCCTGGCGGAGGACATCGTCGCCGCTGTTTTTCTTTTCCTTGGCGATGACGGTGTCAGCAAGGCGCTTGGAGATCGTGGCGCGGGGTTTGAGACGGGATACGATGCGGCGGTCGATGTCGAGGGTGCGGATGAAGAAGGATGTGTTTTTGGTCTTTGGGGCCGAGGCCGCGCGAGCGTGCACTTTGGCGATTAGACGCCGGACGCCAGCTACTTCTTCCGGCGCGCAGATGAGGATGCTAGCGCCTGAGGCGTTGGCGCGGGCTGTGCGGCCGGAGCGGTGCACGTAGGTGTCGGCTGCGCGGGGGAGGTGGTAGTGGATTACGAGTTCGACTTTGGGGATGTCGAGACCTCGAGCGGCGACGTCGGTGGCGACTAAGATGGATCCTGGTCGTTCTTTGAAGCGTTCGATTGAGCGTAGACGGGCTTTTTGTGGCATGTTGGAATGAAGTGGGAGGGCGGGAAGGTTCAAGTTGGTTAAGAATGGTGTTATGCGTCGAACGGCTGAGATGGAGTTTGTGAAGACGAGGGCGCGCTTCTTGGTGTAGAACATGAGAAGTGAGTATAGATATAGATCTTTTTCGGGCCCAGCGCATTCGATAAGACCTTCCTGAAGCTTACTGGCCATTTGTGAAGTCGGGTTGGCATCGATAAACTTGGGCTTCTCTTCACGGAATCGAAGCTTCTTCAAGAGATACTCCATGGACTGTTGTTGGTTCATCTGGTCACCACCAAATTTAGCCTTGCCGGCAAGTTTTCTCTGAAGATCCTTTCCAAAAGTTGCTGAGAAGACGAGTGTCTGGCGGTTGGCTTCGGGTGTTTCTGCTGGCTCTGCATTTTCATCTACTTCGTCGTCAGGCTCGAGTACCTTGAGGATATCGTCCATTTCCTTAAAGTGGCCCTGGCTTAACAGGCGATCAGCTTCATCGACAACCAAGAATTTGATCTGCTTGAATTTTGCGAGTAAGCCTTGGCCACTGCTGATGACTTCCCACAGCCGTCCTGGGGTTCCCACGACTATGTCTGCCTTTTCCAGTTGCCTACGCTGCTTCTGCACGGACAAACCACCCGTGATGGATGCAATGTACGGAGAGTCAAAGTCACCTTTTGCACAGAGCTTAACCAGATGTTCGTTGATCTGATGAGCAAGTTCTCGAGTTGGCGCGATGATGAGGGCGAGCGGAACCTTGTCTTTGGTGTCTTTTGGTGCTGCACGACCGGCGAGATATGACTCTATAATGGGAATACCAAAGGCGAGCGTCTTTCCTGAACCAGTTGAAGCCTTTCCGATGACATCTCTACCAGCTATAATCTCGGGTATAGTCGACGTTTGAATGTTGGTGGGTTTAGAAAACTTGAGCTTCGCCAATGCTCCGAGCATTTCCTCAGACAGGTCCAACTTTCCCCAAGCAGATACGTCTTCTTCGTCACTATCGTCCATTGGTTGATTTGCAAGTATATCGAAGGCGCCAGGGCCAAATGTCTCGCCGTCGTCAACACCTTCCGCATCGAATTGGTCGTCGTCATCATCATCGTCTTCGTCGTTGTCCGCTTTATCTTGTTCATTTGACTTGGCCATTTGCCCATTTGTCTTTTTCTGCTCCTGCTTCTTTAATTTCTCTTCCTTAAGTCTCTTGTTTTTCTCCTTCTTGGTCTCTTTCCTTGTCTCGGACTCTCCGTTCGTCGCAAGCGTGGGCGTTTCAGTCTCGATTTCCTCATCGCTAAAGCCTTCCCATTCCAACTCCTCATCTTCTCCCTGCACCTTGGGTTCCTTACCCTCATCTTCTTCAGACTCCTTGTCCTCATCTTTCTCGGCCTCTTGGGTTTCCCCGAAAGTTATCTTCTCAAGATGCCGAGCCTCGTCTTCCTCGCGCTGCCATGCCTCCTCGACATCACGCGCAACTTCGTCTTCTGTCTTTGTAGTTTCGAAATGGAAGGCGCCGGTAACAGGATCCTTTACAATTTCAACATCGTCGATTTCTTCGAGTCCGTAGAAGCCTTCGGTGTCCTCCAAACGATCAGGCATGGAAACAGCCTTCCATCCTAGCTCGTTGAGCTGCACTCTGCGTTTCGTCTTGGTAGGTAGAGGTTTAGGAAAGTCATCGACCTTCTGGCGTTTGTGCGCCTTGTGCGCCGCCTTCTTCGGGGCAGCATGGGCGCGTTTCATTGTGGCGCGGGGTTGCGATTGGAAGTGTTTGTACACGAGGGTCGAAGCATGCGATGGCCTCTGGAAACTTTTTTTTGGAGAACTGTCGGCGTTCGGGAGTCCGCCGCCCCACTTCGCCCTGCAGACTGTCTAGTCCGCACTTCACGTGCGACTCACTCCCGCATTGACTAAATTACGACCAGATTTGGGCAGCGGGAAAAAACATAGGAAGAAAGAGTAGGACCAGACTGCCAGGTACTTATCTAGTAATTGTATCGCAAACGACAATTGTCTTGCATCGAAGGCCTCAAAGTTACCGAGACAGCGGACAAGCAAATTCAAGAAAAACTGTACCACCAGTCATACGGACTGACTCGAAAATTCTCCAAGGCGGGGGAAGAACAAGTGGTGTGAATTGCCCCTCCAGAGCGAGCCATGGGAAAGTCGTCAAAAGACAAGCGAGATGCGTACTACCGACTGGCAAAAGAAGAAGGATGGCGGGCACGATCTGCATACAAGTTACTGCAACTAGACGAAGAATTCAATTTGTTTGAAGGCGTCACCCGAGTCGTGGATCTCTGTGCTGCACCAGGAAGCTGGAGCCAAGTGCTATCCCGTGTGCTCATTAAGGGAGAAAAATTTGGACGGGCGGGGTGGCAGGAGAAGCAGGCTTCGACACGGAACTATGTTTTGGGTGCGGACAAGAAGAAGGAAGATGGTCTGGAAGTAGAGAAAAAGGAACAGGATGCTGGAGTCAAGGAACAGAGACCAAATCCAAGAGAAGGAGTACGGATAGTTGCGATTGATTTGCAGCCCATGAGTCCGCTGGAAGGTGTAACGACAATGCGCGCAGATATTACGCATCCTTCAACAATACCCCTTATGCTCAAGGCGCTCGATCCCGATACATACGACCCCAAGGCCACGAGCGGCTCCTCACCTGTGGACCTGGTGATTTCCGATGGGGCGCCCGACGTCACTGGTCTCCACGACCTCGACATTTACGTGCAGAGCCAGCTCCTGTGGGCAGCGCTCAACCTGGCCCTGTGCGTGCTCAAGCCCGGCGGCAAGTTTGTGGCCAAGATCTTCAGAGGTAAAGACGTCGATTTGCTGTTTGCACAGCTGAAGATTGTGTTTGAGCGGGTGCGCGTGGCCAAGCCGAGGAGTAGTCGGGCGAGCAGCATAGAAGCGTTTGTCGTGTGCGAGGGCTTCTGTCCTCCCAAAGGGTTCACGGCCAGTCTGGACAAACCGCTTGGCGCGGGCACGCAGCTGCCCACACCACGAGCACCCGCTCCGTGCGATGCGCCCAGACCAGAAAGCAGGGTCTCGCGAAAAGTCAGGGACGACGGGGCAATCGAGATTGACCTTGGCGACGAGAGCGAAGACCAGGATGATATGGAAGAAGGAGGTCAGCGGTGGATAGCGCCGTTTCTGGCATGTGGTGACTTGTCGGCTTACGACTCTGATGCTACATATCATTTGCCCAAGGACAGAGTCAGTCTGGACCCTGTGCAGCCTCCTACAGCGCCGCCGTACAAGAGAGCGCTGGAGATGCGAAAATTGGCCGGGGGTGCATACGGGAAGACAAAGGGTAGGGCTGAGCAGACAGCATCGTAATTGAGATTGAGGAGGCGGTACTTGGACTGCCGTAACAAGGATGCATGTTTCATTTCTGCCATGACATGACTTGAGGGGCTAGTGGATAATCATCGTTCGGCATAGATATGTTTGTTGCATACGTATAGACTACATGGTGGCACAATGTAAGCAATATCCATCTATGCTATACTCGATGTTTTAGCGTTTGGTCAGTGTGCGTTTGGAGACTTGGGGTGGTATGTAAGCAAGTATACAAATACCTTGCACCCTAGCGCTGTAGAGGCGTTGTGTAAGTATGTATCAGGTGCATGGGCGTGGCGCTATCCTTGCATGTTATGTAGTAGTATTCTGATGAACCGGTTCACACATGGACACAGCTACATGTGGCATTGCCGTCTAGGCTCAAAAGGGGGATTAGACTGCAAGGCACCGTGTTCTCTGTCGGGCCAGAGGTGCTAATTTCTCACATGTGGCACGCAGCGCGCAGGCAGTTGGCTCGTTGTGCGCCATGATGCGCAAGAAGCAAAGAAAGCAAAATGTCACTGTTTGACGATCGTCAGCATGGGGTGGGAAGCGGGTGTCTCAGATATGTGCAGCGGGATTGGCCCAGCCGTGGAGGAGCAGGTGGTGTAATTAGGCAATTTGCGTGCGCAGTCGGGCTTGTACGGGACAGGCAATTGGCATGGCAAAGTCAATGTGGTGTGGTCCCAGGACAGTGGTCGGCAGAACGTTTTTCTTTTCTGGTGCAGCGGTAGCGTGCGATGGCGACGGGAGATGGACCGTAGCCGCGAGGGGAGGGGTATGCTTGTTGGGCGAGGCTTGATTTTGCACAGGGCATTCCAGCTCGTCTCACACTGTACACGGGCTTCTGGAAGGCGCCAATCGAGCGAGTTGGCGAGGGTGGTGCCGCCACGCAGCGGGCGCGAGTGCGAGGGCTAGTTGTTGAATGACGCTGTGCTCGCAACGTCTGGATAGTCGCTACGGGCTGCATGTGCATCCATATGGTGATAACACACATGCGGGCCGAGCCTGCTGCTGGATGTGTTGTTTTTGGGCGGTGGGCAGCTGGGGGGCAGAGGCATCGGGGTGCTGTGCTGGGTGCAAGCGCGCCCTGCATCCGTAAGGGCGGATGCGTGCATGGCGCGTTTCACCAGGCCCGGTGTTTGGATCTCTGGTGCAGTGGTGATGGCATGTTATACGTCGACGGAGGTAGCGCGAAGTGGGGGAGGGTGAAAGGAGGGAGTTGGTGTGGGAGCGGTGGGCTGGCCTAGGCGGCTCCTGTACAGGACAGGCACGGCGCATCGCTCGTCTTGCAGCAGCGCCATATAGTACTTACTGTACAGCGCTCTGGCGGCCGAGTGCTCGTATTGCGTCGTGGTGAGCTACTGCAGCCGGCGTGGGCTGCGTGCTGGCTCGGGCCTGCTATCTGTCAAACGCGGACGCTGCACGAGGAGGCGGTGGAGGCGGCTCTACTTGCTCGCTGGAAATGAGAGGAAAGGCCGACTGAAACTCATTTTGGGCATGCATGGTGGTCTTCGCCTGGGTGGAGATTGCGGCAGTCTGGAGGCTAGCAAGGACATGGACATGGCCGACCCTCTCGCGGCAAAAGCACACGCTCAGTCGCTGTCCATCCAGCCCATGCACTCTCCGAGACTCCATCTTTCTTCTGCTGCCCGCCTGTAGCTGGAGTCGTAGCTAGAATCGCAGCTAGCTGGAGCTGTGGTTGTCGTCGCTGCTGCTGCTACTGCTACTACTCCTCCTCCTCCTCCTGCTGCTGCTGCTGCTGCTGCATGTCCCGTAGCCGTCCACCGTGCATCGTCGCCCATTTCGCCCAATCCGCCTGGCCGTCCCCAGCCCGCAGTCGACTTCCTCGTCTCCCTCGTAGTCGTCGTCGTCGTCCTCTCCATCCTCATCACCACCACCACGCCCACCGCCCTCGTCCGGCCGCGGCCACAGTGAAACCCCCTCAAACTCCAAGCCCGCATTGCGCCAGTCGCCGTCCGCGCCGCAGCCAGTGGGCGCAGCCGGCAACATGGAAGAAAAGCCGTCGTCGAGGCGGCTGGTCAAGAAGGAGCGCCATCCCCCAATCGCTTATCTGAACAACAAGTCGACCACGTTGAAGCGTGCCCCGAGTGCTGCATCCTACTTTGCACCCCATCAAGGCCTTGGCACGGGCTCAGCGGCCTCGCTCTCGCCTGCTACCACACCGGGAGCCTCGTCACTCCGCCGCAGCCCCTCGCTGACGCCCGTCCACGAGTACCAGAACCACGCGCATGTCGACCATCTGGCCCACTACCAGCTCCCGCCTTCGGTTGCCCACCTGCCCCCGGCCGCCGTCGGTCAGCCCTTCAACAGCATCGTCGAAGAGGCCCTCAACGCATCCAACGCCAACGCACCACGTAGGCCCGCTGGCCCACAGCACTCGCACACCGACCAACCTGCCCGCTACTTGCGACAGTCGCGCTCCTTCACCTCCAACATGGACTCGACCACCCCACCCTCGACCGGCCAGCCCAAGACCAACCGCTACAGCGATGGCGGCTCCGGCTCCCAGCCCATCATCGACACGGCAAAGAAGCGTCTGTCTGGCGGCGCAAAGAAAAAGGGCACCTTCTCCACTTTCATGAGCAGCATGCTGGGCTCCCCGCGCCGCCCGACCATCTCGACACCCACCAACCCCATGCACGTCACCCACGTTAGCATCGACAACCAGACGGGCGAGTATACGGTGCGTGCCCCCCCCTCCCCTCCTCTTCTCCAGAGCTACTCCACCTTTGCCCAACCCCAACCCAACCCTCGAATCCCTCGCTCGCTAACACTGCACATAGGGCCTCCCCAAGGAATGGCAGCGCATGCTGCAGCAGAATGGCATCTCCCAGGAAGAGCAGAAGCAGCATCCCCAGGCCGTTGTCGATGTGGTCAACTTCTACAAGGACAATGCCGAGAAGAACGAGGACGATACCATCTGGGACAAGATGGGCCCCGCGCACACTCAGGCATACGCTTACCAGGCTAACATTGCCCAAAACAACAATAGCACCACTCCCACCTCCGCTTCCGCCAACAACAACAACAATACCGCAAACTACGGTGCTGCCCAACCACTCAGCCCCCCGCAGAGCCCTCGCTTTCCACGGAACGACCAGTCTAGCTTCGAGAACCCCCGCGCTCCCCCGCCAATTCCTCGCAGCCTCACCTCGCCCGCCTCCAACCTGCCTCAGACTAATGTAGCAGCCCTCGTACCGAACCGTCCAGCTCCCAAGCCCCCAGGTGCTTCTTCAGGCTCTACTGTTGCTCCCCCGTCCAGACCCCCTCCCCCGGCCCCAGGCCCGAATGCCACGCAACAAACGACCCCTCGCCAGGAGTACGACCTTCCTCAGACCGCCTATGCTGCGCCCGCCCCCTCTGCGAGCCCCAGTGGCTCGTCGTCGTCACGCAGTCGAGCAAATACAACGGGAGGAACACCGCCGCGTTTCGACTCTCCAGCTGGTCCGCCCACCATCTCCCCCGCGCAGCAGTACCAGCAACAGCAGCAACAAGCAATGGCAATGGCTTCTTTCCAACAGCCCAAGGCGCCCCTCAGTAGGAGCGTTAGCCAGAGAGCCCCTCAGCCGGCACATGCGCCCCCACCAGCCCCTGTGCATGTACAGCCCACGCCTCAGCAGGTGTTCGCGCAACAATCGGATCCCCAGAATATCCCGTTGCCATCGCAACAAGCGCAGCAGCCGCAGCCCGCTCGTGTAGGCCCAGCCCCACGGGCGCGCCAAAGGCCTCGACAAAGCCAGGGACCCGATATCGTTGCAAAGCTCAATGCCATCTGTACCAATGCCGACCCGAGAGAGAGATACCGCAACCTCAGCAAGATTGGTCAAGGTGCTTCCGGGGGTGTTTTCATGGCATTCGAGGTCCACACCAACAAATGCGTGGCTATTAAGCAGATGAATCTGGAGCAGCAGCCCAAGAAAGACTTGATTATCAACGAAATCCTAGTCATGAAAGACAGCAAGCACAAGAACATTGTCAACTTTATGGATAGTTTTTTGCTGAGGGGCGATCTTTGGGTAGTCATGGAGTACATGGAGGGCGGAAGCTTGACAGATGTGGTCACTTTCAACATCATGTCAGAGGGTCAAATAGCCGCTGTGTGCAGAGAGGTGAGTACGCGTGCCCGGTTCCCAAGCTCTGAGCTAATTCTGGCAGACATTGCACGGCCTGCAGCATCTACACTCCAAGGGCGTCATCCACCGAGACATCAAATCCGACAACATTTTGCTTTCTCAAGAAGGAAACATCAAGCTAAGTAAGTGACAAGTTCAGATTGACATGTGACATGCTCTAACATGCCACACAGCCGATTTTGGATTTTGCGCTCAGATCAACGAGAGCCATAACAAGCGTACCACCATGGTGGGCACCCCGTACTGGATGGCCCCTGAGGTTGTCACGCGCAAGGAGTATGGCCGGAAGGTCGATATCTGGTCACTTGGTATTATGGCTATCGAGATGATTGAGGGAGAGCCGCCATACCTGAATGAAAGCCCCCTGCGCGCGCTCTGGCTTATCGCAACCAATGGAACACCCACGATCAAGGAAGAACACGCATTGTCACCGGTGTTCCGCGACTTCCTAGCCTTTTCGCTTAAGGTTGACCCGGACAAGCGAGCTAGTGCTCACGATCTCTTAGTGGTGAGTCGGGCGAACCAGACAAAAAAAAAGGTCAAACAACAGCTGACTTGTTAATAGCACCCCTTCATTCAAACTGCTGAGCCTTTGAGCACACTAGCGCCATTGGTGCAGTCGGCAAGGAAGGCAAGAGCAGAAGAGAGGCGGAAGAAGGGTGGCATGTGAAGTTTCGTTTTGGTAAAGAGTGTTTTTAACACCGGCACTTAGGTACGCTTGTTTTACAGAACAACGGTCACAGTTCGCCCAGTACGAATGCGAACTCGTTCACCAACTGGCATGGCAAGACAGCAGAATTGTAAAGCGACTCGATGGCGCCGGGCAAACAACGGACGCTTGGGGTTATACTTCGCAGTACACGCCACCAAACCGAGTGGCTGCATTCCAAACGATCAAGTTTGCCGTTATAGCCGAGCCAGGGCAGTACGTTGGCTTTAGAGTCGGTATGCAAAGGTCGAAGCCTCATACTGCTTTTCTTCACTTGGAGCCCCGTGGATCGTCTTGGACCGAGTCAGCAATCCTTTCCGTCTTGTTTCAGCCGTTGTGTCTTAGGCAAGCACTACCTGTTGTCGTGTTTTTCAAAAGAAAAAAAGAGTCGAGTATCGATGCAGGCACGCATCGAGGGAGTCATTATGTCACATTTGTTTGTGCTTCATGGGACGGATGCCATTATACGATTATTTATACACCATTTGCAATTTTTAGTGTCTATACGTTTTGGGAAGGGGCTACAGTCTTGTCACCTTGCGGCATCCTCGGCATACAAGAAAAAGCCGAATACATTCTATAGTTTTCTGTAAATGCAGTTGTCTGAAAAGTCATCATGGTTGCTGTGGAATTGAATGCAGTAGTAGTTTGCCGCATGAAGACTGCGGCCCGTGACCGAGTGGCTGAGTAGGTAACCGCCACAGTGTTCGTCATCAACCCCCCGCTAAACTGCTTGGGCGGCGGCGCACGCCTGTCGGGCGGATAGCTCCAAGCCTCAAGCCTCTCAGCATACGACAGCGCGTTCACATGAGCTTTACCTTCTAGACCTCTACCTACAAAAACTGAGCATACAGACCTATTTCTTTTTCGATCCTCAAGGACGCCAGCACACGCTAATCTTCTAGACTCGCCCAGCGGACCCTGTACTGCATTGCGCTTACTACCGCCCGTCGTCTGACCCGCTTCAAGGCAACATCCGCACTTGAACATCGTCCATACTTCAGGCCCAACAACTCTCAAAGCGACGGGGTAAACTGCCATGTTTCGCGGACAGTCGAATATTTTCGATGATGTCGTGGTCAAGGCTACAGACGAGAACCTCACGAGTGAGAACTGGGAATACATTTTGGTACGAGCACAACCCACGTCATGGGGTTGACGGCAAGGTCGACAGCCCGCGCGCTAATGAGCCTATGCTGCAACCACATGTCTCGATGCTTTGGATACTTGCAGAATACTGACTCGCCCTTGTAGGATGTATGCGACAAGGTCGGATCCTCCGACACAGGCGCAAAAGATGCAGTTGCTGCCATGATTAGGCGGTTGGCACACCGGAACGCTAACGTACAACTCTATACCCTTGAGCTTGCAAATGCTTTGAGCCAGAACTGCGGAGCCCAAATGCACAAAGAGCTTGCCTCACGAAGCTTCACCGAGGCGTTGCTAAGGCTCGCAAACGACCGCAACACACACCAGCAAGTCAAGGCCAAGATCCTGGAGCGCATGGCAGAATGGACCGAAATGTTTTCCCATGACCCAGATCTCGGAATCATGTCAAGCGCATATATGAGGCTAAAGTCACAGAGTACGTTGGCTCCATAGCAGTTGAATGGTGCGGTGCTTACACAGATTAGATCCCAACCTCCGCGCACCCTCGAAGCCACAAAAGACACAGATTTCGGATGCCGAGCGCCAGAAGGAGGAGGAGGAACTACAGATGGCTCTTGCTATGTCGATAAGAGAGTCTAAAGGCGCAGCTCCAACGGCCGCCAGTTCCAACAACCCTCAGCAAAGCGGATCCGGATCCAGCGCCCAACGAGAACAACCAGCGCAGCCTGTGCCTCAAGGCACAACCGCCGCAACTGTGTCGCGAGTACGGGCGCTCTTCGATTTCCAGCCGTCAGAACCCGGTGAACTACAGTTCCGCAAGGGCGACATCATCGCTGTGCTCGAATCGGTATACAAGGACTGGTGGAAGGGATCGCTACGTGGACAGACTGGTATTTTCCCGCTCAACTACGTGGAGAAGTTGCAAGACCCGACGCGCGAGGAACTTGAACGGGAAGCACAGAATGAAGCCGAGGTGTTTGCGCAAATAAGGAATGTAGAGAAGCTGCTTGCCCTGTTGAGCACCAGCTCGCAACCTGGTGGTGGTGATGCGCGAGATAATGAGGAGATTACAGAACTCTATCACTCGACCCTAGCTATCCGGCCAAAGCTGATTGAGCTCATTGGCAAGTACTCTCAGAAGAAAGGTATGTTCAGTAGGCACCCACAGACACTTCGGAGATTAACCGTATTAGATGACTTTACACAATTGAATGAAAAGTTCATCAAGGCTCGTCGAGACTACGAATCAATGCTAGAGGCATCCATGTCGCAGCCACAGCAACCCCCATACGGTGGTCGTCCCGCTTATGGCGCATACAATGCCCCTCCCCCCTCAAATTATCCGGCGTACCCACCAACATCCTCTACACCGCACCAAGATCCGGGTCGTTTCAACTACGGCGGGCCACCTCCTGCACAACATGCACCCCCGTCTCAGGCCCCATCGACAGGCCCTGCCTTCTTCATGGTGCCTCCTGGAGAGCAACGGACGCAGCAAACCCCGCAACCGGGACTACCATCTGATCCTTACTCACTACCACCAGGCAGAGTGCCTGTTGGCGGCCGACCACTAAGCTATGGACCTCAGGAATTATCGACAGCGCATTACGATTCACCTGTAGACAACCGAAACTCTTTCCACGGCCCTAGCCAGTCTCAAGGTCCTTCAGCACCACAGGGATACGACTATCCGCCTGCACAGCAAGGAAACGGTTATCCTCCACAACAAGGCCCTCCACAAGGCCAGCAGAATCCTTACGAGCAACTGACGTCGCCGCCTCCACAGGGGCCGCCACAGGGACCGCCACATGATCAGCATGCGCCAGAATCGCATTCACAGCAGCCACCTCAACAAGGACATGGTTATCCACCTGCACAACCTGGATACGCCCCGCCAGCCCCACCGGGAACTGCTTCTAGTCCTGCGCCACAAGGGTACCTTCCGTATCGACCAGGAGGGCAAGTGCCGAGTGCGCCGCCCGTAGGAGGAGATGATGCTTCTGGCTTTTACCGATAGAAGCGACCTTTGAGGGACTGGTGGATCGGGACATCGTGTAGTTGTAAAGTGTTGCACTAGGTATTATTAGTGGATGGAGTTAGTGTGGCCTCGAGAATGAAGATACCATGGAATCTTTTGTAAGATATTTTTGGACAAGTTGCATGTGCTCGATTAGTTTGACCGCGAGGAAAGGGAAAAAAAGAGAGTTGCTAGAGATTGCCGTTTTCCTCATTGTCTTTTGCTAAAAAGTGGGAAATTTGGGGATTCTTTGTCTACCATTGTTTTTGTAATTTCAACAAAGGCCGATCGATATCAGTAGTTTTGGTTTCAATTTTATCTTGTTTCCCCCGGCAAACAATCATTGTTTATTCTTTCTGCCCTTTTTTCCGCACTTTTTCTTTCTTACGTATTGCAAATCAGGGATTGGTAACGGTAATGTTAGTAGGACACATGGTGTTTTCTGTATGACTGGCTCTCCCCTTGGTGCGACAAGCCATTAGCGGGATGGGGAAAGATTTGCTCTAGCAAAAAAGTTGAGTGAGTGAGAAGGAAGCAGTATCCATGTTGTTATTCATGAACTTTGTTTTATTCAGAAAAAAAAGGTTCTATTGAGGACTCATTCTGGTATCTTTGAATACAACTTCGAGTGTATACGAACGTATATATGGCTTTCTTTCCTCCCTTTTCTAACCCAGACTTTTCGCAATTATTTACCTCTACATACATATTAATTACTTGAACCATAGCTTTACAAATGCAGCTTCAGATTTTCTACATGCTCCTGTTCTCGCTCTTGCACTTCATCTCCGCCTCCCCAATACCAAAACTCACACCTTGCCCTTCCTCCCCCCTCCCCACCCTCCCCCAATACCGCCTCGCCTACACCACATACTGCACGGGCCACTTCTCGCCCTCCCGCTCGCTGTCTCCCAACGAAAAAGTCGTCTTTACCTACCGTCTCACTGACGCGCAGGGAAAGCCTGTGTACTGGGTGCTGAGTGCGGTGTGGGAGCAAGGCAGGTTTCTGGGGGGAGGAAGTATGGAGGTGAGAGCGGGGACGTGTTTGGAGTGGTTTAGAGGGGGGGAGGCGGAGGCGGCGTGTAAGACGGGGGTGAAGGGGTGGAACGGGAGGAGGGGGGGTGTGAGGGTTGAGTCAAGGAGGTGGGGAGGGGGGTGAAGATGGAAGTGGGGTTTTGTTTTTGAGGGGTTTGTATGGGATACATATTTTTTTAATGAGGGTGGGCTTATTTCTTACTTTAGTGAGGGCTGCGGGGGACAGGAGGAGTGATGGTTTCTGAGTATCCTAAAGTTTCGTCAGACTCGATGTATTGGGTGCTATTTTCAGCTGACTTGAGAAGAGAGATACTAGTAGTAGCAACTATCAGGTGTTAATTGCTCAGCCGCTAGCTTCCATTGTTTGTGGGGTATGTAACGTGATGGCATTATATTTCTTTGTGTCTGCGTGGCTTTGCTGCACCTTTGTCGAGTCCCGAATACGGAGAGGAGAGATGCGCAGTATTTCACAATGAAGAACTGTATCATGGATTTTAATATATGAGAGACTAGATTCCATATGTATATCAATTGATTCCAACTCTCCCTACAAAACGCACATCTGGAAGAACAGTCAACAATGTACATGCTCAAGCATGCCATGATCCTTAGATGGGCACTCCTCACACTAGCCTCACCCCTACAAATCCCTTTCACAGCACCATCAAAAGAACCATTAGGTCTCTCCACCCGCGCAAACCCCTTCGCCTGTCCCGCCAACAAACTCCACAACCCCACCGTTACGGAATGGAACTGGGCCCTAAACACCTACTGCTCGCACCACACCCCCGCCAGAATAGCCAGCGACTCACCCCTAGTCTTCACCTACCAGCTGACCGCCTTCGACAAGAAACCCATCAAATGGGTCTTCAAAGTGTGGATCGATGACGAGATGCGCGAGGTGAGGGGCGGAGTGGGTAAGCCGACCAAGTACTCGTTCGAACTTGATAAGGAATTGTGTAAGAGGAAGTTTATGGATATGGTTACGGAGGGGAAGGGTGGGGGGATGCCCAAGGTAGTTTGTGAGGTGGGGAAGGAGAAGTTGTTTCGTGGGGGGAGTTATAGGGATTGGGTGGTTAAGGAGCGTTATGGGGAGGCGGTTTGGGAGTCGAGGCAGCTTAAGGGGGATAAGTAAATTCTTCTGTTCTTTTTTTGTTGGCTAATTGGTACTTCTGTCGATCGTTGTGTTTTCCACTGTTTTTTTATTTATTATCTTTTCATGAGTGCGATTGGTATCTAGAAAGCCGGTATTTTAATAGCTGTATGTTAGTAGTTTCTTATGACTGAATGAGAAGCACTTTTAACGCATGTAAAATTATATGCAGTCGAGTGACGGGAGACGTTGATGGCGCAGGAGACGAGAATGCGGAGGTTAGCGGTTATGGACTAGCGCAGCCTACTGTGAGGCTTGCCGGGGTTGGTAGTGGTGGGGAATCGGGAAGCAGGGGTCCAAGTAAGTTCGAGGACATTCTGGACAGGCGGCCACTTGTGCTGCGAAGACACGACAGCAATTGCATCCATTGAGCCCCGCCCGTATAGACAAACGAATAGTCGAGTCGTATCCGTCTATTCCATGTATTTAATTGTGCCCATCTCCGTCCGTTTGCAAATATACGTCGTGGCCTGTTGCGCTACCCTGAAGTGAATTACCGAGACCCTGGCCGCGCACCTATTCCTCTGCCTGGCTGAGTGACAGTAGCCTATTACAATTGCTGCTACGCACAGCCAACGCACTAAAAACCCCAGTAGCACCTTGCCCATCTACCACCTTGCCCTTTTACTCACCTCACCGTCTTTGTCCTTCCTCTTCTTCCTCCCCTCCCCTCCCCTCCCCATTCGCGTACCATACCACCGTCAACCGGCCACTCTGTCCCTGCCCGCAACCACCCAAGCTGGCTCCACGCTCCTAATTCCCACCACCCACCGTCCACGCGAATACCCTTTGGTCCACTCGAAACGGTCTACACTGAACAATGGCATCCGAAGCAGTCGCCAGCTCTGCCGCAGAGGGTCTCACCCCGGCGCAGAAGCTCCAGCAGGAGCATGCCGACCACCACGTCACCATTGAGGATGTCCCCGACGAGGAAGACGCTGCCAACCCGTCCTCTTCGGCTGCCGATGCCTCTGCTCCTCTGAGCGAGAAGGCCGCTGGCAAGCAAAAGGCTGATGATGCCCCGGCTGCCCCGAAGAAGCCCGCTCTCAACATGTCATCTGAGGAGGCTTTCCCGGCTCTTGGTCCTGTTAAGCCCCGAGCCCAGGCTTCTGTTGCGCCCACCTGGGGTAAGAAGCCTGCCTCGATCACGTCCAATGGCGTCAATGGCAATGGTGCCTCTGCCCCCTCTGCCCCCGCTGGCCGTGGCCCCACCCTTCCGTCCATGAACATCCCCGGCAAGCACACAGAACGCATCTCCCTCGCATCTCATCAGGTTGCTCCCCGCGGCGAGCTCAAGAAGCCCATCAACGAAATCGTCCGTGACATCAACAGGCGCTCCAAGGCCAACCTCGAGTACAAGCAGGCTCCCGGCGCCCTCATCTTCGAAGCCACTGGTTCTGTCGAGGCCGTCAGGCAAGCGCTCAAGGAAGTTGCCAATGAGGTTGGTTCCAAGGTAAGTCCATTGGTTATGAGAAACAGCATATTCCATACAAAAGCTGACCGTCTATAGCAATCCGTCGATGTCCCCGTCCCCGCCTCCGTCCGTGCCCACATCATCGGTCGTCAAGGATCTAAGATCCAGGAAATCAGCAAGCGCACTGGTGCCCGCATTCAGGTCCCCAAGGCTGAGCCGGGCGAGGATGAGGACACTGTGGTCAATGTTCACATTGAGGGCAATGCCTTGACTGCTGAAATGGCTCGTCGTGAGATTGACGCTATTGTCAACGAACGCACCTCGACTGTCAACCTGCGCCTCAAGGACATCCCCGCCGAATTCTATCCCTTCCTCGCAGGCCCCAACAATGTCCACACCAATAGGCTTGCCCAAGGCCGCGACGTCAACATCCAGATTCCTCAATACCACACTTGGCAGTCGCAGGCTCCTCCCGTGGCCCCACGTGGCCAGCCTGCTCAGTTTGTTCCCCAGGCAAACTTCCCCATCCAGGTTTCTGGCGACCGTGTAGCTGCCCAGCAGATCCAGGCTGAGTTGGAGCGTCGCGTTCAGCAGCTTCGCCAACAGCTGGCTACCGAGCAGCGATCCATTGAGCGTGGTAGGCATCAATTCATTGTTGGTGACCGTGGTCACTCGCTCCACGACTTCTTGGAGGAGACTGGCTGTAGCATCGTTCTGCCTCCTAACTCGGACGATAGCGAGACTGTCTACATTGTCGGTCCACCAGACAAGATCGAGCAAGGTATCAACAAGCTCGAGGATCTTGCTGCCAGCATGACCATGGCGACCGCAGACGCTGCCCGTGAGCACAAGGGCCCCAACGCTCAGACACACGCCCACAACCTGACCCGCTACCTGCGTCAACGAAAGGCCCTTGAAGAGCTCGAACGTAAGCACGAAGCTAGCATTGTCGCGCCTACCGACCGTCACGCGCCAACTGGATGGGAAATCTACGCCAAGGATGGAAAGAACAGCATGAAGGCCCGTACTGATATCATGAGCCTTTTCCAATCGCACCCACCAAGCAGGTTCTCTACTTTGAACGTCGATCCCTTCTACCACGACTTCCTCCGACAGCGCAACGCACCCAAGGTTAGGCAAGACCACGGTGTGCACATTGTCTTCCCAGACGAATCCGAGCAGTCACCCGAGCTGGTCCTTGTTTACGAAGGCAACACGCCATATGACGAGTATGACCTCCCACGAGGTGCACCATCCCAAGCCGAGATCAAGGCATACCAGAAGGGTCTGCAGGATGCCCAGCGATTCATTCTTGGTTTGACCAAGGATCAGCCAAAGATTGAGTCTCGCGGCCTTGAGTCCAACCCCAAGTTCCACCGCAAGATTGAGCAGTTCGTCAATGATGAGCAGCGTGGCCTTGCTCCAGAGCAGGTTCCCGTTCAGGCTCTGTTTGGTCAGCGACGACCTGAGCCTTATAGCCAGTCAAACAACAGCTTTGCCATCCGTGGACCCACAAACGCTATTGATGAGCTCAACGCCAAGATCCTTGCTTTCATTGAGCAAGCTGAAAAGGATGAGCTTGAGCGCAATCACATCACAACTTTTGACTACCCTCAGAAATATGCAAGCCACCTTGTAGGAAAGGGCGGAGAGAACATCCAACGTCTACGTCAAAAGTATGATGTTGATGTCCAGATCAACGATGGCAAGGTTGAGCTCAAGGGACCTTCAGCTAAGGCCCAACAGTGCAAGAAGGACATTCTTGACATGGCCAAGAAGCTCGAAGATGAAGCTACCCACATTCTCAAGGTCAAGCCACAGTACCACCGTGACCTGATTGGCGCTGGTGGCAAGCAAGTCGAGCGTCTGCAGGACCGCTACGGTGTGCGCATTAACTTCCCTCGACGAGCACAGAACGACGAGGACGCGGGCGAAGGATCATCCCAGAAGAATGTCCGCCCCAGCCAGAACCCAGATGAGGTCATCGTCCGAGGCCCTAGAAAGGGTGCCGACGAAGCCCGTGACGAAGTCCTGAGCCTTCTCCAGTACATCATGGACAACTCTTACAGCGACACTGTTTCAGTGGCGCAGAGCAACATCCCACGTTTGATTGGATCCGGTGGTCGCGAAATGGAGAACCTCCGTCTCGAGACTGGATGCCAGATTGATGTCCCTGGTGCTCGTGAAGGTGCCGATCCTTCTGGCCGCGCCGAGATCAAGCTCAAAGGAACCAAGAAGCAGGTCGAGGCAGCCAAAAAGATTCTGCAACAACGTGCCCAGGAATTCGATGATACCGTTGTCGAGACTCTTGAAGTCGACAGAAAACATCACAGGAACCTTATTGGCGGCAGTGGTGCCAACATCCGCTCCATTGTCACCTCAGCTGGTGGTCCCGACAACTCTCGCGATTTGGCTCGTATGGTGCGCTTCCCTCGCGCTGAGTCTGACGAGTCTAGCATTCGTGTAGAGGGTCCCAAGAGCGTTGTTGAGAAGATTGTTGCCGCTATCAAGGCACAGGTAGCCTCGCTTGAGAACCAGACTACCGAGACCCTCGATATCTCTCCTGACAAGCACCGCCTACTGATTGGCCGCGGTGGTGAGACTCGTCGCTCTCTTGAATCTAAGCTCAACATCCAGCTTGATATTCCCAAGCAAACCACCACTGGCGCTGCCCGTAATCAAGTCAAAATTACCGGTGAGCCTGCTGCTGTTGAGAAGGCCAAGGAGCACATTCTTGAGCTCGTCAAGGGCCAAGAAGGCGAGACCATCCAGGTTCCTCGCTACCTCCACCACGCTATTTCGGATAACGGCCAGTTCTTCCGTCAGCTTCGCAACCAACACAAGGTCACTGTTGACCACGGCGGCGAGCAGCTTCCTCCAAAGCCTGCTCAAACCGAAGCTGGAAAGTCCAGGAAGGGCGCAAACGGGGCTCTGCCTTTGATCACTGACGATGCAACCAACGGCTCTAACGAGCACTCGTGGGAGATTGTCGACAACAATGTTGTAGAGGAGGGTGCTGACACCTCAGCCACCATCCCTTGGATTCTGCGTGGACCTGCTGAGAACCTGCCGAAGGCTCGCCAGAGGCTCGAGCAGGCCATTGAGGCCGCCTCCAAGCCCTCTTCCACTGGTTACCTCATCTTGCCCGACCCACGAAGCTATAGGTAAGTTCTGTTCTATCTGTATTGAATATTCGAATTGTCATGCTAACAAGTTGCAGGCTCGTTGTCGGACCTGGTGGCTCCACCATCAACGACCTCCGCAAGAAGACGGGTACCAAGATCCAGGTCCCCCGTGACCAGGCCAAGGATGAGGCCATTGAGATTGTCGGCACCAGGGACGGATGCGAAGAGGCTCGCCAGCTGATCCTCGACATTGTGTCCAAAGGTGGTAACGGCGGTCGTAGGGAGCGCTCCTAAGCGCATGAACTCATAATATGAGTCGTGGTCCAGGGGGTAACGCATCGTTATCTCTGACGAGTATTGGATCATGCTATGAGGTAGAGAGAAGAGGAGTCATTCCTATTGGAGCTATCTCTATCTCTCCTTCTTTGATGTCAGAATTGGACTACGAAGTACATGATGACGAAACAAAAAACCTATTTTCCTCTTTGTTTCTCAGGTTATCTAAAAGCGGGGATAAAACATTATGATGATTTTTATTTATGTAGCTGTAGGAATGAGATAATCAATC